AACTGTGGCGGTTCAGCACCACTACCGTACCCCACACAAGGATCTCACGCCACGCCATGCCTCTTGAGCCCTGACATTCCAACGAGGCAAAGACACAAACCAAGATAGAAATGGCATAGTGAAGAAAGCAACAAGAAGCATAATTAGCAGAGTTCAAGACATTGCGCCGCAGCCCGAGAATCGGGTCGACCAGACTCTCCCAGTAAAAGATATCGTTGTCTCAGGCGGCGAAAATTGACCAGCCAATAGAACAACAGCCCAATTATCGTGAGGGGAGAAGAAAGTCAGGAAAAGCAAAGCGCCATGATCGATGTCGGAACTTGGCCGAAAAAGTGTTCCTCAACAGTGCTTTGCTTCTTCGACCAAGCGCGGAAAACCACTTTATGCGTCATTACATCAGCTGTTTTTATCTAGCAGCCATTCCGAGGTAAAGGCTAGGGATGAGGTCTAGCTGATTGGAGGAATGACACGCCATGGCCTGAAGGGTAGCCAGTGCCCGAGACAACCTTCTTCAGCGGGGATGAGCCTATATTTCTAAGTAGAGATCAGCACCGGCCAATGTCAGGTACTTGGTATCCGCTCCGTACGACTTTCATAAGCATTAAGCCAGAGAATTCAGTTTAAACTTTGATATCTGCTCCGTACGAGTTATAAAAGCTTCAAGCTAAGAGTACTCGGTTTAAAGTTTGATATCGGTGATCCCGTCAAGGTAGCCAAGCAGACTAGGCCAGCCCTAAGGGATCTAAAAGTCGATCAAAAAGTCTATCCACACGTCTGTGGAGAAACTAGGGCCAAGCATGACACTGACCTACAGCTGATCTTCCACTCCAATCAGCCCCGGCTGCTTTGTCCCCGCAGTCCACCAGGCCATGCACGATACATACGAGATATGCATTCGTCAAGCCATTGAACTTCATGCCGTCTGCGGCCGCCGGCCGCAGGGAACAGGCACTCTTGCATCAACAGAACAGAACGTAAGGTCACATTCAAGGGCTTTCCAACCTCGATTCAGAACAGCCAATTCCTCCCCGGCACATCCAAAACCCGCATCTTCGCTTTGCTGCAGGTAGTAAAGCACTGTAATTCGCTATTCTGCAAGCCTGGCCTTGAAACCAGCCGGGTCCCGGATGTTGCTGTGCAGGTAGCCGAACTCCTCGACAGCCTGGCAGCAAGGAGCCTGTTTTAGTTTTTTCTTGCTTCAATACATTGGTGTTCTTCAATAGAAGCATGGCCACGTGCGATACTTCCAACTTTACACGTTTGTTGGGAAATGTGCTTTTTACAGTCCGCTCTGCGAGGAGAAGCAGGCCGCTGTGCTTGAAGAGGCTGGGAGTTCAGATAACCCAGAGTAAATTATAAACTGCGGCAACCACTGATCAAACTCGGATGCGGGATATTTGGAAACTGATTACAATTTCCGCTTCTCTTTTTCTGGTGCCATTCACTGACGGGGCCGTTCTTCTGCTTCTTGCTCATTTAAGATGCACAATGATATCACCTGCGTCTGGAACCTTGCTCTGGAACTCCTTGGAATAGAAGTGAAAGAAGAAGGCTTCACATCTACTTGATTCTGAGGGTCACTACATATCGTAGAGAGCCAACCGATTCCCACGGGTTGCAGTGCAGCAATCATTGAGTTGTGCCGAAACGGTTCGGGCCGGTTCTGCAGTCAAATTGAGTTCACTATAAAATTATCGGATTAAGCAGTACTTCAAGACTGTAAAATATACATTGAACTGATCCCAAAGACTTTGCACTTTCATAAGATAAAATCCAGAAAAACAAATTTAGAAAAATATCCTTGGCATCTTGAAGCCCACCCAACAAACAATCCTTTACCAACACTCACTCCCATCCATCTTCGTCTCGTCACACTGCAGCGGCAGCGTCACGGGCCCCTCCCCATCGCGATCTTGTACATCATGACAGCTCACTCGATCGCCAGCATAAACACCAGCAGTTACACACAGCCCCGTTTCCAGCCCACCACCCAACCAATATCAACGCTTGTCTCCAAACACTCAAAGCCGAGATGCATCTTCCAAGTTAGGACATCGCATGGGTGGCATTTCTCACGAAATGCGGACCAGGATCTCGAATTCGTTACGAAGCTCCTGATAGGCGAACAAGACCAACATCTGACTCCACTCAAGGATTTGCCGTGGGCTTATGACCCCCGGTGAAGAGGTCTGCATGCAGGCAGGATGCAGGGAGATGGGAGGGAAGGGAAGAAAACGAAACGAAAGAGCAGCGCCACTATTTACGAGTCGAATGTGCCGCTGTGGTACAGGGGAGTGGGTGGTAGCCTGTCTTTGGATGCAGATTGGCTTATGTGATGTAAGGAGAGAAGCTCCGAGTGGGAGCGCTGGAGCGGTTCAGTTTTCTCTTTTTGGAACAGATCAAGAGAGAAGTGTGTGAGAAATGCGGGATGGGATGATTGCATCATATGCAAGACATCGATATCGCCGTGTACAGACCTTAGAGCCTTGTAGTGTACGGCATCAACTGTGATGCTGGCAGGTTGGTATCGTATGGTATGACGAATTTCAGGGCTGACGTGTGAGGAGTCAGGAAAGACGTTGAGCAGGCTTCTGTTTGAAAAGAGATCGACACCCCCTCAACAAACGGGTGGGAATTAGCCCGGCCTGCCATGTGCTCCTGGAAAATGGGTATCTGCATCGACGAAGTAAGGTAAGTTTTTTGAGGACTTATTGGACGGATAGATCCCGAAGGTTATATTAACGATGTTTAACTCGACATACCGAAGAAAAGTAGAAAAGATGCATTTGAGGACTGTACTTGATTGGAGAAGAAAAGCTCGGATGGATAATTGCATCTCTAGCCTCGAAGATCAGAAGATTAAGAAGGAGAAGATAGTCTCAATGATCGTAAGGGTACGTTGGTACAAGCTCAAACTTGAGCTGAAGCTCCCACTCAAAGGTCATTGACAGGCCCTGGCGCTGCTGCAACGCTCCAGCCTATGATGTCCTGCGGCGGCCCAAAGATCATCGCCGCCTTACCGCTTCAACATTGGTGCCTTCACCCTATTCATCCTCGCTACTGTGACCACACTCCGAGATTCTCTCCATGATCTTCCCCATAGCGATTGTTGTATCTATCAGCGTTCCACAGTCCCAGATGCCAATGTCACTGCCGATGAACCTTCTTCAGGTGCAACATAATACAACACACCACATTTGAGGCTTGAGGCCAGCTCACACAGTGCCCAGAATAGGGACGAACACCTCACTCCAAACTCACGAACCATCCGCTCACTGTATACCTAGCACAGCAGGCCAAACCAATGTCAACAAGCTTGTAATAGAAGCAGCAATAGATTCTGAAAATCAAGGATACCGATTGCTTATTTCCAACCGCAGAACCCAGTCGCGCTGTCTCGGGGTGGTTTTCCTGATTCCGCTACAACAAAACAAAGCGAAGACACCACTCATTAGGAAGAATCATCAGCGTAAAGAAACGCAATTCATTGGCAGATCGCCAACTTAGCTGGTATGAATCATCAGAGAGAGCAGACAACCACATAAGCAAGTTGGCGAAGCACAGATCTCCTTGCATGTATTCCTTCTTACGATCTCAGGCTCAATTGATGTCCTTCCACTTGCACTTTGTCTGTTTGCTTGCTTCTTGCCTTGCTTCATTTCCATTGCACCGGCAATCCTCCTACATCTCGATCCAACCATCCATCCGCTCGACCTGTCAAGCGGTTACCTGCGGCGTAACCTCAAAATCCCAGCTCATCTGAGCTTGTGTTTCCCTCCCTTTCATTCAAGCAACCAGCATCTACCAGCCAGAAGCCAATACCTGTCAGTCAGCCATCCAGGTTTCATCCAGCCTCGGAAAATCCATCTGCGCCATTTGCTGAGCTGATGCAATCCCGGGATATCTCCCCATCTTCCAGCCATGGCGTTGGCTATCTCGGGATCTGCCTCCCCCATCAAAGACACCTCACCGTCGCACCACTTACGGGGATGGCGTGGAATGAATTATATCTCTGGATGAATTACTTTCGATTTGCAACTCAACATGCACCCATGACGCCTTTACCAGCCAGGGGGAGATAATACCAGATGATATTGCTGATTGATAAGGATTCTGCAAGCAACGTAGCTATTCATGTAAGTGTCGGGACAGAAGCGCAAATACAATGTGTGTTTCCGTCGGTTCCTGACGATGATACACTTTACTGGCTCTAGCCTCGTCTTGCTTTTACCTCCCCTTGCCTCGCATCGCTGCAGGGCGGTCAGGTGAACATGTTTGCCTGTTGGCAATATCCGCTTTTCATTCCCGACAATGCTATTGTCAGGATGAATACAGGAAAGACGGAAGGCAGAATCAGGATAGATACTCATGCTGGATGAAGTGTTCGCATGTCGTTGGATTGGTCCTTGTCACCTACCCGCTTTCTGATCCGTTGAGCTACTCGAGGTCTATAGCATTGGGCTCACTTCCTCGGACGCTTCAAGGGTTCTTGGGACCCAATGCATCTCAACACGCAAGAGAGGCTCCCCTGCGTGATAGCCTGCTATGCAAGCAATTGCAAGTAATCTGCAAGTGTGATGTGCTGTCCTGGCAGGAGCAATCCCTTTGGCTCGACGAGAAATTGGCAGACCGCCCTCGTAGCACGGGGCTGATGATCGAGAGATCGTGGAGCTCTTCCTGACCTAGCTGGCAGATCTGGGACGACACATCAGCTCTCTTGGCGTCTAAAATGCCTCATGTCAAGTCATGCGGAGTCGCATCGACATCTCATGATCTCTCCATACCGATTTTGGCACTAGGTTCGCTTCGCCCCTATTTTTCTCGCTAAGCTAGTATCTCCACCTTGTACCAAGATTTCAAAAAATACTAGCGAGATAGAACACGCAATACAATCGGCGACGTCGGTGATTCACAAGTAACGCCGAGATATCTCGTCTCAAACCAAAGCTATGGAACGGGGAATATCCAGAAAGTCTCAGGGTCCTCACTCCACTGAGTTGAGACTGTGACAGCGTGCAAAAGACGCTACCGGCACTCAATTCGAGCTGGTCCCTGCTGCGTAGTACAATAGATGCTGAACTTTGACTTAGCTCTTGATTCCTTTGATTAGCCCACTGATCGAGCCAAGCCATCAGCGGCCTCTCCGTCCATGAGTATCCACTGCAGAGGCCAAACTGAGAAGAGTAAAGCTCCTGGAAACCACTGCAAGACATCGGTCATAAGTGCGCAAGTGATGCGTGATTCAGAGCATATGCCAGGGACTAGCCATGAGCCGCTGATCATTCTGCAGCTGTTATGCTTTGCCACAAACTATCCTCATCTTAGCTCTCAATACCAAGCAGGGGCTCCAAATTTCAACCTTCAAGCTTCAAGCTTCAAGATCCCCCAGTATTGTGCCACGTTGAAGACCTCGGAGCCTCAGAAGGTCATATTGAACAGACAACCACCTGATCGCAGAAATTTAGGGAACCCCACTCCTTATTCGGAGTCTCCGGCGCCAAAACCAACCTTGTTCCAACATCCTCCGATTTCCTTACTTCTCAGCAAACATTTTGCTAAATTAAGTCAATATAAACCTCATTTATGCAATGAGCCTCACCGCACACACCGAACCAGTATTTCGGGTCAGGCAGCTGAATCAATTCAATTCTTCGTGTCAGCTTCATGGTCCGTAACCCTGCCTGCTGTAGAATCCAATCATTCCAATTTCCAACGCTTAATCTGCAACAGGACAAAGACCTCCCATGCAACCAGGTTTTGCTTCGGGGCTCAGCGCATGGAGACTGAGGTTTGATCGGGGTAGCTGCGCGCCCTCGAAAGCTCTGAGTGACCCGACCTTACCAAGTAGGTAAGGAAGTCAGTATTTCAGACCAGTAAAGATAGGCCAAACCAGCTATACCCATTTCTTGGGACTCGAATCGAGCCCATTCTGTACTCGGTGTTTCAGTGCCCTCAAAAGCGTTGGGATTTACACACCGGATGTGTCCAGTGTATAGTGGATACCGACTTCTGCGCTGTCAAGGAAGATATATGATCCTCGTCCTTGCTTGTCATACCAGTGGTTGGGCAAGCAACATATACATTTTGGGCAAATTAGCTATCTTTCTACTTGCTCTGCCTTACTACTCATCTATCTCTTCCTGTAGTTTCTGTTTTGGGTAGACTAGCCAATACTTCTTTCAGCGCGATACTCTCCATCATCTCAAAGCAAAGATCGTACGTGATTCCAAAGGACTTTTCTTCAGAACTAGACTTTCAAAGGCATCACCCGTCCCTTGCTCATCCTGTCTACACCCCAAAATACCATCTCATACCATGGTCTACGGACCCCTAGCAACACAACTCCTCCTCCACCTAATCTAGTCACATATCCAAGTTGAGACAGAAGTACAAGCTATTCTCTTAGATCAACACTCAGCACGCGCGTCCCTTACACCACCTGAATCCATGCAGCGCATCAGCGGCACTTCGATACACTGCCGGGTCTAGAGCCCACTTCATGCCCGTATCGGTCCTTTTCTTCCCGAGGAATGAGGATCGTGGATCAGCCTCATGCTCCTTCTTGGTTCTTACATCGTGGGTCCTTTCCCTCAATGGACTGGGACTAGCACCTAGACCTCGATGTGGATGTGGATGACCATGAAGCTGAGAATCGGAGGATACTGGAGCGAGAGGCGGAGAAGAGGAATCTAGGACCCTACATGAACAACTGCCTACTAAGAGGATAAAATGGCTAGATCCCTACTCGGCTCCCAATCTCAATATCCCTACTGACACCAACTAACTGCTCCCCATTCACCTCTTCTCCATTATTCTTACCGCCTTAACTCACCATCTTTCCCATGCTCACCCCATACCTTCTGATAAGCTACACCCCCAGGTCCATCCTCACCCTCAAATCTTGAAAGATGAACACCCCAATGTGCGAAAGCAGTAATTCTCTCCAGTCTCACAACATGATAACTCCCAAACAATGGCCTCCCAATATAGAGCCCCAGATCGACTAATGTGAGACATTCCCCTTTTTTGGTCTACCTCGATCCCCTAATTGACCCATCTACCTATCTATCTCTCCAAATCAGCTCATATCGTCATATGTCCACCATCGGAGGATGATCCGATATCTGATCTTCTCTTGTCGTTGTCTCTCTCGCTCGCCTCCTTCACCCTGGGCCTGGCCGATTGCTCCAGGCGGGAGACCTGATATGCGTCGATAGCTTTCTGTAATTCAAGGAAAACACCAACACTGACGCGACCTTTTCGATATAGATCTAGATATGGAGATTCTTGGATAGTTCGAGATCTGATTTTCTTCATCCAGATCTTCAGCTGACCCCCATCTTCGTGTGGGCAGCTAGAGTGACTCGCTCGTGAGGCAGAAGATTACCCTTTCCAAGCGGTTGAGAATAACAATGGTGAAGAGGAGATTCATTTTCGATCTCCTAATCCTCACTTCTGGCATGGTCCCCACTTCCCAATTTGGAATTCAAATCCAGCACCGAGTCATGAGCTCCATTCCTCTCTAGTCTCTAGTCCCCAGCTCTCAATCCCCAAGACCCCGAACCCAAGGCCATGAAATGACCCCAAATTATCAATGTGAAACACAGAACGTGAAGACAAACGTCGATGTACCCGCCCCCTCCACCCCCAGCTCCAACCTCCTCCCACCCCAGTCCCGACATCCAACCCGCACGCCAACAAACATCACACAGCATTATATACAAGTACCTAGGTACCTAGGTACCTATACACAAACATCAGCAGCGGATGGTACGTTGCATCCCTCTTCCCAACACTCTGCCTGTATCCTACCTGCCAGGATCTACCGTCCGTGTTGTGTCCGTGTTCTGTTGGTGTTGTGTTGTACAATGTAACGAGGAAATGGACGGAAGGGCGCTAATTCGGAAGAGCAACCGGGAGGGAAAAGGATGAGAGGGAGGATGGACGGATGGGATTGGAGTAGAGTGAGGTGTAGGGAGTGGAGTATGGTGGTTGAGGAATGAGAAACTATTAGATGATTTGATACTAGAGAGGATGATGGATGATGAGAGTGATGAATAATGAGGACAGTGATGAAGTGACCTGGAATCTCACTTGGGCACGAGGATAGGGAAGCAAGTGTTAAATTTTGGGAGTAACAGGTTTGGGATGAGGTGAGCCTTCCAAATGCTTGCAACTTGGATAATGTGTCGGCATCCTTTGATATCTGGTATTGTGAATGGATGTTGTCTAATCCCCTCTCGAAGCAAGCGATACTAAAAGACAGACAAACAAGTAAACCTTCTGCTTCTGTGTCGAGAATCTGAGCATGTCAAATCCAAGAAGTATGCGTTAGGTTATGAGCCAAGTGCTGAACTCATCACTGATCCCAAACACTCATTCTCTCCACAGCGTCGTCATGCCTCTCTTCCAGCGGATCCAGCACAAATGGCTTCGTCCACTGAATCCCTTCCAGGAAATCCCTGTTGCTCAAAGTCTCCAACACATTCCTCTTTCTCTCATCCTCCTTCCCACCCCCAAGCCACAGATTCCTGTAAACTTCCCAACCATCTTTCTGGACATCGATCCAATTGACAGGTCGGCCAAGAGTCTTGTTCCGGCGCATCCACCATCGCAGCATCTCTTCGGTGATGCTAGATTCTCTCTGAGCCATGACAAAGCGGGCCACGTCACAATAATCGCTCTGTTCGGTCAACTCGATCCCGCTGTGGGTCTTGAGAGTGCCGAGTTTGGTCCATTGCGTGCTCCAGTCTACATATCTTTCTGTTTGGCCGCCCATCCAACGCAGAGCTCGAAGCCAGCAGGTACAACCTGTGAGATCCAGGTATTCCAGTCCGTGTAAGCGATCAGCGAGTCTGCGGAGGACGTCTGCTGCTTCGGAGAAGTCGTTGTCTAGGGAATGGGAATACATGTTCGTGCCTCCGTATTGGATTTCCTGTCCATGGGCGGATTGGATAACTGCTGTTTTAGCATTTGGTGTGAGGGATGGGACTGGCCAGAAAGCCAACGAGAGGTGCGTCAAGGTCGGGACATGTTTTGCGAAAGAAATTAATCTTGGCCAGGAGACAGTCAATGCTGGATGGGACAGAGAAAGATGAGTTAGATTTGGAATTGGTGCCGATAATGATTGGGACAGTGAGGTGTCATCCCAGGACAATTCCTCTGTATCGATATCAGCTGGAGGAGCTGGCCTTTGCACCAGTTCGATAAGTTGCTTGAACGTAACTGAGTTGCCTATAGCTCCAGAAAGGTCCATTCGGAAGAACCCTTCGTTCTTCTCTCCTGGATCGAAATTCGGAACTTCTGCATCTTCGAGTGGTGGGAGTGTAAGGATATTTTTCAGCCTGGAGTGTGTCAGTACTTGCGTTTCTGGTCCACCAACAGTATCCACGTAGTTTTACGTGAACCAGTCTAATGCAATACCTGTGTCCAACAAAGTGAAATTGAGGCGTACCCTTCATTCCCAACTCCTTCATCTGGTCCATACACAGCAATATAGCTCAAAAGCTTCATCCTCATTCCAGTCGGCAAGTCCGCCAGATTATTCTTCTCGTACTCGCGCACATATTCCCAGTGCCTGGCCATCTCCCTCAAGCACGTATCCTGTAAGCTCTGGCCCTTCCGTTCCTCTTCTTGCAAGCCAGGCAAATGCCTGGCGTCCGTTGGCATAATCCTCTCCTGCGACCTTCTACCAGCCAATGGGTCATATCGCGAACCTTCTAACCAGCTCCGAGGAGGCGCGGGGCCAGGTGGTATACGTCTGCCATTTGCATCGAATCTGCGGTTCCTGGCGCGAGGAACGGGAGTTTCGGGTTGCGAGAGCAGGTGGCGGATCTGCGGTGGCAGAGTGGGTGTAGTGACAGTCGCCGCGGCAGGCTTGGAGGAGATGGAGGATCTGCGAAGGGAGGAGATGAGGTCGTTCACCGTAGGTTGAGCATCGTTGTCTGTGTGGCAATGTCAGTAACTCCTGAGGTGGGATGGCGGGGTAATTGTAAGACGTACTATTTGACGAGCTGGAGCTCGTCGCGTTCGAGTTTAGAGATGGGTGGACGGTACTTGGAGGCTTTGAGTATTGAGATGTGAATCGTTTCTTTGGCATGGATGAGGTTGAGGACTCTCGATTGTCGTGCCTGGAAAGAGAAGAGGAGGTGGATATCAACGAGGGATGTTTCATGCGAGATGATGCGGTTCGATGTGGGGAGCTCATCATGGAGTACGCTAACGATCGAGTCAACCCCTAGTATTTGCAGACCCTCTCCGTCAGTCACTTCCTACATGTAAGTATACACAACAGCTTGGACTCGAGAAGGTGGATATGATGGATATCATCACTAGTTGCATTTCTTCACTTCATCAGCTACTTCTCCTTTGACCCTCTTTATGTTCGTTCTTTCCCATATCCAAACCGAGTTCGGACGAAGCGGACGAAGCATGACTTCCGCAAATTGCCAGAGCTCATCACCGTCTATCATTTATTTCGATTCGATTCAGTTTTCCCTCTTTGTCTTTCGTGCATCTTGTTTTCGATTTGGATCATAGCGACCTTCTGTCTCTTCCGGCCTGTTTAGCCACGATATCACTCAACTCGCATGCCTTCTGATTTTGGCAAGAGAATGCCCACAGCTCGATACAACCCTACCGAAAGCTTTATATGGCTGCTGTAAGATGTTGCAGGTGGATGCATCTACGTAGCTGCTCATCAAGTGATATTCGAGTTATAAGAGTGTCGAAAAAGCATGCTAATATAAGCAAATGTGTGTACTTCTCAGCAGAAGCGCCTTTTGTCTCCTCACCCCACAAACGATACTTCGTCTTTTCACCATTGCAACTTCCAGGTTGAAATAGCGGGGTGTTCTTGGAAGAGGGTTTGCTAAGGTTCGAAGGTGAATTGACTGAAGTCTAATTCACAAGGGAAGCTCGAAGGATATACTTCTTTTGTATTCGGCCACTTCTCGCGAGAGAAAAAAACCTTGGATTCGCTCATCGTACTTATCCTTCTATCCGGATGTCTTCTGACAATCATATTGTTGCAATGACGTAATATCATACTTGTCATTCCAAGAGGAGTACAGTTGACTTGTTCAGGAGAACATCCTTCTTACGTTGAATGTTTTAATAAATCTGTCTAGCTGAGTGATTTGAAAATCTGTACTTTCTTTCCGTGGAGACGTATTTGATTCTCGGACACAAGGCAATTCCATGATGAAGATCGAACTTCAAATGCCAAAATCATTCGGTACAACCATCCCGAGATAAATATGCACGCCACGGCTCAAATTCAGGCACAATCAACGTAACAGTGGTGCGCTTCTCTCCGTTCCCTGTTCCTGTGGACGGAGAAATATATAAATCTGCCATCCCCCGCAGTCCCCGCATACCATCACTTGGCATTTCTTGGGTCTGGGCTCGGGCTAAAGCCTACCGGTGACGCCTTCTAATTTAATCTTGTATAAATAGAAAAATGATTTCGTTTGTCTTTTGCGTTTCATCTTTGTCATGGTCCAGTGATTTTGAGGGTCTCTCAAGATGTTGTTTTCGCATCTTTTCACAGCGGCCCTGCTCGGTGCAGCCACAACTTCGGCTAAATATATCGTTCCAGGTGCAAGATGGAGAGATACGAATGGAGATCTTGTCAATGCACATGCTGGTGGCGTGACTGTCGATAAGAATGGTACATTCTGGTGGTTTGGCGAATACAAGATTCAAGGACAGGAAGAAGGTGGTGGTGTTTCCGTGTACAGTTCTGAAGATTTAGCAACGTGGACGCATCATGGGTTTGCTCTCGGTACGCTCCCCTGTCCTGAACCCCCTCTTGAAATAAACTTCAGTGATACGAGATTTCTTTTACTGTAGGATTCTGATTTGTCTTGTAATGCAGAACCAATTGAGGGCCATCCATATATCGACCCAAGCGCCATTATCCAACGCCCAAAAGTCGTCTACAGTGAAGCATTAGAGCAATATCACGTCCGTCTTCCCCATCTCATTCCCCCTCAATCCCTCCAAAACCCAACCTAATCAATCTTAGATGTGGTGGCACGCCGACAACTCCACCTACGGACTCCTTCTCCAAGGTCTCGCCACCTCAAAAACCATTGGCGGCCCATACACTTTCGTGAACGCAACAAGGCCCCTCGGAAACTGGTCACAAGATTTCGGTATTTTCACTGACTACAAAGATGGCCGCTCTTATTCTCTCTATTCAAACGGTGATCGTAAAGAAGGTCGCGATGTGTATTTGACGAGCTTCAATGAAGATATTACGGATTTGGACGAGGTGGTCCATCGTTTTGATAAATATGATTTGGAGGCCCCAACGATCATTCAGACGGAGAAAAGTTATTATGCTCTGATGAGCCATAAAACAGGATATAGACCTAATAGTGAGTTTGCAATAATCCCTGCTTCATATCGTAAGATCCTAACAATTTCAGATGTCGTTGCTTTCCGGGCGGATTCACTTGCCGGTCCTTGGTCCCAACCATTTATTGTCTCGCCATTGAACACTAGAACGTACAATTCTCAATCAGGCTTCTCCTTGAGAATCAAGGGAACAAAAAAGACGACATACTTGTACCTCGGTGATCAGGTAAAATGCCCATTCCTTCGCAGCCGTAAAAGAATGATGTATCCTTGAGCGGCGAGCTGACGATAATTTCTGGTAGTGGGATTCCAACTCTCTCTGGGAAAGCAGATATATCTGGCTCCCCATCGAAATTGATGATCGAAAGAAGACTCTCGATGTCGTGTGGCATGATGTCTATGATTTGAACGTGTATGTTTACGTGTCCTTGTCCATCATTTGCTGTCATACTAATCGCGCCAACACAGCAAAACCGGAGAATACAAAGCCATCGAGGGAAAGACATACTACGGCAAAGACGCCACAGTAGCAGGAAATGCTTTCAAGCAAGAAGCTGTGAGCAAGACCTTTTAGGTTGGCACCTGCAACAAAAGCTGACGTGGAGCAGAACTTCGCAAGTGGTGGCGTGATCGTCACTGGCATCTATGGCAATGACAGCAGCGTCACATTCGAAGGCATCGAAGGAACGGGCAAACCACAATGGGTATCCTTCTACTACCAAAGTAAACATTTCTTCCCCTCATTATCTGTTCACTTTTCCTAACACTCCCTCCAGATACTGACGATATGGGATTCGGAGACCAACGTAAGTCATTTCCTCAGTCACCCCTCCTTCACCTACCCCGCCCGCCAACCACTCCATAAGCTCCCTCCCTCTCCCCAAATGGCCTCTCACTAAAATTCCCTCCTCTAACAGCTGGCGGCACACCCGACCGCATCGGCGGTACCTGGCAACTCCGCCGCATCTCCAGCGTTGTAGTCAACAACGACATTTCCACCGTACACACCCTCTTCCAGCGCGACACCCACAAAGGCATTATCCTATCTACACCTCTGCAACTCACGCTTGAGAAAGGAAGAAAAAATACTATCACAGTGAGAGGGCTGTTCAATGGCTTTGATTATAAGGGTGCGGACTTGGACAGGATTGTGGTGTATCCGCCTGAGAAGTAGATGGCGTGAGGAGGGAAAAGGGTGCCCAGGGGAGAAGGGAAAGATTGAAGATAGGAAGGAGATAGATAAATAGCCACTCTGATGATTATATTGAGCTGAGTGAAGAACTTCAAGAATTATGGAATGTACTTCGAATAGATCAGCGAGGTTTACATTTCTGCATATGAACACCTCCTGAGGTTTGAAGTTTGAGCGAACTTGACCATAAGCGAATGCTGTACTTGAATGTCAACAAAGTTTTGAACCAGATATTGACCGAAAATCTAGGTATCATATCAGATCACAGAAGAACTACCTACGTCTCCTTTGTTAATTTCAACTGCTGCCCATGATCGATATCTTTATGTGCTGAAGTAATATCCCCGTGACACGTGACCAGTGTAGTCGATAGTTAAACGGCTGTTCAACGACGTCGTTTTAAGGCTTTTAAACGAACTAACGTTTCTATACCTAATAACAAACCGCCGTTCGTTTTATAAGTATATAAACTAATAGAACGAGGTCGTTACTAAGAACGAATAGATAAACTTACCTATAAATCTGCCTCTACTATATCTCTAGTTACTTCCTTTACTCCTAGCTCTTTTAAAAGAGTATTCTGTCGAACCTCTGTATCTTTAGCTTCAATTTCCTACTTAATTAGACCGGTCTACGACTTTAAATACTTCAGATATTCAATTATATATATACCTATCTTATTCTGATGATCCGAAAGAGTGATTTTTACTGCAGAAAACGCGCGTTCTAGATCGCTAGATATTACTAGAAGTAAGAGTATATTAAGAACTATTCTAAAGAGGTTTAGAAAGGCCTTTTATTACGTAGGCTTAAGCCACTACTTAATAGCGTTATTATAGCTATAAATATACTCTGTCTTATAATATTAGTTATATTTATCTGTAATAAGAATCGGCGTATTAATCTAATATAGCTAGAGCTTAAACTCGTTAGTAAAAGAGGTATAAAGTGTTAGAGAAGTCGGAATAGTTGATTTTAGCTTATATTAATTATCCTAGAGCTTCTAAACAGCTGCCTTTACTTTCTCTTACTAAGAGAGCCTCCAGAACTTCTTGATATATAACTATTTATATACAGGATTTAATAAGAGAGCTATAGCGTAAGCTAGAGATTCGTTACTTTTACTGTAATATTTATCTATTTTCTACTATCCTAAATTAACTATCACAGATATCTTAACGTTATCTTAATACCTCTCTTTAACTTTCTTAAAGTAAGTAAGTATAAAATCTATTAAAAGAAGAACTTAGTCGAGAGAAGCTCCGTAACCTTTAAGAGACTTAGTAGATAATTTCAGGACTCCTAAAAAGCTCTTAATCTCACTTAAAATCCTCTAATCTTTAGTATCCAGGTGATCCGGTTCGATTTCCACGTCTCTATAAGTTATAAAATATTCCTTAATTACCTCCTATAATAACAGAGTAACCTTAAGTATTAAAAACTAAGAGTTCTATCGCGTAGAGTTATCTCTATAGAGATAATAATTCCTAGATAAGGTAAGGAACCTTTAGAGCCGTAAGGTACTACGTTATATAAAAACAACGAAATTATAAAGCTTCCTAAGAGGTCCCTTTTAATATTATCCCCTTATCTCTTCTATTATTTATTATAGCTATTAGTTTATTATTATTTTATTCTCTGTAGATTTAATTAATTCGTTATTAGTAATAAAAAGGAAAGCTTTTATAGTGAGATTAATAATATAGCTAGTATAGTGTAATTAGTAAGTAGCAGGGTTGTATTGAATACTAAAGGACTTACGAAGATCTTACTTAAATTATTAGTAAAAGCTATAAGGAAAGCAGTAGACTTACTAAGAGTAAGAAACCTTATTATTACGTTATTATCTGCCGCGTTATCTATTATAAAATACCCTAATTTCCCTTGAACCTCCTAATCCTTTATTACCTCTATTACTATAGAGGCTAGATTCTCTCCTATTTTATTCCTAGAGACCTCTCTTATTCCTTCTATAGTTCTCTTTACTATTCTGTTAGCTCTAATATAATAGAAGATAATCGTAAGTACAGGGAAGTTATTTATTAAAGTCTATATATCATAAGAGATATATATCTTTAAAAGGGCGTTTTTAATATTATCTTTAACCCTACTCTTATAAGCTTTAAATTATCGTTCTACCTATATACTAATTATAGAGTAAGAGCGTAGTAACTAACACGTAATATCAGAGTTAAGGTATTTAAGGAGTTCGCGGAATTCAAGTCTTTCGACTAGCTGTAAAAGTTAAGAGTATACTAAGATAAATCTACAGAAAGTTAATATTAAAAATAAGTAAGAATACTTATATTACCTAGTATAAAGAAGCTCCAGCTTATCTAAGTTAATAGAGTTACTATTACTTACTCCTATATTCCGACACTTAAATCAAGACTCGTCTACTATTTCAACTTAACGTTTAAAACTAATAGAGAGAGGTTATTAACACATAGAACTACTATAAGTAATAGTAGTTCCCCGGGGATTACCTTTCTTTAATCTATAGGTAGCTAAATACTCCTCCGCAGACTGTGTACTACTATTTATATAGTAAACCTTTAAATAGTAGCTATAGCGCTATATCTCTTTACTAGTAGCCTTATCGTAGTATCTCTTATTAATATTCTTACTTAGTATATACTAAAATATCTATACCTAACGTTTGTTTTTATATACTAAAGGCTCTAAAGGGCTAGGAGGCTCTAAAAGTACTCTATAAGTTATTAGGTCTAAATTAATAGGAATTAGAGGTATAATATTATCTTTTATAAGTAGCGAAGCGAAATTAAGATATACTTAACGATTTCCACGTCTCCTAGGAGTTAAAGAGCCTCTAGAGTAGTTATTAGTATTATTTATAAGTTAATGTTAAGTTAAGGAAGGTATTTTAATAGTTTTAAAGATAAGGTTTCCTTATAAAAATCACGTTAAGAGCAACTTAACTTTAACCCCTTTTTTCTTAATAACTACTTAGTAGAAAATAACAAATAATATATTAAATAAAAGATCTATACTATAGCTTGAATTTAATATTATTTTTATATATTTATACTAAAGATTAGTAGAGTTTAATACTTAGATATCTAACTTTCTCCTAAAGGTTATTAGAAGAGGTAGTATAATCTACTTACATAAGGCTCAGCGGGAACTATACTAAAACAGGGTTAAACGACCCCGTTCCGTTAGAGATCTAACTAACTAACGGCCGTTCTAGGTCACTAAAACGAACGCTAGTCTGTTTAAGGTTAGCGTAAACGAACAGCCGTCCGTTCCCGTTTTACCAAGAACGAGAAAACTATCGACCACGCTGCACGTGACCCTAACGGCGTTGTACTAAATATGTTATATAAAAAGGTGCATTCTATAATCAGGGTTCTAGATTCTAGAGACTATCAATCACTGTTCAATCGTATGATATGTGCACCAGAAAGTCTTAGTAAGCAATCAATGAGCTCGTATTAATGTTGCAGTTATAATGGGAGCCATTTTCATGCTCCTAACGCCTTGTGTGGCGAGCTTTAAATCTGTGCGGTGCCAGAAATAAAACAATCTTCCTCTCCCGTGGACCGATATACCGTTTCGTTCAGGAATGGGACCAAATATCTGATGCTGTGGATATTAGCGTCTGGGAGCGCCAGCGAACATTGCTGAGTGTGACTTACCACGTTGATCTGAGCCTGACCTTTCCTTCACCCTTCAGTGCACTTCTCTTTTTATTATCGAAGGATTTTTTAGTAGAACTCTAATCTTTGCTTCAACTTGGCGTTTTACTTTGGCTCCAACTGTATGACATCGGTAGCAATTTCGAGGTTCTCTACCCGATCCACGTCTCTCAGGAGAAGACCTCTAAAAACGCAGTAATGGTCACCACACTAAGTGCTTGACAAGGATACACATCAAGATCGTATATTGTCTCTGAATTCGACCCACCACTTGATTGATCATGTCCTCGGCATGAGAGGTATTCGAATGTGGCTCCTTTTCACGTCGAATAACTTCCCGCAAGGCAAGCAAGCTAGCTGACTTGAATCGTGGTGGTCGTCTTAGATTTGTTTTATCCCAACAAGTTCTATCATTGTGGTAAATAATAGTATGGCTCAGCTTTATTCCAAAGATCCGGATTTCTAGCTTCGTGGTCCTTGCTCAAAGGATCATTGGTGGAAGCGAAGCGGCATCGAAAACCACAAAGTGCACAAGCTGGTTTAACATCGGGACTGTACTCATTCCCACAAGAACACTTATATCGGAAGATCTGAGATATGTAAGTAAGCTTATCCGTATAGAGCGTTTAACTATCTGAACTCACTCTCACAAGTCCTCCTCCCTTAGACTTGACAAGGTCCACCACGTGTGAATTTTTATGGTCGAGTACCGCCAGCCTCTCTTTAAAGCAGGTAGAACAGTAGTGACCGCTTTTACTTTTGCAGTTGTGGAATTTGTCGACAAGGAACTCTGTGCATTTGCAGGTTTTTTCGGCATCGAGTGGCGTCGCTGTACAGTATTTTTGACCACACCTTGGCCTGATGCGTCTCACTGCAAGAGAGTTCTCCAGCAGTCTTTCAGCAGGCCGAGTGCTGGCCGCGCTCTTACAATGCTTGACGATGCAATGTCGGCATTCCTGTTACGCTAGTCAGTGCCCATTCTAGTACCGATTCGAGATCCATCGGAACGTATTTCATTTCACTTACCTCACAAAGCTGCTTGTCGCACCAGTCACAGCGTTTGTCCTCATCAAAATTGTGGAGAATCTTGGTCGTAGCGCAGATCTGGAGAGTAATTCGAGTGCAAGTATCGTGAGAATCTCTAGATAAATCGATCTTAACCGAATTTAAGATGTCTATGAGCCGGATAAAGGTAACCCGTTTTGCGAGGGCGATAAATCGTGGTACTACTTCGTCTTGTATGAAGAATGGCGCACCAGAAGGTACATCTGTTGCGTCGAATAGCGGTCCTGGGATGTCCGTGACATGATCACTAGAAGTTGAACTCCCAGTAGCAGGATTATCATATGTGTCGTCCTCACTGTCGCTGATTGAAGGGTGACTGGCCTCACGCTCTCTGCTGTTGTCGGCTTGCGATGTTTCCTGTCCGTCAAGAATCTCCCCGAGAACTATGGACGTCTCCCTGGCTCTAGCTTCCATCTCGATTTTAGGCTGGTAGAAGTCGCAGAGAATTGTTAGGCGGTAGAGCATACTCTGTGAAACTTGTCTCGTCTGTCCTTGAGACATGTTGCTGCGAGTGATATATCCAAGTTTGAATTTTGAAGTGGAGTGCTTTTGGAAATATAGATCGCAGTGAAAGGTATTCCCATTAATCGGGAGTCAAATTAGCAGGAAAAAATTATTATTTTTCAGACTGGTCCAGTAGTGTACGCTATTAAGCTAAACCTTCCCTCTAAATCGGAAGTTAGAGCTCTACATGTTTGGTACGCTAGTCGCGGGCCAGGACACAAGCGAGAAAAAGTGTCATGATCCGGTAATTTTTCCAATTGAAGGAATGTCCGCTCAGAGATAGACCTGAGGTAACACCGTTACGTCTTATAAATCGTCACAGTTTACACTGCCCTTTAGATGTTCTGAAATTGTCCTATTAATGGCCAGCTGAGCTCGTAGAGAGGCTGCAACTGCCACGTATTGAACAAGAGCTTCAGATGTTGCAAAGAGTATCCAAAAGCAACGAGAACCTCTGAGGGGAAATCCTAATGGACTTGTTGGAGGCTAATAGCATGCTCATAGCCCTCACAAGCTGCCGAGCCATATGTCCATGGGGCTTCTCTGGACAAACTTGGACCGAGGCTATCATCAAGCTCGAAATAGGCATTACCTCTTCGAAAAAGATGTTTCAAGACGAAATGATTCCGACATGGAAGACAGTAAAGCTTGAAGGTTTGGATTAAAAAGTTTCTTGCGCAGGTTAGGATCGCACAAACAATTGGGGCATGGCAGCATCCTGCCTGATTGGCGGCCAGTAGCGAGCAAAACAACGCTAGAGTTCTTGACGATAAGAAAACATGACTTCGTCAGGGACACACTTTTGGCGACAGATACGGCAATAGCTTGGAAATTTATACCGTGAAACGTGACAGGGACGATATTCAAGCTCTTCTGCTGATATAATTTTAGGAAAGCGTGCTTTTGCGGACAGCAAAAAGCCGTTGTCGGCACGGAAGAAATTCAGAGAATGCTCCTGGCAGGTTCAGCTTCTAAGCGGTGGCAGGGCTCTCTTCCTACAAACAAGAGATTGGAAGTTTGAGGTCATACAGTTTCCGCTAGTATGTACATACATATACCCACTTAAAAGCCCTCAAACCCGCCATATAGCATCCGACATGGTGATCACTTGCTTCATCTCCTTGAAATCATGGACCCTCACAATATCCGCGCCGCCCTGAATAGCAGCAGCAACAGTAACCGCTGTACCGAAACTCCTCTCATTTGGCTTCTCAACACCCGTGATCTTCCCAATAAAGCTCTTGCGGCTAGACCCCACGAGCCATGGCAGTCCTCTCAGACCAGGCCAGTCTCTCAACTCGTCAAATCGCCGCAGGATCTCGAGATTCTGCTCTGCGGTCTTCGCAAAGCCAATTCCGGGATCGAGAATGATGCGCCACCGCCGAATACCTGCTGCTTCGGCAGCTGCGACACGCTCGAGAAGCTCTTCGGCTATAGTTGGAATGAGACCCTGTGGATAATCGCACAGGCCGGACATGGTCTGCGGCGTTCCACGCATGTGCATCAAAATGACCGTCACACCAAGTCGAGCCATCGTAGGCAGCATATCAGGATCCATAGCTCCAGCAGATACATCATTGATGATAGTCGCACCGGCGATGGCTGCAGCTTCAGCAACAGATGCACGGTATGTGTCTACACTAATGGTCATGTTCCCATAGGCATCTGTGATTTCCTCAATGGTGTCAACAACACGTTTGGTTTCCTCTTCAACGGAGACTTCCTTGACACCAGGGGCTGTGCTTTGCCCTCCGACATCCCATATTGCATCCCAAGTGTGTTCGCTCACAGCGTGTGTCGCCAGTGCTTCGCCCCATTTACGGTGATGCTGTTCGATGGCGAACATGAAGTCTGACAGGCCACTCGTGGAAAGGGGGCCATCAGTAATAGCGTCCCGCTGCTTCCCTTCTCTCTTTACCTCTACAGAAGTCTCCCCTTTCTCCCCAGGTGCATCATTTTTATCGCTCTTTTCAGAAGCTGCGGATTGGGCCAAGAGAGATGCTTCTGAGTCTTGTCCTTGTTGAGCTTTTTGCTGTGCTTCGGACTCATCATATTCATCCGCACCTTTTAAAAGTCTTCCTCCGTCTGAAAATGAATCTGGGGTCGCGTTCAGAATAGCCATCATAGATGTATTGCGTCGAGGGTCGAGTGCACGAAGTGGCTTCATGTACTCGGAGAGCGGTGTCACTGTACTCATAGGCGCTTCCGATTGTGGCAGCTCATTCAAGTAATCTTGCGTGACCTTCCAAGGGTTCATTGAGTCCAGGGGCTTGCCTGGTATTAATCTGGAAATGTCAGCTGAGCTTCGAGATGCTTGACTAGGACGACCTACTCTGCTAATGGTCGGAGAACGAATTCTCGTTCAAACATCAACATATGTGGGATCTTGAGCCTTGGATGGTCGACGATTAAATCGCCATGTAGCAGGATATCAAGATCTATATTTCTTGGTCCCTTATCCACAACCTTCACTCTGCCGGACTCCTTTTCGATCGATTGAAGAACATCAAGAAGAGCTAGAGGCTCCATATCGGTTTCTACCTGATGAATATTAGAGATGTTCCACGTTTTTGATACAAATCAGATCCAAGGACTGGTTATCCTCTTCACTTGAGACCATCACGTGCATTAGCACAACTCACCTCAGCGACGCCATTCAAGAATCGATCCTGGTCCTTGACATACATCGGTTCCGTCTCCCATAGACAACTAGTTCTCTTTATGTGGATTCCTCGTTCCTCCATCAGGTTGCAAGCCTTCTCGATCCATTCTACTCGGTTTCCAAGATTGCTGCCAAGAGCAATATATGACAAGCGCTTCTGGCCAGCTTTTGGTGTTTTGGAGATCTTCGAAATATCAGAGACATCCTTGCTTGTGGTCCAAGGGGAATTGAGGCTGTGTGGTGTCCATGTTGATGCCTTTACTGGCTCGTCGGTCGAGCTTCGATGTCGTCGAACAATGGATGGAAGGGAGGTTCGGGACACAAAAGGAGCAAGTTTTGGAACGACTCCATATCTGGCTGAGAGGGCTCTTCCCCCAATCTTTCCTCCCACTCGAAACGCCCTCATTGATATCTCACGGAGCTTTTCTCGCCATCACTGATTAGACATCGAAGGGCTGATGTCTCAGCCGAAGGCTCCACCAGGGAATCTTGATTTTCACATGCAATCACGTGGAAATTGATGTCAGAAACCGCAGAAGCCTCATGCTATCAGGAATATTGAGAATTTCTGGGCTTCACATCCACATAATGCAAACAATACAACACTCAACAACAACAGGAAGATTTCTATCCCTCTGTCCAACTTGACGAGTACATATTGTTCCATTGGGGAAAAGTCGGAACTGTCCTGGTGGTCGAACGGACTGCTTATGTAAACAGTCCCGCATCACCTGATCCAACTCCGGCTTAGAGCGAGCCGAGGCATTTCCCCAGGTTTGGCTCTTAGTGTCCTTTCTGGATCCGAGGGGCCATTCTCCAGCTTTCTCCTCCATAAAATCTTCCATCCCTATCACACATATCCTTATATCCTACAATCCATCGAAATGGCCTCCAAGCGTATGTCTCGAGAAACCAAAACAATCACATGCAAAAACCATCAATACACCGCAAGCTGACATCAATATCGCAGAACAACTCCGCACAACGGTCACTGACCTCCTCAAGATCCCTCATCCGGTCCTCCTTGCTGGAATGAACGTCGCCGCCGGTCCTAAACTCGCAGCTGCAGTCACAAATGCGGGAGGATTGGGAGTCATCGGAGGAGTCGGATACACTCCAGATATGCTGCGCGAGCAGATCGCAGAGCTCAAGTCCTATCTTAACGATAAGAACGCTCCATTTGGTGTTGATTTGCTCCTCCCACAAGTCGGTGGCTCTGCCCGCAAAACAAAGTAAGCGCAAAGTGGTGGATTAGTTGCCCTTGGCGTACACCGAGGCAATCCATGATTAATTATCAGAGAACAAAGCTAATTCGCACTCCCCGCAAACAGCTACGATTATACCAAAGGCAAGCTCAATGAATTAGTAGACATCATCATCGACAGCGGTGCCAAACTCTTCGTTTCCGCCGTCGGAGTTCCTCCCCAACATGTTGTTGACCGACTCCACAAAGCCGGCATCTTGTACATGAACATGATTGGACACCCCAAGCACGTGAAGAAGTGCCTCGATCTCGGGGTCGACATTATCTGCGCACAGGGAGGAGAGGGAGGTGGACACACCGGTGACGTTCCCACAACCGTTTTGATCCCAGCAGTTGTCGAGCTTGTAAAGGGCAAGAAGAGCCCAATGACCGGACAACCTGTACAAGTTGTTGCCGCTGGCGGTATCTATAACGGCCAGACTGTTGCCGCTGCTCTTATGCTCGGCGCCAGCGCCGTTTGGGTCGGTACTCGTTTCATCTTGACTGATGAGGCTGGTGCTCCCAAGGCTCACCAAGAAGCTGTCCGGACAGCTGGCCACGACGACAATGTCCGCACAATTATCTTCACCGGAAGACCATTGCGGGTACGGAACAACGCTTATATCTCGAACTGGGAGAACAACCGCGCGGCGGAAATCAAGGAGCTCACAAGCAAGGGTGTCATTCCCGTTGAGCATGATTTCGAGACATTGGGCGATGATATTGATGACGAGGTACGTTTATCCACACTTCCAATCCTTCTCAACACATACTGATGCAATATAGACTATGGATAACGCTCGCCCCTTCCTGATGGGCAAGGCCGCCGCTGTTGTAAACGAGAAGAAGAGCGCAAAGGCCGTTGTTGATGAGTTAGTAAGTGATGCCGTGGCATGGATCCACAAGGGCGAGAAGATGACTGCGAAGTTGTAGATGAATCATAAGACGAAGATGAAGAGGAGGAACTTGAGGTTAAGCACCGCCAAAGACGGCATTTTTGGACAGTGTATGAATTAGAACCATTGCATGCAACCGAACATTTACAAATCCACTTCCCTCGCTCTCTCTCTCGTGTTGACACCCACTTGCATCCATAAAAAGCACATCGTTAGTATGTTGACATAGTGAAGCACATCAATATATCATTCGCAGAAACATCAAGAGATTTCATAATCACTTGAAGGTTATCCAGGAATCTTACGCAGATATGAGATTTGGACTTGTTTTATTTCATTTGAAAGATGGGATAAGCGAGGGAAAAGCTACGATGCCTAAGAAAAAAGACTCTGCCGAGCTACTTACTCAGGTCTTGATCTCCCTTCGTGGCGACATTTTCTTCTTCTTCTGTCTGGTTTTTAGATTCCGCAGCAGTGGCTTTCATGGCTTTCTTCTGCGCAGTGGCCGCAGCCTTTTTGGCCTGTGTCTTCTGTTTCGGAGTCATTTTCTTCCGCGTTCCTATTTCGTCCAGAGTGAACCTATCTGCGCCGGTCTTCTTAATTTTCTTGCCTTTGACAGAAGAGCTTGCAACTTTGCCCTCTCCTCGATTCTCCGTCTCTCCGTCGAAGATATTAGAGGTTAGAGACATGGACTGTTTGTTAGTTGTCTGCCCTTGTATTCCTGCCTTATGATTTGGTTGTGTTCTTATTTCATCTCGGTCAAATCTCTCTGGGATGGCCTTCTTTTTGTTCTTGTCTCTGGCAGAGAAGGTCTTATCTTTGTCTTTGCCGTTCGCTTTGGATCTGCTGTGACCTTCGCCGTCGGACGCAAGTAAATCGAATAGTTTGGATGGCATGGTGTATGCGTTAAAGTTCGTCAGTCCAAATTTTTGGTGAGGTGAGAATTGTGGTGGAAAAAAACAACGTCAAGTAGAGCTGTGAGGAAATGGCATAAGCTACTAGTCTTTGCTTTTTATATTTCTCTTCCGTTTGCTGTTCGTTGTGTAAGTCAACAGACAACAGTATTGCCCATTAGAAACAGCCTTTGTGCTTGAATATCCGACGTGTCAAACAAAGAGTAGCTCTTCAGCTTGGATTCATCGTGACCAATCCTTACCCACAAAGAAACCATTCGCTCGTCTTCCCAGCACGGTTTCTCGAATAATGACTTGTATGGATTCTATGTCTGAGAAATTTAAGGAGCTTTATCGGACTATTTACTTTGTGTTTCTGACAAAGCTCTAGAGATTTGAGCTGCGTGACGGATACTGGCGCTTTCCAACTTAAGAACTGTCAGTAAAGACATCTATGGATATCTACTAAAAGTCCGTAGCAGCCTGTGGAAACTTTTCCTCCAAAAGGTCATCTGCGGTGTGCCGGTAAACGTACTTCTTGGCTCTGCATAAGCTGCAAGGTTGCAGGTCAAGAACGGCCACCAGAACCAATAAGAAGCTTTATTTTGTGCAACAGCGACGCTCCCATAAATCTCCTGCACATCTTACACGATGTTATTCTTACAACCTTTCATCCCACTTTTGAAACTAGCCCAGCAGTCCAGCTGGCAGTTCATTCCTTCAACAAGATCCCGGAGATAGCTGACAACTATACAACATGGACGTAGGAGATTATAATAGCGAGGACGTAACAGCTCAATCTCAGATCATTCCCGATAATATTCTTCCAAGGTATGTTGAACAAATTCAGGACGATGTCTCTGCCTATCAGTCTATCTATGGCACCCTAAACTCGGATGTTGGGGAGTTTCGTCTCCTGGTGCTCTTCCCATCCACGAATGATGCATCTCCACTTGAATGTCAACTACGAACAGCCACTTTCAGCGACCCTGAAGCTTACGACGCTCTTTCCTACGTATGGGGCGAGGCAAAATTTACCGCCTCAATACAACTGAACAGCGTTCCATTTCTTATCACACCACGGCTTGAAGAAGCACTGCAATACCTAGGATATTGCGACAAACCACGAGTATTGTGGGTTGATGCACTGTGCATCAATCAAAGAAACAGCAATGAGCTACGATACCAGGTGGGACTCATGCGTCAAATATATACGAATTGCAAGTCAGGAGTTGTTTGGTTGGGCCCGGACGAAGGTGGTGTCTTGGGCAGAGCTATGACGCTTTTGACGAAGATGGAGGGCTGTGACATAGAAAGTCTTGGATATCAAGGGAATATCCAGAAATCTGGACGCCGGAACTCATTACATAAACCCGAGGTGCTCTATAAATTGTCCCAAGAATGACTGGGACGCACTGAGACAGCTTTTGGTTAAGAACACTGTTTGGAAGAGAGTGTGGATCATGCAAGAAATCTCACTAGCTCCGAAGGTCCTTCTGGTTTCTGGGAGACGGATCCTCGCTTGGACCATTGTTGAATCACTTTTGAAAATGGGTAGGCATTACACGGATGCGTATCATTTAACTTTCACTCACGGCACGCCAAACTCCATAACTTCATCCTTCTCGACAGCTCAGATCATCAAAACTCAACGTCAGCTTTGTCTTCAGAATGCTGATAAGACTGGGTCTAGTTTGGTCGATGTCCTATCGAGGTTCCGAAAGACGCTCGCAACTGATCCTCGCGACAAGGTCTTTGGATTGTTGGGTTTGACCACTGATGATTTGGGAATCATTGCAGATTATTCCATTGGCGTCCAGGCAGTCTTTGCAGACGTTGCCGCCAAGCTCATCAACCATGATCAGAATCTCGATCTCATTTGCCAAAGCCAGTGGCATAACTTTGGCAGTTCAGAGCGTCGGCAGGATCTTCCCAGTTGGATACCAGACTTCACGTGGCGTGGGAAAGGCGAATTCCTTTTTGCACAGAGAGGGATTTTTCGTGCTGGTCGAGCAAACTGCACTGTCCCCATTGAGGTTGATGCGTCTGGAAACCTTTCACTGAACGGATATCTCATCTCGTCCATATCCGTTGACAACGATACTTTCGAGGTATTGAATCGCGAGTACCGCGGAATATGGGTAGGCCCGGCAGAGTACGAGACCATGATGGATTTGTGGGCGAAGGCAGGTATCGCTGACAATGAGTATTCTCCCACTGGAGAAAATTCTTTCCAAGCATTTTGGCGAACAATTGCTGCAGACTGCCAGGGCCCTTCCGCAACACAACGTATGGCTCGATTAAGCGATGAAGACATCGCGAGTGATCAAGCTGCACTTCAAGCAATTCGAGAACGGGCAGAGCAACCTCGAAATCCATCACTCGAGGATGATATTCTGTCTTACATCGATATATCAGATCTGCGATGCTATCGAATGACATCTACAATGCTGATGGATTGGCGGTTTTGTATCACGGACTCGAAGCATTTCTCCATGATACCTATCAGCTCAGAGCCAGGAGATGTACTAGTTGTCTTGGATGGAGCCAAAGTCCCTATTGTACTCCGACCTCTTCCGGATGAGGTCACCCTGGAGAAGTTCCAAGTAGTTGGCGGGGCTTATGTTCATGGCTTGATGGACGGAGAAGCAAACGCTGGGAGGTGGAAAGAGCGAGAATTTTGTATTTGCTAATAGCCGAGGAGAATAAGTCGATGCTGCTTGGTCGGTTGTTTAATTCTCATTGTGACCTTTCAATCATCTCACTTGGCTTTACCATGACCCTGACTACGCCACTCCTCGGTGTTCCTTTTTTTTTTTTTTGACCTCCGACCCAGTTATTTTGAATACTTAGTCCTGTTCTCATCTTGAGAGTCATCTGAATTGGCAAATATCTAGTTTGCTCCCCGCATTATCCTTCTCTACCACTGCGATCATCCTCCCTCAATTTTGGGTTCGCTCTCTCAGCTTCAACACCGGTCGTCAGCATACTTCTATTCTTGTCTGTCTCCGAGATTTGCTTGTCCTGAGTTCTTGACGAGTTTTCGGCAAAGATGCCGAGAAGTCGAATTCCAATGTCCAGAAATGCCAGTGGAAGCTGGTCAGGGAAAAGTGAGTATTTACGTCCAAAAGCGACATGCGGTAGCTTCACCAGAGTCTTATCAGGTCACTGAAATTGCCTCAGGCGATGATGATGCATCATCTTTTCGTCCTGCTCCCTTGTTTGTACATCAATTTGTATTGATCTTTGCTTTGTATTACCTACTACCCTTTTAATAGATTCATTCCCAAGGATCTAGAATAAGCTTGACACCGCTGACTCCCTTCTCTAACAGATCCAGAGCAGTATTTATATTCCTCAAACCACCATCCACCCTCTGACTCGGAAGCGGAATGAGCGTTCCACTCGCAACACCTTTCGCGAGGAATTCATGAAAAGCCCATTCCACCAGCCCCGCATTCTCCTCATCATACAGTGCGGCAGGCCAGGACTGGAAAACTCGAGTCACACCGCTAGGAAGGGTCTCTGGACCAATGGCGGGGACTGTGGCGTACAGTTTTCCTCCACCCTGTGCTGCTAATACAGGTCCCGAAACAGCTGTTGCTTGCGGAGTGGCGATACTGTCAACCACCAAGTCATAAGGACCTTCAGCGACAAGGGCTTTGATGACGTCGTCTTTGGGCTGGCTATGATCAACAACTTTGGCAGCTCCAAGCCTCGAAACAAAGGCGTTGTTTTTCGGAGAGGAAGTGGTGACGACAGTGTAGCCAGCTTGAGCAACATATTGAACAGCAAGGGATCCAATGCTGGACGATCCACCATAAATCAAAACTTTCTTGCTTTTTACAGCTGCTGAACCGTTCGTGTGGGGTCTTTGAATTCCAGCACGACCGGTCAATAGGCCAGCGACAGTAGGTAAGGTACCTGTTAGGCTCGCTGCGATTTCGACATTCACATTCGGCGCAACTTTGCTCGTGAATCTCTCACCAGCAACTACATATTGCTGAAGACTCCCGTACTGGTTCCCAACGAACTTGAATCCTTTCCAAGCTGCTACCTTGTCACCAACTTTGAAGAGGGTAACTTCAGATCCCACAGAGTGAACCGTTCCACCAAATGCTGTACCAATAACTGCTGGGTATTGAAGCGGAAATATGGCATGTTTTGCTACTCTGTACTCCACAGGGTTTAGTGCTATCACTTCGTTTTTGATGACAAGCTCATGAGGCCCTGGAGTATGAATTTCGACATCTTTGACGACCAGCGGTGTCTTGGCCGCGGGAATAACAGCGGCGAGGTTCGACATAGCGTTGAGTGATGGTGGAACTGGCAATGAAAGAGAGGTCGTAAGTGTTTATCCAATAAATGGTGGAGATTTAAGCCCAGAAATACCAGATCTCAACAAGACGATGTCCTGAAATTAAACTTCGTTTAATAAGCTTTACGGAGACCCCCTGTCATGCTCTGCTGTAGGAAAATAAGGATTTTAGCACGGCATTTGACGTGATTGCCAATGTTGAGGAATTTGTAAGCAGACTCAACCGAATATTTGATCACAATAAGCTTATTGGTTGGTACAAACATTCTCCATTGGGGACATCATGTCCTCTCACGTTCAATTTATCATAATCGCGAGGCCGAGACCGACAATCCCGAATGCCGACAAAGGTTTATTGTCGTCAATTTGGCGCGGCAGTGCATTGAAGAGCCAAGTGGGGGCCCGTGCAGCAGCCACGATCCATAGTCTCGCTTAATCGTTATTGACCCTACGGGGTTTTTCATGCAGATAACGTCTGTAAAGTGTCTGCATTTTATCTGTATTCTTAGTAGTAGTAGAATACAGACAAAATTCAGACAATATCTGCTACAAGTGTGTCTAAAAAGTGCAGACAATTTAGAGTTTATTAAGGGTATAAGAGTTTAGGTAACTCGGACTTCTCATGTTTCAATTCAAAGTTAAACATAGACCTTCTACCTACTTTTAGAACACTCGAAAAAGAGAGCTACCTACCGTTAGAAGGGAGGGAGACCTACCTTTAGAGGGGAGGGAGACTTACCTTTGGAGGGAGGGAGGGAGACTTACCTTAGGAGGGAGGGAGGGAGAGGGGGAGGGAGGGAGATCTACCTTAGGAGGGAGGGAGGGAGGGAGACGTACCTTAGGAGGGAGGGAGACCTACCTTTAAAGGAGAGAGTAGGAAAAGGGAAGGGAAGGAAAGGGGGGGCGGGAAATAGGAGAGGGGATGTTTAACTTTATTAGTCAGAAAACTCTTAAAATACAGATAATAGCTGTATTTTCCTTAAATTACAAGTAATATCTGTATTTTCACTCTAAATCCTTAAAAATCGATTAGAATCAGAGAATCTAACTAAAGAAAATACAGATAATTAACTAAAATACAGATAGAAAATCCGTCTAAAATGCCTGTTTACAGACAGTGTCTGTAAGAAGTGCAGATAGTGTCTGTAAAAAAACCCCCGTAGGGGAGATTCAGGAGCACCAGACTTCTTACGCTTGGTTGAAATGAATAATTAATGGTGCAGTTGAGAGCGTATCGGGGGAAGGATTCAAGATTCTGAGACTATATGTCTGAACATAATCAATGTTACAGCCTTACTTATCCGTTGCACACGTTTTGGAGCCTTTGTGACCCTTCGCAAGTTTAGGAACCTGCAGGTACGAGGCGTAGATCGTTAAAATACCATATTTACCTTCAGTCAACTCTGTTGAAACTGATGAATAATATGACTAAGCTTCTGATATTCAATGATCAATGGCTTGAAAATGTGTATCCTTTCCAAGTCCAGAAAGTCCCTCTTGCATCTCATGCCTCGATGTATCAATTTATATTCCCAAATCCATTTCCGAAGTGCACACCATTTTACCTCGCAATAATCTCCCAGCTCAGGACAACTTCCAAGCTCTAAACTTTCTCACCCTTAACGACCTTCCCCACCACCTCTTCAATATTCTCTCCACCGACGCCAAGCAGCTTATTCCCCTCCTCCGCCTTCACCAACCTCGCACCCTCCCTCCCACAAACTATCCATGCCCTAACCCAAATATAAAGAGCCTCGATAAACTCACCCTTCTCAAGATGCGCCCCCGCAATGCCCAACTGGTCATCCATACTCGTCTTCTCAATCGTCCATTTCTTTCCCGTGACTTTCTCAAGCACAGCTACAATTTCGTTCTGACTTGTTGCAAAAGATTCGATTTCGATGAGCTTGTTTCGAGTTTCGTTTTGAGCAGTGGTCAAGATTGACAGAACTGCACGACCGACTGTTGAGAGTGTCGTGCCGCTGAATGAATTTGCACCAGAGTCCCATATTTTTGCGGTGTGTGCCGGTGGGAGGGAGATGTCGAGGAATGATGCATGGAGGGCCCTTTTGTTCAAAGTCAGACCCTTTTCCACTGCCCGTAGCGAGAGGCTTCGGAAGGTACGTACCAGTCAAAGAAAATACCCGTATTCAAACCTGTCCAAGAAAACTCTTTTCCCTCCTTCTCAGCCAACTTGACCTTCTCGTCCAGCAACCTGATAATTGCTTTCTTCCCCTCGTACATCTCCTCCATCGGCGTACCCTGCACATTCATCTCGTGGCTAGCCCACTCATTGGGCATGTACAGCTTGACTCCCGCATCATATGCAGCCTCTATCAACCCTGCTTGTAATGGAGCGGCTTCATCGTTAAGGGTGCAGATCAAGACTTCTTGACCTTGGAGAGCCTCAATTAGCTCAGACTGGGTCGACAGGTCTGCTCGCTTAGTAGTCACACCTTCCGGGAAGGTGGCTTTTGAGTCTGGGCGAGAGAGTGCTGAGACTTTAAATTGGCCGGACGCCAAGAGTGCTGCGACGATAGGAGCTCCAACTGTGCCACTTGCCTTTGGAGCATCAGAATACGGAAATAATCATGGTCATAATTCGACTTACACCTGCGACGATGACGCTTCTGAATGCCATTTTGATATCGACAGAGGGTATCCTGATGAAAAGTGATTAGGTACTAATGAATGCTTGCTCCAGAAAGTTCTTCGACCAAAGAGACACTACTGATCTTGAACTGCATCAAGAAAATAATCCAGATTTTAATATGTTCCTGTCCATCTCCTCTCCCGTGTCTTGAGTTCGGCGTGAGTAACAAAAGACAATACCTTTTTGAGAACCACGTATTCACTGCACACCACACGTAACATCCAAGCATATACCATTCCTCTTCCACACTGTCCAAGACCTCTCATCCCCGGGTCTTGGGTCTTCTTACACTCTTGTTCCCATTGCCAGCCACAAACTCTCCAATCCCCGCATGCCTTGGCACACTCGGAGTAATCCCATGGCAGCCAAGAACGACGGCTTAAGCCACAACTCTAAACTTTGCTAGAAGCCTGCCATGGACAACCCAACTTCTAATCTGGGAATATAGGGCTGGTTCTCTACTGAGGCATGTAACGTAGACTATGCTTTTAGGTGAGTTGGTCTATCCGGTCGTGAGTCAAAATTGCTGTATAAATAAAGCAACACGGTAGCCTTAAATGCCAAGTCGGGAGAGGAAGAGTTAGGATTGTGATTACGAAGTGGCTTGATGCTTCATAGGCACAACTTGTACAGTGTCTTTGTGAGTATGGAATGGAATGCTACTATTCCACATTGTCGCTGACTCATTCAGCGGTGTGTTCGGACATGGACTTGTTGATATTTTGTTCGCGACTCCCCAGCCCTGTCATAAGCGAGTCTCAATTCTCTCCAATGCACCAAAGAACCTCGTTTGGGCAGCTAGATTAGTAAAATTACACCTATGAGTCACTCTTCAACTCTTAAATAAACTATACATGTGCATTTCACTGCCCATAGTCTTCATGTCGTGAAAAAATAGGTTCTGCATCCTCGCATCACTTCTCCTTCATTGGTTCAAAGATTACCTGAAAGGAGAATTCAATTGTGGAGCTGGTTTCTGTGGTTGGTATCTGGGCGAGACTGGTCTTCAGATATGATAATTATGCACATTTCTCGCGGTTAGAACATTCTAATTCTCTGAAGACTTTCAAAGCTTAAGTGATCTTGCTGGAGTAAGGGGACATGTATACATCACAAAGGAGAAATTTGACAATCATATGTCCTTTGACAACACTTCCCTCCGTTCCCCTCTATTGGTTCTCAAGATGGCTTTCAACACTGCAATGCACTGTAATACCCCCAAGACGGTAATCTCCCACCTGATTCTCAGGCTTCAGCCATCTCCAGAACGTTTGGAATATCCCTTGCCAACGAACCTCTCCAGGATCCCTCCATGTAACGAGTAGGCAGTGAGTGCCGACTCTATGTCGTGAAAACGTCTCAAGAGAAGAGAGATACTTATACCCCTTCCACTCTACCTCCTCCCTATCCACCTACACTACGCTACGTCAGCTTAGTATCTTCATTCCATATTCACCCTCTCCATTCAAGTTTGTCCATTTCCAGGCCTTACATCTCTAGTTTCGCACTCCTATCACCTCCGCTTGATCTCACTTCACCACCCTTCGCCCCTCTCATCCCTGTCATTCTAAATTCAAGCCTAATCTCAGTCTCCAATCTCCAGTATAAATCTCCTCCCGCTCCTCCTTCCCCATGACCAAAAGTCAAGATTAGGATGGGTGGTGAAAGGCGCATGTTTGTGCAACTTCTGCCAGCGAGGCTCGCGAGATAAACAAAAAATGAATCACATTTAAGACTTTCATTCTTCAGAGTCACAAGGATAACGATCCCTTTCAAGTGATACTATGGACACCTAGAAAGCTAAGGCTCTTTTTTTTCAACTGCTTGGTTGTGAAATATGTTGTGATGAGTTTTGATAGGGAGGGGACCGTTGAATCGACAGCAGATAGAATCTTGACAACACACCTCATCTTAATGACAAAACCAACTCCTCACTCAAATAAACACACTACCCCCAACCAGCCATCCTTATTTCCATCGTTCTGTACATCTTTCTCCCCATCCAAGCTCTCCATTCATGACACCACAATCCAACGACACCTCCACCCCTCACAAACGCCTCCACACTCATCTGAGTTACCAGCATCATTATCTTCAGTGTCTTCGGGAGAACGTTGTGTGATGGAGTGTATTTATATGTTCCAACTTGCAAGTGTTGTCTCGAAGCAGTAAGGATGTAGTGCAGAGTTTCTGAAGTGAGTAGTGAATGAAGTCACAGCTCCCCCTCGCGCCCTCCCCCTGTTCCCCGCAAGCGAAAAGCCCCAGGTGAATTTTTGCACGAAGCAGTGACCAAATCCAGGATCAAGTAAATGACAAACTGACTACGTCTCAAGATAATCACATTGAGGAAGCACGTAACCAATACACAAGTCCCATCAAAATATTAAACTAGGGAAACATTATCCTAAACTACAACTCATCATCAAGTACCCAACCGCAATGCCCATGGAGTCAAGAAAACTCCATCTCACCAGTTTATGGTTCTTGGAAGCAACATCCTGAATCATCAATCATCAATCACGAGCGGAACAAACCCAAGACCGGAAAATCAGCTACCGAGAACTACAAGAAACTCAACACAACCTCCAATGATACTCCCCTTTCCTAAGAAATGCATCGAAAGAAAGAACCCAACACGTCTAAACCTTAACAAAATGAGATTTTGCATGATGCAATGCCGTGTTTCTATCACAGAGCTCCATCAAAAATTCGAAGTCAATAGTGACTGGAAAATAGAAAGCGCTGTTTAGGATATCTGTCCCTGGTCTGTATCACGATCTACCGCTAGCTTGACTGGTGATTGGACTATGGCTGACATTAGAAGCACGAGCAAGTAGCCTCTTTTGGGGACGAGAGGCAGAATTTTCTCCTTCTAATTTCTTTGATGAGATACCCATCCTAAGCAATGGTGGGCAATCGACCACCATTATATCTTCCATATCGACATCGGAGTGAAAGTCAGATGAAACAGTCGGCGAAAACTTTCGCTTGCGATGCGACTTCATTTTTGGCAGAAGTGGTGAAGATGGAACTCCTGGGGTACAATAGCATATAGCTTCAGTGTCTTTCACCATTGGCGATGAAAATGTAGGTGGGGACCAGAGGGAATCATCAGAAGACCTTCGCTTACGCTTCCTTAGCACTGGCTCATCGTACCAGCAGCTGCCACGGATAGGTTGAACCGGAGTCCGTGCAAGGGAAGGATGAGGACCTTTTAGTTTATTGGTATGCGGGTAACCATAGGGCGGAAATGACTCCTCGGACTCTATGATTTCGCCCTCTTCAGGCGAACTTCTCGGATGGAGGGTTCTTGGCTTTATTTTTGGTGTGAATTTGGCAATTTCCGCCGCAAACGAAGAATGTGAAATGGAGCCTTGCTTGGATATTTGCAAAACCTCGGCGTAGTTGGCTTTGATCTGAGGAGAAATGGCCACTTGTAATTTAAGGTCGTCAGATTTGCCTGACCTGGTTTGTGGTTTCGCAGGAGCGGTAGGGCAGTCCTGCAGATCAGGATTGTCTGATTGATATTCAATGTCTGCGGTATCTGTAAGTACGTTTGCGGGGTCTGTATCTCTTTCGGGAGTGTTGCGTGGGATTTTGGGAAGGGAATGTCGACGGATGTGGCGTGGAGAAGACGGTGATAGTTCTTCATCTAAGCTTGGGTTCATATTCTGAGCTGAATTAGAGGAGGCTGGTACAATCGAAGAAACACCGCTTGTTGAAGGAAAGCTGGAAAACTGTGATACGACGCTAGGAGCCTGACGAAGACAATCAGTTATGTAAACAAATCCAGCACAGGGAGTGACACCCCCAGGCTGGGGCTTAATCAAACATACTTTTTGACATGCAGACAAGCTGTCCTCAGATGGGAAAGGCTGGAAGCTTTGTGCCTTCTGATGCCGGTACTGTTTCGGCGACGGGGAGTTCAAATACTCCAAGCCAAGCGACCCTCGCTGACGAGATCGCTGAGAGCCTGATTGTTCCACGATCTGGTTCCTCGGGTCTGATTTCTCGACGGCATTCTCTGGTTGAAGAACTCTATTCAACTTTCGAGCCTCCACTGCAATCTTTCCCGGCCGGAGGAATATGACTATTGGCTGAGTTTTTCCCTTAGTGGGGGGAGATTTATTGGTAATAGAATCGTCTGTCCTTGCAGGTTTCTGCCCGGGTACTGAGATTAATTGGGTCGTGCCCGTCTTTGGACTTGCTTTGAGTTCAGTTGATTGATTGCTCATAACTATGTCCTGAATCTCTTGCAGACTTGATCCAGTGTCGGTCTCAGGCCGGCTGATGTGATTGTCAGTCGCAACTTCTATCTCGGGTGGATTGCAGAGAGCGGGTTTGGGAGTACTGTTTGTGTCTACTGGCGAAGTTGAGTGACGACCTGGATTCACGATCTCCTTAGCTTGCTGTCGTTCATTTATCTGAGCATTCGGTGTCCCTGCGAGCTTAACTAAGGAAGGGTTTTTGATATTCGGAGAGCCCGCAAGAGGAGCTTTTTCGGCACGCGGCTGAGGAGTAGCTGATACCTCTTCTCCAAGGAGTTCGGCACTTATACTTTGACAAAGCATTATCGCAGTAGCTGCTTGCTCTGTACTGTTGATACCCGATTGGACTTGTGTGTTACCAGGGTTTGTATTGTTAGTAGAGATGTCTTTGGATATATCAGAAGTAGGGCTTGATCTCGCTGGCTGCGATGTCGAGCGAGGTTCAACAGCAACTGTCACATAAGTAGTGCTAGAGTCAACAGAATTGGACGTTTTATCTGCCGTGGACGAAGTCGAGGAAAGTGGTGAAGGCGGACGCTTTGGGAGCGGCTTGGGCTGCTCGACGGGAACCGTGGTGGTGTCATCTGGGCTCGATAATCCGGGAGGTCTGTCGCTGGCATCGCTGGGGGAATGATAGACAACAAGACCTCTAGATGAGCAGAGCTGTCAGTCAAACAAGTATTGTGAGTTACATTTGAAGAGCGTACTTCTCAATACAATCCGTGGTGTTTGTGACATTGCTCACACGATTGAGAAGAGGCAGCTTCGGCGGTCCTGGAGCGTGCTGGGCGTCATGGTTCTGGTATTTGCTAACCTGAGTCTTGGACCTGAAAGGAGCTTGCATTGAGGGAGCTTCGACGAATTGTTGCACATGCTGTTGTGGTTCAGCTGTTCCAATATTCAGTAACTGGTATTCATTGCCTTCAATTTTTCTACCACCTGACAGATATAGAGCGTAGTTGTACTGAGCTTGAATTTGTTGTGGTGCAGCTTGAATGGCGCACGGCCAGTCCGTTTGGTATTGAAATACTGATACCGGAAGCATTGGAGAGTGGCCAGTCAGAGCTTGAACATTCTGAGGCAGTCCCTGGTATCCATTTAATTGTCCGTATCCTTGGAGGGCTGTAGCTGGAAATGACTGAACTTGGCCACTGTTAATCAAAGCATGTTCATGTTGAAAATACGGTCCATAGGAGCCATATGCCCATTGTCTTTGTTCATAGTAAGTGTATTGACATGCCGTGTACCCATTCCAAACTGGCTGATCATACATCTGTTGATAGTAATCATGCATTGGCGCTTGTGCTGGAGCCAAGAACTGAGTGTATGTTGGGTAGTGCATCTGATGGAAACTTTGAGCAGCCGTGGTATGTCCATATTGCTGTGGAGTTGGACGAGCGTAGGATACTGGCGGTCTGAATACCGGATTGGAGCCTCTTTGGCGAGTATTGGGGTTGGTGTTGCGATGTGAAGGACTGCATAGGAGAATGATTATTAGCCACAAGCGTCAAAAGTGGCAACTTCCAATTTAGCAAACGAATCTTGACGTGTGACAAGGAAGTACAATGTAGAGATGCTGCCTTACAAAGACATCTCTGCGACTATTTTCCTCCGCACGTTGATATGTGTTTGAAGTAGCCAAGTCAGACACCCAGATGGAATACAAGAGTTCCTGAGGCGAAGATGGTGAGAGGTGTCAAGGTCAAAAGTAAGTGGTTGATGGAAGATGAGAATGGAGTGAGCAGGAGAGAGGACAGGAGAGAGTAGAGAAAAGGAACGAATTGGAGAGGCCGCTTTGGATGGATGATTTAGGCGTGGAGGAGCAACGAGATCTGGAAAAGGGTCCAAGTCCAGTTGTGACTTATTCCTGCCCAAAATGGAAGGCACGCGAATTCGCTTACTACCTAATCACTTAAACGGGAGAGCCTCCTCTGACCTTGCACAACTGACAACCAGACGACCTCGAGGCTTCGAATTCTCATATTCTTGCCAATCCGTTCGTTTGGTTGAGAAACTGTAACCCGCAGTCCTGGACTGCCGCCCCTCTATACATTCGCCGCCATAGATCCAGGTTACCGTCCAAACAGCGCCCCTCTAGAAATACTGTCAACGCCATACACCACATCCTTACTAAACCCCGCCTTCTTCTGCAAAATCGGTACTCTGGGGATATTCGTCTGTTTCCCCGCCAGTTCATCCCTCACAGCCTCCGCCACCGCCTGTGGCCACTCTACCAAATGCCTCAAGTGGGCCGGACTCGAGTCATGGATACTCGTCATCCACGCGAGATTCATCCTCGCCGGTGTATTCTTCGTTCGGCCTGCCCACTCCCGATCGAGAATTGGAAGCATGATAAGCTGGATAGCGAGGAAGTGCGCGATCAGGATGCGTGAGACAGCGTTTTCGGGGTCGACAAATTCTCGGAAGAGGTCGTTTGACATGCGGTTGAGGGATTGGTAGATGAATATAAATTTGAAGTAGCCTAAGAATGTCAGTATATTACTGGTTTTGGAACGAGCAGATAGGTGAGGGGAAATGACTGACCATGCAGTGATGAGACCTTGACCGCATCAATACACACCACCAGCGACGTATAGAAAATGCTATGCACCGGCACATCAAAATACTCCGGCAGCCTTCTCAGACTCCTCTCCGCGCACTCCAACAATTCCTCATTAATCGCTGGTAAATCCGTCAATCTCTTCTCCATAAAACTAAAATGATCATTTGACGTCAAAAAGAACGCCATCGGCACCTTCTCCTCTCTGAGCTGATTACTCAGTAGCGCACATCCTCTCACGAATTGGAAAAACTCATGGATGCCATCTTTCATGTAGGATGATTGGAATGTGAGGAGGTAGCAGGCTGCGAGGAGCGCATCGCCGTCACTACCGGAACGGGACTTGAGTTGCAGAGCGGCGTTAGATCCTTTAATTGCGATCACGCGGTGATGAATGGCTTGAGAGGAGAGGTCTGTGCCAGTGAGCAGTTCGAGATGGGATGCCGCAAGGCCGAGAATGGCATGCATAAGGTATTCGTTGTGATGCGCCACTAACGGGACCTGCGACAACCACGCGGTGTCATTCCCCACCGGCAAATGGGGATACGCATCCAGTAAATAATGATGGAAGAGTCTCATATCCGTCAATGTGAAAACCGTCGGCGTGACCTGCAGATTCACAGACGTGATCGGGCTAGCTGAATACTGCGCTGAGCTCTGCAATGCAGTGAGCGTTTTCGGAGCTGGATATTTGCAGTCAAGATTCTTCCGAGTGCAGTTATGGCATGCAGGCTGGTTTTCTTGGCACTGCGTGAGAGTCAGTAATTTTGTCACGACTGAGATTATAGGAGGGGGGAAATTGAGCGAAGGAAGAGCAGGTAAGTCCAACCTTTATCTTCCTTCTTTTACAATTATAACATCCCCCTCGACTTTTCTTGTGGCCTTTCCTCGGCCTATGAGACGGTAATCCATCCTCCGTAAGTTCCTCCTGTTCATAGCTCAGTTCTTTCCTCAGTGCAGGCATCGGCGTTGGTCTATTTGAATTCGTCCTCGAACTCTCCCCATTGCTGTCTATAGAATTGACCCCACCTCCAATTCCAAGACCACTCCCACTTCCATTCCTCTCCTTCATTCCCTCACTCTGGTTAATCCTAGCTCCAGTCGGCGAATCCGAATCATCAGATGACTTTGGCGTCAAAATAACACTCATTCCCGCCGACGAGTCTCCATTCCCACTACTCCACCCGTTCAAAGTATCACCACCTATCCCCGGACTCTCCCAGTTCGAATAGAACGCCTCATCATACATCTTGCCGTCTCCCGCAGAAATACAACCTGCTTGTGTGAAAGACCTGAAATCATCAACCAGGGAACGATACTCGGTAGTCAAACTGGCTGTGGATGTCGAAGTTGATGTATCTTTCGTCTTCTTCTCAGCTCCCATCCTCTCTTTTCATTCCTGTCCCTCTCTTCCACGTTTCTTTTTGTTCTTTTCTGCAACGACAAGATGAACGAGTGACGTTGAGTGCTCTCTTCTCATTGATCTGGTCTCGTTCCGAGTGTGGCGGAGTCAAGCCCTGTCGGTAACTCAAAAGCCTTTGCTGATGAGAGGGGCGGGGGCTGATTCGTCCGATTGTCAACGAGACAGTGCCGTGTCACGTGAACGGAACTCAAACAACATCCTGGGTTTGGGATTGGTGCGTTCGGGATTCTTCGCAGGGTTGGGTCAAGTACAGACGGCACTGCCTAATCTTGATCAATCAGATACTCGGAAATACGGTGATTTGATAAGCTTTTCTTCGGAGTCAGCTGTTTGCAGATGGCAGATTAAGGAAATCAGGCCGCCAAGGGCTTGACGGGTGGCTTAGCGAGGCAAATGTCGAACAGCTGCAGTTTTGAGACGGAGGTTTCTCCACCTCATGTCTCTCCCTCTCACAAGTATATTTCTTGGACGTGAGTATGCACTTGAGAAGAACTCAACCATGTACTCCGAGGTAGACATATCGATCGAAGCTGGCTGCCTGGTTGGTCAAGTAGATCAGACTTCGCAGTGTGAGTGTGAAGTTGCGGGATTTTACGACTTAAGTTTCGGGGGGGAAAAAATTAGAAATTGCCGATGGAAAGTAACACCATCATCTCTTACTTATTATTAAAAGCATTGCCTTTCCAAGGTGTTCTTCTAATTGGTGATGGTTTCTTTGGAGAAATCTCATCATCTCAAACATACATCCACTCTTGCTACAACAATTGCCCGCATTCGTCTTTGGGTCACCATCCTCTTCATCCGTCAAAATTGAAGACAACATTCTTGTTGACTGTTCTAGTATCAAATCAAATATGAGCTACACGGTCTCTAAACACTACCAGATACTCTCATTCGATATCAATCTATGCAATCAAAAAGAATTCGTCTCGACACACAGGAAATACAAAATCTATCCAGCAAAACCGAAGCATACCACCCAGTACCGTACCAAGCAACCAAAACACACCAAGCTACTCTGTCAAGACCCAACACCAATCTTTTATTCACCCCATTTCAACCCCTACAACATCCCCACCGCCTCAAACCACCCTTTCTCCACCTTCCTCAAGTGCAACCATCCCATCCCCCACGCTCTTCTCCCCCTTCATCTTCCTCCCACCCAGATACGCCGCCGGATGCCAAACACAAAACACCAATATAGCAGGGACCATTGGCACACTTTCAAACACATAGAACATCCACTCATGCGTAAAGGGATATCCGAAGATACCGAGCGCGAATTCGATGAGCCGGTAGATGGAGCGGACCTGTTCGATCATCAGCACCCTCGAAAGCGCACCTGATATCGTGAAAATGGCAAGTGGGGAAAGGAGGGAGGTGGTAGGGGAGAGAAAAGAGAGCACTCACCAAAATCAAGAGACAGGAGATCGCTACGGCTCGCACAACTAACCTCCATCCATTGCCTGCATTGTCTCTCTGCTGAGTGTTTGCCAGGGTCCAGAATTTCCAGAGAATAGCGAGGAATACCACAAGACTGGAACATTGGATAGCCAGTCCTGCAATGAGGATATCTTCGCCTACTCGAACCTATCGACAACCACATATCAGCACAGCACATACGACAACGACACCACACCCTGTGACCAAATCATCCAATCCAATGGTCAAGCCAGGGTGGAATTCAAACCCCAAGAAGAGAAGAATAGCGAACATTAGAAGAAGGAAGCAACTCACCATACCCCCCTCCCAATCATTACTCGACGCAATACTTGTCCCACTAACCTGAATCAACAACGTCACAATATCCGATGCCACAAAGATCTTCGTTAACTTCCTCAACGGAAGACGATAAATATGCGTTATATGTTCAGGCAGTACTCGGGTACACAGCCGTGTGAGGAGCAGGTAATTACCTGCTGCGATGAAGAGGGGGGCGAGGACGATGAGGGAGGAGGAGACGGCGTAGGGTGGCTGGAATCATATTTGAGTCAGTCAAAGATCCATATTTTCACTCCTTGGTCATACCACTGTTTCTTATTCAAGTGCAAGGGGAAGGGAAAGAGAAGGGGAAGTAGTAAAAGGCAAGGAAGTGGGTATGGAAAACAGAACTCACGATCTCCTCATCCTTCTCAACACTAACCGCCCTACTGATATACCCACCAACCTCAAACGCCGCACCCACAATCACCACACTAAAATAACAAGCCCGGTACTTCACAACAGTGAGGTAGAACTGCCATGCCAAAGGGATGGTATATATGATCGTGAAGACGATGGCGAGGGGTAAGGAAGGGTCGTAGAGCCAGATGCTGTTGGGGTTGGACGCTTTGCCTGCCATTGTTTGGTGAGGGCGAGAGGTCGTGAATTGTATGGGTAGTGGGGAGTTGAAAATGGGTTTGGATCGAGGATGGATTGATGATGCTGGATTTGATGTATGGAAATGTTGAATCTCTCTCAGGTATGTTCAATGAAGATTAAATATAATATGCGTGCGTGCGTGCGTGATACAAAACACAACAGGACTGCAAATCCCTTTTTTCATCAACCTCTCTCTGCATACACCAAATATCCAGAACCCTCTCCCCTCCACCTTCCCAACCAATATATATACATACTTCCCAAACACTCCTCCTCTTCTTTTCCATCCCATCCCATCACAATCCCTTCCATCCTTACCTTACCCCCTCCCTCGGATTCCCTCTCCACCAGCAGTCGAACCCGCAACGACATAATACACAACCTCCCCAACCCGCTTCAGCCTCATCATCGCCCGACGCAAGTCTTTCTCGTATGCGGATTTATGCTTAAATTGATTGGGCTGATTAGCGAACACGGCTCGCATTCTGTCGCTTTGCACGCTTGGATTGCGTGGCTGGGGGGCTGGTGTGCGGGATGGGGGCTTGGCGGGGTGGGAAAGTAGTGTAAGACGGGGGATTTTTTGAGGGGAGAGGGGGGATGGTGCCTGGTTTGTGGAACGAGGTATCTTGTTTAGGAATGCACTGGTGAATCATGGAGCGAGAAGCATATGTTTCATTGCTTTGGGGATGAGTGGTGAATTGAAGGCGTTCTAGTTAGGGGTTGGACAGGTATATATTTGGACCTTGGTTTGAAAATCCTGGAACTTGAAAGCACTTCAGGAGCTTTGGCAGTGGCGAAGGTCTGGCAGGTGATTCAGATGGGACAGGCGTCAAGGGGTTTTCTCATGCTCTTCATTTATTTCGTTCTCTCGGAAAATAAGTTTATCTCAGGCCTAGGAGCATTGTGCCATTCTTCTACTGTCGCGGGAGCACCTTGGTCCGCCATGTTGATTGTGCACTGTCTCCCCTCGCTTATTGCTGTTGTCACACTTAGCTTTGTTGTCAATGATGTCGTGCACTCGTGCTACGAACCATCATAGTCTCCTTACGTCGCCTCTGGATGGGGTAGTAAAAGTCTTCATCGCTTTAATTACCGAAGGTTGGTATGTTCCATTCTAGGATCAAAGTCCAGCACGGAAGGCGAAAGTCTTGTGTTCCAATCTTGTGATTCGTGTACTTCGTATTCTCTGAAGACAGAGCTTAGAGCTCTATATATTGCTTAAAGGTTGGGGCGAGAAGAAATTGGGAATTATTTGTGCTGACGATTCACTTACTGACTGGTCTTGGGGTTTCAATTAGTGAAGTACAAGGAATGGCGCTGATAGGAGAAGGAAGATATAAATAAGAGCCATACATTTCTCATTCATAGTCAAAGACAAAACAAACCATGGTAATGCCCACGCAAGATTTACGTTGCTCCAGTCTGTAAATCATCCTCAGATTTCCCACATCCACTACTAACGCATCAAAAGTGAGCCGATTCTCAACATGTCAGTTCACGACTCGTCTTCTGGCAAGTTATTCTGATCATTTAAATTGAGACTGAATTTCCACCGTCAGTCCTAACTTGTTGTCGATTCATTCTTCTGTTTTTTTTTTTTTTTTTTTTTTTTTTTTTTTCATTGTAGACGTATTCATCAGGTCGTTGCACAGAAGATAAGCCATAAGCAAAAGTATTATTTGGCAGCGACCGTCCAATGAAGCCACCTGAATTTTCAATTTGCAAGCAATGCCACGGTTCTCAACCGCCACTCCCCAGAAGCATACTCCTGTAGAGTCTAGCTATCGCCATCCATGATAGGATATCACAATCGAGCTTGGAGAGTAGTATTTAAAGCTTTCTGCCCAACTATTCGAGATCCATGATCTGTCATATGGCCCCTCACTTGAGGCCATGAGCTTAGTGAATTCAAACAATCCTTTATTCACTTTTACAGAGCCGCCCGATCATATCCCGAGACAGTACGGTCCAGCTTGGACCAATATATAAAGACTGGTGAGAGGGTGTTTAAGTGATCCCCAATCGTCAAGACCGCAACGCAGAACTGGCCAGTGGGACAGGAGAGAGGTCTCGTAGAAGGTTTTACGGACTCTCTAAACTCTTATTGTGGAGTTCCCGTAGGTTCATTGAGTGCGGTATGTGATCTGCAGTGATTAGTTGGCTAGTTCTCACCTCGTCTGTTAGTTCCATGCAGCATGTTGTTGCCACTGAAGAAACCACTGTCGATTTCATCTTTGTTTACTACGTCACATGATCGCATCATGCCACCTGGGCTGGCCATTTTCAAGCTCAAGCTCGATCAAAATTCAGACATGAAATGGCGCTGCTGGGGAGCGCATCACGTAGTTCTTAGTTACACACTTCACAACACATGCTCTTTTTAGAATCTTCGCAGCCTTAAGTTTTTGATACCTTTTCTGGGAGGCTCTCTACTTCATACTTGTCTGCAAATATATATGTCTGGTCTGAAAGGATGTTTGCCATAACGCTACTTGTGATCTCTGGGATCCTATTCGCTACCGCATATGCCATAAATACGCGCTTCTGTATGTTGTCAATCGAGCATCGGACGAACAACGCCGCCATAGACATTCCCAGACAAATGGCTCTGTGCATTTTCATCAACGACGTCTAATCTCTCATACAGCTTTACAACCGACCTCATGGACCTGAGATTCAGTATGCGACCTTGATATCCAGAGCTCATCATTCCACGAAATCCATGTTCCTATCATTAATTATTGCGACTGCCAAGCTTATTTCGGTTGCCGATTGATTTTATGTTTGCACAAAGTAAGCAGGCTTCTGAACATGAAATCATCTTGCGGAAACCAAAAACATTTTTGATGTGCAGAGAACGAGTCATAGTATTGATTCATATGGCAAGCTCCCATGACATACTCGAAGACTCCGACCAGTACAAACCAGCCTTCAAGACCTCTCATAAACAGTCAACCAAAACTCTGACTGGAAGAAAAGTCCATAACAGACAGATCTCATCGGCCTCATCGGATTAACAACATTGAAATCAAACTGTCGGAAAAGCTGTGGGTATCATAAGTCAGCATCATCCCCACAGACTATCGCACCAAGACATACCTCAACAAACAACTTATTCAACTCCATCCACGCCACCACACTCCCCAAACACTTCCACTTCCCATATCCAAACACCAAATCCAGCGTAGAATCCATCTCCCTCAGCTTCTCCTCATCCTTGTCCAACCACCTCTCAGGCCTATACACAGCCGGATCATCACCCCACATCGCCTTATTGTGGAATACGCCATACATGCCATACCCGATCTTGGTTCCGCCGGGAACGAAAACGCCATCGATGGTATCGCCTCCAGGAGGTACTTCTTTAGACATCAGGCCTACAACGGGTGGGAAGATCCGAAGACCTTCCTTGATGACGGCTTGGAGGTAGGGCATCTTGCGGGCTTCGGCGTCGGTGATGGGAGAGGAAATGGTGTGGCTGTCGATTTCGGCGCGGAGTTTCTCGACTACGCGGGGGCTCATGACGAGGTGGAGCATGATTGCTCGCATGGCTGTTGCGGTGGTATCTGAGCCGGCCAGACTGAATGTGTTAGCTTGGTTCACGTGGGAAAATGGGCATAGGCTTACATCTGGAGAACCGTTTCTGATTCTGCTTGATCTTGAGTGAGACCGTGAGCGATGAAGGATCCCAACATATCCTTCTCGACTTTCTTATCAGGGCCAAACCGCTTTGCGACAACATTGTTTGTGATTCTGCAATTTCATTAGCCCGTTGAACATTCTCTACCTAGCGTAGATTATACCCAAGAATCTTTCCCATTCCCAAAGGGTCCTTGTCAGAAGGCATGATCGCCTTCAAGATACTCAGACGCAGCACCCAGTTGAGCCAAGGAAAAATCGTGACCATCAAGGCGGACGAGAAGACATTTTCAACAGTCGCGATGAACTCGTATAAATCAGAATCAGTTCTCAGATATCCAAATGCTTCCCGGTATGCTGCATCTGAAATTACATCGAGAGTCAGGTATTGCGCTTTCCGCGCAAAGTCCATTGGCTTGGTTTCTGTTTCTGTCGAGAGATACTTCGTGCGAATGAGATTGATGAAAACCTGGATGTTGCGATCTATGGTTCCTTCAAGATCCTCATTTTCTTTTCCGGAGTACTTAAAGATTCGTTAAACACTTTTCGCGATAACAGAAGACAAAACTTACACCCGGAGCCATCATAGCTCTCAACTCATTGTGTTTCTTTTCGTCCCGTTCCGATGAGACATTGTCCTTCACGGGGTCGAAACGAACACCGACGTACCACTTCTCGAAAATTAGCTTTCTTTCGAAATAAGGTCAACATCGAAGAGGCTGAGACAGAAGGAAACTTTAAGGAAATTCTACGTACATCCGATCTCGTGTATGGCGATCTCACAGCCATCATCCTTTTTATTATCGCGGGGTCCCCAGCAACAAGGTCATTCGGACCAACACGAGCAAGCGATCCTGTCGGCCGTCAATCCTTGTATCCTGTACCACCCCAGATCATCAAAAAAAGGTTACACAGCAGCCTACATACCATACCTCTCGTTCACCGCCTGGAGATCATGATGCATGCCACCGGCTGAAATCTTTCGCGCGACCCAGAACCGGGTCAGTGCCGCAATCCGTGGGCCTTTAAAGTGTCGCAATCGATACCAGCCCCTGAAAACCCGCACTGTATGCCATGCCGCCAGAGCCACAAACGTCGCAAGGATCCAGTGACTGGCCAGGAAGCCTAGCGATATCCGTAAGTTGCTCATCGAAGGCCAGATACTCGTCCCCGACAAACTTGATAGTCTGGGATGAAAGGTGGAAGAAAAGAGGAATGTCGTCCTTCGGTTACAGCGAAGCCTATCCGTCTCTGAGAAAGCTAAGGATCGGGGCATCTTTCCAGATTAATAGCAGTGCCCGAGACATCCCAGAGACTCCAAGGGGCGTGGGGTTTAGTGCCGTGTCTCCGCTGTAAAATTCCTGGCTGAACGGTGCTAAACAGCCTGAGGTCCATTAATGATCAAGTTAGCTGGGTATGCAGCCAATCGAGTCGCCAACAGGTTTGTTGACTAGCGGGACTATCCTAGCGAGGATGTCCTTGACGAATTACTCAAGAGGGATGAACCCCGATGAACTCTAAAAGCAACATCACAGATTGACAGGGCCACAAGCGTGCATCGTCGATGCAACCCTGGCCTCCCACGTTTTTAAAATGTGACCCACGATCGCACATTTCCAACATCCTCTGGAAATCCACCTGACGACATCGCAAGGGCACGTTTTACTGCCACGCAACACATCGAGAATCCCATCACACGATGACCGACCCACTACAGACGGAGGTTCGTCCGTTCTCTCTAGGCGGATTGCGACGACTTCAAAGCTGACATGTGACCTACAGGTTGCAGATGACTTTAATGATGGTGATTCGGCATTGGGAGATGTTCTGGACCCCGACTCCGGAACTTTGACAAAATTCTAATAGCTTCTTTACAGGACGAAGAGGATTTGAGTTCTACTACATCCATCGGTTCAAGTATCCTAAGATATCGACAAGAGAACGGGCGGACATATCATGCGTATAAAGATGGGAGTAGGTCTCTCACTCGACCATGAATCCCACACGTTAGCTTATCAACATCACAGAATATCTTCTTCCCAATGACGAGGTAAGATTTCACTCACATATATTTGTCAGGGGTGGATGTTTACAATTTCGAAATCTAGGGAGAGAACGACCGTTTAGGTAGAAATTATTGCCTTCCTCGTGACCAAATATACTCACAAAATCAGATCTTCAACATCACATGTATTACTTGACGCTCGGTGGTAAACTATACATCGCTCCCATACCAGAAGACCAAAAGATCCACCGGGTGTTAGATCTCGGGACGGGGACAGGAATTTGGGCGATTGACTTTGGTAGGCCCCCACCCGCTTTGAGACACCAATTCAAGCTCTTCGCTAATATTGTCAAGCCGACGAACACCCAGAAACACAAGTACGGTAGCCTGAATGTTTCCAGATGACCGTGAAGCTGATATTCGATTCAAGGTTCTAGGTGTTGACTTGAGTCCTATCCAACCAACATTGTACGTTACCCAACACATCTGTCTAATGTCCTGTACGACTTACTAATATTGACAGCGTACCACCAAACTGTCAATTCGAAATCGACGATATCGAAGAACCATGGGAGTACAGATACAAATTCGACTTCATCAACATGCGCATGATGGTAGGCTGCGTGTCCGACTGGCCCCGTTGCTTCAAACAATGCTTCGAGTAAGCTTCTCCTCTCTCCTTCCACCATCTTCCCATTTCCCTCTCCAGCTCTTCTTTTCCGTTCAAAACCAAGCCTCTCACACTCAACCCCAACAGTAATCTCATCCCCGGCGGCTGGCTCGAAGTAAAAGACATTAAATTCCCCATCGAAGACAACGACAACTCCTTCCCCGAAGACTGCGCCGTCAAGAAATGGTCCGACCTCATCCTAGAAGGAACAGTAAAACTAGGCAGACCATGTGATAGTGCGAAGGATTATAAAGCGCAACTTATTGAGGCGGGTTTTGAAGATGTGGTGGAGGTGAGGTATAAGTGGCCGCAGAATAGGTGGCCGAAGGATAGGAAGTTGAAGGAGTTGGGTGAGTGGTCTTTTAGCCTTTCCTTTCATTTTCGATGCTTTGGGCTCGAATGGGGGAGTTTGGATTAGAGGAAGGGAGTGAGGCTGATTTGGTACCCAGGAATGTGGATGCATGAAAACTTCAGTACCGGACTAGCGGGGTTGAGCATGGCTGTATTCACGAGGGGATTGGGCTGGTCCCAAGAAGAGCTGGAGGTCTTCCTGGCGGATGTGAGGAAAAGTATGAAAGATACGAGTGTTCAGGGATACTATCCCATGTGAGTTTTCCTTCAACCCCTGATGCTTACGGAAGACGTGAGTTTGTGCTGACTGGATCCAGTTATGCGGTGTATGGTAGGAAACCTCTGTGATATCGGGCCGGCGAGGTGAGAGGAAATTGTTTGAGTAGTTTGAGGTTGAGAGCGGATTTGTACATTCACCCACGTATATATACATACGCACACATACATGCATACATACATATATACACTCACTCCCGTACCATGAAGCGCCTCCACACCAAATTGATGGGCATAATTCCAAAGTCACGCGACCCAGAGCACCAGTATGCTGTTATTCACCCTGCAGTAGGTGTGAGTCTAGTAGTAATCCCAATCGTTATATTTCGCAAATTGAAGCATCAGCTTTTGGGAGATGCTGAAAGACTACGAGTGGCTGATGTACTTGGTATAGAAGCCATAGCTACATATTCCAGTGTCTCGAATCATATCCTTTTCTGTGAAACAGAATGTAAACTTGAATCGGCTAATTTCCTGCAGCTGAATTTGAACAGATAGAGTGAATGAGGTGGTCGAGATGGAAGTAGACTATATCTACGCCTCAACAATCTCAAACAAGACACCAGATCCCCAAGAACGCCAATAATACCAACAACACCAATGGAAGGGCCGGGCATGGCTCGAGTTTGCTATTGATTCCAGTTTCCTGTCAGACTCCAGTTTCAGGGCTCCAGAGTCCAGAGTCCAGTTGAAATAAGTCTTTGTTCACAATTCCCTTCGCATGGTATCACAGACTGAATTCTTCCCGAAGAGGGCAGCGCTCGGTTAGTTTGACAGCAAACCAGCAGATGACAACAATCCAGTCACCCGCCCAGTTGCACGAATCGTTCTTTCGATCTTTTCAATCCAAAGAGATAAGAAGAAGAGTAGATTTACCTCCCCTCGCCTCGCTGGGTACCACAAAATGAATGACAAGTGTGTACTAAGTTCCATTAGAGACATCCACTTAAGGCCGCCATGAACGAGTTTCGGGATGTTTTGCGGGCCTACCTCCTACGAAGTCTAGATAACGCAGCTTTTATACAGATCGGCTCCACTAATAGCTTCTGCGCTGTGACATGCAGCAATAGATCTCTCCAATGGTGTACTGTGATTCCCTCGCTAGTGCATAACCAAATATTCACCACCCTACGACACAAACGAAAACTTGTGAGTCTAGTCGGCTCCCCAAATTGAGCGATTACCGATCAAAATTTGTGAAATAATCAACTACAAAAGAGCAGCTTAGGACTGAAAACATCTCTAAGCACTATTCCTTGACTGAAGGAAGCCACAAGGAGCAGATTCCAGGGCGGACACCCCAATTGGCCATAGAAGGAGCTGAGAGCGGTGCGGGCTGAGATATCTTGTTTTGGGTTGATTTATTGAACATCCCGATTCAGTGTTATCTTTGTTATCACTGATTGATAAGACTAGAATATAGTTGACGATAGTGGCTTATGAATCGGCAGCACGCCTCCAAACGACAGCACTCCCACCTCCTTCAACCTGTTCAAACATCATCACCATCATAAAATTACACCTCTAAAAAATTGAATTATCTCTTTTCATAGAGCAAAAAACTCATCCCCAACTCATCCCTCACCGATCTCCGAGTCACACTTTGTCACAGCTTCTCTCAGCTCAAAATTCTTGTAGAGGCAATTCCTAGGTCTGCTAGCTATATATCCCATCTACGCTCTTTGATCTTATCAACCGTGTCAATCTGCCTAGATTGACACACAGTCATTCATTCACCAACTGCTCAAATTGATCAATTTCACTACTCGCGTGCACTACTCCGGAATCACAAAAAGATTACACGCGAACATGACGTGACTTGCGAGGAATAATTCGAGACGTATATAAATCTCACCAACAACTTGCTCATACGTCTCAATGAAACGAAATCTCTCACATGGTGAATCATATGAGTCATTCACAGCAAGAAGCATAGTTCCCATCATATCAGATATTTCCCCCATCACGAGGAAAATCGGAATCCGCAATACACTCAATTCAAATTGAGTACGTCCCCTTTCTTACAACCAGTCTGCGCTAATCAGTGCTCTCAAAGGTTTACAAGCATATCTAAAGCTGCTTTGACAGCAGCACATGAAGTGACAACAACGGACAAAGATACAAGAAGGGGAAAAGTCAGAAGCCGTAGGATATCAGCACAGCGCACGATCACTGATTTCCTCTCGTGACGACAAGGTGGAATAAGATATTGTCAGACACGCAGTCGAAATACAATGTCAGCAATGGCATGCAAGGGGATTCCATCTTCATTTGAATCGCTACTTGTTTTGACAACGTCCCAGAAAATAAAGCAAAATATTGTTCGTTCTCGTCTATATATGCTTATCCACCTCCACGTGGCTTTTCAAGCCATCTCCCCAGTCAGTCAATTGACATATTTCGTGAGTCCCCAATTATCCCCCACTTCCCCTCTCCCCTCTCCACCCTCCACAACCCTCCAATACATATATTCACCTCCAAACACACCAAGAAAATCTCAACCCGCACCAACCAGCCCAGAAAAAGCATATAAACCTTCCCCGGTCATTCCTCCGCCCATTTCCCTTTCCAAACTTCCTACCACTCCGAAAAGGTACCGTCCCACGGAACTGCGTTTTTCAACATCTCCATCTCCACTAGTCCCACTAAGAGGACTCTCAAATATACATTTTTTTTTAAAAAAAAGAAAAAAATTTCAGTGAGCTTGGTGGAGGTGATGTTGTCTATCTGTGAAATATACTAAGCAGCAAACTGAAAGCAGTCAAACAATTAGCAGTGTAGCGGAAAGTACAAAGAGCAACAACACAAAGTGAGATGACAGCAAACCATCCTTCGACAGCGGAATTCCACACCTACTGTGCATCATCATCAATCACCCACCTCACAGAATATCCGGTCTTTCGACGAGGGAGAGAAGCATGGGTGCTGAGACTCTACTGCAGGATATAATCGGACCTTTCCTTCCCCAGCGCGCGCGATCGAGATCAATAGCTCAAGCGTGAGTTATGCGATGAGCACCCAAGTACCTGATACTGCTCGACTGTCGCTCGGGTAGTCTGCATGAACCGACGGAAGGGAGGGGAGGGAAGGCGGTGTACTTGAAGGGCTTCTACTTGTTGTGGACTGGAACAACCAATCAATGACAGCGTGCAGTATCAATAAACTAGAAGCCAGAACCTACAAGTATCGAATTTCGCAGCCAAAGTCAATCTCATAGTGATTTTCATTTATCGTATGAACTTCGTTACCCATACCCCACCAACAAAACAACCCCTAACCCCCCACCCTCCCACCAAAAGAAAATCCGATTCCGAACATTGCATCTGACATAGCAAAGCATACAATTTATCCATTCCATTTCATTTCCATTCAATTCTCGAGACTGGCTCCTCCGTGTCTTTTGCCAGAATTCACTGTATGCGCGTTTTGGGTATCATATCAATGGGTGCCTCGAAGCACAACCAAAATTCCAAAACCCAAACCCAAAGCCGAAAAGTACAAATTCCCAAAATTCCCAGTTGCCATCTCTTATTGAAGCCGCAGAAAATGGATACCCCAGCCGGTCCCAACTCAAAAAGAAAGAACCAAGACACATGACGAAAACCGAAGAAGAGCACAAAAATTCAGAATCCAGAATCCTACAACACCACCATTCTATTCTGCCCCCACTTGCAGTCTCCATCCATTCATCCAATCCAATCCAATTTTGCCCAGGAATAAAGTCCCATCACATCCCTCCCGCTCCCCCAAATATGATAAAAGGCAGACAAGGAAGATGAAGCAAAAGTAAGGAAGAAGTAGAAAGCAGATAGGAAGGACAGCGAAGAAGGAATGAAGCCAACCTCCCACAACAAAGGCAATGCAGAATGATCACCAGCCTCTTCCATCCTTCGCATCTCTTATCTCAGTGACCTTCTCATGATCGTGCTTACGCTCTCGTTCGTCGTCATATCGATATCTTCCATCGTCGCTCTTTGGTCCAGATTTCCTTCCGTCGTCCCGACAATATCCTCCGTCATCTTTGTACCTGGACCCAGGCCCGGCACCAATCAAGCTCGCGGTTGAGAATCCCCTTACCCTCTGCTTCGATGAAGTCGTTGCTGGGCGCAGGTATTCGCGCTCATCAGGATCGTAGGAATTGGTTGCAGAGTGGTATGCCTCATCATCGTCATCTTCATCCTGATGAACATGCACATGACTATCGCCGCTCGTCTTGCTGTCACGTTCAGAGCGTCTGTGTTCTCCTCTACCAGTGCTCCTCTCATTCTCGTGACTTTCGGCTGTTCGTCTCGTTCTCGTGCGATGTGGATTTTCGTAGACGAAAGGTTCGCTGTTTCGGGGAGAGCTAGGACTGGGAGGGTACTGAGTGTGGTTGTCGGGGGTCGGCTCGTCATAGAAATGGGAGCCGCTGCTTCGGGGGGACTTCTGCCACTGGCGTTGGGAATGGTATTTCTTCCTCTCCTCCATCCCACTCCTCTTTCTCTCTCGCTCAGCATCCTCCCGTTCCTCTCTCTGTTTCATCTCGTCTTTCAACTTGCGGTCCTCATCTTCCTCCATTTTCGCTTTGTGGCTTCTCAAGATCTTCTCTTCTGCTTCGCGCTCCCGCTGCTCTTTCTCCAGCTTGCGGGCGAAATTAACAGAATCTTGATACTCTTGCGCCCGCCTAATGGCTTCGGCCTGTTTGATTGCTTCGGCCCGGTTAACGGCTTCAGCTTGCGCCTTTGCGTGGAGGTCGGCTTTGATCTCGGCTTCGCGTCGAGCAGCGGCTTCAGTTCCGACCTGTTCGCGGAAATGCACGAGGCAGCAAGTCCCTAGGTCTGAATTGCGGGCAGAGGGACAGTCGGTAACTGTGCAGGAATCTGGAACTGTCAGTATTGATGTGAATATGGGAATAGTAAGATAAACATACGAGCTTCGCAATGGTTCTTTTTAGAGACCTTTTGTGCTTGACAGCCATCGGTGGCACACTCGTCTGACACTGGTTAGCAAGATCTAAAAGTCCTGATGCTGGAACTCACGAGGGCGACAGAAGAAAGCCAGAACGAGGAGATCATCCGCCTGATTTCTCTTTCGCAAAAACTGGCATTCGGGTACAGAGCATCTGTCTAGACCTTGTCAGCATGGAGTACCCTTAAATGGAAAGGTAAATGCGTACGATCAAGGCAGAAGTCAACCCCATTCACTACATCGGAGGAGTTCTTGCAGCCGGACACTGTGCATTTGTCTGTGTTTGTCAGTACAAGAAGCCAAAGATTGGTTCGTGTAGTTCCACTCACGAAAGTCACAGTACGAGAGTTTATTCGACAGAACTCGATGGCATCTCTCAAAATTGCAGGTTCGAGGTAGTGGTGGCGGCGGAGGGGCAGGATCTAAATGCTGTCAGTTACTGATACCACGATGATTCTTTCACGGGCACCCTTACGATCCAAGCATCCATAGTCCTCCCGCTTTTTCTTCCTTCCACATAGTCCGCCGCTCGATAGGGGCGCCGGACAGCCATCTTAACGAGTCAGCATATTGATCGTAGCCAGGAAGTATGAGAGAAACTTACGATGCCTGCAATGCCGAGTAGGTAGTCCTTTTGCTAGGCGTTCGTTCAGCCTGACACATTCTGGGCAAAGCCTATCTCTGCTGGATGTACGGCCCATGATGAACTTTCAGCACGGAATGATGTGCGATTCGTGAAGCAGGTGATGAGGCTATCAATATATAAGGCTTGCAGTAATAGCAGAGTATTTCAGCCACCAGTTTCCTAGGACAAAGTATATACTGAATCAAAACCTCTCGGAGCGAGCGAGAGAAGAAAGTTAGAGAAAGAGTGGTTGAGAAATTGAAACGGGCGGGGCGACAAAGGTAATTTCTGTCTTTCTTTCATCGGGCACACGCCTTTGTGGTATGGTCTGAAACGTGACATGAGAAACTAGAATAGCAGACGAAGACGTAATGGCAGCAGGGATTTCGGTGAGGATGATACTCTTGAGGGCAGATTATGAGAGAAGGGTGTGAGGGCACGCGGAAGGGGGTCGAATGTTTCGCGACCGGTGAGAATGGCTTTGACGAGGCGGCCATGATCAGGCTTTCTCAACTCGACTATGAGGATGCAATGTCCGAACCACATGTGTGCTTTTGGTGGTCTGGATGTGACAAAATCAAACACCAGAATGAGTAGGAAAACGAGGTATCAAGAGTGGGAAGACGTCTGGTATTCAAGGCGGAGGCTGTGTCAGTCCTCGTACAAGAAGAAAATTCTTCCCAATCTGCCTCGTTGCCTTGCCTCGTACTAGGAGCTTCAGCTGAGCAGGTACAATTGATATGGGTATCTGGGACAAAGAGGTACCAGCAGGCGCTGAAGATGTTGGGGGCGGTTCCGGGCCGCACCGCAAAACTCGGGTCGGTGCAGCACATTGCTCGCATTATCCATCGAGTCGTGCGCGCGAGAATCAAGCAGAGATCTGTTGCTCAAACAACAGTGCCTGAGAAGAGGGGATGTTGGTCAACGAGGGGTGAGGCTCTGGTGAACACTGCCCCAGTCGCAGTTAGTTACCCCTCGGCTGACACCCCTCTCCATCCGCATGCAATGCCAACCACGCACCCACTGATCAACGCGATGCACACCTTCGGGGACAAAGAACAACCCATCCAGTCACGTAGAAAGCCAGATTTCCCACTGAAAACGCCCGGGAAATAGGCAGGTCTAGGCAGGAAAAGGTGGGTGTCGCACTGGTGGAGGCTGAGGCGGCCTTCTTCACCGAGTGAGCAGCTTGGCTGGCTTCTTCACATCACACCACCATCAGCTGGCAGGAAAAGGGCATTCGAGGCAGGACAGAGCCTCAATAGAAGGCATGCGAAGGAGATAGAAAGAATGAGATATCGGAGTAATCCGTCACGGACGCAGGCTGGTGTATCGTAGCTGACATATCGTGGTCGGATCCGGTGTGGGAGTATGATCAATCAAGCCTCTGGATTACGAAGGCATTGATACCTCCAGGCAGATTGTTATGAGTCAATGGCTACCGATATCTTATCAATCGCACAAGTGATACTGATAAGACATGGAAATTATTGTTTTGATGGGTTGTGATGATTTGGTGTCGATCAAGGACAAGCATACCGGGAAGGGAAGAAGCAGGCTCTCGCGCCAAGACAGTCCAGGTCACGTTTGTCTGAACTTCGTCACCACAATGGACGTAGCCTTCGGATACCTGTGCTACGGTAGAAAGAATAAAAATACCGAGGAATATTACTCACCAGAGTCCCTCGATTCTATCTGGTGAAAACCAGCGCGGTTTATTTCGGAGTCTCGGCCTGGCGAGAACGTGACTTTGCTTGGTGTTCTGGAGATCTGCCAAGATTTTATGCTGCATCTTCTTTCCCGCACAATGACAAGGACACGATCCCATGAAGCCACTCTCAACTGCAAGGTATTCTCTGACTAAATCGAGGGAGCCCCATGTCGGGAATGTGCCCATTGATTGTACCCTAATTTATCTCGTGGGTTCGTGAGGAGAGTTGCAGTCCGCCGACTCCATCTAGGCTGGACAAACTCGGGGACGGATCAAGTAAAGTTAAACCTATCAGCTTACAGTCAGTCTAACTGCTATTTCAAGACGACAACATTTACAACATTTCACATAGCAAAGCTCCAATCCACAGCCCATCAAGGAACAAAATGCCCGTATCGCCTCGTCGTCACAATATTCAGCCTCCACGCACTTATCGGATACAACACCCCTTCTTACCCTGGCAAGTACGCCTCACACGTCTAGGGCCTGGATCTATCCTCGCTCCTCGGTGCTTATGATCGAAGCAAAACCTCACTACTCTGTATAGTATCAAGCCGAATTGTACCAGAGCGAAATGTGTTTCATACCTGGGCAGAGCTCTACATACCCGTCAGTGAGCGCATGTGTAGTTCAATACCAGCTGTATCGATAACTCCTCTCGATAATTTCGCGGTACAGACCTGCTGCCACCAATTCGATGCCAAAAAGTGAAGCGGACTACACGTACAACCTCAACATTTTTTCCAACATAAATCCCAATATCAACATTCCCATCTGCGGGACGGTGTTGAGGAGGGCAATCACCAGATCTTTTTGAGACGCAATACTGGTAATGAATAAAAGGTTCAATCAGAGCATATTGCTGTGACACAGAGCATAACAAGAGAAGACCTTGGATCACTCAGCGCCGCTTGTTGATCATTCAGTCCCCAGATGGCATTACTTCTCGACAGCCTCCGCTCTTCAGAGCAAAAATTCAAGTCGAGTATTAATGTCAGCCACAACAACTTTGATCACCTCGCGTGACTACATAACGGTTCTCGACCTTGAATTTTTGACCTATTGATCCCTAGATGTGTTTCAGGTCCACGAACCATCATGCGCACCATTCGAAAGTCTGGTATTCAGCCATGGAACTAACATGGTAATCTTGCAACGAGCTGATATCAGATCACCACTCCCAAAGCAGCGAAGCACGAGGCATAGCAACGCGCTACACGAAACAGTAAAGTGTAATACAGCATGGGAATTCGGTTTTAGCATCTCCAGCTCCAGCTCCAGAACGCCATCTTCAGACTAGGACAGCAACCTCCCTCGTGCCGCCTACTCTAGCTGGACAGCAGTCCAGCCCACATAGGAGAGGAGAATATGGGATAGGTGCGCATGAACACCTCCATACGAGACCAATCCAAAACCACACAAGGCATTCAACCCTGGAGCCAAATCACCGGTGTGCGGATGCTTTACCCCGGACTACTAAGTGTAGTGGGAGTTTTAGCTGGATCAGCCGCAATGGACGGCGGGATTCAAGCTCATGTAAGCTTTGCCTCTTAAAATGGTGTACTGTCCTGGGGTATCATATCAAGCGCACCTATCTACTGCTTTCTTCCAACGGACGGTACAACTTGCAGAACCAGATCACCGGGACACCTCTTGAGGTTCCCTCTCTTTCCCATATTCTGTTTCCCACGAAAGCCAACTTGGTGTCTCCTGATCGTCCCGTCACAGAGCGCCGGCTTTGTGAGAATGGGATTATCCTCTACTACTATGGCAAAGTGAAAAATCGGGATCGTCAGACCCCTATGCAAAACGGAAGACCCGTCTACAGACCCCTAAATTCAGGGAGGAAATTTGCCACGTCCAAGTGCAGCTGGGAGTCAAAGAAGATAGATGCGCGTGCTCTTCTGAGGCGTATCAAAACAGCGCTGCCTACGGAACCACATTACTGGGGCATTTTCCCTGCTTCCACTGTCCTGGCTTACCTAGGTAAAAGACGTCCGACTTCTTTTCTCCCCTCTCCTCTCCTCTCGTCTCAAGGAATTAGTAGGCAGCTACCCCAGATTACACTTAACTACTGTAGCCGTAGCCCGATCCGCTCTCCGGTTAAGTTAGGCTCTCGTGTGGGCGTCAGCTAGAAAAGAAGGTGATCGATAGGTGCGCATGTAAGTTGAACCCAAGATTCCAGAACACGCACGAACGGCGGGGGTGCATATTGCAGATGCCATGTTGTACCTAGGTAGGTAGAACCGTAGTACTGGGACAGGACAGGGCAGGGCAGATCTGGAGCTGTCGTCCCCGCTTCTGGGTGGGCTGTATGTAGTGGATACGTGCGCTTGAGAGTTGAAGTGAGACTCGAGACAGGCCATAGAAGGTAAACTGCCTACCTACAATAGGTCCAGAGGTGGGAACCACATTACCGGGACGGACAGTTCCTCCTGGCTCAGATTCCAACTTCTGGAAACAGACACAGTGCCAGTAGTGGGACGGTAGCGGTAGCGGTACTAGCTTCCCCAGATTTAACTCGTCCTGTCCTGTACTATACTGTACTGTACTGCAAGGCTCGATGATCAAGTAGGCAGCACGCGGCGCTTAATTGCATGAACTGGAGTGAACTGGAAAAATAGGGGGAAGTAGTGGATGAAGTGGATAGGTGCGCTTGAAAACTCCCCCACAGTTCACAAACAGTCGCTAAGTTAGCTAGCTACCTACCTCTCCATTATGCACTGAACTGGCGGCTTGCGGCGCAAGGCACATGATTTACCAGCACCCGGTTGATACCTCACTCTACTCTCCTTTAATGTTAGTACGGGGTAGCTAGGTACCCTCAGCCGGACCAAGATTCACATTGTCAGATTCGTTCCTATTCATCATTATTAGTTCAGTACGAGGGAGACCCTAGATTGAGTCCAATAATAATCGAGGTTGCAATGGAACTGGAAACACAAGCGGATACGATATGATAGGTGCGCATGCGCGAGATTTACTTACCTAAGGTACGAAAGGGGGTTGACAGTGGGTCTCGTACACCCCAAGATTTCCGCCTTAACATTTGAGGACATTTGTGGAGAAATTTCTAGAATTTCGGGCTGTTGATTGGAAGAATAACCTTACTGCCTTACATGGGTGTACGAGACCCACTGTCAACCCCCTTTCGTACCTAGTTTCGGGAGCGAATGCCAGACTTGGAGCTTGTTCATGCTTGTAATTTACCTATGCTCGCTATGGTATGATATCGGTATGCTACCTACCTACCTATGCTATGGTCATCTGGATCCAATAGTGAAGAATTAGGTGTTTTAACACTGTGCCGCCACGCGGAGGTAGGTAGGTAGGGATTGATTGATTCAGTTTCTCTCTCGACTTGATTATTCGATTTACCAAAGAACGAACTAGAACTAGAAGCTGGTGATTATTGAGGAAAGTTGTTTGGACGTGGGAACCTTGGATACAGCGATAAGGCAGTGAGTGATTCCTGCCTGAGAGTACCTAGGTAAAGTGCACCCCATCCCAGCTACTTAGGTAGGTACCTACTCACTGTATACGAGTATTAATTACCAACTCCCAACTTCACGGAGAGCATGTCAATCGCAGCCGAGTAACCTATCATGAATCCCTCCCACAAACCCAGAAACTTGGTACTGCAGACACCCTCGATACCCAAGCCCGCCCCCCCCCCCCCCCCCCCCCCAAAAAACCGTTATGTCTCAAATCTCTGTTGTCATGTTCTCGAAAACAACACCCGCCCAGTCAGTAGGTAGTGTCAATCAATCAAACGCATACAAAATGTCCCAGGACCAAGCTTCCACATGCGGCTTCCATTGCATCGCTCCTAGAAGCGCACGAATAAGCTGCCCGCATCTCCCCCAGGTTAGTCCAGTCTGGCCGTAGAGGCGCCGAAATGCAATGCAGAACGCTACTGTAGCGACCCCGCACTTCATCCCCATGATTGATCCGAGATCCCTTACCAGGATTGATCCATGATCCATGAACCCCATCGAGCCACCTCAAACGCTCCAACGCCTCTCCACGCCCGCGAGGCCCGCCCATTCCTCATTCCTCATTCCTCATTCCCATCCCCTCTCTGCCCCGATCTTCTCCACACCTACCCTACCCTACCCTAGCCTACCTGGGTAACCTGGGTCCTCTCGCGCTAACTCCTGTTACAGTAGTACGAACGACCGACACCGACCTCCCCATCTAGGGAAAGTCCCTCCCTCTTTTAACGCCGTCAGCCTGCCATGCCTGCCCTGCCATTGGACGGGATAGATACCTACCCTCGGCTGTCAGCCCCCAGCGCGGAAATGCTAGCCTTGTCGCCCTCCATCAATCAATGAGACGCTCGCCGTGAGACGTGCGTGCGGGTTCGGGACCAGATGCACCGATAGCCTCGGGGGGAGGCGGCCAGCCAGCGCGCCACTGACACCCAGGGAGAAAGCTTGATGGTACTGTGGTGAAAAAGAAGAGATGGCGTTGCGGATGCGACGTTCCATGCTAGATGTGATTCGCTGCGAGGGGGGGGTGCCGGTGTGCCACACGGAAGAAATGAGCCTGCAGGCCCTGCACTGCAGGTCATGGTCATGGGGGGGTTATGAGGTGAGTGGAGGTGGAGGGAGAGGGAGGGAGGCGCTGGGGATGTGACCTGTCTAAGCTGTCTAACCTACCTAAACCCAACCTAATACCTAGCTCTGTGGAGCTTAGTTGGACTTGACTTGACTTGACTTGACGGGGACTTGACTGAAGAAAGTAGAGCAGGTACGGGTACGAGTAGAGTAGTGCTCGTTCCTGCTCTGCTCTGCTCTGCTCTGCTCGTGCAAGCCAGCTTGGCCTGGCTCCTGGCTCCTGGCTCCTGGCTCCTGGCCAACCGGCTCGGACAACTCGTGTACGTACGGGGTAGGTCAAACCCGGGGACATGCGTGCCAGCCAGAAAGCAGCAAGCAAGCAAGCAAGCAAGCAAGCAAGCAAGCAAGCAAGCTTAGCTTCATCTGTTCATTCACACTCGCACTCGCACTCGCACTGGCACCACGTCCAACTAATCAACCCCATCACAGGGATCCAGCCGGGGTAAGTAAGTAGAGTAGAGTAGACCAGACCAGGTACGGAAAAGGGACCAAGTAAAAAAAACATTAAAAGGCCCCCTTCCCCCCGCGTCAAGTCGCGTTCCCCGTTCTCCTCTTTCTTACCAGCAGTTCCATCAGAACCTGACTGGACTCCTCGTCGACACCAGCAATATCATCGGCAACGACATCGACAACCTGACAGACAGACAGATAACCGTCAACATGGATTCCTCCGAGAAGCCACACCACGCAACGGAGGTTGAGGCCCACCCTTCCTCCAACAATGGCCCTATCTACGATACGTACGAGAAGGTCGACTACAACCGATCTGGTGCCATCGACGCAGAGAAGATCGAGTTTGATATGACCGTCTTGCAAGCCGTCAAGGCCTACCCCGCTGCCAGTTGGTGGGCATTCGTCATGTCCTGCACCATTGTAAGCTCTTTCCCCTCGTATTCCCCCCCTCGTATTCCCCCACATGATTTTCCACCCATGTATTCAAGATTCAGAATCCGCTCACTAACACTCCTACTCACCAGATCATGGAATCCTACTGCGTCTTCCTCATGGGCCAATTCATCGCCACCAAGAAGTTCGCCGAGGATTTCGGCGTCCCCAGCACCACCAACCCGGGAGAATTCATCATCGTCGCCTCATGGCAATCCGCCTTCCAGTGTTCCGGCCCCGTAGGCGCCTTCATCGGAGTCTTCATCGCCGGACCCATCACCTCTTGGATCGGGTACCGCTGGGCGACGATCGGCGGTCTCATGGCCCTCAATGCCTTCATCTTCATCTTCTATTTCGGTAACTCCCAGGGCATGTTCTTCGCTGCTCAGATCCTGGAGGGTATCCCCTGGGGAATCTTCATCGCAAATGCGCCGGCGTATTGTGCGGAGATTGTGCCCATGAGATTGAGAGCCCCGGCTACGCAGATGTTGCAGATGTTCTGGGCTATTGGTGCGATTATCGTTGGTGGTATCACTTATCATTATCAATCGAGGAATGATGCCTCTGCTTACAGGTTTGTTTCCCACTATTTTGGATTCCTGTCATCAAAACCCAAAGAATAATTCAAATACTAACCCTCCCTCTCCAACAGAATCCCCATCGCCCTCCAATGGATGTTCCCCACCCCTCTCGCAATCCTCCTTTACATCGCCCCCGAATCCCCATGGTGGTTGGTCCGCAAGGGTCGTCTCGTGGAGGCCGAGAAGGCAGTCAAGCGACTCGGCCGTTCCAGCGCAAACGACAACCCCGCCGACGCAGTCTCCATGATGAGACGTACCATCGAGCTTGAGAAGACCGAGAAAGCACCTAGTTTGATCGAGCTCTGGAAGGGAACAGATAGATACAGGACTTTGATCGTGTGTGGTGTTTATGCCAGTCAGAATCTGACGGGTAACTTGATTGCCAACCAGGCTGTGTACTTCTTTAAGCGTACGTTCTTCCTCCTGCCTCGTCTCATACCCAAACCCAAACCCAAACCCGAACCTCACACCCCATTTACCCCAATCCTCCACATCTCCACACTCAACCATCCATTTGTCAATCCATCGAAACCATAAAGCTAACTCCCCCCACAGAAGCAGGAATGGCAGACAACACCGCCTTCGCCCTCGGCCTCATCACCTCCGCCCTCCAATGGATAATGGTCATGGCCTCCTGGGTTCTAACCACCTACCTCGGCCGCCGCACCATCTACGTCTACGGGCAATTCATCTCGTGCGCCTTCCTCGTCGCCCTGGGAATCGCCGCCTCAGTAGGGAAATCCACCGCCGCATCCAACGCCCAAGCCTCCCTCGGCCTCATCGTCTCCGTCCTCTTCTGCCTCGGCCCCGCCCCCGCCTCCTGGGTCATAATCGGCGAAACCTCCTCTGTTAGACTTCGCCCGCTCACCACGGGAATTGGCCGCGGCGCTTATTACCTGGTTAATATCCCGTGTATCTTCCTCGCGAGCTATATGCTTAATACGGATAAGTGGAATTTGGGAGGCAAGAGCGGATATGTCTGGGCAGGGACGGCGTTCATCTGTACGGCTATGGCGTGGTGGTGGGTTCCTGAGATGAAGCATAGGAGTTTCCGCGAGATTGATATCTTGTTTAAGAGGAGGGTGCCTGCGCGGAAGTGGAAGAAGACCGTGGTGGATATTAATGATGATGAGTAGATGACTTTTTTTTTATTCATTCACTCGTTCCATTCGTCTGTTGAGGGTTGGTGGGAGGGTGGAGTTGGAGGTGGGTGTTGAGTTGTGGTTTGTTGTTGTTGTTGGGATTGTTCGGTTAGGAGAGCCGAGAACGATATAAGTGGGAGTCAAGTCAAACCAGAGAAAGTTCTTACTCTAGTAGATACTGTTAGGTATATTGTAGTCAAATCCAATTCACTTCAAGAAGAGAGCCTCTATTCTATTTATTTTCATTCATTTTCTTCTGGTCTAATGATCTGATGAAATACATCCGCCCACTCACCCAGTCAGTCAGCAAACTACAGAATAAACCGCAAGCATACCACCCATTCAAGCATCAGACGGAGGAACAATCCACAACCACTTTCGTCCGCAACACTCTCACACACCATCAACACAAAGACCGGCCAGTGCTGACCAGCCCGCTATTTCAGGTTTCAACGAGACAAATATATATCGACCTGATTGAATCAAACAGTATACCGAAAAAACAACGCATCATCCCCCTTCTCCCTCTCATCCCACTTCATCTCATCCGTATACCCACCCGGCGCAATATTACGCTCAGCGCATAGAGCGTCGCGCCGGGCGTTCTCGCGACGGTAGTATAGTGTCATTGCTGTAGTGAGTGTGAAAGACATGGTGATCAGGGCGATGAGGAGGCAGTGGCCTGTGATGAATCTATCTTGCTGTTAACCCACTGATGCGGGGCAATTGAGGGAGGGAACCAACCTGGGCTTATCCTTGGATAGGTAAACAAAGCCAGAGATAGCACCACCAAGATTGCCGAAACCGACTTGCATTGCGATACCTACACCTCGCTTGAGAGTTCCGCCGATGTTGTTACTAGTCCATGCCGTGATGAGAGGTACCATTGTGTAGATTCCTTGATGGTCAGCACAGCATTCTGAAAAGGGGGTGTATAGCCTACCAGAAGCTGCCAAAAATGTTCCGGCATATTGAACATGAGGTTTTCCATTCGTGACCAACATGAGAAATCCAATAACAGACAGACCCTGAAAGCCTAGTAAAAAGACACCTCGTTGGCCTGCTTTGTCGGCAGCATAGTTGCCTGCAATGGTACAAAGACATGCCACGACGTAAGGTGGAACAGTCAATAACTGAGCCTCATTGTTCGCATAGCCTAGGTTGTTGATGATGGTTGGAAGGAACAATGCAACAGAGTATAGTGGTGTAAAGAGACCGATTGTGATAACCATATTTACCCAGATCTTCCAGTCTCTAAATGCTTGGACAACATACTTTAAACGGAAATCGTCGGAGAGGCCGCTGTCTTCGGATAGCCTTCGCTCGACCTCAATACGTTCGGGAGTAGTGAGAAAGGTGGCACTATCATGTGTCAATTGGCATCCACAGATAAGAAGAAGAACTTACGTCGCAGGGTAGTCTTTCACGGCCCAGTATGTAAAGCAACCGACAACCAGCGTCAAAAGCCCCTCAAGAATGAAGATCCAAGCCCATCCAGGTTTACCACCAACGCCATCCATCTCGGAGATCCCTCGAGCAAGCAGTCCTCCAAAAGCACCAGCAGCAGTAGCAGCAGAGAAGAACAAAGCAATTCGCAAGCCACACTCATCCCGTCTATACCACATAGTGATGAAGTAACTGATACCAGGGAATAGTCCACCTTCTGCGATACCAAGGAAGACTCTACAAGCCAAGAGACCCTGGAAGTTGTGTACCAACCCCATGCAAGTCATGACCAGCCCCCAGGCCAGAATGATAACCGTGAACCAGATGCTTGGCCGGAATCGCTTCATCATCATATTGCTTGGGATCTCGGCGGCGACATAGAAAGGAAAGAAGATAGCTAGGGCAATGTTGTAATCCAGACCCTTCATACCCAGGTCCTTCTCGAGGTGGACAAGGCGGGCATTTCCAACATTGCTGCGGTCGAGGAAGCAGAGACTGGGATCGTTAGCTGGGTCTAACACGTCGAGGGAATGGAGACGGTATGCTTACAGGTAGATGAGAGCCAGGAATGGGATAAGATGAAGATCCAACTTTCGAAGAAGCTTCTTCGTATCGGCCTCATTGAAAGGAGCAGCACTGACAGGTCGACTATCATTCGAGCTGGTAAGATCAGTGTTCTTCTCCCTGTACGTGGCAATAGGTAGATCGAGGTCAGGAAGTGTGTGATTCCCAGCCGTGGATGTCGAAGCTGACGCCATGTTTACGACTTTGGGTGGTGTTTTCTTGGGATCGGATTTGGACGAATCAAGGGACTTGGTGGAGTTCTCGTCGTCCCAGTTGCGCATGGTTTCAGGTTTCGCGGGGACGCAAAAGGTCTTTATGAGAAGGAAGGGACTAATCTCGGGGTGGAATCCTTGCCGCGTTGTGGTGCCTGACAAGTCATCAATAATTGGAGATACAGAGTTTGTGCTGTGGAAAGGTGAGGTGAGGCGCGGCGGCGATGATGTGAGGTCAGAAGCGAGAAGTGAGGGAGGATGGGGAAGGTTGGCGTTAACAAGGAAGGACAGAGCAATGTAGAACAGAACAGAACAGAACACAACGCGAGTACACAAGAAGGCAAGAAGCATCCAAGGAAAGCTTGTCTCGACCTTGGCTACACTCAATCCAGTCTTAGCATTTAGTTTCTTGCCGAGCCACTCACCTAATTGCACTTCAGTCTGTTCCCAGATTGCAAAGAAACAATACAAGCCAATATTCAGTAGGCGTTCAGTACTCAAAACCATTGAAACACTCACCTTTACCAATCGAGTGATCACTTGGTCACACAGACGGCATTGGACTCAACTCTCCACGCTTTTCAACTCAGCTATCCGACCCAGGCCATTCCGTTGGAACGCAAAGCTTCCGTTACACATAGATGCCCAATCCACCAACCATCCACCTCGTACATAGCCAAGTGGGGACCACAAGCTTCACCTGATCAACACAACGCTCATGTTGTGTATCCACGTGAATCTATCTTTGGCCATCAAGCTGGAACTCATCGATGTTACCAACATTGTCGATCAATCTATGCCGAACCGGATTCCCAGAGCCCGGTCAAATATAAGAATGCGAATACTATACGGGATTGGATTCATTGCCCCGGGCCACGCAGCGAAGCCAGATGATCTAGATGGTGTAACTCGACCCAACAGCGATTCGGCAGGTACCCGAGAATGGGTTGGCACGTTGCCACGGGAAGTAGCATCCAGCTCATCAAATACTCAACCTGGGGATCGAAGAAGGGAAAGATCAACCGGCCCGAGTCCCCAGAGTCGAGAAACAAAGTAAGGGATACAGAAATGAAGTTATACACTACATTAACCACGATGTTGATGTTGATGTTGCATCGCATCGGCGAATTGTAATATCTCACCGCCGTTTTGGCCTCCTTTTCTCCTACTCAGTGACACAAAGCGTCGATATGTCACAAGATCTCCTTTGGTATATCCACTTTCAGGTCGTCGACGTGGCGTGCGTCATGTTACGTCTTTCGAGTCCACACACAGAATCTACATCAGCTTCGAGATGTTGACGAATCCGAAACGGCTCTTGTTCGGTGCTGCAAGGGTCTATTGACGGGTACTTGAATATCAATATGAATAACTCGCGTTGCACTCAGCCAGAATCTGCGTGGATGTGCCTGGAAGTTGTCTCGAAAATAACATATTGGGATGATGGGAAGACAAGTCGGCGATGAGCACCAATGTTGTCGTCAGAGTGAGATTTCTCGCCTCAGGCTCATTTCCTGAAGCGAGGCATCAAGAAATCATCGCGTCTTCTCAGCGCGTCGTCCAACGACCACCAAAACACAAACCCACCAATTGACAACTCACAATGGCATTACCACTACAGCCCGGTCTAACACCAGCAGAGGTGGCATTCCTCTGTGAGATGGAAATGATCACAGTGGTACCTCGCCAGCGACTCGAAAGCCTCAATCTTCTCGCAGTAAGCTTTTACCCCGCCAACCCCTCCATTCACACTTCCACAATACCAACACAATTGCACACCACGATACCACCATTCTCTCCTCTTCTCGCCTCAAAACTACTAACAATACACAATCCAGGGCCCAACCCCCGCCCTCCGCCCACCCCACCGAGCCTCCATCCCCCTCTGGCTCGCCCTTCTCCTCAAACGCCAACGCCGAGCCAACATCCTCCCCCCACCATGGCTCCTCCCCTCCTCACTCGACCGCATCCTCTCCTACGAAACCGAGACATCCCCTCAAACATTCTCCCCCCCTCCACCCCACCCCTACCCCCTCTCCACCCGCCCCCTCCCAACAGACACCACCTCACCCCCTTTCCTCCCCTCCTCCACCGCCGACTCACCCCCCGACTACCTCCCCTACCACTGGCTCGAACTTGGCGAGATCCTCCTCGAAGCATGCTCGGACGATATCCCTGAGCCGGGACGTGTACGTACACTGTTACGAGACCTGCGGGAAGTCAGGATGGCGAAGATGAGGGCTAGTATTAAGGTGCTAGAGGGTGGTGGTGTGAGTTCTCTGAGGGGTGTGGGTGCTATGGAGGTTGCGGAGGGAAGGGGATTCATTGTTGGTGTTATGGATGGGTTGAGGAGGCTGGGGGCTAGTAGGGAGGTGGCGAGGAGGGAGAGGGATGAGTTGGGGGGTGATGGGGAGGGGAGTGAGGATGAGGAGATGGGGATGGAGTAGGTGGTTTTATTGTGGTGGTGTTGCATAGCGTGGGATATTGTGAGATGGAATGGGAGTTTATGGCGTTTGGGTGCATGACTGGGCTGCATGTGGGGGAAATACCATTTTGTTATGACGGAAACGCTACATCTAGAAGGCATAGAAATGGAATACGCTACCTATTTCTAAAGTCTCAGCAAAGCCCGACTCCAACCCTGCCTCACAGCACTCGAATTACCCCCTCTCTCAATCCACCTCACCATCTCACTTATCTCTTCCTCTTCCCCCTGCCCCTTCCTCTCCCCCTTCTCCCTCCACTCACCTCCACTCCTCGCCTCATACAAGTAAGTATTTGAAAAGGCGATCTCACAGCCTTTTCCATTCTCAAAACACAATCGTCGAACCACCAACAACTCCCTCCTAGGCAGCGCTTGTAGTAGATACTTCTCCAACACTGAGAAGTCTTGTTTGGTATTTACTGTAGTGCTTTTTTTTTTGGATGGTCTAGGTTGGAGTAGTGAGATGGGTGTGGAGGGCTGAGGGCTGAGGGCTGAGAGGTATATGTTGTGGCTGTGTTTGTTGTTGTCAATACAGAAATTGCTATCATTTTCCCTCTTACTCCTCGTTCTCTTCTTTTTGGCGCTCGTCAGTCTTCGGAGAGTTTCCCTTTCGGCTTCTTTAATTTGACGCGGTTCCTTGTATTTTAATACCTTAAAAGCGTTGTACATAGAGTATGAGATGAGAATAACATACAACATATTTAACATCACACGATCTACCAAAAGTCGTCACTTCTTGACTGCTTGCCAGTACCACTTTGGAAGGTTTGGAAGGGAATTTGAGATTGTACTTGGCTTGTTTATATATATACATATTATTCGCTTCACTTCACATTCCTCCATGCGAAGTCTTATTTACTCACTCTATCCACCAACTTCACTCATCCTACCCAGTCCCTTTACTCACCATCCATTTTCCCGGAAACTCAATGGTCGATCCGCTTCTCGCCCCTCCTTTCCGCCCCCGAATGGTCTTTGCTATTGGGTAAATCTTTTTGTGAATATGCGTATTGATTTCCATATTCCCTCACACAGACAGTCTCGCCGTTAAGTGAGTTGGGAGTATGGAGATAGATGGTGTGAGGTAGGTATAAAAGACACATCTTTGCACACGAAACCTCGTTGTCAATTATGAAGGAGCCGAGTACAAGAACTCAGATTGCGTGAGAACTGAGTACTTGGGTGTTCATGCTCTGCGGTGCTTGCATGGAGTTGCTTTGGAGCGGGAGGGAACCCATGAACAGGGAAACACTTGGATCTTCTGAGGTTGTGTCTATTTTTGGCATGATACATGCTTTGATTTTTGATTGCTCTTCACCACTGTCAAATCTACTGTTAGTGTCAAAATCTACATCTGTTCATCAACAACAGCATTGGCTATAATGCAGCAATAACACTGCTGACTTATCCACGGCTTGACCAAGCAACCAACCCATATGTCATGTCCACACACACAAGGTCTAAGGAGCAATCGAACATACAAAAGAGTACAGGAAGGACAGAAACCGTCAAGAATGAAGGTTTTCAACATGGCACATCCACACATCGAAGATCTTGACTTGGGTTTGGTCGATTAAATCACTCCTCAACTGTCAGGAACAAAGTGTGTATTTATATCCAAAGGTTTGAGACTTGAACAACAGCCTGAAATTGACTTGTGCGCAGTTGTTGGATCTTGAGATGCTAGATATAAAAGAAATTGATATTGAACTGTCTTAAACTACCAACCAGCGCTGAATTATGAAACTGGACAACGAGATTAAGATTGTGAAGTTTAATGATGAAAACTCAACAGTTGTTGGACCAGAGACTATTGCAAACCTGGAAAGTTGTTAAGTGATAATACTGTAATCGTATGGAGCCCGAGGTAGTGATGAATAGCGTGTGTTATCTCGACACGACAATGAGGCTGCTGTCATAATTTGTATTGTTCCCCAATTTGAAGCGAGGATATCCATCACGCTTGTTGTGTCATGATATTAAACTGACTTCTCTTCCATATATTTGAGAGACAACGTGGCAGTTACATCTCCTACTTTCTTCAAATGAAGAAAAGGTTTGACGAATATTTCAATAGGCAATACATTTCTGCAGCTCTACTCACCAAATCGTAGGCTGTTGTTATAGAGGTGTCATTCCCGCAAAGCTGCTCTCTTCTTCGATCCAATTATGGTGTCCATTTCTATATGTTTGCTCTTTAGTGGTAATCGGAATGGAAGTAGTAGGTTTTGATTGGTACCTAAACATAATTCACTGAGCCTTCACTGTCGAAATCATCTACCTTCTCCTACCCAAAACCCCCCTCCTTCAATTCCCTCGGCCCCTTCCCTTAACATTTCGACCTATAGTTCAAAGTCCCGTAATTCATAGTAACGTCTACTTAACCCTAATTTCCTCATCATGATGCGGGGTTGCGGCTCGTAGAGTACCGGATTTTTGTTAAATGCTAGTAGCCAATCACAACAGCACCACGTTCTCGAGTCGTATGAAAAGATGTTCTAAACATCTTACAAAGTGCTTACGAAGATAGCACTCACGTTAAGGCATCGGCAGTCAAGATTTGCCGGAAGCTTCAACAATCACCCGACCTCGCTTAACCCCTGGCAATCAAAACAGGCTACACCGATCATTAATTTCCGCATAATCAATGTCCAAAGCCCTAATACTTTTCCCTATTGATTCATCAAACGAAGTTTATCCACTACCTAGTACGGCATTCGCACGTCGCAATGAGTATATCGTGGTTGTGCGGGGAAGGAGGTTTTCCATGTGGAGATGAATTTATCCTCGTGCCTGACTTGGTACCGCGAATTAGCCAAGGATGACATATCGACAAGATAGATATGCATCCGAGGGGTTTCTCGGCATATAAACACCTGTAACGCTACATGATTTTTAAGAGCTCAGCTGAACTCATTTCTCAAGACTATTTCGCAGGCCTGCAATTTTATATTCGTTATTATGATGTGGACTTCTTCAATTCTTGTTGTGGTACTTGTGGCACTTGTGGCTACAGGTTTGGCGCAAGTCAACACAACTCTGCCAGTTGGATATCGCAAGGTGTATCTCACTTCTTTGCAAGATAAGAAGTTTGTCATTGTGCCGAAGACTCCAGTCAAGATCGGGACGACACTTGTCGTGTGCGTTAAATTCCATTTCTCATGTTGTATCGAGAACGCCTTGGGAGGGTCTGTTTTGAGATCCAATAACAATCAAACTGATCACTATGCGTGTTAATAGACAGACCTTGAACAACAAGCCTGAGCAACAGTGGTACGTCAAAGATGGGAACGTGACGGGAAAGATTCAACTCGCGGATACTACGTTCTGCATGGATGCAGGTGCCCAGTGTAAGATGCAACCAGTCCCTCACTGTATCTGTCATGATGGTTTCTAACATCCACTAGCGAACTGGAAGGACATGGGTGCCGTTTCACTTCAAACATGCTCAGAGACTGCGGTAGCGCAACAATGGGTAGTCATGACTGATGGAAGAATTGCCCTACAACCTTCACCAAAACCTCGTCAGTATACCTTTCGCCGCGATTCAAGCAGTCCTCGAGGAAGCAAGGATGCTGACAGAAATTTAGAACAATGTCTCGATCTTCAATATCTTCGCGCAACACCGAACAACCCTGTAGGCCTGTATACTTGTGCTGGGTTGGGCAACACTGGAGCTGCGGATAAGGGAATCAATTGGCCACTTCTCAACGCCACTGCTACCTAAGATTCAGCGGTGGGTGGCAAATTGGTAGTGCTGCAGCAATGTATGTAGGAACTTTTGAGAGTCTTGTATATACTTCATTTAAGGTATCTGATATCCAAACATGATCTGCGGAAAGTCAAAGTCAGAACGTATATTGTTGAGCCGTACTCTTTCTCTCGTTGTAGCATCGCTTCTGTGCGAAAGCCTCGTCGCCCAGCGTCCTGCACCTGCCAGCCTTGTAAAGTTATTCTGTTGTCTTTTGGCCTGTAATTCCCCTGTACACTACATATGAGTGTATAATACCAGATTTCCAGAAACGATCTCTTCAGATAAACTCTACCATTGTGAATTTTCCTAGACATGTGCTGCTTATTCCAGCCCCAGCCTGGAGATCGCTCGCTTGTGATCAAAATACAGGGCAAGGTTGTCCAAGCCGGCATCATCTGCATATCCAAAGATGGAGTAAAACAAGTTTTTACCTGGGATTTGCGATTTATTCAACTGAGAATTCAAAGCATTGTGATTCTACGAAATCCAAAGTAATGTTAACAAAATATAGAATGTCTTCAGAGCCTCTGACGATCTTCACTAATGCTCGCTTATGTCGCCACCTGCACCGAGCAAGCTACATAGATTCTGCCGAGCCAAGTGTAAGGTTATTTTTGGGACTTGATAAGTCATGGAACTGTAGCTGATATACTGATTGCAAAAGATTTTCATGACTTCACAGAGATCTACTTGTGCATTTGCCACTATCCAAATGGTGCAAGGAAATCAAAGACTGGCCAGCGAATACCCAAGCAGTACTGTAATCGGCACGCATGCCCCGCCCGAGAATTGCCCGTCTTCCGGCATCTATTCCGTAACCCCACTCTACGATTTCCTCACCGATAACAATACATCATTTTTTATTTTCTGGGCGTTTTTAACTTCTTTTTCTTTCTTCAGCTCGCCATGACTGTATTTGATCCAAATGCCACAAAGGCAGATGAAACAACCCCTCTCATATCACAAACGCCCCCAGAACCTGTCAAGTATGGTAAATCTGTGTTATATCGAGCCTTACTGTGTGGCTTCGTCGTATCGCTGTCGTTTGGCGTGACGCAGGTTCCGTATGTTTGCCCAGACCATCCGTGTAGATACACGTGCTCACTTTCAATTACAGGCTTCTCTTTGTCTTTCGTCTGATGACATGCCAGGCATATTATACGAATCATCCAGAGCCATCTCACGGCGATCGTTGTGATAACCACGCCATTGAAGCCGGCACGGCTCGAGCCTACAGTTTACTCGGAGCCTCAACTACTTTCTTCGGAGTTGCAAACTTGTTCGTGACAGGATGGGCAATCAAGAAACTGGGCGTGAGAGCCGCTCTTCTGAATTCGGTTTTCTGGCCAGCCGTTCGTCTCGCTGTCCAGAATCTTGGTGTGGTCACTGGAGGTGCAGCGGGAATTATGATCATCCAAGCATCACAAATAATCTGCATCATCGGAGGACCAGCTGGATATCTCCTCGCTCTCAACTCCTATGTTGCCGAAATTCTTGAGGCCAGCGAACGCACCGGAGCTCTGGGGAAGCTTCAAGGTTGCTCGTTCCTTGGCACAGCACTTGCCTACCTCCTCGGTGGGATAATCAGCGACACATTCGGTATCCTAGCTCCATTCCAAGTAACACTAGCTCTATTTACTCTATCATCTATGTACGTGGTCGTGGCTCTTCCGTGGATCCCACCCAGCAAGACCGTCACGGCAGCACCAACGACTAAACTCACCAAATTCTTCGGGCCGTTGAAGATCTTCACGCCTCAAACCTGGGTACTGGAAAATGGTCAGATCAAGAAACAGTACGAAACGATTCTGCTAGGTATCGGGGTATTTCTCGGCGTTCTCGCAACTGGTTTCATCCCTGTGCTTCTTCAAATGTATGCGACCGATGTATACGGTTTCGGCACAACGGAGAACGGTTACTTGATCTCCTTGAACTCCTTCATCCGCGGTATATTCCTCACCTCTGTATTTCCACACATTATATCCTACGGAAGAGCGCGATACTCAAATCCAAGACATGTCAAAAATTGCGAAACCTCCTCAATCAAAGATCCTGATCTCCCGACCGAGCCGAACGACTTAGCAGGGGAAGTCAGAGACCATGACGAAGAGCCGATGGCCAATCCACATTTGGAGCATGAGAACGAAACGTTTGATTTCGATTTACAGTATAGTCGCTACAGTTTGCTTGCTGACTGCATTTTGACTGGTTGTGCGACGTTTGTTACTCAGGGGTGGCAGCTATATGTGGTGGCAATTTTACTGCCGTTCGCCTCTGGAACGGGATCTAGTGCCAAGGGGACGATTATCCAGATGTGTTCGCCGTCGGAGAGAACGGATGCTCTGAGTGCTATCACACTTGTTGAGATGGTGGCGAGATTAACGACCAGTGAGTTTCTTGCCTTTCCGACTGTGACAATGAGTGGTGACTGATGTCCTTCAGCTTCCGTTTTCGGATTGGTATTCGCTGCTTTTGCTGAAGCTGGGAAGATAAATCTCGTGTTCACGTGCAATGCTGTAAGTAGCTACCTTGTGTCTCCAATACCAACATGAACTCCTCGTCTGTTGCTAATTCCTGGCAGGCTGTGGCATTTGTTGGGTACATCGTCCTGCTTTTTGCGTACTTTCCTCCCGATGGAAGCCAGCGTCTTGGCGAACACGTCGAAGAAGCTGAAGAAGAAAGTCCGCTTATGGAATAGATAAATGAGCATTTAAATGTTGAGGAGATATCGCAAATTTGCTTTATTAGAATCAGACAGAGGTGGGTTTATAGACGAAATAATTGTTGGAGGGAAGCTAGAACCATCACTGACAATACATCTAGGTTCAATGAGAAAGTAATGCATTTGGAGAAGGCGTTGGGAATCATAGAAAGGGCAAGCTGGCCAGCTTTGGTATAGAAGATGGTTTATGGCGTTCGGAGAAACCCAGATGGGATCGTAAAGGGCAGGGATATATCCTAGAACATATCACAAAACATTTAATAGCCAAAGCACCCGAATGATCTGTCCAGTGCCTCCACTTTAGGTTGCACACGACTTTGATTTAGGCTTTGCTCTGCCACCCAGCGCTTTGACTACTCGCTAAGTCATTGAGGCGAGTAAACAACTCAAAAGATACATGGCTGTATTGGAATTATGCACAATTCACACTCAGGCGCTGATTAATGTATTTCAAAAACTTACTATTGATAGGAAGTCGTGAAATACTGAATGCTGGCGTTCCTGCCGAACATATGACTTTGACTCGTCACTCCCATTCTCATTTACCCGGTGTATATCCAAAGTCTGAAATTTATGAGCTGCTGGATGAGCGCTTTGGTCCCGAGCTTACTTGTGAATTTAACACGAAAATTTGATCTTCTACCTAGGTGCTCCGCACTTAGGTAAGTGTTGATTTAGATGATACTCACGTGATGTGCATCCGGGCCTGCCATCGACGTCATCACGAAATACCTACTTCGCCTAGCCTCCAAAATCTCAATTCCATTGCAATTTTCTTCCTCTAGACATACTAATCTCTCCTAATCATTCTCAATCTCAACCCTTCCAAGTCATTCCAAGTCACCCATCAAAATGTCCTTCCAATCCTTCGCCATCTCCCGCAAGAATGCGAGCAAGGAAATGGCCCAGCTAGCAGAAGATCACATGAAGCACGACCTCCAGCAATCCGACCGCGATGCCCTCAACAGCGCCGCCCAAAAATTCGGAACTTTCACCACAGTTGGCTCACTGGTCGGTCTCAGTCTTGGTGCGTTTTTGGCTTTTAGAGTGAGGAGTGCGAGAGCAGGATATTTCAAGGCTTTCAGAGCGATGGAGAAGCCGACTCATGTTCAGTTTGCGGGTGGAAGGACGGGTTAGTGATCTCCAATTTCCTTTCATTTATCATTGTGTTGTAAATTCGGAGGACAATCGTTTTAATGAGAAATAGAACCTATCCCAGATATCACACCGCTGTTAAAACCAACCACCCTTGGTGACTTCGCAGCGTACATGCTTTTCTCGGCCGGGGGCCTGTTTATTGGTGGGGAGCTTGGATTGCTTAGTGGATCGTATGCGGCTAAGAGGTCGATTACGAGTGACCCGGAGAGTAAGGCGAGGATTGAGAAGGCGTTTAGACTGTTCAAGGCGGATGTGCTGAAGCGGGAGATTTCGAGGTTGGAGGGTGATAGTTCGAGTAATGTGGACTTGTTTCTAGAGTAGGACTTAGGCAGTTGAGCGAGCTGAAGTGGACATGTTAAAGGGCTTGGCCAATGTATGAATATGGGTGTGGATTTCAACGTGAAATTCTCATACTGTCCCCGGGTATTCTCCCTCAAGCGAACTGATTATCAAATTCCGGTTCTACGCGGAGTAAAAATAACATCCACATCTGGCACAGTCGCCATAAAACAATCCCTCGTCCCCCTCATAAACTTCTCGATATCAAACCCCCTCGCCACATCTTCTTTCAAACACAAATCAAACTCCCCAACCGTCCTTGCAACCACATCCCTCAACTCCATCATCGCCAGATTTTTACCCGGACAATTCGTCATTCCCGTCGAAAACGGAACAAACGCCTGTCTATTTACCACCAATTCTGGTTTCGTCGTCCATCGCTCGGGAATGAATTCCGTTGGGCGTGAGAAATTCCTCGGGTCGCGGTGAAGAGTGTATGTTGGCATGGAGAGGATCGTGTCGACAGGGATGAAGGTGCTATTTTCGATGGAGTGGGATTTAGGGTTTAGTGGGGAGGATGAGATGAGGAGGGGCGTGTTGAGATTGGTGCGTTGGGAGGCGAAGAGGGTAGGTGGGTAGAGGCGGAGCGTTTCGTTGATGATTGAGTCGAGGACGTGGTAGCTTGTGGAGCAGGAGAACGTGGGTGGGGTGGATGAGAGTTTGGGGTCTATTTCTTGTCGAATTTGGGAGACTATATTTGGCGAAGAAGCAAGGAGTGTAAATAGCGTTGTTAGAGCTGTGGCTGTGGTATCACTGCGGGATGTCAGAGTACAAGACCTGTGAGGAAGTGAGGGGGACTGACCTGCCTGCCGCCACTATTACACGGGATTCTGCAAATAGAAGATTGTTGCCTTTCTTTGTGTCTGGTGTATTGGCGATCAGATATCCCATCAGATCAGGCTTTTCTGTTCCTCTCTGTTTGATCCATGATCAGCGTTCATGGCCTCAATATTCGACCGAGGTAAATCCGCCGAGATATGAGGATAGACATACCTGCTTTCTCTCTTTCAGCATTTTCTCACTCCAATCATTCCAGCCTTTCATGGGACCAGGCAAGAAAGCGAAGGTGGTCAGAAGTGTCATGATCCATGGTACGTGGTAAAGTAGCCCCAATGCAAATGTCGCCTCCTTGATACCCGCCATCACTGACTTCGCAGTCTCGCTCTGGTTGCCACTGATGAAGCCTCCTGCCTGACCAAATGCCAATTGCGTGGCAACATCATAGCTATAGTGCAACGCTAAACTGTTGACATTGAGAGGTGTGCCTATGCTGTATCGTATGCTTGTCAGCAATGTGCTGGTGAAGCCCTCGATCTGAGGGGCGTATGTCGAGACCACTACAATCCAATCAACTCAGAGCCTTTCAAATATAATCTTGTGGCACGTACAAGTCCTCAGGCTCGAATCCCAAATTTTCCTCCGTTGCGTATGAAATTCCCTGTCTCTCGTCGTGTTCACGCTTTCCTCCATGGAGTCATACACTGGACCTTTTCCAGGCTTGGCTCCATATCCTAAAATGTAACTCATCGCAGCCGGATCTGCGACTGACAATTCACGTGGTCCGGTTCGCACGTAGTCTCCATACTCGGAGTGCAGTGACTGGACAACCCGATGCCATTTCAGACCACTTTCAGCGGTGAGGGCCAGTGAGTGAAGCTGTGTTAGCTTGGCGAGAGGTCGTCCGGGAAAGTGACGAAGAGGATGGAAATATAGACGATAAAGAGCAATAGATGCAAACATAAATATGGTAAAAGTCGCCGTCAGTAAGAATGAGAGGAGCGGTGTAGTGGAGAGAGTATGCCGCAACGCAAACGGCGCAAGATTGAACACGACAAATGAAAGTAAAGGATGTGTATCAATCTCGAAGCGCTTGAAGAACAACAGATGTACGATGACGCCCAGCGCCGCTGCCGTCGCGAAGAGAGTCTGCATCGCTGGTTCCTCCATTGCGATCGATGCGCTTTGACATCAAGATGCGGGATGTATGTCGTGAGTGGAAGGGACAACGCCCTTTTTGCTGCGACGGCCGAGCATGCGGGGTCTCGAATCTTATCGAGTAATAAGGCTAGAGCAAACTATTCGTGGTCATGCAGGAAAGTCTTAATTGTACCGATGTCCTATTTGATAGGCCTGCATTGACTGGGGAGGGTCGCTCCGCAACGTGAACTGTGCTGGGCATACGAAGCGAGGTGGAGTGATTGGGTGGGATGTGCTTTTTGTATGCAGGCAGTTGATATGCATGGGTCTCGACCCATGCCCGTCAATTGACGGAACGAAAATGATTGAGAAGCAGTCAAGCCTATTGGATTATTTCAAAAGTACAAGATATGTGCGATATCCAAAGTGCTGGTAGCGATCTCGTGTTGGGGGCTTTGAAACGTGAAAGGCGACATCAGAATTGTTCTCGCTCAATCGACACAATGATTCTCAGACGTTCTCTACCTCGTAATACCATTTGGTCCGTGTCTCATTGCTGGTATGATTCGCAAATATTAAAATTATGAATTGCTTTCCACGACTTGCTCAATCTGAAACGACGCCATTTTAAGAGGACGTAGAAAGCTGTTGGATTTACCGCCACAACGCTCATTTCTCATTTTGCGGCAACAGGAGACTTGGAGTACTAATCACTCTCTCCTGTAGTACCGTCGACATTCAGATGCGTTGAATACCAACTAAGACATTTCATGTCGAAAAGTCTCAACTCTCAATGAAGACTTCGTCACATGATGTTACAGCTTGCGCCTGCTCAACGATTTTTGTTGCATGTCGCATTTTGCGACTTCTTGTTAAGCGAGTGTCCCATCGCGTCGAGAGAAAGGTCAACAAACCGAGACCCCGAGCTCGTGGGCAACACACTTCTATTTTGCCTTCGTTTTACATGATTTCTGGAGACCTTGAGATGAAATAATAACAACAGCCTTTAGAGTGGTCCATTGCTTCCATGATTCTGCTCAAGTCTTCATTGCTAGTTGGTGAAAACAGCATCTTGCCCACCAGCTATTTGTTTACTTTCTCGCTGTGCAGGCTTCGATACATTATCGAGTACAGCCATATGGTGCACAGAACGGATATCCGTGGAAGTCATGCCAAGGCACACTACATCAGACCGGAGTTTCAACCTGTTCCTTCCAGTTATGGGGACCGTGTTCATTCAAGCTGTATTGCGCTGGCGGAAGGAGCTATCCATAGGCGAGGTTCTTTTGAATCTCGACAGACCCAAGCAACTCCTCAACAGCATCACTTATACACTCGTTCGGCATTTTATTACATTCGTTACCGCTATCCTACAGCCTCTAACATTCGCTTCCAAAGACGTCTAACAAATCTTCCACCCAGGCCCTACGTGTGACTACAAACTACCTCGTGGACATCTTCGCACGAGTCCTCAGGCAGCAAATTGTGACAACTCACCGCTCACAAAAGCACCAAACTATAATCAACCCATCGGCATTATAATGGAGCAGCCATCAAGATCACCCGACAAACAAAAGGATGTGTGCAATGTGACGCCATCCGTAGTCTCTTCATCCGTCGGCGCCACCCGCTGGGATCTCACCTCGATGCCGTCGATGTTGACTTCAAGAACACAGCATGAACTGAATCGGGAAGTAACGAACCCGCTCAATTCACGGACAATCAAAAGAGACGAATCGTCCATGCAAGGTAAAGTATGGGAGGATCCGCCCCCATCGCATCAGCAAGTAGCACAGGGACCAATCGTTGCCGTTTCATCTCTAGACGCCTCATGCTGTAAGGCTACCTCGATGATGTCGACTTCGACAATGAGGCAGCGGGAAAGGCTTCGGCAAGAATTGAATAAATCCAGAGAACGTAATACCAGTCAGCTAGAGTCATCCATGCAAGGTAAACCGTCTGAAGAACAGACCAGATCGCGTCAACCAGTTGTACAGGGGCCAATCGTTGCAGCGTCAACACAAGATGCCTCACGCTGTAAAGTCCGCTCAATGATGGTGGATTCAGGTATAAGCCAGCCGCAGAACAGAACAAGGACACTAACAAACCCATTCGAGCCATCCGACATCAATGAAAATACACTTTTCATTCAGGACAGGCTCGGTGGTGTTTCGCACCCGTCGTATTGGTTACGACCCTATTCGCCAATCGTTTCGACACAGGCTCCTTACCAGGCTGTTGCAAATCATGGAATCACTTCAGAGCAAAATGAGACTATGGCATCACGTCCGCGAGAAAGGATGAATGAGGAAGCCAGAAATCAACCATCGTCTGTGTCTGCGAGCCAAGATACACCAACGTCAACAAGTCACGAAAGAATACCAGCACAACATGTACGGAAAGCATCACAGAAAAGAAGCAAAAGATTGGCGGTATTGGCCGGTAAGGATACACTCAGAGGGGAAGATAACACGGCCATGCCCCAATTACTCAAATGCTTCGTTCGAAGTGACCTGGAAAGGCAGGTAGCGGAATCATGTAAGATTCGGGATTCGAGGAAGCTTGTTTCTTATAGCTGGATACCTGAAAGTATGGCGACAGAGGTTTCAGGTAAAGGTGATTGCTGCTCATTAACTAGGTAGATCTAACCTCACTTCAGGCATCTCACCAACAATAAAATACCCCGGTTTCACGTTGGAGCAGCATAAGAGACCGACAAAGAGGTATCTTGGATCTGACACTGCCACAGAGGAACGACGGCGCTCTATGTTGCCAATGTTTTCAGCCCTTGAGCCATCGAATATAGAGGTTGTAAGGCCACTATTCGACATTGATTTGATCGCCGATGCGAAGGCCCTTGAAAACTTGTTGGACGTCATATATCGCGCTACAGATATGGCGAAAACTTGGCGAATACAAGTCGAGCTCATTCACAATACACTTATTCTGGGTAACTATTGGAGCATAGACGAAGAACATCCCAGTCATCTAGCAGCAGAGCTGACGCGAAGTTTTGCCCAAGATTATCAATGCAACCAAATATCCTGGAAGGTGGTGAATTATAGGATCGAGTCGATGAAGTGGTTAGTCAGGAGTAGTGCAGAACAATGGTTTGGAAAAGCTCCGCGGCGAAGCAAGTCAAGCGCCGTAGCAGAGGAAGATGCAATTGCTCCCGAAGCTACTTTCGAGGACGAGCCAATTACGAGACACAATCGACAAGACCAAGAGGTACATCCAGGAGTATTCTTTGCGGTATTAAAACCAAAACCGGTAAAGCCACACTGCGGTTCTCCAGCACCATTCACTTCGCAACGACTGCCGAGAAGACTCAAGCAGATGGCATGGATCCAGCGAATGCCATTGATCATCTCCCCCAAGGTAGCAGAGAATCGAGTTATGAGATATTGGGGCTTGACTGTGAACCTCAGAAAGTTCGAGTCCTGTAACCGAGAGTACATCCAGCGTTTGGTTCACCTGATCAAGACGCTGCGAGATGTCATGGAAGAGAAAGCTAATTCGGGACTCTGCCCGAATAAAAAGGCTACGCTTGTGTGGGATAAGGCGAAAGGCAATTTTCTGAAACTGTATAGAGCGGATGGGAATGACATGGGAATCACGGATGCTGTGAAGAGCAGGTTCTGGGATCATGAGGCGGCGGAGTTGTTGTTTCCAGGGTCACGTGAGGAGAGTGTAGATGGGTGACGGTAGATGATGTGGATAGCGTTTGGTTCGTGTAGCGAGTTGAACAGCGAATAAAGCGTAATCATTGGATACGGAACTGGCAGATTCTGTTCATGGATTGGTACGTTTCCGTGATTTTGTTGCACAGGCTTCTCTGACGAAGCTTTATGCAGCTCGGTCTGTCTTGTCCAAGAGGAAGAGATTTCATAACAAAGGAGATCTGTGGAATTTGGATCGAGGACTCAGATTTAATCTAGCTCGACATCTTACGAAGCCCAGTGAAAGGCCTATCCTCTCTCAAAACTCCTATCTAAATCCTCTCACCAACTCCACGCTTCCGCTTCATTAGTTCCACGTACGATAAACAAAAAAAATCCACAAGGCAACCTTCCATCCCCCTCCCCTCCTCCCTCCTTTTTCCTTCCCACGATCTCCCCACCTCACCTCACCTCACCTCCCTTTCTCCTCCCCTCACCCCGGAATAAACGCCCTATCCGTGAATTTCCCTCCCAAATGCCCCAGGATTCTCACCCCCGTCCCACTCCTAATCCTCTCCATCGCCTCCTCGGCCCACGCCGTCTCCCTCCCACACATCGGGTCTGCACTCAGCGTCTCAATCGCTACTTTTAAGGGGAATACTGCGCTGGCGGGAGCCATGGGCCCGGTGAGCTGGATGTAGGGGAGGGATTGGCAGATGGATTTTGCGGGGTGGGTGGGGTCTATGCAGGTGAGGGAGGGGAGAGGTGGGAGGGTGCTGAGGTTGGGGTGGGGGTTGAGGTTGGAAGAAGAGGTGGAGGTGGAACTGGGTGTAGAAGTGGAAGTAGATGGGGGAGATGTGCCGCTGCCGGGACATGCGGAAGGGAGAGCGTCGAGTTGGGCTTTGAACACTGCGAGGAGGCTGTATAGGACTTTCAGACCGGACCAGAGAATGCAGGTTGTGGCCCAGTATACCATACATGTATGCGCCACAGTCATACTCGGAAACCGAAACTCCACAGGGAAGATATTCTCCCTCTCATTAGCTTCGGGTTTCATCTCGACATCAAATGGGGCGGATGACAGATTCGGCCAAAATAATGGTCCTGCAGTGGTCTTTTCAAAACGTTGGTAGCATGCTCGGAGCATGACGTCTAGTTTCCAGCCGCGGTCGATGATGCCTAGGATTGCGACGAGCATGATGTCGGGTCGGGCTTGGAGGTCGGGGTTGCCGATGGTTTGGTAGGCGGTTTCGATTACGCTGGCTGCTTGGGCCATTAGATCGAGGAGTTGTTGGGAGATGTGCTTTTGGTGGCCTTTCCAGGGGAGGCTTTGCCATTCTGGTTGTGAGAGGAAGGTTGAGCGGCGCTCTGCTATTGCTTGTTGGATCTGGGGACTTGGTTAGATTTGCTCATTGGCTTTCTTTGCTTCTCTTCTCTCATTTCTGTTTTTCGGCGATTGAATTAGGGTTAAGTGAGATCGAGAGCTTACTTACCTCAATCTGCCGAAACGTCAAGAACAACCGATGCGCCATCTCAGATCTATACATCTTCGGCCCCCTCAACTGGAATAATCTCGCACACCCCTTCAGATGCCCCACCCACCCCTTGATACTCTGATCCGGACACTCAGCCACCTCATATATAAGCAAACACATACAAGCCGCCACCGTCTCATCCCTATACATCAACTTCTCATCCCATAACGCTCTCTGCAATTCCCAGAGACCCTGGACATAGAATTTCAAGCTCTCTTTCACTAAAGCTTGGTCGTTGTGCGTGCGGCCTAGTTTCGCGGTGCAGACTGCTAGGATGGAGGCTTCGAGTGCGGTGGTGTAGGTTGGGTGGGAGGGGAGGAGGGCGAGCCATGATCCGGCGCGGGGTTCGGATGGGCTTTGGGGGTAGTTTGTCAGGAATTCGCTGAGGATTTGGGAGCGGTAGACGGCGCGGGTATGAGGGGAGGAGATGTGCCAGAGGGATTTGTAGGCTTCTTTTGTGCTGATGGTGCGTTCCAGTGTTGTGACGTCGGGGTTGATCTTGGCTGGTATGTCAAGGATTGACTTGTCTGATTCTTCACTGGATGAGGTTGGTGTTGATGATGCGGTTTGAGTTTTTGGTGTGTAGGGCTTGCTTCGCTTGTCGATGATGAAAATGGGTGCGTCTTGGTAGCCTTCGCATACTCTGCTTGACTTTATACATGTCTTGCATGCGGGGCGTTCGAGGCTACACTGAAAGGAAAATCTCATCAGCTCAGAGTCTCCTTTACTTTACCCATCTGAATTCAACTCACGGCAACCCTCCGTCTCTTGCACGTCTTGCAGGTCTTCGACCTTCCAGTGACGCCCACCATTTCTAGGCGCCGATTGTAACTAACCGCAGGATCACAGATATGGGGCCAAAACAACGGTATTCGAGTTATTGACGAATAAAGACCAGTAAGCTTATATACAGAAGAAAATTCTTGAAGTTGACTGACGTCTGGAGGGGCAGAGCTCCAACTAAAGAAAAATGTTGGAGGAGTTGACCGGCAGGCAGCTTCAGCTACCGCCCGCCCTGTCCTGACAGCGCCACTGTGACGGGCTGAAGCGAGAGCCAGGCGAGACAGGGTTCTTGTGGGTCTGGGAGGAAGCTCAAAGTCAACGCGAATTATGACAGCGGCCATAATGTCAAATTCTGTTTTATTGGACACAATGTATTACTTTTGGGCCTGCTGTTGACTCTACGAGACAGGTTGGATCCTTCATCAATCAATGTACCTAGGTACATTGGGGAGCGTTCCGTCGACATGTGACTTGCTCAAGAGGAGTTGTGGAGGCCAGAGGACTTTTTTCTTTACCAACAGCTGAATTCGACTGAAGAAGAAGAGAGAGAGTGAACAAATTACTCTAATTCAATCATCAATGGCTGACTTCCCTCACTCCAAGTCTGTTGGAAGCTGCATTCCCTTAAAATCTGGTGATATCGAACTCGCCAAAAATAGGGTCAAGCATCATCCATGACGTTCGCTTGGAGATCGGCTCTCATGTGGGTTGCCAAACTAAACCCAAAACGGCTCCAATTATCGAGACTTGCATGGAACGATTACTCCGAGCCACCAAGTCACGTTGGAGGAATGCCTACCTAGGTAGGTAGATACCAAGATCGCGCTGGAGTGTGTACACGTGCCTTTGTGTTGACTTCCAAGTCGATCGAGTGTGCAAAGGTGGCTTTTCTTAAGCGATTATGTGAGATCGGGGTACGTGAGAGATAACTGCTTAATCAACAGTGAGCAAGCATCCAAAAAAGGCGTAAGCATGGAAACGGGCGCGATAGCAGGTGGACTTACATCAAAATCTCTCAGTATACTTGCGAAAGCTTCAGCATCTCCACCACGGTGATATTCCTGCCCAGAACTGTGTACCTTTCTGCACCAAAAGCGAACAGTGAGTTCAGCAACTTTGAAGGCTTCACCATTATAAGTAATAATTTCCTAGCTTCACACGGCTCCCTCGAGCTTCCGAACCCACAATTATCGTTCCTAGCTAATTTTCTGATGTTTGGATAGCAGCCCAAGCTCTGAGATAGATAATAGCCTGACGTCTCTGGGGCAGAGAAACGGCGAAATGTCAAGGTCAGATCTCGGGAATTTCCCTTGAATCGAATAGATTTTTTTTACTCGCTGGTCAATGACAGAGACATGGGCCAGTCTCTCGGCTAGTTTTTGATAATGTTGTCGCATCGATGTCGCTTTTGTTTACACCACCCCACTTTTGACGAGGATTGCAGAAGTTCTGCGGGGATGACGTTAGATGTCCGCGATGGCATGGATCTCATTCGGTTACTGACTTTCCGTCGCACGTCTTCAAGCCCATCAATTGGCTGCTTGCCTTTGATTTCAAAGACGACATACAATTAATTGCAGCGCAATTTGAAATATACATACCCTTCCTCCAATCTTTCACTCTCAAAACCGGCGTCTCTGCACATACTCAATTAACTGTATAAATGGTCAAATCAGCAGATAAGCTCTTGAACAAGAAAGTCGTCGTGGTAGGAGGTACTTCAGGGTATGAAAGCCTCGACTCCTAGAAAGCTATCGTTCAAGAAGTACTCACCCTCTCCAGAATTGGTTTCGGAGCCGCTCAAGCATTCCTCGATGCCGGCGCCAAAGTAACAGTCATCTCCTCCAACCAAGACCGTGTCAACGATGCAGTCAAGCGACTGAACTCCCCAGCCGTATCCGGCGCAGTCGGAAATGTCCGAGAAGAAGACGCCTTTGTCGAGGTTCTGAGAGGCCTTGCTCCTGTTGATCATATTGTTTTCTCTGCAGTGGATATTATTATCCGAGGGAAGCTGGAAGAGCTAAACTTGGATGAAGCGAAGCATTTGTTTGGGGTCAAATTCTGGGGGTCTGTTGTCATTGGAAAAGGTAGATCTCCACAGTCGACTTTCAAGCTGTCGTATTACTGTCGTATTACTGACCCAAACCCCCAAAACAGCCGTCAAGAAACACAATCTCATCTCCCCCGGCGGCTCCCTCACCCTCACATCCGGCATCGCAGGCATCAAGCCCGGCAAAGGCGCCGCAACAGGCGGCGCACTGAACGCTGGCGTCATCGCCCTGACTAAAGGCCTTGCTTCTGACCTTGCAGAGAACAAAGTCAGAGTCAATGTCGTTGTTCCTGGGTTGGTGAAGACTGAACTTTGGGGGAAGCTGGGACAGTCTGAGGAGAAGCAGCAGGAGATCTTTGAGAGTACGGTTCAGCCGGTGGGGTTTGTGGCTACGCCGGATGATATTGCTGAGGCGTATCTTTATCTTGCGAAGGCGGATTATGCGACTGGGACGAGTATTGAGATTGGTGAGTGCAGTATAATTGATCATGGACCTGGCTGATTTGATGGCAGATGGTGGAAGGCTTCTTTGATGGTCTGGCGAAGCAGATAGCCTACTCAGTTTGAAGTGACCGAGGCCAAATTGCTCGGCTTCTCAAAAGCCACCTTCCATTTTTGAAAAACAATTAGATCAATGGACATATATCAGGAACGATCCCAGAGACCACTGGGTGACCTCTTGGCTAAACCCGTGATCCAACATTGAAGTCGTGTGTAAGTGCAGATTTACGGTTCCATGAGGTGGGAGGTAGCGATTGGTATTCTTTATTGCACTATATTACAGTTTTGAAGCCTCAAATAATATGATACACAGAATATGCCGTCATTCCAGTCCCAGCTACCAAAAACAACATTTCGACTATCTCACCCCAAACTATCCTCAACCCTGCCTAGTCTTCTGAATATGCTCAATAGCCTCAATCAGATGTGGTACAAACTTATCCGGATTTTCCGTAGCAGGGAAATGTCCCAACTCCGGCATGGCCTTATGCTTCGCACCAGGAATCTTATCACAAGTCGCCTGCGCCATGGCTCGTGTGTTACTCCAGTCATACTCACCCGTCAGCATGAAGACAGGGCATTTCTTGGTGTCGATTTTGCCAACGCGAGATCGACCGTCCCATCCGCCGAAGTAGAAGTCGAGATCGCCATGGAAAATACCGTACGCTTGGGCGGAATAAAGATGCCAGATGAGTTGGCGGTTTTTGAGTGGTGCTGTGGGACACATCATCTGTTGTTGTGAGTGAGTTGAAGGGCTGGAATGAGATTGGGGATGCTTACGCCGTATACCCATTCTGGGTTGTAGAGAGATTGGTTGACGTTGGGAGAGCGGTCATGAAATTGTCTCTCCATATTCAGGTAGTCGGACCTGCATGTTGTCAGCGCTGACTACGCAGTGCAATAAGTGTAGTACGTGCCCCTGCAGAGGGATTGTTCCTCCCGCACCAACCTCATCAGCTCGGATCGCAACAGCGAGGCACACCTGTCCAGCCATCGAAGCACCGCAGATGATAGGCTTGTTCAACTTCAAAGCCTTCACCATCGCAGCAATAGTTCCAACATATGCATCCTCAGTGTTGGTATGCGATCCCGGAGGTAATTGTGAAGGGAAGCTCCTGCCATGACCAGGAAGATCGAACGCAACCATGCTACATTTCTGCCGCATCGTAGGATTATTCATAACCCCATGGTATTGACGACTATCCGACCCAGCCGTATGTAAGAACACAATCTGCTGTTTCCCCTCTCCACTCGCCTCATAGAAAACCTTGCATCGTCCCCAAACAGGAGCATCGATATACACATATCTCCCCACAATGTGATCTTCATCCGGCTCCACCTGCGAATCCACCCTCATCTCTCCACACTGAGCATCATGCAGGACCTCCAGTGCTCGACGCCAGAAATGTGTATACTTGTTGAACGCCAATTGATCGCCCAAGACCTCAATTCCATCCTGCTTGATGTTCATGCCGAACATGCCCCAGTAGCTCTGGTACGGCATCGCTGGGACTGGCTTGAAGAACTCCTGCCATTGTTCGGGTAAGGCGGATAGTGTAAACAAGGCTTTCTTGTGGTCGCCTATTTCCGCAACACCGCTCTTGCTGTTGACTGTGACGAAAACTGCATTGTCGGATCCGGCGGCTTTGATGCCGAATGTGATAGGATATTTGATCTCGGGGGTATCGGCGAATGCTTGGAATTGAGGATCTTTTGAGATTGTTGAATTTCGGGACGGCGTTTTTGAGTTGGCTGGGGAGGTCGGCCCAGGCGTGTGCATTTGAACCCATTTTTTTAATATTTATTATGATCAAACTCTTTGTTTGTTGATAGTGTGGCTTATATACTGAATCGCGTATAATTGTGGATTGTCTGAATCTACAGTCCACTTATATCGCATGGCCATGGAAAGACGGAAATAGTCCCTGGTAAACTCCCCCGCAGTACCCCGCAACATTATACCTATGAGATGTAACCCCGCACTTTCACAATAAAATCCAAGTTCCTGGCACAGCTGCTCGAATAAATTGATTGGACTCTAGAAACTGTATTTTGGATATCCAATTACGAGAAGTTAACACTTCCAGCCCATGATGCCATCTCACAGCACTGGCGTGTTACCTCCGCTAAACTACCTCTTGACGATGGTATGCAGTATGATTTCATGGCTTGCTCGGTAAAGCAGGACCTTGATGTTCTGCATCTGACATCTCTGTAGCTCTACTCCGGTTCATGGAGATCTCCAGCAGTCCCTCGTCTGTGAAACTTAAGCACGATGATGAAAAGTGAGCAACAGTGGTCTTCGAGGTTTGTTTGTTCGCCAAGCACGTTCCCGTCGCTTACCGAGCCTAGCCGACTTGACCCCTATTCTGAGTAAACAATCTCACAATTTCTCTCAGGACATGATGCAGCATTCTGTAGATGTGCTTTTGATGCTCGTTTCGTTCCATGCTGCTGCCATGATCGTGTGCTAGAGTTTGAAGGGCTGAAGTGGCTTGCCCGAGCATCACTTTTCCATGCTGTGGTTCATGGTGGCGGGGACACAATCACTGCAGAAATCTATTGATCGGCGACCTTCCGCGTAGTACAGAATGTGCGAACCACAGCAGCAGCAACATTCAAACAATTCTATTGACGGAATGATGGCCTAATCAGACACTTGGTAGCTGTTACAACAGCGCGAGATGTTACAATGGGGATAGAAAACAAACACGTTATCTTGTTATAGCAGGCGAGAGCGTACATTAGTCCCTCTGACTGACAGTCAAAGTTGTTCGTCCATTTCACTACTCTCTATAAGATAGGTTATATGGTCTGTGTTGGTTATACGAGATCCAGACGGGGCACCATCTAAGTCGAGCAGCAAGTCACTGTCTGCCGGTGCCATCTCATCAACATTCAACTCACATTCTCATCCGGTCTCTTTGGAAGACATCCCCAGCCAAACCCTTCATCCGGAATAGGAGGGTACGGCAGCTTCTGGCAGCTAGTCTCGGGATCACAGCACGGATGCGGTGTACCGATGTCCCATCCCAAGTGACACAGCCAATGATTCTCGTCCTTATCTGGGATCTTCCATTCGGGCATGCACTTCTCCTTATCGTTTTCGACATGAACCTTTGACTTGATGAAGATGTTCTCTTCGACACAGATCATCGTGCGGTAGGCGGTGATACAGGTGAGGCCTGGGCAGCAAGTTCGACCTTCGATCCAGGGTTCACATTGCTTTCCGACGGCTGCGACGCAGCTGGGTTCTTCGAAGACATGATTGGCGTTGTGGATGGTGTTGGAGTGCTGGGATAAGTTAGCTCCAATTCGTGAGAGAATTTCAATGCTTGGCATTCATACCTCTGGGGCTTCAGAAGTGATCAGGATATCTGCTATCATGTTAGAAACGACAGAAATGGCTGACGATCAGGCAAATGCTAACCAATTTGTGCAGGTACAGCTACCACGCATGTTGCGAGTGCGACGAAAGGAAGGAGATGCATATTGCCGGATCACTTCGCGTTTTGTTGACAGAGATTGTTCTGTTCATCAATTTGGGTACGCTGAACAGAATCTCGTAGGAGAATATGGGTTTCTGGAGAGCTTTTAAGGATTTCTATTTTCACGACGTCATTTGAATTTCTCTGTTTCTATGATGATTGCGATCTTCATCGCAGTATGTTCTGTTTCATATTCAGTTCTCTGGACGACATCAAGATGCACTCGTGCCCGAGATACTTGGTGTCCTGTACTCCCATATAGTAGCTTTCACGAACTAGTCGGGATATCCACATAGGTGGTGCACGCAGCAATTACAATTCTCTACGATCTGCACCCATGTTTGGACACTCGCGTCACGGGTACAGTTGCCAAACTACCTCATGTAGCACTTGTGCGGCAAGTAGTTTATTTGAGATGGCTACACTCCGTGAAGTGGTAGTGAAACACGTCAGATCGAGGAGACGTGGTTCATTTCCGCACTTGATAACAAACAATCTATTTCAAAGCATACGGTGCGATGAACGGACGATAATTCTTGTATCCATGAGACAGCTTGAAAATTCGAAGGTCGTTTTCAACTCCCTCTGTGGACGTTTCGGGAATTGTCGGTCATCAGCTGAAAGTAATGAGCATCTTAGCTCTGGAGGGCTTGTTAATTATCCAAATGAAAAGAGTAACATGATGGAAGTTATCAAGTTCACCTCATGACATGCTCCAATTGCTTCCTATAAATGTGAAACCATGGTTGAATCTAAGAGCCAGGACCATTTGACCCGAACGGACGCTGCCTAGCAAATCCGCAGCTTGTGGACAGACCAGGGACTGGCACCTGTTTTTCTTGATAACAACCAGGGTCTTGATATCTATCAAGCTCCCAGAGCATGGCAGTCCCAAGCTCACTTCATCAGGGGTCGGTCGGTGGATTAAGCGAGACTAGGAGAAGAGTCAGAAGGGGATAGCACGACTTGGATCTGCAGCATTACAAATTGAAAAAATTACATGTGTAGAGATTGTACCAAGTAATAATTTATGACAACTGTTGCTGCTCTCTTATTTCCTTGTTGGGTCTTTGTTCAATCAAGCATTCTCTCAATCAAATCAACTCGTGAGGACAATGCAGACACTTGAAGCGCGCGGCGATTGTCTACAAGACCAAAAACGATGCAAACTAGCTGAAACTTTGGCTCTAAATCTCTTACAGTGTACCTAATAGTACAGATATTATATACTGTCATCAAATCCTTCTACTGGGCCGTCACGTGATGTATCAAAACAACAATCCTTCATTCACCTCAACAGGCTCCACAAAGAACGAGATTCAGCGAGAAATACCAGTCGCCGAAGTCTAGACGTGTCCGTGCTCCCAAAACTTCCTTGATTATCTCTACTCATTCCAGCCTCCGAGGAAATCGCACAGCATAGCTTAATCCCATCGCCCTGAGCCCGGGAATAGTGTCCAGCGGACCAAGGGAAAGCCAAAACGCCCAGTCCCCCAACCAAAATCAACATTGCAATCCACAAACGCGGGGAAAGCTCATCCCTTCACGCCACAAGCGCTAAGGTGCGCCATCCAGTCATTGCAAGTTTGACTGTTTGGGCTAAGTGATAGGTCTGGACTGCTGTATTGAGGTGTTGGACTGAATTGGAAGGGCGAGCTGGTTTCTGTGTGTTTTGGGCCTGGAGCGTGACGTGCGTTGGGGTGTTTCATTGCTTTGGGCTTGGGGAAAGTGAGATTGAGTTTGGGGCGTGGAGATGAAGGCAATTCTGAGCGACTCCATGACAGCCTCTAAAATATGGGGAGGAGTTCGGTGTTAAGCACGGAGCTTGCGAATGAGTAGTGGTTAAGAAGAACCCTTTATTGAAAACATGTCAATTATGTAGCTAAAGCTGATCATATATGTAATAATCGTGAGAATTGTGAGAATCAAATCAGATATATGTAACTTTGAAGGATTGATTTGTATTTTGAAAATTGGTCAATTATTAAGTATGATCCATGAAGCAAAATACTTCAGCTCCGGCCCCAGCACCCAAGAATTCAATGCAACGCTATCCTCCCAGCCAGCACCATATCGCTATCGATATTGGATATCCCGGTAACATCAGCTAAATGACACCCCACCGACTCACTATATCTCCGCGACCACATACACCCACCCTTGCCTCTTGAAGCGAGTTCTGTTCCGTTCTCCTGGTGCGTTTCGTACACACAAGACTCAAACCATATTCTCCTTAGCCTTCTGCCTCTCACTGGCACCCTTGATGATGGTGGACAGGTCCCCAACTGGTAGTTGGATTGGGAAGTCAAGTGCAGCGAGCATGATAGCGGCGAAGATCCACCATCCGGCCATAGATGTGACAAACGTGAACGCACCAGCAGCGACTTGACATCTGTGAGCCGTCTCTGCGTGCGAAGCATCTCCTGTGCTAATAGCAAGAGCGGTTTGCCAGTAAACGCCAGCAAGGAGACCGAAAGCTGGGACGAGAGTGAAGAAGATAATGACGAAGACGACGTTGGTGCGGAGAGAGCAGATGAGATAGACGAAGCAAAGAACTCCCATGAAGAGAAGGAAGAATGCGAATGAGGATGTGAATCCGACTGTTGCAATACCCGCAGATTCTGGTTCGCCGGGAGGTGCATAAGATCCATAGGCGTAGTAAAATGGTTGAAGAGTTGACGCGAATGTGAGCCAGAAAGCGCCGAAAGACATGAAAACCACGAATGGGAAAGTGTTTCCAAGAATGAATTCAAGGAAGCCACCGACCATCATCATAACACCGCCAAAGAAGAAGTAAGAGCCACTGCACGTCGTTAGTCTAATGCTGAGATTTTAATATTTGCGCAGTAACTCACATTCCAGAGGCACCATTGCCGCCAGAGCCTCGCCATCCCATAAGAATACAGCAGAGAGGAGATAGGCAGAGGAGAAAGCCACAAATGGCACTGCAGATCAGTCAGTCAAGATCGAGTGACAAGAAGGCTGGACTGAACTCACACTGGAGTTGGGTTACCGAATGTCTTTCGTAAATCACCCTTTACTTGGTTCTGAGGCGAAAGGTAGATCTTCTCGAAAAGCTCAGGCGAGATGGAAATGCTTCCAGCTGTTCTGATTCTCTTCAATGCTGTGTCACTGTCCATACTGGTATCGTTCAAGTGATACGAGTTCTGTCCATTGCCATTCGTGTACCCATTGTTGCTGAAATCCTTCTCCATAGGAGCTTGAGCATCATGTGCGGTGGCTGCTGCCATTTTGACTGAGGTAGGGTATAAAGTTTTGCTGACGTGTAGAGAAAAGCTTGAAATACTCACAAAGAAATCTGATCAGAGAGGAGGGAGAGGAACCTGGGGGGCTCCAATGCATTATGTAGCTCTGCGTTTTGGGCCTTCCACAGCTCCGCACCTGCGGATCCCCGGATTCTTTTCAGGTAGTGATAGCTCCTAGATCCAACCAGGCGATCAGACGATCCTGGTAGGACGCATAGCAGCATCACCAACATCACCCCTGAAGTGAAGCTGTTCAGATGGGTGCAAGTGTGGCTGCTTGTGGTGGGGAAGCTTGAAGATAGTTCTTGAATTCCAGGAACTATCCGAGCTCGGCTTTTGTTATTGGCTGGGGAGGAGCTAGAGTTGTCCAGGGAGTCTTCGATTGCCATGCCCTGGAGATGACGATCCAAAACAGCTTATTAGGTCGAAATTCGGCTTGTCCTGCTTTACGCTCCTGAATCCCGAGAACATATTTTGAAAGCATCCTACAACACAAATAAAAGAATGGGACAGCCGATCTCCCTCTTTTTCCATTTTCAATCACTTCTCTCACAACAACTGAAGAGATGGTATTTGCTTCTCAAGGCATTTTCCAATTCATGGTCGCGTCATGGAGTAACGGAACGGAATTATGGCGCGTTGCTGGCCAATGGAGCGTCGTACGATGCGGCCCCGGCTCCCTTGGGGATGCTTGTCGTTGCACGAGTCACTGGCTTTCTGAGTTCTGTATGATTTGCGGCCTCGCAACTGGTGGCCGCTATGGTTTCAATGCTTCATTGGCTTGAAATGGATGTGAGGAAGTGCCGGCCAAGTGGAAGAGACGCACTTGAGACTGATGGGGGATGGTGTTGAGGTCCGGGGATGGATCGGCAAGCCGAGAATGCGGGGGAAGCTAGAGTCCATTTTGGCGGAGGCGGCTCAGAACTGCGCCGCTGCTCCACTGGATTCGACTTCACGATGTCGGGAGGAGGAGAAGTTCACGATGTCGGGAGGAGGAGAAGTTCACGATGATCGATTTGAATTTTCGCTGTGAGTGTGGCTGCTCTGCTTCCACAAGAATAGGAAGCCATAGAGGCTGGAAACGAGAGTTTTCGCGAGAGTAACCGAGCACCAAGCGAAAGCAACAGCGTCACGTGTATCAAAAGAGAGCTTTGGAATATTTCACTTTTGAGGATGTATATTCCATCCGCTGTTATAAGATACTACATTTTGCTTTACTATGATATTTGCGTTATGAGCACGATGTCTTTGCTGCATTTGGCTACTACCACTGTTGCTCGAAACGCAAACTTTAACCCCGGATTGCCGCAAGCCACGAAGTCATGGAAAGCCCCATCTGTAAATTTGGCGAAAAGTCGAGACCCCGAGGAAATTTGAAGGCGGATGCAGCAGTGGCAGACTTGAAGACCGCAGAGATGTGACCAATCATTACTCAAGAAGGCTAACAGTATTTCATCTTCTTGAGGTGTTCGTGAAACACTTTGACATATCCTTCTGCATCTTGCAAGAAATCATTTCAGATTTAGGGTGACAGAGCCAGGAGTCTCAGGTTATCAAGCGTTTATTGCAAAATTTATTAAGCTTTTATTGCAACTTGGGACATTCTCCTGTCAGAAGTATATTACTCAATATCAAACCTGACTAGTACCACGTGACCGTGGACCACCTCCGCATTGATCGACGTCCCGTACCCGTTCTCTCCGCTCCTTTGATTCTATCCCAAATGCCATAGCATTTAGACTTCTTCCTACGGAGCAGTTTCCCAGTTGAAACCAATCGCAATCGTTGTGTCCATCTGTCGGATGCCCATTACCGAGGAATCGCACAACCAGTGACTGAACCACATGTTTGGAATAACCAGTGACGACGTGATTGGCCACGCTCATGAACGATCTTTTGAGTCAATTTTGAGGTGGTTGGGGAATTAGGAGGATGGACGTGAGTCCGAATACCGAGACTACGAAATTGGGCCGCGGACAACTCGGCTCGCTTGTATCCGTAGAGATCAACAAAGAGGGGTAACAGCGCTATGAAGCAGCAAGGAGGAAGAAATCATGTGATAGTATTGTACCTAGAGTTCTGCGATACTTCAGCTCGAGAGAGCCAGATCGAAATGAATGAAAGACGACTGATTTTATATTACAATCCAGATCCAGGTCCTTATGGAATCTCTCGAAGGCTAGGCCTGATACGGTAACGCATACTGCCTTTTCACGGTTGGAGGCCTATTGGTATTCCGAGATGGGGACTCGAGTGTACTCACCAGTGAGAACTGGATCCCACATACAATGACCAACACGGGGTTTTTGAAAAATAGAGATGGCAGTACATTGTTTTTCCAGGTTCCTGATAAGAAACACCGCCTATCAATTCGGCAGCGGGTACTCCCATTAGTGCTTGGCAAAATCAGGATACTTGGGTGCAAGATTTAGTGGTCGAGGTGCCGTCAGAAGTTTGGTATCTGTGGGCGCGTAATATGGAGCCAGAGATTCTGCAGCATGTAGCTCAGCAATACTGAAGCCTGAGCGTTGGGCAAGCGTGGATAAAGAAATAAGGTAGTGGACCAGAGCCAGTGGATTACATACCATAAGCGTATTTGCGCTGATATGTCTATCTTTTTTCGGAGTGTTTTCTCCGTATCAGGCAATAGAAAAGATGGTACAGATCACTTTTGCAATATATTTGAGTTGCGAGAACGTGGGGATCCTAACACGCGCCGTTTCCTTGTGGATGGCTATATATCTCAGCTAGGTCTATCAGTGAGACTGGAGCCTTGAGAGCTCATGTAAATTTCTGTGCAGTTTCGTAAACACTTGATAAGTCTCTGGAGAATTATGATTAGAGAATGCCGGTCTTCATTGTTGAGGCATAGCCGCCTACTCCATCGAAAAGGCTATCTTTAGAACAAAGACCAGCGCAGAAACTTCTTCCAGATTCCGGATACACCTTACAAAGTTCGTTTCTATTACTTCTGCCAATGGCGCATACGGGAGGTTGATACTTCTGCCACTCTCTTTGTGTTGACCCGTACCACTGACTGAAAATATCGGTTTGTTTAGCTTCCCAGACGCTTGGCCTGATGTGAGAGCACCGGCTTGTTGCATTGCAACATATAGATTCAAGAAGAAAGGGCTTAAACCAAGTGATATAACTGTGTACTTGGTGTGATGAGATGTGGAGACTAATGTCACCCCAAATATACCAGAATGAAAGGAGTTGGCGACTAGGCGACGAAGAAAAGAAATGTCGGACAAGTTTTACCATATGTCGAAATTTGTCACCAACTGGAACCCGCAAGCAATTGATAACCAAATAACTCAAGACGAATTTCCATTCACTGAGCAGAGGAACATTATTTGAAGGGGAAAAAAGGACGATGTAAGTAAGGGAGATATGTTACAACGGTGTAAATAAAAGCACGTGCTCTCGTGTCAATGCGCTACCTACACTGCGAACGCGAATTTATCCAGACGCGATTGCTTGGATTCTGCTGTGCCACTCGGCTTGACAGATTAAGTTGAATTTGACCACGTCTCATTCCAATTGACTGCAAAAGAACCCCTCTTCCAGTTCAACCAGCGAGCTGTTGATTGTTTCTACCACAAACATGCCTCCAAAGAAAGCCGCGGCCTCCACATCCACATCGGTCTTCATTGTCCTCCTGGGCACATCGATCGATTCTGTCCATGCCTCCCTCGAATCTGCGAACGAGCGCGTTAGTGTAGCTAAAAAAGAAGGCAATGGCAAGCCGAGGATCGAAGTACAGAACTTGGTCGGAGGCAGCATGACCGTCGATGCAGTTGAGGACACGAAGCCTGCGAAAGCCAAAGCTATCAAGAAGGAAGACAAAGAGGACAAGGAAGCGAAGATTGTCGCGCCGAAGAAAACAAAAACACCAGCAGAGCAGCGCGCGGCGAACGCGACGAAGCCCAAAGGCGCCGTGGATGAGTCGGAGCTGCCAGACAATTACAAGACATTGCTGGGAGGCATGGGAACTGCACTGAATGGACTCTCGATCTGTGTCACTGGGGTTCCGCCAACACTGGGGAGGAAGAATGCTGAAAAGCTGGTCGTAAATTATGGTGGGAAGGTTGCCAGCAGTTTGAGTAGCAAGACAAGTTATGTTGTCGTGGGTAATGATGCGGGACCGACAAAGTATATTCCCCCGCGCTACCCGTTTCGCTCGGGAAGAACCTTCTTCGGACATCCCATGCTAACTGCAGGTGCGCAGGCTGGAGAAAATCGAGACTCTAGGTCTTATCACGTTAGATGAGGACGGACTCGTCCAACTCATTGAGGGCGGCGATGGAGCCAAGCGGTCTGCAGATGACGAGGAGGATACAAAGCCCTCCAAGTCCAAGAAGCGAAAGACCTGAGTGGGTTCTGGTTCATGGCGTTGAGAAGTTCAATTGTCTCGGCCACTTCCGCCACTTTAACATGCGCGTGTATATTTCCTTGTTTTTAACGTTTTCTGTACATCAAATCTGTAAGCGTGTATGATATGGTGCTACATGCGGAAGAGGTAACCTGAGGACAGTTGCTTCTATAGCATATAAATGCGGCTCGTTGGCATTTCGTTGGTAAAAGTACTGCACCATTAGTTCTCGCAAAGTATCTTGTTGGTGCTACGTTTCGTTGATAACTCATAATGTCTACTCTATTTCTGGAGTTCAACTCCGATGAGAAGTTTTGTCGTGACGCTATAGCTATGTCACGTCCTAAACCAAGTTCTCCAGGAAAGAGGGAAATCCGAGAGCAGGCGATAGGGAAGGCAAGTGGTTGCTAAAACGGAAAAGTCTTTATATTAATTCATGATAATTTGCACGGATCTTTGGTCCAAAGATATCCTGGCCTTCTCAAACCCCCGAGTTTCTATGATGCATTTTTCTTCTGTTGTTGTCTTGATGTAAACCTTTGTCTTTACCAGCATGACGAACCTCAAGCTTCGAAGCACGAATGCTATTCATTACGCACACCGAACATAATCAGCCCTGCTTCAATTGCCTCTTGCTGCGGTAGAGAAACTACTCAAAGCGGGAGTTGCGATAATTGTACTAACCACATCAAGAAGTTCACAGTCTTTGCAAGGTCTCCACCACACCAGCCATACTTGGCATCAGAAACCAAGCCTTACGGCCCTCTCCGCATCCAATCACAGTTGATAATCGCTTCGACAAGCCAAAGTGCAGAGAAACAAAGATAAGATTTAACCACTACCGATGCTATGCCGTGCAGCAGATCTCATTGCCGCTGCTGGGGTTATCCCGCTTCAAGAAGGTCGCTCGGGTCGTTCGATCGGAGACGAAGGCTTGTGGAAGGTACAAGACTCTTGGTACTGCACGATGCCGCTGCTATCCTGCCATTCGCCTGCGCTGGTGAGTGCCGAGACATGAAGATGATTGCATGATTGCAATTAGGGCGTGCCGACCAAGAACCGACGGACGATGGATTGCTATATAGACTGCTTGTACCGTGAGTATCTTGCTAAACATTCAAGTCGATTTGTCTCTGATTTGTTTTCAAAATGCATATCTCTTCAATTCTTCCGGCTTTTGTTGCTTCTCTGTCTTTGGTTGCGGCACTGCCTCCAACGGATAGCAGAGTTGCCAACGATGGAAGTCTTCGTTTAATCAAGACCTCCGAAGCTGATCCTGGAGTGTGGGTCACTGAAGAGCAGAAGATTACCCAGTACGTCGCTAAGAACATTGGATTCATCGACATCACAGACATCAAGGTACTCATTCTGATTTTTGGAAGTAAAATGTCTTGGGCTAACTCGAGTATCAGAATGAGACGGTTCTCAGTCGCCTTTCCACTGTCCCAAACGAATCCGCTATCCAAGCTCGTGCTGTCACTTACCCCACAGCACTGACACATACGACTGAGGCCAATGCTTTGATTGCCAAACTCAACACGACCGGTCCGAAGAGCTGGTTGACGACTTTGACCAAGTAAGTTGATGTCTACCAAGGAGAGGTTCCAAAAGCCGCGCAAGCTTACACACAACTAGCTATTTCAATCGATACTATCGTTCTACCTACGGCACCCAAGCCGGAACGTGGTTACTCTCGCAAGTAAAGACCATCGCTTCAACCAACGCAGCTATCACAGTCACCACCTTCACGCATTCTTTTAATCAACCTTCCATCATTGCCAAGATCCCAGGAACAAGCCCAAATCTTGGTTCGTCTCATCAATTCTTACACACCATTTCCATTTCTTCGATGAATTCTGCTCTACCACAAACCTATACTTACATTGCTGCAGTCATCGTAGGTGCTCACTACGACAGTACCGGAGGCTCTTCCACTGCCCGAGGTCCCGGTGCAGATGACAATGGATCTGGCGTCGTCACTATCCTTGAAGCTCTCCGGGTCATCGCCGCTTCAGGATTCAAGCCCAAGAATACAATCGAGTTCCATTTCTATGGCGGCGAAGAGGGTGGTCTTCTCGGATCCCAGGCCGTCTTCAGCAACTATGCCAGCACGGGAAAGAATGTTTTAGCTGTTGTTGTGCAAGGTATGCAGAATTCCCTCCCTTTATCGCTCTCCAATTCATGCTATCCGATTTCTGGACAGTATTATGTATCCAGCAAGAGGTTCAAAATTGTGCTGACAAAATTTGGGGCTTCAGATATGACGGGATACTCTCCATCCGGCAAAGTCAGTGTCTACACCGACTACAGTGACTCTGGACTCGTCACCTACGTCCGCAAGATCGTAACCCAGTACACTGGCATCACATATACCACTGATAAGTGCGGATATGGATGCTCCGACCACGCCTCTGCTTATGCCAATGGCTTCCGTGAGCATTCCTCCCCCTCCACGTCCTTTTACGAATCGCTACCAAAAGTCCGGATTGCAGAGGTTGAAAGATTGAAGAGAGAAGTTGGCTGACATTTTATTGTTGCAGCTGCAAGCTACGTGTGTGATGAGGTGATCAGGACTAGCAGTCCATACATACATTCCCCGAACGATGCGTACTTAACCATCATGTGGGATGCTATCTTGAGACATTCGAAGGTAAGTCAAAGAGTGATCTCCAGGTGGCAGATAGACCATGGCTAATGCAACGCTTAGTTCACTGTTGGATATTTGATTGAGGCCTCGTACATTTGATCTGGACAATTGAAAGATCATGTTTCCCCGCGCACGTACTCACTTCTGTACTGAACGAGCTTGGTCAGCAGAAACTCTAGAGCACATCGCACTTTTCAATTCTCTGTATATATTCACTTCCCAGTGACCCAGAACAAAATGAATGATCTTGCGAATAGTGTTTATGTAAATCCCGGGAGGTTATTTTTGTCGTCACCGCGTGCTTACTTCAAAACATCTTTTTTTACATTCACCGCCTGCAAGTGCAGGCAGCCACGTGCGTGGAGGGGAGGAAAAACATATAAATTGTGTACCAACGGCACGACAGAAACACCAAATCAGAATCCCGCGCGTGAACTCGGAGTCATTATACTTCTCGAGCAGGGACAAGAGTTATCGCTCAATCCATACAACGCAAATTTCCTCATTAGTGATCCAGTAGTCGAAAAAGAAATAAGGTTATTCCAAAACTCATCACACGACGAAAGTTCCGTGTAGAGACTGGAAAGAAGTCCTGCTTCTCTGATGGTGATTAACACTTTGATAGCGAAAATTAAATTGGCGGCAAAATCCAATAGAATAATGTATGTCCACCCAAGCCGGCGGCATGCAAGGATACGCTTCTTCGCTTAGTGTTGTTGACTTCCATTGTTTCGTACTCCCCAAAAACAAAGAATCAGAAGTTTTCAAAGAGAAGACCTGGGGATGGAGAGACACTGTATCGTCTTCCCTCATCCGCGGAATTCTATTACAGCTCACAGGTATCTTTGGGATAGATTTATAGCTAAAGGTTCTTGCTCAGTTGACGCCCAGCAGGATTCACTTCTGAAGTATCAACACGTGTGAAGTCTTTGAAGCGCAGTGACTGCAGCATTATTCTATTTAATCATATAGCCGTTAACACAATCATGAATTACCTTCAGCCAGTGCCCAATCCAACCTCACCAAACCATGTAACCCGACCATGAAAATGCAAATTATCAATTTCCCAAACTGTGTCCCAATGCCCAGCCATTTCCATTTCCCCAGCATATCAAAGCTTAAAAGCTTTTAGCAGTGATCTTCCCACTTATGCGTGGCAAGAAACACTGATGATAGTCTGAGGAGGTCCAACAGCCCATCTGTCAGCGCTCAATCGAGCAAGCGCAGCAGAGCCATCAACGTAAACAAAGTTGCAGTTGGTAGCCAAGGCATCAAAGTTAGAGACAAGAGTCGAGATGCTCAGAACATTGTTGGTTGGGACGACGGATCCATCAAGAGGGACGGTAACCTTGTAGAAAGCTCCCTTGTCTGGATCCGCGCCATCGAACTCGATGACGATGGATGCTGATCGTGGAGGTTGGGGTGGTGTGGTGCCCTTGGTGCAAGAGATGGAGTTTACGGTCTGTGGGGGACCAACGACCCAGGTGTTGGCTGGGCCTTCGACGAGTGCGGGTGGGTAGTCGACTGTGTGAAGGGTACACTCGGTGGCGACGTTGACGTCGTAGGAAGAGACGGAGGAGATCGAGAGAACGTTGCCTGGAGATGTGTTAGCCGAGAACTGGTGCGTCAGGTGATGATCAAAACATACCAGTGTTGGTCAAGGTTCCGTCAAGAGGAACGGAAAGAGAGTAGGCTGCATCTGCGGCGCCGTGGAAGACTACATTGGCGTAGTTGGTGCGGCTTTGAAGTGGTGCAGCTTGAGTGAGAGCGGCGCCGGCGGCCAAGCTGATGATGGTTGAGAGTTGCATGATGAAGGTTGTTTGTATGGTAAGAAAGTTCTTAGCAAAAAGTGTTTGTGTGGAGGATAGTTGTGCGAATGCGAATGCGATGATGATGGAGAATGATGGGAACGAGAGGTAGGATCATTGTCATATATATACCTGAAAACATGCTGCTACGACAGACATCTAACGTCAGGATAGAATGAGCATCACTGGATCGATCACTTGCCAACACTTGCCAACACTTCACGAGGCTGCATACGAGAGCTAAGAAAAGATACAGGAGCTATTGCGCAGTAGCTGTAGGATGCCGAGTGCATATCGCTAGACTCAATACGAGTGAAGTGTGGAGGGGCAGAAGTCCGAGGAGTTGAAATGGAGCCACAGGATAAGCGGGGCTGAGCTCTGAGTGAGCTTGAGCTCTCACGATGCCTTCAAGCTTACTACGATGAAGGGCCGAGGCCGAGGCCGAATCTGACTGAGAAGACTTGTCGTTTTCTGCTGAAAAGCGTGATATTACTTGTTCAGCTTGCAATTGACAAGCCACTGTTCGAACAATCCGACAACAACAAAACATCAATATTGCACAGACTCTGAATGAATAAATAACTTATGAAGCTGTAGCAAGAATCAAGCAGCAAACAACCTTCAAAGCGAGAACTCGACCATCCGGAAATTGGGGATTAGGTTTCAGTCGCAAAGAAGCTAAAAATTTAAGCTTTTTACTGCAATTGCGAGCAAGGCTCCACTGATTTATTTTGGGCGAGGCGTGTCTCCACTGCCATCGTGGCGATGACAAAACAGAGAAGGCATCTGGATCAGCTCCGATAAGATGGTGTGTTGGATACGAATGTCAGCCTTGGTGGCTTGCCACCGATGCTGATGATTTTAGTCGCTTGGTCTTCGAACCACAGGTAGCATAGGGCTGAGAAACCGTGCAGTGCAGTAAGAATATCGTTGGAAGCAACGTGGCTGGGTTTGACAGCTGAGGCTCAGAGGGTTAGGTTTCGACTGATTTTGAGAGCTTTAGTCGATGTGGGGACATCTCCAACGGTGGCGTTGTTGGTTGGCATTGGTTCCACACGTGACCGACGATCCTTCACGAATTACCAACACGACATGCCTCTAATTGTCTGTTCCGGAAGGTGATGGCCAGACGAATACGATTCTCACCGACTTAAGAAGACATGTCAAAGTAGCTCGGGACTCTTAACCCGAGATCCGATTTCATTTGACAACATATTACTCGTATTGGACCCAAGAAAGAGTAAGAACCTACTAAGCGAGAAAGGAAAACAACAATGCCGAGATCTCCGTTCTAGTAAGAAAGTCGTAATGATCTGACGGGCAATGCTAAACTTAGGCGATAAGATCACGACAGATGAAACATTTGTTTGGGCGTGATGTCACCGCTAAAGATTGCAGGTTGAAATAGTAGTTCGTAATTAACGTTGCCGCGATGCTATCAAGACTCGTGACCTCGTGTTCAGTTGTAACACGGATACGAACGATGTTACCTACGCAGAAATGCGCGCACTTGTCGATCGTTCTTAATAGTCGATGTACATTGACGAAAACATATCCTGCCAAAGTGACGCATTCACCTCAAGTCCTCACTGCAGCATTCCTGGGAGCGACAATAATATTAGCTTTGGTCTAATAACTTCAAGTACGACAAGACTCAAAACACAAGACGAGAAATCGGAGGAATAAGTGATAGCACGGATCTTCGGATGCAAAATAAACTCGAGAGCAATTCGTCAGTCGGGGATCCAAGTTCCCGATTCATCTCAGCCAAACCAATCCATCTCCCACCCAGCCAATGGTCTTTTCAGTTTATCCTTGGGTAAACACTCCCTCTCTCTCCCATGTATGCCACAGAAGTCAATCTCCACGCCTCTCCGTAACTTGATATTCAGTGGATTCCATTCTCCGATCTTACCCGTTTCCTTCAGCTTCGCGACTTGTCGAGCCATGTCAGCCTCAACGACAGCCCACTCGTCAGTGAGAGCAGTCTGTTCAGTCATGAGACCAAGAGACCAGGGTTTGCCAGTGACCAGATCAGCTTGTAGCGTATGGTCCGTATAAATGAAGCTGCATCTCTTGATATTGGGGAGCGCATTGATTGTTATGATCCTATCATGACAAGCGAGTCATTAGCGAGTCTGCAGATGTAAAGGGAACAGTGCACCGAACTCAAGTCACACTTACGGGTGTTCATAACCCCCAAACTTATTCCCAAAAGTAACCCTGAATTCCATAGTTTGAGTCGCCATCTGCCACCTCCACAACATCCAATCAACAGCAATAGTCCTAAACTCATTGAGCAAGCCCTCCCTCGCCAGCTGCGCCAAGAGAACCACATTGTCGTCGGAATTATCCTTGATTTCGAAATACGGGATATCGAGATCAAAATTCCAGAATGCATTGAATCTGGGATGCAAAATGCGAAGACCTTCAGCGCGTGAGACTCGGTCGACGGAGAGAAGTGCTGGGTGACGACCGCCGTAGGATGCAGGCTTTGTGGTTGCTATTCCCGGTTTCGATTTTGAGAGGGTGATGAGCATGACGCGGGGTCCAGGAATTGTCTCACGCCATATTTTCTGGCGGATCTCTAGAGGTAGGTTGGGGAATTGGGGAAAGCTTGGGGGAGTTTTGGAAGAGGAGGAGGAAGACGCTGTCTTGCCCTTGGGTCCTGCCATAGTAACGTGGCGCAGTAAGCCTTTCAGAGGCATATCGAACAAGTGGGTTTTGCGATGATAACCACGCGTTTTTGACTAGAATAAAACGATGGAAAGGTTTCTGGAAATGAGAAATCATGCGGCTATGTTGAGGTTTTTGAAGTGTTTCCTGTAGGGCTGTGCCACAGGCAGTGGACAGGCGAGGTGCAAGGCTCTCCCCGGGTAATGTCGAACTCGCTGAGTATTTGCTCTCACCGAAGTATTGCTCGCAAGACCTCGCATCCCCAACACAATAGAGAGAGGAGAATTTGACGAAAGAAATGAATGCATCTCGGACATTAAATTCGCGAGCTCATTGTTCGTGAAAATCCCGCAACTTCTCGAGTTGGTGACCGCGCTTACACTATCATGAACGCTTCCAAGCAATTGGAATACTTTCTTGATGTTAATCTGAACCAGTAATCGAATGTACCATATTCATCAATCAGAGCTAAAAGATTACGTATGAAGACCAGAACATACACATTTTGCTCCAGCTTCAATAAATCTGAATTTCTCTTAAATATCTTGTAACATGTGACAGGTCTTAAGCATGTAATTTCATCTGGTAGAGTATTCTCACACTGTTATCTTCCACCAATGTTGCTTTTTAAGTAGATTCACGGACGTTACAGCTTCCAACTTTTGAGAGGCTGCCTCTGCTCTTTGGATAGCATTCTCGTTTGCTCTGCTTCCTCTGGGTAGCTTGGAAGTATATATGCCTTAACATAGTCGTTCAGTGCCTTAACATAGTCGGTCAGTGAGCCCAGAGATATCGGACTCGACAAATCTGGACTAGTCTTAGAGGCTAAGGCAGCAATCATGAAGTGTGGTAATCGAGGATTGAGTGATTTTGATTTGTTCAGAGTATCTTGTGGGTTCACGCCGGTCAATGGAATTTGGGATCTCAGAATAAATTGCCATAGAGTCCGACCCTCATTTCCTTTGACCGGAGAGTTGACATCAGCTCCTTTCTGGACCAGAACAGAAGCCATATTCATTTCCAAGGGCTCGAATAGCTTTCGACGTGCGACGTAGTGTAGTATGTGGGTCGCAGCAATTTTCTTGGCTTCAGGATGCTGTCCGCCAAGTTGGCTCAATCTCAAGGCTACATATTCTGAGAAGCTGAGAGCCAGGGCACAGGAAAGAAGGTAACTATTCATGCTTTGAGGAACGCTATTTCCGGGTAGACGACGGAAGTCCCACCCTTCAAAATCATATCCACTGATGAGGCTGACATTATGGTTTTCCAACAGATCTTCAGCGTCGTCTAGTATCATAACTTTGCTCATGCTGATTTTCTCTATCCTCATAGCAAGCGCGAGCATAGTAAAGCATACACGCGTTAATGCGCGTATGTCAGGCTCGGTACTACTGCTAACCAATCGGCGGGCCAGCAGGCTTTTACTTCGCATCATCGAAACCATGGATTGAATTCAGAACCATTTGTATGGTTCAAAACAGTCTCCCAGCGAGGTGACTCCTCTAAGAAGTCCTTCGCAGCCCGATGGAGATACTGAACATGACACTCGGATTTCCTATGCGCTTTAGTGATTTCCAGTAGACAGGCACACCTGGCTGTGATGTGGTATTCCGTTTCGCGGGAGATTTTCTCCAGCTCGTTTTGATTCATCTGAGTGACGGCCTGACTGTCGAGGTCCTCATCGAGAGCGTAATATAATTCGGCAAGAGTTAGACAACCTTGTTCCACAACGTTGAATTCCTTTGGTATGATGACTTGAGGTGCTGTTCGTCTAAGCTGGAAAGTCTTGGATGCCCAGACGAGATACGCTTCGTCGATTTGAGACATTATCCTGACGTACAATGGTTCAATTTCGCTTGGAAGTGCGTCAAGCCGGCGCCAAAGGTCAGGTATCGTGTCTCGGTTTCGATTCCCTCAGAGAAGATCTTTGATAACGATGAATACCCAGAGGAAGACGCCGCTGGCTTTTGAGACCACAGCTTGAATGAGGTGAGTGGTTGCTTCAGGCTCTCGAGCTGCTAGCATTTTGAAAGTTCCGTCCTTAAGGAATCTATCACGTACAAAAAGGGCGATATCCGGAAGTGTCAGGTCTTGCAACTTCAACATCCGTGAGCCCGCGAAGTTTTCCTGGAAAACGACATATAGTCGACTCGAGACACAAATTTTGACTGTGCTTTTGCTGTTTTGAACGAAATTCTTTGACATGTCGTTGAAAAAACCTGCGAGGACTTCGTGGTCTCCATCAAACTCATCAAGACCATCGATCAGAAAGAACAACTTGCAAGGCATCTCTTGTTGACTGGTCAGACGTTTCAACGCCGCCATTAGCATGCTCAAAGTCCAAGTTTCGGACCAGACTGCGTGAGGACCATCCGCCAAGTACTTTCCATATCGTTTGAGCCAGAGTGACGGTATCACAATAGGGATCGAAGCATTCCAAGCTGAGATCTCTGCTCTACCGTTCCGCTGTTCCAGAAGAAAAAGCTGCCGATGATCAAAGGAGTATCAGATGTCCCATCTCCTCGAGCCCATATTTTCAGGTGATTTTGTGTTCTCGCATCGTCTAAGATGTGTTTCATGAGGGTAGACTTTCCTGAGCCCGGTTTCCCACTGATCCTGTACAGTTCATTCTCGCTCTGTAGCCAAGTCAACGAGCTTGTGCCATCAAAGTCCTGAAACACCCATTCGAAAGTCTTCGGGTGTGCTTCGACAACGGCCTCGTAACGTTTGGGTCGCATCTGATAGGTCAAGTGATGGAGAACATTTAGTAGGTACCGTTGACAAGACCCCGTAGTAATTTCTCATCCCACTGTGAAAGAGAAAAAGATTCTTCCTCTGGGGTCTTGCCGTTTAAAGTCAGCATACCTGGATCGCTTTTCGTTTCTCTCATGAAAAAACCCCGCATGCGATTTCGATCTTCGCTCATGATGAATAGTTCCATGCGGCTTGCGAGTTGTGCTACAGCTTCTATGACTTCGCGATTATTGGCCTGCTAAGTGTCCATCACCGAGCTCATATGACTTCATATATGTGAACACTAGCTACTCGACTATAATAAGAAAGTGCAAGTGAGTTGTATGCAGCGGGGTTATTTGCTTCCACCGTGAGCTATCGGTTAGCGAAGTTAATGTTCTGGAGGAACACGCTAAATTTAAGGTTACAGCGGACTCCCCCCACGTGCATTGATGCCTTCAGCGTTTCAATAATGCCCCTCCATTTCGCCATCTGAATATATATAGCTTTAATTGAACTTTCGTCTGCCACAATTCTTTTTCCTCATCAACCAACAGTCAATCACCAAGATATATGTTCAAAATGGCTACCGAAGCAGCAGCAAAAACATTCTTCACCGCACAACATTTCGCAGTCGTAGGCGCATCCAGCGACCCCACCAAGTTCGGCCACAAGAGTAGCTCCCCTCCCCTCCCCTCTCTCCCCATATACGCCTTCGTACAATCTCAACATAATACTAACATTTGCGTACAGTATTCACATGGTACACACACCACAACCTCCCCGTAACACCCATCAACCCTTCCAGCTCCACCATCAAAGCCTTCCCACCCTACCCCGACCTTGAAATCAAATCCTACGCAACCCTTCCCAACCTGTCCGCTCTGCCCGACCCCACACAAACATCTGTATCGATCATCACACCCCCGAAGGTCACGATCAAGGTGCTTGAGGAGGCGAAGAAGTTGGGTGTCAAGGGGGTTTGGTTGCAGCCTGGGAGTTTTGATGATGAGATTTTGGGGTTTGCCATGAGGGAGTTTGAGGGTGCTGCTGTGGGAGGAGATGGAGGGAGGGGGAGTGAGGGGTGGTGTGTGCTTGTTGATGGGGAGAGGGCGGCGAAGGCGGCGGGGAAGAGCTTTAAGTTGTGAGGGGAAGGGAAAGCGGGGAGGTATAGGTGATTGAGTGGTTAGACGTGGATTGAGAGGGATGATGAGATACCAGATTGACATTGTCGCTGTACAGTTCCGTGGTATCGACATGTACAAGTCAAGCGCGTGGTAATAAGATTAGCCCGGTTGATTTGGCTGTTCAATAAATCTCTAGTCAGCTAATGAGCTGTTTTGGAAGGCATAGTTACTTCGGATGGATCTGAAGTAAGCATTTCTGGTCTTCGGTCTGCTATGGTCTCGCACGAACGAACACTCCATATCTTCGCACTTGATCGCTTCTTCGATATCAACGAATAGATGGGGGTTTAGGTTAATACTCAGATCCCCATCCTAAACAGTAAATGTTCCACTCTTCACGGAATTTCGACGAAAGCTGCAAAGTAACAATTTATACAATATTTTATTTTCTGACATCTTAATTCCAAATGAACGCTTTGAAATCAAGGTCACTGCTAGTTTATGATTATCATAAAATTTTCTCTAGGCGGTCTTATTTCTGCTTTGGTTGTCCTGATTCTGATATCAGAAAAGCTCGCCAAGAGAAGGCTGAAGCAGCCGAGGCAAAGAAGCTTGGCCACAGCCTTGCAGATCATCTCAGAACCCCGATTTCGCATCAGACAGACTGCATTCCATCAATACAACACAACATCGATAGGATTCGACTATTGATACCGGTGTTTAATCTTCACCATACTCTATTCGAGACATCGTTGGTAAGAGAAGTCTCAATTGCTTTTTGATACCCTGAGTGGACTTGGCCACATCCACAAGTAGCTGGATCCGCCTCCAACTTGCTGCTTGGTTACAGCTTGGAAGGGCTATCTATACCTGAGAGAAAGCTCTTATTTGGTTGGCCTACAAAACCAATCTGTACCTTATATACCCCCAAAGTGGTTCATCCACTACCTACTCCAGCAAAATGACGACCTTCGCGCAAGTCCTCCCTTTCCTCCTCTTCCCCCCCTCATCGACCACCACCATCTAACTCCTCCTTCCACAGAAAATCCACCTTCAACGCCCTCACCTACGCCACCTTCCGTCCAACCTACCCCCCTCAAATCTTCAAAACCGCCCTCGCCTACCACGCCTCCTCCCCCACCCCCAAACAACACACCCTCCTCGACCTAGGCTGCGGCCATGGCCTCATATCCCGCGCTCTCTCCCCACACTTCACACGAGTGATCGGTACAGACCCCAGCGCAAAGATGATTGCACAAGCTATTGAATCGACGCCTTTCTCAAATGAAAGCCAGGGCGGAGATGGCAGGAAGTACTCAAATATAGAATACAAACAAGCCTCTGCCGAAGACCTCTGGTTCCTCAAAGATGGCGAATTGGATATGGCTGTTGCTGGGCAGGCAGCGCATTGGTTTGACTACTCTCGCGTCTGGGGCGAGTTGAGTCGTACAGTTAGGAACGGAGGAACGCTTGCGTTCTGGGGGTATAAAGATAGTGTTTTTGTGGACCATCCTGCTGCCAGCAAGGTGCTGGATAGGTATTGTTATGACGAGGATAAAATGGGACCGTATTGGGAGCAGCCTGGACGGGATATTCTCAGGGGATTGTTTCGGAGTATTGTTCCGCCTGAAGGGGACTGGGAACGTGTAGAGAGGGTGGAGTATGAGCCTGGTTTGGAGGGGGGGAAGGGGAACGGAAGTGGGGAGGTGCTGATGCAGAGGAGACTGAAGTTGGGGGAGGTGGAGGGGTATGTGAGGACTTTTAGTGCGTATTGGAATTGGATGGCTGCGAATCCTGGGGTGAAGAGTAGGAGGGAGGGTGGCGAGGGGGATGTGGTTGATGAGATGTTTGATGAGATGAGAAGGGTTGAGCCTGAGTGGGAGGAGAAAGAGGAGAAGTGGAGGGATTTGGAGGTGGATAATGAGTGGGGGAGTGTTATTCTGATGGCGAGGAGAAAGTGAGGGTGAATATGCGGGAGTTCTTGGGGTGGTGAGAAGATTGCCGGCCGGCCGCAAGTAAATACTGGTTATCGCCGTGAGCTTTGCAACTTCGGTAAAATCACCTCGAACTACAACATTGAAATCAGTGTATATAATTATATATGTGTACCCCGAGGTAGATTTGTGAACTAGATCACTTAAAACAGGCTCAAAAGTTATTTCAGGATGACAGAATATGTCATTTCAGTATCCAAGCAGAAGATGCGTACGATGGGCAGAGTTTACTAGAGGACTTTGTTGTTGTCAACAAAGAAGGCTCATACAACAATGTGTTCTAGAGGCTGTGGCAGAACTTAAACAACAAGAATGACGGCATTAGACATGGACTGCATCAAAGTCTCGGGCCAGAACCAATTGAAATCCCATCTCAGCGCATTTAACTTTCCCATTGATCCTCAGCCTCGCGTCGCAGCCTTCTCTTATCATAACCTGGCCTCTGACTCGCATCACTACAGTATCCGTTGCCCTGCCCACCACCCCAACCAGCGCATGTTTCGTTTCACGCATAAATGCACGGCCCCGCGACAAAGAAACAAACCAAACCAACATCCAACCCCATACAAAACTGCTGTCCTTCCCATCTCTCACCTCCTAACATCTACACCGACGTACCTGTTCTCCTCAACTACAGAATCAATTCTTTACATCCTTCAATCGCACATATTTTACATCATGGTAAGTCTTACGTATTTCAGTTCGTTTCAATTCATTTCTTTTGCATGCCAGAAAGGAGGGAATGCGGTGTGCCAGCTAGGAGGACAGAAAGGGGGTAGAAGGGAACAACAAAGCAAATACGCGGTGTTCATGCCCTTTCCTCCCGATGCATCGGAAGCGCCAAAATAGCACGAAAAGCAGCAGCACCATGCCAGCACCAGCACCAAACCAAGCCAAATCAATGCAACTGCAGCTCAGAGACGGAACGAACGATCAACAAAACGGATCGGAGTGGACTGCCCTGGACGAGCAAACAACGCGGCAACTGCAACCATAGCATAGTTAGCTAAGGGGGCTAAAGTTTGTTGATCCTCCCCTCTTGCAACACAACACAACACAACACAACGCAACATACACTTGCACGCTGCACGTAATACTCCACAATCGCATTTGCTACGAAACGATTCAATACCGCACGCACATCGAATAGTGTATTGTTTGCATTTGAGCACCTTTTACGATTCGATCGGATAACACAAAAGAGCATTCCGAACGACCTCTGCTGCTACGGAAGTCCCTCCGCGCTGTTTCCTCGTCACGGTCTTTCTCCTGGGACAACACTTCCAAATCCCTACCCCTGGCAGACATACACTTCCACATACCAAGACGGACAGATAGAGGCAGAGAAAACACAGTCAGAATGTCAGCTAACCAAGCCCCCTACGACGCGCAGGCCTCAACAAACTACAAGGAAGCATTCGCGCTCTTCGACAAGCGCGGCAACCAGCGCGTGCAGGTCGAGAGCCTGGGCGATTTACTGAGAGCCTGTGGTCAGAATCCTACTCTGAGCGAGATTAGGGACCTGGAGAAGAATGTTGGTGGGGATTGTACGTTTTTCGTCCTATTTTCTTTACTATTTCCCATCATCTCCAAATGCAGGCTGACCCTCTTTCTCCCTCCTCACAGTCGACTTCGAGACCTTCTCCAAGATGCTCAACCGCCCCGGGGGCTTCCGCGACCCTGGCGAACCAGAAGAATACTGTCGCGGCTTCCAGGTCTTCGATAAGGATATGACGGGATTCATTGGTGTGGGACAGCTTCGCTATATCCTGACGAATCTGGGGGAGAAGATGAGTGATGATGAGGTGGATGAGTTGTTGAAGGCCGTGGATACTAGTAGTGGGGAGATTAATTATACTGGTATGTTTACACCCTAGACGCACTGTTGAGGTTGGGGAGGAGAGTTGAGAGGAGGGAGGGAGAAAGAGAAACGGGAGGAGAGGAAATGGAAGGGAGAGGGAGAGGAGATGGGCTAACGAGGGAATAGATCTCGTCCGCACGATTCTCGCAAACTGAACACCGTCCAGCCAATCTCGAGGGCTCGAGCATGTTTGGGGATGAGGAAAAGTAACGAGAGATTAGGATAGGATAGAGAGCATACTTCACTGTACGACATTTACGCATTCATGGCATGCATAGGGGCTATGTTATGGCAAAAACGGGGTGGATTACTGGCGTTATACTCTTTTTCTTGCTTTTGTTGCTTCTGATGAAGCTTGCCTTGTCTTTGTTTGGTAGAGGCGAGGCGAGTAGAAGGTAGATAGGTGGGCAGATGGAAAGCAGGAAGGCATTGATGGATACTGCATCGAAGCAGAAGATAGTTAATGCATTGATTTCTGAGACATGCAGAATTACTTCCTGACTGGAATTGACATTGCTTGTCTATGATGTGTTCGTATTCCCTTGTTCGTTTCCTTTTGAATGCCGTAACTCCGCGCTATGCTGCAATATGACTTCCTTCCCGTCTGATAATAAAGCACGTCCTCTCTTCTGCTCGTCTATCGCATGGCAATGGTATGCACTGCACGGAGTACAATATATCGTCCGTCCCTTGATCCTCTCCCAGGAACAGACAAAGAGACCTACCAATTCTTCACATCTCACTCCCCCGATGGTATCGCAATGCATTCCTCTGCGTTGAATCCAAACTCCGTTGCTCCTCCATCCTCCTTCCCTCCTTCCCTCCTCCCTCCAATTCTCCTTCCCTCCTCTCTCCCATTCACCATTCTGGTCCTCCTCCCTTCCCTCTGTTACCAACTCATTCCATCAAAGGACCCGGGTTCCCGCTCATTCAAACACAGCAACACCTTTCCCTCCACCCGTCCCAGTCCCCACAAACCCCACATCCTCCTCCCCAATCTTCCTCCCCGTAGCCATAGTCTCCGTACTCATCACTCCTCCGGGCAAGATATAAATCACCTTCCCTTCATATCCTCCCCCTCCTTCTTTCTCTGTTCCTTTTCCTTTCTCACTCCCATTCGCACCCCCACCCATCTCGATATCTCCTCCACTTGGTATATGTCCTGTTACTTGTGCCGGGGGAGTTTGTAACTCATACCCCACAATCAGACCACACCTCGAACAGCGATACAGAATCCGTTTCTCGAACCCATCTTCTTTCCTTATTATGGTGGTTTTGCGATCGGGTATTAACCCTAATAAGACTGTATATCCTTCTGCTGGTAGACTGGCTCCTTCTCTCTGTTCGTCTTCTACTCCTTCATCGTGTGGGGTATTGGGATTGGAATTGGATGAGGTGGAGAGGGTGAGGGAGGAAACTGGTGGTGTGCTTGGTAGAGGGAGGATTATTGCGGAATCTGATAATGGCGAGGAGGAAGATGACGATGTGGAGGAAGGTGAGGAGCGTCGGGGGAGGGATGAGAGGGTGTGGGTGCTGGAGAGGAGGAGGGAGGTGCAGAGGCAGTGGTAGGTTTGGATTTTGGGGGGTGCCATGGTTGTTGTGGGGTATTGTGTTTTGTTTGGTTCTTGTCGATGCCGCAAATTGGGGCTGCTTGACGGGGATGAGGCGGGTTTGAGGGTGGAAGTGGTCAGCGGTGCAAAGCTGGGCGACGGTGGGGGTAATTTGGATGTGTTGTTGTGTTGTGATGTGAGGCTTTGCAGGGGTTGGTGTTGGTAGAAAGGGAAGAATTTGGACGAGGCTGAGATTTTGATGTGAGGCGGGCATGGGTGAGGTGGATCTTCAGGGTTCGGCGCAGCCTGGCTCCTGGGTCGGGCTGGCTTCGGCTGCATGGAGGGAGGGGACCGAGGGGACTTTGGTGATTGGAATGCTGCACTGAAGAGTTGATTGTTTACAAATACATTGAAATAAATAAATAAGAGAATTCAACTTTTGGTTCAGAAGGTAAGTTAGTCAATGCTTAGGAAAATCAATTACTTTTACCTTACCATGCTATGAAGTTTTACACTCCTTCTTGTACGATTAGTCCCCCTGTAAAGCGTACAGTATTTTCGTGCTGGACCATCTCCTGCAGCCTTCCGCCTGCCTCATGGAGTCATGGACTCATGGCCCGCAAGTGAAACGTGGAGACGCCCATACCTTCCTTCTACGCCCGAACCTGTCAACACCACACCACATACTAGTACTTTCCCTCTCCCAATCCCACCCCACAATCCCTCCACTTACCAATTGATATCCCCTCCCCGTCTTACTTCACCTGCAACAACTCGCATCAACTCGACTCGGGAGCTCTCTCTCCCAATCAATCAACCTACCCTGGCGCCCTCCCGCTTCCGCAAAGGCACGCTCCTCCTCATAATCCTCTCCCTCCTCCTCTTCACCTCCATCTCCTTCACTCTGGCGTCTTCACGCATCGGGCCCAGACTGCGCAGTCTCTTCAGCCAAGTCCGTCCAGCAATCTACAACCCTTTCTCCTCACCTGCACCCTCCAGCTTCCGCCCCATCACCAACTCCACCATGGCTCCCTCCCAATACCAAACCCCGCCACAAGCTCCCCCGCTCTTTACAGCTACTGCCAGCTCCCTCGTCGCTGACGCAAAGAAACTCTGCGAGAACACTCGCTCCCTCTACGACACCATCGCCGCAACTGTCAAGCCCGAAGATGCCACATTCGAGAACGTTGTGCTCCCCATGGCGCAAGACGAGGATGCCATGGCGCTGCAATCCCGCATCATAGGCTTCTACCAGGCTGTTTCCACGTCTGCGGAGCTTAGAGATGCGAGTTCCAAGGCTGAGGAGATCATGGATGAGTTCTCCATCGAGGCGAGCATGCGCGAGGATATCTTTGTACTGGTGGATAAGGCCTGGGAGAAGGCTAAGAATGGGGGAAGTGGACTGGATGGGGAGAGCTTGAGACTGTTGGAGAAAGAGAGGAAGAGTTATATTCGGAATGGGTTGGGGATTGAGAAGGGGCCGAAGAGGGATCGGTTTAAGGAGATTAAGAAGCGGTTGAGTCAGGTGTGTTCTCACCGGTTGCAGGTGTTGAGTTGAGTTGGAAACAGGCTGACAAGAGTAGATCTCGATCGAGTTTCAGAAGAATCTGAACGAGGAGAATGGTGGTATTTGGTTCACCAAGAAGGAGCTTGAGGGTGTACCGGATGATGTTTTGCAGGGATTTGAGAAGGGTACCGGTGAGAATGAGGGTAAATTACGGTTTACCTTCAAGTATCCTGATTTGTTCCCGACTTTGAAGTTTGCGCTTGATGCGGAGACTAGACAGAAGGTGTTCATTGAGAATGAGAACAAGGTCCGTATGGTGGCCTCATATTCAGACTTAGCTAATGATGCAGTGCAACGAAAACGTACCCCTCTTCAAGGAAGCTATCATCCTCCGAGATGAAGCTGCTAGACTTCTTGGATACCCAGATCACGCATCATTCCGTATTGAAGACAAGATGGCGAAGACCCCAAAGACAATCAATGATTTCCTGGATGATCTTAGACAACAACTCACACCAGGTGGAGCCAAAGAAGTCGCTCATCTTCTTGATATTAAGAAAGATGATTTGAAGTCTAGAGGTTTAGAGTTCTCTGCCGATGGCAACTACTATCTCTGGGACTCTCGGTTCTATGGCCGGATGATGGTTGAGAAGGAGTTCTCGATTGAGGAGCAGAAGATTGCAGAGTACTTCCCGCTACAGTCCACTGTGGATGGAATGCTTAAGATCTTCGAAGAATTGTTTGGCTTTGTGTTTGTCGAGCTTACCGCTGAGGATAAAGCAAAGATCTCAAGTATGTTACTCATCTTAGTTTGGTGTCTATGCTAACAAGTAACAGGCACTGGTAAGGGCGAAGATATCTTCTGGCATGAAGATGTCAAGACATTTACTGTCTGGGATGACGAGGAAGAAGGAAACGGCTTTGTTGGTTACCTCTACCTTGATCTACACCCCCGTCCAGGAAAGTATGGCCACGCTGCCAATTTCAACCTCCAGCCTGGCTTCCTCTACCCTAACGGAACTCGTCGCTATCCAGCTACAGCCCTGGTATGCAACTTCTCCAAACCAACACCCACCAAGCCATCCCTTCTCAAACATGATGAAGTCGTCACACTTTTCCACGAACTCGGCCACGGTATCCACGACCTAGCAGCACGAACCAGATACTCCCGCTTCCACGGCACATCAGTGGTCCGCGATTTCGTCGAAGCCCCCTCCCAAATGCTCGAGAACTGGTGCTGGACCCCGTCTCAACTCAAATCCCTCAGTAACCATTACTTAACCGGCGACAAGATCACCGACGATCTCATCGAGAAGCAAATCTCCGTCAAGCACGTCAACGACGCGCTCTTCAACCTCCGCCAGCTCCACTTCGGCATCTTCGACATGACCATCCACACGCCCGCCTCGCACGCTGAGGCCGAATCCTTCAAGCTCTCGGAGATGTACAACCAGCTCCGCTCTGAGATCTCCGGCCTCAAAGGTCCTGAGGAACTTGGCCTGAAATCCGATTGGGGGAATGGTCAGGCTACTTTCGGTCATTTGATTGGTGGGTATGATGCTGGATATTATGGGTATCTGAGTAGTCAGGTCTACTCGACGGATATGTTCTATAGTGTCTTCAAGAAGGATCCTATGAGTAGGACGGAGGGCAGGAGGTATAGACATATGGTGTTGGAGAAGGGAGGGAGCCAGGAGGAGATGAAGACCCTGGAGGACTTTTTGGGGAGGAAGCCGAGTACTGAGGCGTTTTATAGGGAGTTGGGGTTGGTTGCTAAGTAGAGGGGTGTCTGCTTGGGTTGAGGGCCAGGGTGGAGCATGCGCGATGCGTTTGTCGGGGATGTTGGGGGTGGTAGATAGAGTAGAGCCGCTGCGCTGAAACAGCGAGCTACTAAGCTAGCTAATAGCCCACGTGGTAGAGTTAGAGCTGGGGCGATGATATTCATTGAAAAAACATCAATTTCGAACCTCAACCAGGATTGATCCTCCCAAATCTGCATAAGCTCGTCTCCTCTATACAATCGATTTTCTCATTTTCTCTTTTCGCCTCGCTCTCCCCTTTACAGCTACCTGCCACGCTCTTGAATCGAAATACAACAGAAGATCAGCTCAAGCAACGTCTGAGTGTGATCTAGGGATGGTAATAGGAGAAGGGAGGCAAATCCGCAAGTAAGATAGTAGGAAAAAAAGAGGAGGAGGAAGTAGGAACGTCCCTGGGCTGGCTGCTGACGTCCAGACTTCGGACTCTTGGCAGTCTTGATTCTCCGCACGAAACTTGAACTCGGTAGGTTGAACATTCCTACGTCAATCTCATCAATCGCAGATATCAGTGGCTTAGAAGCGGCTAAAACTCCTAAATGACTGTCAGCTTATGCGTTTGAGCCAAATCAGGTTACCAATTCGGGATCTCCACTGTAATGCTGACGGCAGACCAAAATTTAGTGTTTTTATCGCAACATGGTTTCCATTCCTATCTAAATGTCTTGCGCTATTGATCATACATTTGCTGCTCTTCTATTTCATTATGGCTCGTAAGATCATAGACCGCTTGGAACATGGGGACGTGCATCGACTAGAAACCTCCGTCCACCACTTCCAAGAACCCTAAAAAATTCGTAAAAAATAAAGAAGCTCTTCTTACAGAAGAACCTCGGGAATTGAGCCCGAGGTGGGGCTCGAACCCACGACCTTGAGGTGCCGAAATGATGTATATGTATTTCATAAGAGCCACACGCTCTACCGATTGAGCTACCCGGGCAGTTTGGTCAACTGGATGGTTGGGTTGATTGATGGAGGAAAAGTCGTTAATTGGATAAATAGGGGGGGTGGTAAGTGTATGGGGGTGGATTGGGAGGGGAGGAGATGTGGAGACGGTGAAAATTCGGAGGGAAGAGTTTTACACTGTTAGCGAGGGAGGGCTTCTCATTGGATGCATAAGGATAAGTATAAAAGAATGACTTCGAACATTTCAATAAGTACATCACGAAAATATTCCGTGCAATCAATCGGCACTGATGCTGAACGATAGGTAAACTTCTGAGATTGGTCGGGCACAGCTTTCCTGTAAATTACGCGAAAGTCAACAATCCAATTCTTCTAGAAAGCTAAGCGACAGAAATTGTTGCCAAAGCCATTTTTAGTCGGCAGCAATTAGCCGGCTCCGTGGGTTTTGGTGCACAGACATGCCATCGCCAGATCAGGTCGAGGCGATCGAAGATGGAGTCTGCAATATCTATTATCACTGTAGTGACTTGGGGCTCGATTGGCTTAGAAGGACTCGTGGGCAATATTGCTGTCGGCGGGATAAGATTAATTCTCCTGTAAAATATTGCTAAATACTTTTCTTTCAACTGAATTGTTTCCCAGGTCTTCAATTCAAAGTTCCCCAAATTCTAAGAGACTACTCAGGCTGTTAAGATTTACGACGGCTCGGACTATCCAGTTCTATACCTAGGTAACTTTTCGGGCCTGTTGAACGACCTCCAATCAATCAGAGACTAGACTCACAGGTGCATTGCGTGCTATTTGTAGCTGTTAATCACCTGAGTGATACAGTCCTCAGCCAGGCTTGCATTTCTCTCTAAGGGGGGTCCAAAATTAGAACACTAAGCTTTATTTTCGAGACGAAGCTCAGAGGGTGAGAGAATCATCTATTTGTGAACAATTGAAGATAGTGAGCGATTTCACAGGTATAACACTGTTCAAAATACATCAATCTGATGGAAGTTCCTCCTTTGTAAACACGCACCCACACACGAATGGATCACGAACGTCTAATAGCTAAAATCTCATCACATCCAGCAGAGTTATGACCTCCATTAGAGCTACACAAGCCCAGCAGCCTATTGCACCTCACTACATCACATTGGCATGAGTCCTGGAAGCTCCTTGAGCCCTAGCTCTGTGTCAGCATGCGTCTGTCACTAACTGTAAGATGGAGTCACTCACATCCGTCCTGATCCTCACTGACGACCTTCTTTACTGAACAAGACTTGGCCTTTTCAATCTTCTGGACGTTCGCTTTACCACACTTTCCAGCACCAAAGCAGCCGGATGTATCCATTGCGCTTTGGAGGCTGTCGTCTTTCCAGCCAAAGACATAATCTCCGTGCTGGCCATACCCAGTATTGTCGCCTGTGCTCAAGACGAAAGGTTGCCCAGTCGCAGGCCAGTCTGCTTTGTTGTTGAACTTTGTAGTATCCCAGACGACTTCGTACATGAGCTGAGGGATGCGAACGGGATGGGTCGATGGACAAGCTCCACCGAGTTGAAGGAAGTCGGGTGGATTTCCGGTTGGATAGGCGACATGATCTTGATGGTTAGGCGAGTCAAGATTTACACCATCCCAACATCTAGGTTTCAGTCAGTCATGCGCGAAGTAATGGTTAGATTGGATCAGACAACTAACGTTGGGAAGAGTAAGTTTGAACGAATGCCACCTGGGCATGGTTTGGTTGGGAACGCTTCGGTATCCACGCTATATTTCATTAGCCCAAGTTCATACCACGGATGGATGCAAGATCTAAAATATGATGGCTCACTTGGAATCAGAGCATGGAGCTCCAGTGTCACCCCCGAAGTTAGGGCCGGTGTAGCAGCGGAAACAATTCTGTCTCTTGAACTTCGATCCAGGGCTCGCACGTCTCATGGGGTCGCCGACCAGCATGCGGAAACCCTTCCCAACAATTAGTCTAAGATGTCTAGAATTGATACTGCTGTACTTACTGGCTTGAAAGCTGTGATTTTTCCTGGCTGAGCTGACACGTAGTAGACCAAAATGCCACCATCGATCTTGGTGCTGAAGTCATCGTTGAATTGACGCCTGTATTAAGTCAGCCTGAACAATGACGCATGAATTGTCTCAACATACGCAGCACCAAGTTGGGGTACACGCTTATATGTGCCGTTCTTCGCTTTGAAGTACACGTTCGCGGTCCAGTAATTGGAAAAGTCTTCCGAAAATGCACAAGTTGTACACGATGCTGTCCCAGATACATCACCCTTTGTCATGGACGCATTAAAACCATTACCACCAACAATCTGATGAACATGTCCAGATGGAATTTGACCGGGATTGACGAGCGGATCAAGACGATCAATCACAACCTGAGCACATCCAAATCGCAGCATGGTTGTGCCTCCTTGTCTGGCTGCAAGTTCGGTAACCTGAGGGGCGGCACTGGCAGCTGCCACAAGGGCGAGGAAAGACTTCCAGATCATGGTGTAGAAAATGAGAAGTGTAAAGAAGCGATGTGTGTCAAACAGAAGATGTGAGAGATGGGGCGAGCGGGCTGTTGTCTGCCTTTTGTTAGGCAGGCATTGCTGTCGAGTTCCCGCGAACTTGCCACTCATTGTTCATAAAATACAGAAATACAATTGCCGGATCACCATGAAGCTCGCATATAATGTTTAAATTGATTGAAGTGATGCCTACAACCAATTATCGCGCTTGTCGTGGGGGGGTGCGCCTATGGGAGCAGCTGGAAGCGAGTTGGCGGGGTATCAGGCAATTGACGGGTAGACGCATAGATTGACTTTGACATTAGCCACTATGTCACTCGTCACAGTCATGAAATACTGAGCCAAGGTTCGGCAGATGTTTGGGGAAAGAAGTCACTGTCGGGTAACCGTTTTCTTATCTTGCAGCTGCTGAATGGAAGGCGGACCTTAGTGACTATATCAGTGACTGCCGAGGGAAAGATATTGTAGCTTCTGGGTGAATGGAAGACTGAAGGTCGTTTTGCAAAGTTGAAAAACTTAGGTGATAAGTGTTTCATAGTTTGCAAACTCCCACGGGTGTGCAGTTTATCAGTCTTGTGGCGAGACATTCTAATGGCATGAAGCTTTCTTGGTGTTAGTATGCCAGCTGGAAAACACATCTTTTGTAATGTGTGGAATGCACACGCTTCAAAAAGCCTTTCGGAGAACTTTCTAGCTCGCCAAGTACCTACCGCCCCCTTCACATATGCCACTTGGTGATTCCATTGCACCGGATTGACATACGGCTCATGTTGACCAAGTAATTTAGTCATCTTGTTTACCGTGCACAGTGTTTCATCCATACAAGAATCCTGGGAGTTCTAGAGTAGGATTCTTCATGCAGTCAATTTCCGTCTACACAGAGGTGGCGCTTCTGTTTCTGAGGCTTTTAGGAATCGAATGCTACCTCATGTCAGGAGCCACTATGCAAATGTCTCATATTCATCTGGAAAACCCCCAGAAATAATCAGGTGGAAGCGAATAATTACTGCAATGCCCACACAGCAAACTGCTCACCAGGCTAGCCTGAACAGGTAATGAAATGGGTCAAGTCTCAGTTGGCTTTTGCTTTCTCAGCAGGCGCTATAACTTACCAGACGCTACAATACTCTATATGTAAATTTTCTTTTTGAAAGCAGCCGACGGAATACGCCAAGTTCAGCGAGTAGCAAATAACTGCAGCATCAGTTCGAGGTCGCATGCCGCCAGATTCACAATACTACTGATTCTCATGTACACATCAGGTAACGAACGCTCAAAGTGTGTGCGTAACCACTATCAATCTTAAACATACAGCTATATGACTTGAGTTAACCTGGATAATACGTTCTCTAATGAACTGAATCTTGATGGTGATCTCGTGACTTCGGCATTCTGTGGAAATGGAAAACAGATCATGTGGACTCTTCAGTTTCGTCGTCTTTGTTTTTCATTTATTTTCTTCGGTGGTACTCTTGTGCTCATGTTGAGCTCAACGCACGATACATCAGTATTCAACAATGATAAGTCTAATAGCCTTCTTTTTGAAATTGTGCTGAACCTGTAGCTGGGAACTTGATGGCTTTCGGCAAGCGAAAACACCAAACAACACTTTCCTAGGATTCACTTCCAGTAGAACACATCCTGAATCAATTCAAAAAGTCAAAGTTCAAGATTGAACCAGTTCTTTAATGTCTATGTCATTTTATGTAACTTTGACTTTGATAATGAGGGGCATTTTGGTTCTGCCAAACTTCAGCACCCCCCTAATCGTCGGCTTCGCCAAACGTCGTAACTCCTCAATTATACATAAATCTCGTGCCTTCTGACCAATCTAACAACTTTCGAAAAAGGCTTTGGTAATTTATAACAACAGTGTTTATAGCTTCGACTGAAGTAGGTATTGGCAGGAGAATGTACATCAGAAGTGGATCATGAGCGTGCTGGCGGAGCACTTGATGAGCAGTGAGGACACGTGATGCCCCTTTTCAGATCTGCGAGACCCCAGCCCACCTCCCTTTTAGCGAGTTGTTTATTGCGAAAGACAACAAGAAGGACAAGAGCATTGGACTTTGTAATGATTCGATGTTCCAAGCCGAGGAAGCGAACTTCATCAGCAGTCAGGAACTAGGGTACGAAACTCCCCTAATACGGTTTCTGCTTCGTCTGGTTTCAGCCACCGCACGAGCTTTTCAACCATCATTATGCGATCGGAAAGTAGTGGAGGTTCCACTTAGCATGTAATTCTTTCACCAATGAAGCAACTTTTCTCGCATGATCATCGCGAATTTCTGGAAATGTAACGTCCCTGATAGGATCTTTGGACGATTATTTAATGCGGAGGCTTGAACTGCTGGGGTGCAGACAGCTGCCAAGATCTATCGTCTGATCCACATTCCCTTTCACCGGATTCGCCCAATCTGTTGGAGTTCTGTTGTTTGGGTGTCCCAAATTTAGTCTGGATAGGATGGCGTGGCTGGCGTAATGCATGATGGTGATGAGCGTCTGATATATGCCCTTCTCCCACACCGTCTTGAAGGCACTGCTTGGTTTATGCGCTTGCTGGTCCTCTTCAATTTACGTCTTCTTCTGTTTTAACTTTATTCTTTTCTCTCCATTCCTTCAATTCTCTTCATTACTTCTCTATTGTTTTGCTGTTCTTATCATTTATATTTTTGCTTAATTCGTTGATCTCCGTTTGATACTGAGAAACAATACAACTGTCAGGAACAGGTTACATTCTTTACGGCGACCTATTTCTAAAAAGAACTTCCGCAACGCTTAAGTGAGAAATAATGGATTCGCCACCGGAAGCACCGAAGAAAGCACGGAGCAAGAATGGGTCAAGGACATCGACAAAGGAGAGAGCGGCAAGTGACGAATTCGATTTTGATGCGAAAGTTGAGAGAGCGACAGGGAGACGACCATCAAGATCAAATACGGGAGTCAGGGATGAGCATGGACTGCAAAGGACAGCCAGTTCCCAAAGAGCAGGTGTAGGACTGATTCCAAGGCCAACCAACTTGCCCGCTGATCCCTTGGTACGAGATGTTTTCCTCGCTCGAGACGTTGGTACTGACCAGCTCTGTAGAATTGGCCCAGATGGCAGAAGGAGTTAGCCTTTGGGTCACTGATGCTAGGCTCAGCGGTCATTGGAATACTGAAAACGCTCCTCGTTACAGTAAATTCGGTCATTGCGAGCGAGTTGAGTGTTGGGTACATGTCGGCAACTGCCCTAACGGGTGCACCCATCATGTTCGGTGCTTTCGCTGGACTTCAAAGCCAGATGCTGTGTCATAGCATTGGCAAGAGAGGCATTTATCTCGGAAGCTCTTTCTTGATGCTGATTGGTGCGTTATGGAACATGCACGTGTACGACAGCTATGCGCAATTCATGGTGGCGAGGATATTCCAGGGCATCGGATGGGGCATGTTTGAGTCTTTGATCAGCAGCTCAATTGCTGATATATTCTTTGTAAGTGGCTAGCCGAAGACGTGCGCAAGTTTTCATGCTAATAGATAACACAGGTCCATGAGAGAACGTCTCGAACCAATGCGTACAATGTCATCTCGATTTGGTTCACTTGGGGCTCTCCTATCTTGGGTGGATACGTCTCGCAGTCCAATGATGGATTTCGGAACCAGATCATGATCGTCAACGTCATCCAAGCAGTCTCAATAGTGTTGCTCATTTTTGGTACACCGGAGTCAACTTTCGATCGAGCATCGTCTCGGCAGCTCAATGCCGATGTTCCACCGCCCAAATCAACATTCAAGACGTACACTGATTCTTTGAAACTCACCAACTCACACAGTACAAGCAAATTCATCATGAATGAGGCACTTCGCCCAATCCGAGCTTTGGCGGCTCCAAGCACAATTCTTACAACTCTATTGACTGCACCACTGCTCGCTACATCATTCGGTACCGCCAGCTCACTTTCGATGCTTTTCGCCGCTATGCCAACATTCTTGTTCCCAGCAAGACTTGGATACATCTTCATTCTACCACTGATCTTCTCACTTCTCGCTTACACGTTGGGCTCATTCATCACTCATCTCCGGACGAAGCCACCTCACCACCTGTCAGACTCTGCGGTCAGAACACTGACCGTGGCTGCTCCAGGAATGATCATCGGTGCCGCTGGACTACTGGCTTTCGGTCTCTATACATCCACCGAGCTCATGCCAGAGATTGAGGATAATGGCACCATCTTCGCGCTCAATATCGTCGGACTAGAAATCTCGCTTAAGACTGTCTCGTCACTTTTCGGTCTGATGGTCAGCGGCGCAGTCATGCTGCAGTATTCAGGTTCAACTTACCTCTCCACATTCGTCCCATCCAGCGGTGTTGGAGCAAGCGAGCTCGCTGGTGCGCATCATGTGCTACAAGAAATCTTTATCGGCATTTGGGTTATTGGCATGCCGATGTGGATCTCCGGAGATGGAGTCATTTTCCTCGTTGCTGGACTAAAAAATACGACCATAGCACTGGGTGTTCTGAGTATTGTGTTTAGCACTTCCGTAGGAGCAGTACTTTGGGTCAAGGGAGCTGCCGTCAGCGCTGTTGACAGCCGTGTTCTTGGCAGGAGAAGCGATTCGGGTGTAGGTGGACAACTCCAGAGATGGAAGACGACCGCTAGTTTTATCGAAGCGTAGATAATCGAACAAATGAGGGTATCATTTGATTGTTTGGATTAAGAAGTTGTTTGGCCTCGGGGCGGTTTGGCTGGGTCAAACCGCAGGAGCCTCGGGGAATAGCAAAACTTATAGAATAATGATTGTGAATTTTGAAAGCTTGAATCTCTGAAAGTTGAACATGTGCAGAGGATTGACAGACCAAAGATGGTCGTTATGATACCACAAGTCGAATAGAGGTTTCAGCGTCTATCCCATCCCGCAAAGCCGCTGATTGAGCAAGTTTTAGCGACTGACTTCGGGACCTTTCAAACTGGTGCGGGTTAGTACCGGGCGCAGTGGCAGGCTCGTGTCTTCCGTAGATGTCTAGAAAGTTCTTCATCGCTAAATAACCGGAGAGTATGATGAATTGAAGACCTGGAAAGAGGTAATTTTATCTTTCTTTATGGAATGATTCACGAGGAGCATGTATCGAATGCAAAGGCGTAAGGAGACAGAACGGAAATTGTGCCTGGTAAATGCTACAGTACCATAGCACTTCATCTTTCCAGCCTACTGCCACATGAACTACTTGCACAAGCCCTGGCAGAAGTCTGAAATGAGCTTTGAAAGGCAGAAGCACTGGATCAAAAATTGGCTTCAGTACTTGGAACTAGCTACTTGACATAACTATCTAAGTATTGTTTCCAAGCATAACCTAGCTTTTTGGACCACAAAGAAGAAAGAGATCTTTCCACCAGATCTTCCGACGGGCATCCAAACCAATGTCCTTGAGCAATTGTCAACATACGAAATAGTTTCAAGCCTAGTGAAAGTTCCTAGCTCTCCATTTGAAAGATACCGCCTATGACACCACGCAACCCAGTTTGCGATGTCCATTTCTCCGGTTCGAAATGGAAGGAAAAGTGACGTTCTTGTCGAAATTTGCCACAGCCCAGATGGCTTGCGCTTCTGCGGCGTGGATCTTTTTGCCAGCAGTGATGTGGTTCTTGGCGCCTGAGGGTTCAGAGTTAGATATTGCCACGGTGTCGACTCGAAATCCATGTATTTCATGTAATACTTGTACGACTATCATTTGTAGCTTTTGATAGTACAAATGCACAATACAAATTACAATGCTCAGAAAGTCGGGCCCCTGTGCCTGCAGCCGATTACCTAGCTATCCCGAACCTCTACTTCTGAGTGACATGTTCCAGTATGAATCTAAGAGATATCTTCAAGGATTTGACGAAAACGCTGCCTTGTAACAGGACTATCAGTAGATTCAGGAGTGAGTACGAGAAGGCTCGATGTACAAAAATATGTCGTTGATGTTTACTACTCGTACGTGAGTTTTGTTTTCTCTCGGTTAACATGGTTAGTGCCCGGAATGACTAATCCAAATCCCCACATCCCGACTTCACTCCGGACTCCGGTCGTTGACCACCATCATCAACATCACATCGATATTCGCCATGGACGCCTCAGTCCCTACCTCTGCCACCGGCACCAGACCGCCGGTCCCGGTGGCATCGATCGCATGTATGAGCTGCCGAAGATTAAAGGTTGTCATCTTGAAATATCCCGATGTTCCTGCTGACACGGGGCCAGATGAAATGTACGGGATCAGATAACCCACCATGCGACCGGTGTGCTAAGGCCGGTCGAGAGTGTATCGTTCAACGCGGGCGTCCACAGGACTCGCCCCATTCTAACTCAAGTGCCGGATCTCGACGACGACGGTCTCAGTTGGACGACACGTTCTCCCAGCCTGCTCCGCCACCTCGAACGTTCAACACCTCGTCGTTCCAGCCGGTCAATGGCGTCGGATTTGGACGAGACAACCAAATTGCTCGATTCGGCAACTCGGTGGCGCGCACATTCTTCCCAGAGACTGCAAATGTCCAAGAAACGAGCCCGGTGGCCATGAGATCAACCGTTGCGACTTCTTCGCAATCTGCGGTGATGGACCGGACCGGAGCAAACATGGCCGAAACGTCACCTGACCAGAAGGCTTCGAAGCGACCGAAAATTGGAGGGGTTAGATTGTCCTTGGATCAGATCTCGTCCCAGAATGGTACACTTGAGCAGGCCATCAGCGAAAGAGATATGGTACAGTTCATTGATATGTAGGTTTGGCTTCAGAAGTATTTGAAGACTATGCTAAAGGTTTCCCCTACAGCTTCCGAAAACGCTTGATGAACTTTATTCCACTGCTAAATGCAGGAGATCTAGATAACGCTGCCGATATCATTTCAACAAAAAAGCCACTAGCTTACTGCATATGCTATGTCACTGCAAGATATGTCCCAGGAGGAGAGTCAGCAAGATCTAAGCTGCTTCCAGTCGTTTCGTCAATTCTTCAAGAAAGGGTTTTCGAGCCCAAGAATACTGAAGACGAGTGGACTATGCTGCAAGCTCTATCTGTTCTCTATGCCTACCGAACTGCTGTATGGAATGGCTCGTCGTCAGATGGCCCACTGGAGATATCGCAGCGCTCTATCAAAACACATGTCGAGATGTACGCTCTCAAACTGTGTGTCCACCGATCTATATCTGGAGTAAAGGCTTCATTGCGAGCTGAAGATCCCGAGATCATGAACACCATTGCATTCAAGAAGTATATTTTCTGGCTCTGGCTCTTCAACATGTCACATCAGTAGGTCAATCGATCTTCTAGCAACAAGTGAAAACTAACAGCATAGTCATTCAATAATCACATGTACCCCACCTAGCATACGAGAAGACTCGACAATACGTGTTGCTCCCGAATTACTTGGTAATTTCAATGTCGGACCACGTATTATTCAAGTACTAGCTGAAGTTGAGCTGTGTCTGCTGTGGGGAAAGGTCAGAGTTTATTCTGCCATGTCAGCTAATTGCTAATGCGTGGCAGATCAGTGCCAATGTGAACGGCTTGGGTGAGTGGTGGTGTCCACCGGATATCTTGGACACTCCTGTCGACTATGTCGACCAAGGAGCCCTTGCCCATGTAGACTCCTCCCTCAGGACTTGGTCTGGCAAATGGGAAGCTTTCTTCAACAGTGGTATGCGACTAAATTGACTGGCGCCTGTCTTATGAATCCCCTGACATTCAAACAGAACCTCTGGGACTTGGAATTGAGTTCTACTACCGCTTCACTCGTTTCTGCTTGAGCTCGGTTTTGATACGAAACTTTAGGCTCGTTGACAGCAGTCTGAAACCTTCCCAAGTCGATGCCCTTAACAGATGCATATCGGATGCGTCCGACTTCTGCCAGCTCTCACTAGAACTTGGCCCATCCAGCCGAGAAGCAGCTCGTTACATGGCCGACTTCGGCTTCGTTATGATATCTTTTTCTTGCCAATTCATCATTCATGTATGCGGAGCATTCCATTCCGCGGTTCAAGCACCATTCGAACATCTGAGCAAAGTGGAAGAAGTGGCTCAGCTGATGAAAGAACTGGCCATCAATTCAAGTCAAGGCCCATGCATTCAATCACAAATTATAATGTCTAAACTGACTCGGGTATATGAGAAAATAGCACCGACGGGCATTAGGGCGGCGTCCAACTCCAACCATGGAGGGGATCAGCGGCTCAACGTTGTGCTTGGGCAAGATTCGTACATGGAACAGCAGTGGGATATGCTAGACTTCTTTCTCGAGCCCCCTCGGGTATAGTAGTTGCTACTGGGGTGCTCCAGATCGCAACTGCATCTCATTAAACCAGTGGATAAAGTAATAATAGAAAGCCTCATAGCGGTTTCACAAGATTTCTCGATCGGCACTTTCTCGACGTACCTTTGTTTGTGCATCATCGCCAACACAATCTTACTACGTCGGGACAAATTCTGCCCGACACATGATCGCCATTCTCTGGTGGCAGACGGAATCGCTTCGCACCTCACGAGTCTTCACCGGTGCCAGGTTCAGCAAGCATTGAAGACTTCAGGAAGCTCTAAAAATTGTACCACAAACGAAGTCTCCTCAGCAAAGTAGCAGAATGAGGACTCAGCTCAAGTGCCCAAGCTTCCCAACCCAAGAATACTTGTCATCACTACACTGGGGTCAACACGCATCACAGACAAGTGCATCTGCTAACCTACCGCTACCTACCACAAGACCGCCGCTTGTAATGAGACGGATCATTCAAAGTTGCATTGTCTAGATACAACTGGCAGAGAGAGCAGCTCCAGCTCCTCCTCACCGACTAAAACTTGTTACGTTCAAATTTCACATGACACAAAGGTAGTTCTTCATAGGAACATGTATTGTGTCTCAGCGCAAAATGAAACCATGGACTTTGAGGCTTTCCTTGACGTTCACTTACATATCACAGTTACTGCAAGTGGGTAAGGCATACATCAACCGGAACCAAATTGAGTACATCACCTTGGAGGAGAATAACTGATAGTATGAGACACAGCTGTATCAGTAAGGCATAGCAACGGACTCAAGCCTAGAAGTAGATGGACACGCTTGAGAGGGGCTTTCGTCAGTATAGATTCGAAAGCAAAGAATAGATGGAAGAATCAACTGTTGCTGAGCAGGGAAATGAAGCTCGGCCTAGTGTTGGAAATGAGGAGCTCTTGGCTGAGTTTTATCCGATTTCCGACACTTCTTCTGAGTCGGATGAAGCGAATCATAATGATTGTTCTTAATAGATCTGCTTTGGGACGGGTTGCGGAAGGGCAAGGCACATGACTGATATCCGCTTGCCTTGATGTGGCTTTGTTTACTTCTTCGGATGTTGCCTGGATTCTACATATCGTCGATCTTCGGTCTTACAACCAATGAAATATTGTTACCAAAAGTCCGCTTACTTTAAACATGCCTCCATTCACTTACAAATACAAGATTGATTTCAAATTCCCAGTTTTGATTGACAATGAGGAGCCAAACAAAAGTCGATCTCATCGCCTGCTGTGGTTTAGCCCAGTCCTTTCTAGCTTGTCGCTTAAAATCAATCTGGGTTTCAAAGTTTGACCAACCACCAAAACCTCGTCGACCTCGACTCAACCAATCTTCGCCACAGTAGAAACTCAAGACATTGTTGAACAAGGACATTTCTGGACTTTGCAAAATGGTCAGCCCAACTGATGAAGACCTGATAAAGGCAGTCAAAGCCATTCGTCTTCAAGATCCAGCTCTCGCACGGGCGAAAGTCTTGAAGCAACTCAAGGATGAGAATGGCTGGGAGTATGATACCTGAAGACCTAATCGAAGAACCGTGCTGATTATTTCTGAACAGATTGAGTGAGAAGCGTCTCAAGACATGTATGGATACACATAAACTCGGCGCCGTCACCCCCGCTCTCGATCCAGAGGTTCTGAAGCCAAGAGATGCCGCGTTTGATGAAATGCTCAAGGAAGCCTTCCAAGAACTCACGCGCTGTAAGTATATCAAAAGCTCGAGTTCTCGAGGAATCATCAGAACTCATTATCTATATAGTTGAAAGAGAATTTTATCTCGGTCTTTCCAAGGCCGATGCCAAGGTTTTGATGCCCGTTCCTGGCATCAACCCTAAAGACATGCCGTTCATGATCGCCAGCAGTCAGCGTCATTACGTCGAAATTCTTCTCACTCTCAAAGGAATCAAGCCTTGTACCGTGATCTTCCACCCTTACGCTACTGAAATCTACACTCGTTTGTATGTATTGCCACTCCCCTGCTGTCAAACATCGCTGCTGACACTTACACAGAGTCAACGAAGTCCTCAAGCCCGTTATCAAAAAATATAAACTCAAAACCTACGGCTTTGAGCTCCGCCAAGTCGACCACGCAACCATGATCGAAATGGGCCGTCCCGAGCCCGACATGTTCTGGCGCGGCGGCTGGATCTTCGCCGATATCCTCTCCCCTCTGTGGCGCGATATCCAAGGTATTTTCTTCACGCCCACTGAAATCCACATCTTCAGCGAAGAGTGCGATATCTACCAGGATAAACTGTGTAAAGTCTTTGGATATCCAGTCAGGGGATTTCCGAGACAGGAAGAGGGCATAAATCGGGTACAGTATATGGATGAGACGGAGTGTGGGGAGTTGGCGAAGGTAGGTGGGAAGAGTGAGGATGAGGTTGAGGTTATCGGGTTTGAGTATGAGGATGATGATGGGGATGAGGAGAGGTGGATGAAATGTGAGTCTACATGGCCAAGGATACCATCACACCTGAGAAATGGATCGGGAACTGACGATAATATACAGGTCTCATACATTTTGAAAGCTGCCAGCGAGCGATGAAGAGTGTGGGAAGCAGGCTGGAACTTGACCTCCGTCATCATAATGGACTTTTCAATTATGTCCACCACACTAGACGCTGAGTTCTGGGATCAGATATGATACAGAAGAGAGCAAGCAGGGCCCAAAGAGTCGATACCCATATCAAAAATGGCTTGAATTTGCAGCTTGGCGCAAATCAGCAAGTTTACCAGATTTTGGATCATCGCAGGCATTTGGATAAAGCAGTCTGTATATAGACTGTGCTCACCAATCCATTTAGCCCGAGGAAAACTTGCACTACACATCGCACCTTAGTTAGTCTCGTTGCCAACTCTGCTGTATAGATTCTAAGGAAATCTTGGACGTCGACTTGATTATTGTATTTTTTTTTTAATATTTTCCTTCCGGGTCATCTCAGCCTGACGCTAAAATCGCGTCATTCCAAGCCATGTCATAACATATACACCATTCCCTGGCCAAAGACTTTTGGTATGTCCCTAGATGCATGCCTCAACAAGCAGGCAAGATCTCAATATCCTACCATCATATCTCAGTCCCTCTTGCCCACTCCCCAGCCATTACCAACTCCATAGCCTAGTGGTGTAGCTCCACCCAAACCCCTGCCTTTCAACCTCTTTGGTAGAACAATGCCTAGAAACCAAACAGCACTGCCCAAGGCTCCGGCTCCCGCGCTCAGTATACAGTAGAAGAATGTGCTGGCGTAGAAATGGCCGCCCATCCCTGCCCATTCAATCTTCCCATTCTCCCTCGGTAGATGCGGGGTAGGGAACCAACGGACGCTGAATTGTAACGGTAACGGATCCCCAATAACCAATTTCTTTGTCAAAGCAGCTGGGCCAGTGGTATGTGACAATGGACTCGTGCTGTATGCAGCCCCAGAATCAATAACTCCGCTATCATGTGGATGAAGATGGTGTTTCGGCGTTGAGTGTAGTAGAATGTTCAAATGTGTAGAGACGTGAAGATGTGATAGCTGGAGGGTTCCTGCTAGAGCGAATATCAAGGGGACGAACTCTTGTTGGAATTCTGGAGGTATTTGGGATGCGCTTCCAGCGGGGTGGATATGTGCTGGTGGTCGTGAGGGTATTCGGCAGGAGAGTGGGGCGTCGTTGTGGATGTAGAATTCGAGGAGGTGGAAGAAGGGGTCGGTAATAAATGGGATTGTGCAGTTGAGTTCTTTCCAGATGTTAGACAATTCGGGATCGTGGGACGAGGAGCACTCACCATCTTCAATACCATACTGCAGCTCCAATGGCTTTCCTGTCTCATTGCAGACTGGAAATGGGATATATTCCAGCTCGTTCTTGTCATTCGAGATATGCTCGCCTGTATCACTGTCTCCTGTTAGTCTCTGCTTTATGCCATCTCACTACTCGCAAGCTTGATCGTATCGCAACATTGCGAACCTGGTAAAGAAAATGGAGCCTCACATTGACCGATTCAAACAGCTGACTGGAATCTTTGCTCCATAATGGTACGACGGCAAAGGAATCTTGCTGTGCTCTTCCTGTGCTGTGATCCCCTGAGCCCCAAGTAACAAGGCTCCGGCTCCCAATAACAATCTCCAGCCAACACTTCGCGCCATGTTGTCCTCTTGCCTTCAAACTCCCTTCTTCTCGTCGACTTCTAGTAGGATCCAAGGCGGGTTAGCTATGTACTCATAATGCGCAGCTGTGGTCGTCGCCGGCGCAAAGAGATGTTGACACCTTGATAGTGGACTCTGTGGAGTTCGCGTCAGGTCACCAGGTATCTAATCTAATAGGTAGCGCGCCGAGGCTGAGAGTCACGTGGGGTAAATCGACCCCCTTTTCTCCATGTCATATCGCTAAACTTCAAAGACAATGTCAACATAGTCCGTGTTTGAACAATAATTCAAGGCTTGTATGACTTCAATTTTCTATCACTATTTTCAAATTGCCGGAAAGTCGCTAAGTTCAAATGCACTATCGTCACAAACTTTAGAAAATATTCTTTTCTCTCGCCTCGTTCTAGTGAACTTACAAGTGAAGGTCGCGTATGATTTCATTCCATCACAGTTATTGTCATTGTTCTTAACACTGTCATTTATCTACAACCTTACTACTAGCTCAGTCATCAATGGAGACGTAGGAGAACTTCTACCTTTTACAGATCCATTCCTTCATCATCTTACTTCTTCGACCAGTTCAAAAAAAAGGAAGTGACTGTGCTTTGATCGTACATCGACGCCGATATGACTTGGGAGAAAAAGTGGTGGTTATCGCTTGCTGAGGGAGAGCTGTATCGGAAGAGCAGTCATTTGTAGACGCTCTTCCACACGATAAAACACGCAATGTGTTACTGATGGGGAGCTTAGATTCACTGCCGCGGGATATTGAATTTTTCAAGTCTGCCTTCTAGGAGATTTGTGATGAGTCTCTCCCAGTATATAAGTCGACTGGTTTCTTCTAGGTTGCAGTTCATACATATGCACCCTTCTCGAATTGATCCTTATGGATTGCCTCCCAATGTCTGATTGCGGTTCACAGTGGATGTATCCGTCAGTACGTATTCAGTAGAGAAAACATGAATACTAGATCGAAGGATATTTTGCAAAGTAGCAGTCCACTAGACAGAATCCAAAGTCTTGAACTGATTCAAGCTTGTTGTCATCGATACTGAATATTGCCAAAACTTAAGCGACTGCCAAACTTTTGTATCGTCTCTGAACCCCGACCTCTCCGAAGATCAGACAGAAGAGTCGAAGAAAACGGTAACCTACGCAGTCTTTCAACTGCAACCGTAACTACTGTAATCTATCCCCGAATTCCTATCTATCTCTTGCCAACCTCTCCTAGCGACAGACAGTCACCACTACAGCGAACCCTCCATGCGCTATTTCTACTTCCTCCAATGGTTGCTGGAAGACTCTTGAAAGTGTGATAGTCTTCTATATAACCCCTTCTCCATCCAAAGTATAATTATTGATGAGTCATCCTTTAGGTTGAGCGAGGCAGAGATATTCGGAGTCGGTACAATTCTAGCAAGCAAGGAGACCTATTGAGACATGGTCTAGTTCCATGAACAAGACCAAACTTCATTTCTCGTCGACCGTCGCTTGTTAGAACTTTTGACCTTACCTCTAGATGGAATACATATCAGGGACGTTTGAACCACTTATCGTCGCAAGAAGCCCAGGCAAAAGTGAAAATTCCAGCATACTATGAGCAACTCGATGAGAATACTTCGGAACTTCAACGGTTTCCAGCTTCCAGCTCGGTCATATGAGGAACGAGAACAAATTTTGTCCCTTAACAGTCCGAAAGACACTTCTTGCCCTCCCGCCATCGTCATACCCTGAATTTGCTGTCAAGCACCGTACTACCGTCAATTTTCACAACCATCCTGATTTAACCGCCTCCCTTTCTCCACACCTCCACCTAAAACTCCCATACCACATCCGCTAGCAAGATCATTCTCTTCGCCCTGCCCCTAGGATCACCACCCTCGATCCCCGTTCTCCACATCCAATCTCACTAATCAGTCTCCCAACACAGCACGACCACATGAACTGGCTGCGTGTCTGTTCTCTCTTTCAGTTACTAGCGGTAGTAGGGTGGGGGAAGGAGGGTGTTTATATACTTTCTTCAACCCCTCTATTGCCAATCTCTGCACAGTGAATTGAGTTGGACTAGGCCATGTGAACAGACAAGAACGAATAAGCAAAGTCAATACAAAAGATCGGGACGATTCACTTTTCTTATGCGTACTACACTACTTCTAGATTTCAATCTGCTTCCGTTTCGTGAACGCCTGAACACAAAGAGACTTATAAATACAGACGGTCTCTCTTACAGTTTCAAGGAAACATGTTCCATAAGTCGCGTTACTGCAATATGAAGATCTTGCTTTGGGATTTTGGTCTATCCGTCTACCTCGCCTCTTCCTTCCGGATTAAACATTTCTCGTAACATAGATGTACATCATCTCATCTCATCCACACACAACATAATCACCTAGGTAATGTTTTTAACCCCTTTTCCTCGCTCTCACTCAGGTCATCTTTTGTTGTCATCTCACACTCCCCTGTTACAGTCACATCCCCTCCCTCCTTCGCCATATACTCTTTTCGCCATTAACCACGTACCATTCTCAAAGCAACCATGAATATTCCCCATCTCCCAAACCCAACTCAAAACCTGAACCCGAAGCCATTTCTCCAGATCTGTACTTACACTCTCACACAATGAGGTCTTTTTCCCATCAACACACTCCGCATGATTTCTGCTCTCGACAGTATATTCCTGATACTCTGGGGGAGTGGGAGTTCTGGGGAAGAGGATGATATATATATATATATATATACCTATAAATTATAATATGACAACTATCTCCAAGAACAGTTTACAGTAGATTGGAGTTCCTCCTACCTCACCTCACCTGACCTCACTCCACTTCACAATATCCCATCACTCTTCAAGTTTCCTTTGTCCCCAAACTCACCTTTATTTTTCTCTTATAAAAAAGCCTGAATCCCTTATGACCAGGCTACTTAATCAATAGTTCCATCTATACATCATTCAATGTATGTTACTCTCAATCATATACGTACTCCCTGCATCGCATCACCTTCCTCTGCCTCCTGCCTCCGCTCTCCCTTACCCAGAAAGAAATTATGCCCCCCCCCCTCCTCCTTTCCTCAGCTTCTCCTCTTCCCATGAGGAAAGGAGGATTCATCTAGGTAGGTGAGATATGCACGATAGTCGGAGGTACCACGGATATTGGTAAATAGTGAAGCACTGGGGCGGACTGAAAATAGGGATATATGGAAAGGAGCACCCGGGGGGAAGGGGATTGGCGGACTGAACACTTCGTAATATGTAATTGTAGTCAGAATCATGATCGGAGTTTATCTTCAATCATACGGTCTTCTGTGTGTGCTTTTTTATACTACTTGGGTGGTGCGTGCGTGCGTTTGTTCATCAATCAATAAGTCAAGGAATCAAGAAATCAAGAATCCAACAGCAAGCGAATCAACAATACTGAATCAATCAACCAATCAATCTAACCTCACCGTCTCCCCTCCTCTCCCCTCCACTCTCTCCATCCCATCCCATTCAACTCTAAATCTTACTCGCCCCCCTCTTCTTAAACGCCTCAATCAACCCCCCCGTACTACTATCATGCTCTCCCTTCTCCGCGCCCTCCTCCAGCTCCCCCTGGATCTTCTTCGCCAAACTCTTCCCCAGCTCCACACCCCACTGATCAAACGAATTGATATCCCAGACCGCGCCCTCCGTAAACGTCAAATGCTCATAATACACAATCAGGGCCCCCAGCGTCGCAGGCGTGATCTTGTCCGCGAGGATACTAGTGGTGGGTCTATTCCCCAAGAAGGTCTTATGCTTGAGGAGCTTATCGGGGGTTTGCTCGGCTTTGAGTTGGGCCTCGTCCTTGCCGACCATGAGGGCTTCGGCTTGGGCGAAAAAGTTGGATGCGAGCATCTTCTGGTGCTTGTTGTTGTCGATGGGGTTGTGGGATTGGGCGGCGAGGATGAAGTCTGTGGGGATGAGCTTGGTGCCTTGGTGGAGGAGCTGGTAGAAGGAGTGTTGGGCGTTGGTGGCGGGTTCGCCGAAGAGGATGGGGCCGGTGGTGTATTTGATGAAGGAGTTGGTGCTGCGGGAGACGGCTTTGCCGTTGGATTCCATGGAGAGTTGTTGGAGGTAAGCGGGGAAGCGGTGGAGGTATTGGTCGAAGCTGTCTTTGTTAGAATCCATTTCTCAACATCAAATTTTAAGAGACGTATGAAATACTTACGGAGAAACCAAATGTGTCTGAGCACCATAGAAATCAGAGTACCAAACACTCAACAAACCCGCAATAACAGGGATGTTCTTCTCCAAGGGCGTCTCACGGAAATGCTTATCCATAGCATTAGCACCTTGCAAGAACTGGTAAAAGTTCTTGTATCCAATATGAATGGCAACACTCAATCCAATAGCGGACCAAACACTGTATCGTCCACCAACCCAGCTCTCAAATCCAAACATGTTCTTGGCATCGATACCAAACTTGGTGACTTCTCCCTCGTTGGTGGAGAGTGCAACGAAGTGCTTGGCGATATCTCCCTTTCCATCGGTCTCCTTCAGGAACCATTCTTTGGCACTGTTGGCGTTGGTGACTGTCTCGGCGGTGGTGAAGGTCTTCGATGCAACGAGGAAGAGCGTAGTTTCTGGGTTGGAGTCACGGAGAGCTTCGGCCATGTGGGTTCCATCGATGTTGGAGACGAAGTGGAGAGTTTGTTTGCGGTCTCCATAGAATTTGAGAGCTTCTGTGACCATGACAGGGCCGCTATGGTTCAATTAGCACAATTCCACCGATATGCAGCCTTGATAAAGGAGTAGGGAAATGGGACTCACAGATCAGAACCACCAATACCAATATTGATAATAGTAGTCAATGGCTTCCCAGTATAACCCTTCCACTCTCCACTCCTAATCGCCTCACTAAACTCCTCCATATGCTTCAACTCCTTATTAACGCCCGGCATCACATCCTGGCCATCCACATAAATCTTCTCATCCCCGGTATTCCTCAACGCAGCATGCAACACGGCTCTCCCCTCAGTATTATTAATCTTCTCACCCTTGAACATCGCATCGCGGAGGTCTTCCAGCTTAGCCTCCTTGGCCACCTGCACGAGGATCTTGAGGGTCTCCTCCGTCAGGAAGTTCTTGCTGAAGTCGAAGAGGATTTCTGTCCCGTCGGCCGGGTTGGGGAATGTGAAGGAGAATTTCTCGAATCGAGAGGGGTCCTTGGCGAACTCTTTTTTGAGGACGAAGGATTTGCCGATGTCGTTGTGGTGTTGTTGGAGGGTGCTCCAGGAGGGGAGGGAGTCTGCTACCATGGTTGCGGTTGGGAGCTGTGGATTTGGGGTATATGCGGTATTGGTAGTCTGAATGAATTGATCGTGGCAAGGTCTAGAATTTCTGTTGGTAATCACTCGTTAGCTTAAATTCCACTCTCTTGTCTTCTCTCTTTTCGGCGTATCTCGTTCATCACGCCGATATGCCAGCCCATCACGGTCTCAACGCAGTCACAACCTGAAGCAGAAGCAAACACCCAATTTCTTTCCTGCTCTGATGTGCTCTGCCTGCAATTGTCTCAATGCCGCAAACATGCATCGCGCCGTCGTCTTGTCTTATCCTGTCCGCACAGCTCCAACACCTCAAGCTCCTCCCTTACCCCTCCTCTCCCCATCCAATTCATCCCATCGAAGAGAATCACACACACGTACCTCACTCAATTGAACTCTCAATCCTTCAATGGAAATAATCCGTGTATCAACAATTACCTAAGAGCGAGGAGTATGTTGTATGTTGAATGTTGATTCAGTAGGTAGGTATTGAGAGGAAGAGGAAGAAGTGCCAGCGGCGACAGCGGAAGGACGAAGAAGAAGAGGGCAGGAGGGGTGGTGCTGGGCCTTCGGCTACCCTTCGTTACCTAGCATACCTTATGACGTTCTGGCCGCCCCTCGCCCAGTGCAGCAAATCCGCTCAGCTTCACCCCTCTTTTAGCGTGGCATGGCCATGCCCCTCCGAACCAGCCGTTGAGTGGTGCGCGTGCGTGCTTGGTGGTTGGAGGTCGAGACCGCAGAGCTGACTGAGCATTGTACATATTTTTTTCTTCAACGAATGAATTATTGAATTATTAAGAACGTAGATCGAGCAAGGCTCTAAAGCGGGAAGTGTAATTGTCCAATGACTTCGCCGTGGAGATGCATCTTTCGAGGGAGAAGATTTCAGGGATAGTGTAGCTGATGCGAAGGGAAGGGGAGTTGGTAGTTGGTGCGTTAGTAAGGGGATTGTGTAAGCTTGATGAATTTTTGTGCATCCACTGAGCTAGATGTCGTGGAAGTGGAATGGGAATGTAGCTGGAGGGACCAAGCGATCAGGAGGTAGGTTTTCCGTGGTTGGGCTGCAGGCCGCTTTGGGATATTGAATGATAAAGAAAGAAATAAAAGATGGATGTCTAGATGTAGGTGGGGAGTACTTGATTATGTGGGAAGAGGCCAGCAATCAATTGGCAATGATATTCTGCTTATGTGTCTTGATAACGATGGATAGTTGAGGATACCTCGCACAATGGTCGTGGGCAGCTGTTTTCCTATTCCGGCAATTTTATAGCTTCACGCACGTAATAGTCTGTTCCCTTCCTGTTGGCGCTATCGTGTAGGTGAGTCCCCGTAGACTTACAGAGGGGAACAGACTATTACGTCGAGGACATTTCTCATCGTTCCCTCTCAAAACCCTGGGACGTTGCCTTGGAGACATCCCTAGAGATGCTCCCTCATGAATGCATGCATGTCGAGTCTATTTACTTATTGATTTTGCACTACCAAAACAGCCACCACCCACACATACCCATCCCATCCATCGCATAGCATCCACGCATCCTCAAAATCAACCTGGAAAGTAGTCATGAAATAACATCCAAGTCAACTCAGCTCCAGCATGCGCAATCAGTCAATCAATCGCCCAATGTATCCGTCACTCGTCCATCCATCCATTGCGAAAAATGTTCCATGTCAGTCAATCAGTCATATCAAATCCATCAACGCCCGCCTTTGCGCATCGCATCGCATCGTATCGCACCACGCACGAACGCAAGTCAAATCAAAGTGTAAGCATGCAAATAGACAGCAAAGAACACGCTCCACCCATTTCAATTCATTTTCAGTCAATTGATCATTCATTCCGTTCCAAATCCCAGTCCAGGTCCCACTGCCATGAAACGCTTCTGCTACTGTCCATCAGACGGAAAGACAGAGAAAAGGATCCGCAATGCGATGTATCATGTGGCCGTGCTCCAGGAAGTTTCTATGTGAAAATGTGATTCGGAAAGGAAAGCGGGATTGGGAAGTAGTGAGTGTTCACTACCTCTCTGTCACACTTCCTACGAATGATGGGTCTCTGATACTGCCACCTCCGTCTCCGAGGCCAGCTACAGGTCTAGGGAAGTTAGTATTTAGTTCCGGCAAATTGGAAGGAAGAGGATAACAGAAGATCTTCCGAGACAGATCCTCGTGCTCTGTGGTACGTACCTGTTGTAGCTGAACCCAACGAAGTCCCTCTGAGCATCGTCAGACAGAACTGGACCGTCAACGTAAGAATCTTGTGCGATTTCCTGTGTAAACTCGACGTCAAAGTTCTTCGTATCAAGGGCATCGGTCTAATACATCAAGTTAGCTTCCTGGTCCCGGTACAGCTGTCGCTGCCATTTCGGTGTAAACTTACCACATTGGGCTTGAAAGTAGGCTCATACTTTCGCTGAAGGAGCTTTCGCCAGTCGATACTGTGGAAGAAAGGATGTGCCTTGATCTCAGATGCACCATTGGCACCTAATCGTTGATCTGGCTTGCGGTTGAGGAGTCTGGTGAGGAGATCCTTGGCGGACGGCGGAACAACTTCTGCGCTGGGGAAATGGAGTGGTTCGGACAAGATCTTGCGGTACATCTCGTTGGTGTTCTCGTCGTAAAATGGTGGTAAACCTGTCAACATCTCATAGAGAAGAACACCGAGAGTCCACCAATCAACAGTCTTGGTGTAACCTTGACCCAAGAGAAGTTCAGGAGCAAGATATTCGGGTGTACCGCAGAAGGTGTTTGTTCGATCCTCATCCTTCATGTCCAGCTTGCAAAGACCAAAATCGCAAAGGGCAATATGTCCAGAATAATCCAGAAGAATGTTCTCAGGCTTCAAATCACGGTAAATGACATTGAAACCGTGCAAACACTCCAAAGCACATAGAAGTTCTGCCGTGTAAAATCTTGACCGGTTGATGTCGAATCTCTGCTCCTTTTGGAGATGGTGGAATAGCTCTCCACCATTGACGAAAGCTAGGACGAAGTATAGCTTCTCTGGGGATTGAAAGGTAAATTTGAGAGGGACGATGAAAGGGTTGTTGATTTGAGATAGAACTGATCGTTCGGCCAAGGTGTGTGCAACTTCGGATCGAGAGATGATGTGGGCTTTTCGGATCGTCTTCAAAGCGTAAATACGCTGGGTATCTTTCTTCTTGACCTGCATGACCTTTCCAAAACTGCCCTTTCCAACAACTTTCAGTAAATCGAAATCCTCAATCTTCAATGATCGTGATCTATTCTCGATATATTGTACGCCAATTCGGATCTTTCCAGTACCGTATTGAACATCCAGCCATTCTGGTCCTGATTGTCCCAATGCCTTCTCTTTGCTTGCCCACTCCGCCGCTGCCTTCTCCTTATCTTTCTTACTCAACTTGGGGTCCTCGACATAGGTGTGGGTTTCCTCAAATCTCGGGTTGATTCGCGCTACGCCAAGGAAGATATCTGTGGTTCGGCCAGCACCTTGAGGAGCATTTGGATTTCGGAGATAAAGGTGGACGGCTAACTCTGTCACTCGTGAGACATCGAACTTGTACTGTGTGTTGTCTCCAGCCCATAGAGGGTTCTCAGGGGTCCCTGACACTGCATTGACAAAGACTTGTAGCTTATCGAAATCGAGGAGGGCGTAAGGAAGGTATTTGGATGAGATTCGACCATGGTTGGTGGGCACATTGCTGAATCCACCTCCTGAAGTCTGAGGTCTGGCGTTACTGGCAAATGATCCTGCAACACTACCTGCTTGTTGTGAAGATCCTGGTCGAACCGATCCAGCCACTCCAAAGCCGTTTCCTTGTGAGAGAGAGTTGGAGGTATGTGTGTTGAAGACGGTCTTGTATTGGTCGGGGAGAGAGAAGTTTGATCCTTCGTGCAACGTAACGATCAAGATACCAGGTCGAGGTTGAGCGGGGGGTTGGGTAGCTATGATTTCAGAAGCAGCTGTACTGGTCAGTCTCTGGCTATCGTGGCGGATATCTCCCACGTACCAATTCCATTGTCATTGGGAGTCGAACTGCCTATACTGGCCTTCTCTTCCTTGGCAGAGTCTCCTGTGATTGTAGATGTAGATGGGGAGCGAGAAAATGTACTGGCAAGAGGACCAAGGTGCGTCTCCTTGAGTTCTGTAGTGACATATCAGTACTGGTAGTTTTGGAGGTCAATGGGAGGTTGGTAGATCCACCCCACGGGACAGCCAACACAGCGGAGCTGCAGAGCCTCTATCACAGCGAATTGCGGGACAGGACAGGACAGGACTAGGCTTACTCTTGGTGAGTTTCCACGACATACTGATGGTATTGTGAAATGTGCGGTGCTCGAGATGTGGAGATGATACTGTTGGTAATCGAAGTTGAAGGCGATGGAGCGCCGTTGAAGTGCAGTGCAGTGCAGTGCGGTGACCAGGTTCTGAGAGGGAAGGTCGATGCCCCGCCAAAGGAAGCACTGCGCTCGGTCTGTTTATCCGACTGATCAGTTGAAGCTAGGCTGGCGCCGCCGTTGGAATAGGCTTGTGTATGGTATGGGGTATACAAGTCAGGTCGACGACGATATCTGTTCCTGTAATACCAAGGATATCGTCCTACTTGATATGTGTGTGTTTTTGCGTCGGAAAGGAGAAAGGTGGATTACGAAAGGAGGCAAATAATGGGCTGGGCTGCAATCCGTTTGAGGTCGAATTTCAGGTGCTGGTCGGTGGCTGAGCTCTCCGGCGCCAAGTGATCTCCAGGGGCTGTCTCCTGCTCGTAACGTGACTGAGGGCTAACATGAGATGGCTGAGTCTGTAAGATCTAGAAGTGAGGGATTTGTTCTTGGGAACTATTCGATATATGCGCCCGTAGAGCTGTTATGATTTTGAAGCCATACACAAGCAGAGTTCTCGGTTGGGCGTTGATTGCGCGGGGTAGATAGGAGGGGCAGTTTGACATGAAATGTGAATAGCATCCTATTTATTCGTCCACTTCGCTGACGAGATGGTCTTCCTCCACGACGAACTCTTGAGCACAGGTAAGTTCTTCTTTCTTCTCTTTCCGATTGCAGCTTAATGTAATCGAAATATTCTAGTTCCGTTTCTTCTCGAATTCATGAATACCCGGCCCCCTCAAGGAAGAGCTGTACAAGTCTGGGTAGAGAGAGCGAACTCATATATGTAAGAGTACAACACCATTTTCCCTACTCTACATGTCCAAAATATGGTGTTGACAATGGAGAAATATTTAATCTGTATTCTGGTGGTCTTGTTCTAGTTGTACTTAACTTTGTAGCCCATTTCCAAGCGAACAGTTGATGTGCCCGTTTCAACTCAAGATATGGAAGAGCCAGAAACGTTCGATGTATAGATTGATTCGTGCTTTCAAAGCATCACCAAGCTTTGAGTGATGGATTCACCTACCTGGCCCAAGTATCATATTAATCGAGGCATGCTTGATTTGCTCATTGAATATGAAGATACCAGGCGTCTTTCCTGCAAGCAAAGCCAACATCACTCTTGGCAGATCCAATTGCTTTGTCAGCAACCCCAGACCTATCCTTTTACGGACTAGCCAACCTTGCCATCATCCGCTCCTGTCGAGCTTAGGGACCACCAATTGTAATCCAATCACCGCCACAGCCATCACTGACGCCAACGTCCTCGAGAAATTCAGGAGGAATAGACGAAGGAGAGGAGGATATTCCATCGCGTGCTTCCTGCCCAAGACGTGTCTCGAGGATCACGATAGCCCCGGCTGCTCTCTCCGGCGCAAAGCAGCATCATCATGGGGGTCATCCGCAAAAAGACCGCCGCACGAGGCGGAGAGGGAGGAGTCAAGTATGTTTGTGATGTTTGCAGTGCCGACATCACCTCGACTGTGAGCACAATCCGGTCTATTCCCAGCAAACCCTTCGCTGACACTTTGCCAGGTCCGGATAAGATGCGCCCACAGCTCCTGCAATGACTACGACCTCTGCGTCCTATGTTTCTCCAAAGGAGAGTCGAGCCACAACCACCAACCTGCCACCCATCCTTTCCGAGTCATCGAACAGAACTCGGTACCTATATATGACAAGAACTGGGGTGCAGATGAGGAGCTACTTCTGTTGGAAGGATGCGAGATATACGGGCTTGGATCATGGGCAGACGTGGCAGATCATATTGGAGGATACAGGAATAAAGACGAAGTCAGGGCGCATTACCAGAAGATTTACCTCGACAGTTCGAACTTCCCGTTACCTGTTCGAGCAGACCCAAAAGATATGCAATTACAAGACGAATTACCTAGAGAAGAATTTCAAGCCAGGAAGAAACGAAGGATCGAAGATAGGAAGGAGGCACAAAGTAATGCACCACCTGCAACGCCGAAGAAGAAGCCCACTGCTAGTGTACCCGCATGTCATGAAGTTCAAGGTTATATGCCCGGACGTCTTGAATTCGAGACGGAATACGCCAATGAAGCAGAAGAGGCTGTCCAACTCATGCAATTCGATCCAGGAGATGGATTGAACCCACGTACCGGCGATTTGGAACCCGAAATGGAGCTGAAGCTCACCGTAATGGACATTTACAATTCCCGCCTCACTCAACGAGCCGAACGAAAGAAAGTAATATTCGAGCATAACCTGCTTGAATACCGCAAGAACGCTGCATTAGACAAGAAGCGTACAAAAGAAGAACGCGATCTCCTCAACAAAGCCAAGCCCTTCGCACGTATGATGAATCACGACGATTTCCAAGACCTCTGCAACGGTTTAATCGAAGAACACAATTTGCGGCAAGCAGTGGCCCAACTACAAGACTGGCGAGCAATGAAGATAGCCGATTTGCGCGGCGGCGAGAAATACGAAGCCGACAAAATGCTCCGAGCACAGAAAGCTCAACCGATGGGATCTCTGGATAGAGAACGTTTCGCAAGTTCGCAGCGCTCGAAAGCACCTCCTGTCATCGAAACACCTTCGGGAGCCGCCGCATTCGTTGCTCCCGACCTCCCAACACGCATCAAGTCCTCTTTATCCACACCCAATGGTACCCTCACACCCGCAAACAACAAAAACGGAATCCTCACCAACGGCCACACGAACGGCATATCTACCCCTTCCACCAAGCAAAAATTCCAAATTGCACCCATCAGCGGCGTCTCGCCCCTCTCTTTCTCACAAGAAAACGTCCTCGACAGCCATCTCCTCACAAACGAGGAAATCGATCTCTGCGAGAAGATCCGCGTACATCCTAAGCCGTATCTGGTAATCAAGGAGACGGTCATGAAGGAGGCGCTGAAGGTTAATGGTGCGTTGAAGAAGAAGCAGGTCAGGGAGATTTCGAAGGTGGATGGGCAGAAGGGGAGTAGGATTTTCGAGTTCTTTCAGGCGCATGGGTGGATTGCTAAGGCGTAATTCACGCTGAGGATGGGTGGTTTATCGTACGGTGTAATTTGGTTGGTCTGGGAGGTCGGATCGCAGTTGCCCTAGGTTTTGGGATAGGACAGGGTCGGGGAGTTGACCATTTGTCTGTTTTTTTGTTTCACCACTTCGTTCGCATTTGATTGGTTTGCATTCTTGCTTACAAGTAATTCTGGCTGCATATTCGTCTTCTTTTCTTTCCTGTGTCGAGGGACTGGTTTTCTCTCGCGGCAGGAGACTACACTACATTACACTACATTACTGGCGTTGAAATCAGGGCTCAAATTTGGGATGGGATGGGATGGAATGGGAAGGGATGGTGCTTTCAGGTTGTGTTCTAGGCGTGGGCGGCGATCGGGTGAACGGTCATTGGAGGCGAGGCGTGGCGTTGTGATGTCTTGCATGTGTAATATTTGAATGAGGAAGGGAAGATGAATAGAATGAAGATATAATCTACATATCATAAAGCTGCTTGCCTATTTCAACTTACATGTTTTTGTTAGCCTGGTCTGATATTATGGACTTGCGTTATCTACAGCTTTTCTCTCTCTTCTTTTCTGCCCTGCTCTCGAAGACGAATTTCGGAACTTGTTATTCGTACTCCAAAGTTCTAAGATCAAGAGTTCGGCTGCCTGCCGAGGTCAGGGATTGAAATTCGGACTTTCACTTTCCCAGAACACTTCCTATTTCTCACCAAAGTAATCTTACTTGTTTCTTCCCTTACTCTATCTATCTAGCTATTTATCTATGCTCGATTCTGGTATACCATTCTATCCTCTACCCCTAGGACGTAGGAACCAGCCCAACATGATACAGTATCCAGCGACGGTTATGAACTCCTGTCGTGGTCGTCGATTCGGCGGGGGTAAGTACAGGCAATGACAATAGAATGTTGGCTAGTCATTTCAACAATGTGAGAAGCGATGTTGGCTCAATTCATTTCGCAAAACTGGGGCTTCATGTAATCCGTGGATCGTGACGATGCTGAATTTCTTAATCTGCAAAAAGCCATTCCATGGCCACCATCTTATGTCCCCTCATCCGCAAACTGGCGACTCATAATCCCAATTCTCCTTGCCCCCAAGAAGAAGGTACGCCTCCAAATCTTCACAATATCTCCCAAAACTCTCCACTTTCCACTAGGCATCCTCCAAATCCCCGGACCCACCTTCCTACTCCCCGACATTTGAGTGATAAGCTGGAGTACTTACTGCAGTCCAAAGAGTCCAGCTCTTCGCAAATTTGAGCCCAGAGCTCTACTTGAAGCGACCGCAATTCCTTTTCCGCTCCAAATAGATATATGCAGCCAAAACTGCGGAATGTGAAGCGCGGTGATTACCTTCATTAATAGTGCTGTTGCCGCCAGCTTTGATTTATTTGCTCGAGGTGGGAGCATTAGGAGGAGCCTCTGCAATGCCTTGACGGCAGAGTTCGCTCTGTCGTGTATCCAAGTATATCTGAAATCGCTGCGAGTGAGATCTGGACAGGAGGAAAGGGACTGGGAGGTCCTCCAAAGCGTGAAAAGGAAGATTTTCCATTGTAGTGGCAATGGAGGAAGGAGATTTTGCTATGTTGATGCGCTGATAGAAGTCAAAACAAACAAAATAAACAAAGCGGACAGTCAACAAGAACATATCTGCTGTGGCGAGAGGCAGGGAAACGGCGTGGCTGTAAAAAGACGGAATGAAAACTCTTTGTGGAGAATCCTGTGATGTTCAGTTAAGGACGTAATAGTGATGAAGTTTATCCAAGAACAGAAAATAAACATGCGATGAGACGCGTTAAACAATGGTTGTGGCGTGAGGGTCACGCCTCGTGGTCAAGCGAGGAGGTTCTTCCTTTCATCCCCTCGTCCCTTCCTTGTTCGGGCTAATACCTTGGGCGTGTTTAGTTCTTTTCATTCGTATTTTCATGTTTCTCTCACTTCATCTGAGCTTGTCAGAGCCATTCACAACAACATCATCATACTCCATTCAAAGTCTTTTTGAAGTGTCTCTTCCTCACAGAGCTCCTTTTTGGCTTCATCTTTCTGAAGCGCTGTAATGGAGTTCTTTCGGCTAGTGTTCTTCAAATATCAGGAACACCAGAAAGATTAAGACCAAGAAACCAGATGTTCACACTTGTTCAGAATGCACAAGAGCATGTGTAGTCTTTAAAAGAGCTTCCTCTGCTGTGGTGAAGGCATTCAAGGACTATCTCGCCTCCTAATACTCCACAACTGGCTCTTGTCCACGATAACGATTCGGATTCTGGTGCTCTTAGTTGCCGGACGTGATTGCAGAGGCTTAGAAGTCATCTTGGCTCAGAGATTTGTGTTTATCCGCCTCTAGGACTCAAACAACAGCCTCAAAGTCTTGCTGTAACTGCAGGCTCTGACCGAATCTAGGATGTGCCACCCCACCCATTCTCCATGACCATCTTTGGGCCCACTACGCGACGCTCCCCACGGACGAAGAGATAGTGCAGTACAATGTCACATAAGAGCCCCATGTTCTCGCAAGAAGCGGTTGCAGCCACCACATGCGCCGATAACCACGCAGTCCATTTAGAACCCACTGAAAAGAAACGCAACGAGGATCACGTACATTGAGTATGGTACCAGGAACCACATAATCAGACAGGACGCCAGCGGAGGAACGGGTTTGCCAGTATACTTCTATCGATAGAAGATCTCTTCCGCTTACTGGGCAAGAGAAGGAGCCGACTGCTGGAGGCGAGTTCAGTTCGAGATCACGGGGTGCCACTTGCGAGCTTGCCTGATATTGTGCTCACTTCGCAAAGCGGTTGCTTCCTGAGTACACCTGGATACCCGTTACCCACAGCATCTGGCGATTGGAATTTTCTGAGACTTCAGAGCTGAAAGTTGTTGCAGAGCAATCGGGCACTTCCAATACTTCGACAGCGCCGATTCCATGTGGTATGGACCTTCACAATACCCGGCAAATATGCACCTATTTCTGGAGGTAGCATAAACGATCCCGGAATATGTGTGCTCAGCACAATAAACAATAGTGCGCCAACAAGTCGGCCAAAATACGACTCTCGAGTATATAGCAGAGGAATCGGCATGGCATGCTTTGGCCATTGAATGCTACAATCAGTACCAACCATTCCAAGGTCCGTACACATCTTCCAAGAACCACAGCTGGGGTTAGTTGATATATGATAGGGAGTGCTTCCAGTCTTCGATAGTCGGTCTCTTCTTTGCTCCATTTGAGAGAAGAGAATGAAAGCTGAATCTAGCTGGCGAGGCGAATCGTTTGTGCCTGAAAAGTCGTGCCAAGTGTGACCGGCTTTGTATGCTGATTCAAATCACGATTTGCGCCTCAGCCGTTCCCAACCTTTGGAGTGCTCGCGAATGGAAAATTATCTACCTCTTCAGATGAGGTATATGTATTCGATTCGGCGTCGTTCATCCTGTGCAAAGCGTCGTCAATGTTGCCATCTTATCGGAATACATAGCTATTCTTTTCCTCCTCTGAGTGCCTCAACGCCGTACCTATTGATGACAGAGCCAATCAGACCGCAACAACGCCATAATAGCGGCACTCTCCTAATGGAGTCGCTATCCAACTCCTTGAAATCGGGGGACCGCCCGTCACTCCGACCTAGAGAAACATCACTCTCCCACTCTCCAAAAGAGGGCTTACAGCATAGTCCAGCTAGGAATTATTATTCCAGCCAGGATACTGTTATGGTTTCGGACTCATGGACGGTTCAGGTGGCGAGCTCCATAAGAATAACCATCCACTGTTTCGCACCAGCCCTTGATGCGACTTTCGTCTCTTGCCAACGAGGAAAGGAGATTCGAGAAGCTTTTGATACAAGAGAATTGTGCCATGAAAATTCTGCCACCATTCGAGGAAAATCAAAGTACGGCGTCAGAACTTTGAATTCATGGGTCCGGGCAAGTTACTGGAAACGAGAGGCCCATATAACACCGGAGGTGGCCTCCGTACCTAGCTCTCGCCCCTCCCTGGAATGACCTCGACCAGTTCTATTTGGGTATATATCACCCGACTCCCATCGCTGCAGTTTAATCCTGTTCTTCGAACCTCCATTTACTCGAGCTCGTCCATCACAGGTAGAGAGAAAGGTTTTTGAGGATTACACTGTCATCATGGCGCCTGCTACAACTCACTCGTTCATCGGCTTTTGCGTTGTCACTCCGTCAACTCCATTATTGGCGATGCAGGAGGTGGAATTCTGGCAGAGATCTGGCAAATATCAGAGGATGCATTGCTAGACGATGATCACCATCAAAGGACGAGCAGACTTCTTACGACAGAACCAGTATCATCATTAGTCCACCTCTAAAAATACTGATTAGGATAGGCCAATACGAAGACTTGTTAAATTTAACATCGATCCTTCCCAACGGAATCAAGAGGCGTGAACCCAATAAGGCCAGCCTACTCGAGTTCCGAGGAAAATCGTCCAATTACATATCATCGGGTGCTGGGAACGGTGCCCACAAGGCGGATGCTGGTCATCAATTCGAGTTGAGCAGATTCCGAATCTGCATGAGGCTTTGAGCACCTCTCTCCTCAGCGGATGGAAATTTCAGCCGACGAGCGCCGGTTGTCGATTCACGAAAACCATAAGCAGGACCTTCGACTATCCAGTCTGAAGAAAAGGATGCGGAATATTTGGAATGAGCTTCAACAACCGGTTGGAGATATGTTGGTCTTGTACACGCTCCAAGAAAATCATCCATGCCGTATACTTTCTGGGGAGGTGTAGGTGAGAGCATGAGCTCTGTCAGATTTCTGGGAAGAAGTATGGCACACTCGATTGCAGATCTTCGTAGCATCTCTTGGAGAGGACCAGCGACAGGAAACCCGAGTCGAGATTCCATCAGAAGCTCCATGCAAAATTGGATAGCCTCGGGCCCATCTTTACCACCTCCTCCTTGCGTACCTTCAGGGAAGAATCGAGCTATGATATCAGTCAACTGAAGACATGCGAGCATCTGCAGCACGGGCTGATATCGAAAGCTGTATCGTGGCCGGTAGAATGTGTCGAGTAGCCGAAGACCTTCTTGGGCGTGCTCCCAAATAGGTCCTTCGACCAGCGATGACGGGAAGCCTTCGAAATCGAGTAAAGGTCGGAGGAACTGGACAACCGCAGTATTATGGAGAACACTAGCTTGTCAGACAACCTGTGGGAAGAGCGCAAGATCAAACTCACAGCAAGTAGAGCACATGAGGTAGCACATGTTGTGTACTATCCTCAAAATTGGCAAGCTCATCCGGCAGCTCCTGTCTCCACGTCCTAAGTCTGCCATACTGGTACAGAAATTGCCTCGCAGATATATGAGTGCCACGCTGAGAATATATCATAGTGGCGATATCCTGAAGGATCAAGTTCAACTTCGACTTTTCTCTGTTCGTAGTTGCTATTAGACTTCGATGTGGTTCAGGCTGCTCTTTCGCGTTTCGATATGGATACCAGTTCCCATCATCCAAGATAGCATCAACCTCCTCCGTGCTATCATACGATGTGGATTCGACAATGGGCGGCGCTTGGAAGGTCATCTGCGCCCACTCACTTGGGGCCATTAGGACTGTTAGGACGAAGGATGCAGATGTGGACTAACATGTTGAGATTCTTGATTCCGCGCACAGTAGCTTTCCAGGATTCTGCGAAACCGTCGTTGTCCTGGTATGACGCGCGTAGTAGGCCGACAGTTGATATCTTAAGGTAGGCTGTAGCCCGCAAGGCATTGCCTCGAGCGCAGTCTACCAAGTGCATCACCGCAAAGGCTTGTATGGTTGTAAGCCTGTTGTCATCTGGCTGGAGGCTCTTTCGGGCTGCATCACTAAATTCTACTCCCAGTCGTTCGTAGTCAATCTCATCACCAACCACTGCCGCATGCAGGCTGCAAGCCAATGCACAAACAGAATTGACTAGCACGGACGAGCAGTAGGTGTCCAAATGTCGGCCGTAGCTGTCAGCGAAGCGCCCCTCGCTGAACAATGTATGTACTGGATGAATCCAGGCGAAGTAGAGTTGAAAGAGATGATCTAGGACGAAGGTATCGGACGTCACTCGAGTCCAGAAATGCTTCGAGGCTCCAACACCGCTCATCTCATGATCCGAGGGCTCGTATGTAGAATGATGAGACTCCCTGGGTGATAGAGTATCGAAGTCGGCCATTGGAGACCGGCCAAGCCATTCGACGATCCCATCGTACGTCTCGCCATTCCTAAGGCGTTCGAGAATTTCTGGTACTTTTTCGTTGGTGGACAGAGCCTGGAGAATTTGCTCGGTCATATGGTCCTTGGCCCTGAGCTCCTTGATCTGCTTGATCAGCTCTTCCTTCGCATGCTTGATATGAATTTCGTAGATGCATTCGGAGGTCTCGACCCGTGTCGCACACCTCTTGCACGGCTTGTTGCCATCACACTACAGCTCGTCAGCGTGGGGGACTTAGAAGCACAATACCTGTAACGAGTGCCTGGTGCAGGAAGTTCTGATAATCCTACAGGATACAGCAAGAAGTCGAAGTACTGACCTTGGCCCGCGCCTTTTTACAATTGAGGCAGGCATTGCGAGTAACTGATTCTGGGACTCTTCGACGCTTGGATGAAGACGAACTGCTCTCAGTAGGAGTGTCTTTGTCGCCGCGGGGACGGCGTGGGTCAGATCCCGTACTCTCGGATGTGGACTGGCTTGGGTTGCTGGCTGATGCACTGCTCTCCCCAAATGACGGGCGGATTTTTCGAAAATTCGAAGAAGGCATGTTCAAAGTGCCAAAAGAATGATTGTTTTTGCGCACTTACACAACTCTGGACAAGATCATGTATGCACTATAGTTGGCCGTCGGAAATCAGTGAGTGGGGTTCGAGTTGATATTTGGCGATAGGGTGGCGAGATGGAAAGGTGTGTGTTATTGTGGGAATGTTGGCAGGTGGTAAAGATGGGGAACATGGAACGCCATGAGTTCATGGAAGCGTGACTGTGGTATGGAGTGGGTTCCTTGAATGAGCTACACTACAGCAGTGCAGAATTCGATGTGAGCAAGCACGCGGTTGTGCGGCCTGATTTGACGGAGGCGCCTCCTTCAATGGTCTTACCACACTTTCTATAGAACAGACGCCGGCCACACAGGACGAGAGCGGGTTATGAGATCCAGAGTTTCAGTGATATGTACCTGATTGAAACGTCCAGTCGATGTGTCTGGAGGAAACGAAATGGCGCCTTGATGGAGCATCGACCGATTCTCTGGGCTGAGACTGGAATGCTAGATTGGGGAACTGGAACCAAGGCGAATTATACGCAGCATGAGCAGGGTATAGTGCCGCCGACAACCCCGCTGTAGACATCGGATTTCAAACTCTGTGGAGAAACTAGGTACTAAGGCCTTATGGAGTTGGATCTGCCTGATTAAGATAGTCAGGGTCCAGCCGGTCGATTGAGAGCGTGGACAAAAGCACTATGAGGGGACAATGAGGGGTGCTGAGGCGAAAGATGTATGACGGTCGCGGGCCCAGAGTGGCTGCTGTCATCAGAGTCTTATCCACTCTACAGAGCTTGTAGGCATCTAGCGATGCAGTCGCGGATCCGGGCATCTAGGAGGACTTGATTATCTGCTCAGGGTCTTCACCGCAACAACGCCACGCTGCCTCCGGTGCTTCGTCCGAATTACAACGGCTGTCAAGGGCCCTAGCCTTACAAAAGTCAATGCTGAAAAATAACATACCGATTCATTGCCATGGGCCCGATGGACGGGAGGCTAATCGAACTCATCGAGAGCGACTTCGCCCAAGTCACACCATGCAGGTCTTGCTGCACAGGAATCCTGGAAAGGCTAGAATGGACCCTTGTTCTACCCGGCACCTTATTTCTTGAAGCTACTCGTGTTTCCCCTGCCGTGCTGGCGTTTATTAGGGTCCTGGCAAATCCAGACGCGCGGATACTGCCTCACAGCTCATTAAACTGAGCAACAACAAGCCTAGGAAGGTCCCACCGACTGCATAACGGATCATTCTATCAGTCGAAGCAGGGAGCCTTTAAATTCATCTTGTACAACGGCCCAATGGCATTGTGCAGCCAGGTCTCAGCAATAAAATCTGGTTGGCCGAGGGCAACCGTATGGGATTCCACATCCAAACACAGTGAAAAGAGGATGGAGGACAACTGTCGTCAAGTATATTTTCTGGAGCTGTTCCGCAAGTTTCTAGCGCCATTCTGATGGCTCTCTGCAGAAGTAGCCACGTGTGTTGATCTATACTCTTCAGGGATTTCAACACTACTCATATACTTCAGGATTGTGCGATGACTTTCCGCCTCCCCGACAATGCCATTGAAATATGATTGATGATCAACTGCCTTTTGGAAAGGGCCTTTGATTGAGCAGAAGCGTCTCAAATACGTGTCTGCTAATTGGGGTCGGTTCTTGAATTTGACATCGAGATTCGGAGGATCACCCGCCTCCGGCGATGAAGCGCCTTATTCAAGATACAGAGGACAGGATCGGTTTGGTTAGGACAGGCCGACGTCAGTGCACGTCAAAGGCGTTCCATTTTCATCACCAGCCAAGGGCACAGCATGAGCATCTTACAGCTATCATGCCGTCCTGCCCGACTGAGAAGTGGCAAGTGTTGGATGCCCATTTCTCTCAGGACACTTCGCAGTCACGTGTCAATGGCTCCCTCGCTCTCCTTTCTTGGCTAGTGGAGATTCTCTTTGACAGAACTCAAAGGACGAGGACTTCCAGAAGGCATTTTATATGAGCAACCGCTGGACTGTGGTCTAGAACTCGCTTCTATTCGTAATAACTGAAGGACCTCTCATAAAGTCAACACTCTTTTCGAATTGACGTTGACTTGACCAATCAGTATTCGCTTGCGAACCTGTCTCGGATTTCACATCCGGACCATTCACAATGTTGAGTAATATCAGATCAATTTCGCGCTCGGAATTGCCCCTTGGATTTACGTGCATTTTACATGTACTTGTTCTGCTCGCGGTACATTGACAAGGCACCTTTGCACTAATAATGATATCCATCCCGATGGAACTCCTGTGACTGGTGGAGTCTACTTGGCTGGCAGTCTTTGCCATTTGGGAGCACTTCACGACACGGTTCTCATTAGCATTAATGGTTCTATCTGGTCTCTCTCCAGAGATGTCTCTCCCCATACCAAAAGCCATGATAAAGTTTGAGAGTTGTTCGATGCTCTACCAATTCTATGAGTTTTGGTAGACGCCCCCCGGAAACATTCAGGTTGTACCATAGGACTGGACGACAAGGGCACTCCCGCGTAGCTTGTCTTAAGTTAGCCCAGTACTTAGCCTAGGTCCAAATCAAAGGCTGGACAGTGGCTCGAGTGGACACTGTCATGCATCATAAAGTCAAACTCTAATCCTGATTCCTGAAAACCACACTCTACCTCAACAGGAAAAGTTCCGATGCCACAGTCGCTGGCCCGATGCTGGCGGGTAGGCGGCTCTTTGCGGGTTGAGCTTGATTCGTATGTTAATCCCCGATGATCAACCACTTTGAGAACGCGGGCCGACGAGATCATTGGGGCCCTGCAGAAAACTCGTTCAGGACTGAGATCCGTTCTTGCACCAGTCATCGAGATTCGAACCGAGGCTGCAGGTACGCCCTTCGATGATATACAGTTCTTCGAGATCTCTACCTCGCACTGTGTGCAGTGGCATGGCTATGATACGAGAGGCTGCTTGTTCACAACATCAAGTCTCGGTTCTAGTCCATCTTGTTTGGAACTTCATATTTCTGTCACAGGACAACATGTTTCGCTTAGTGTTCAATGTGGTAGATTCCAGATCAGATCAGCCCAGGTCTCGGGGCGGGAAGCGAAACTTGCGGGATGTGTTGATCTACTGTCGTTATTCCTGAAACCAAATATTCTTCAAACTAGACATGTGGTTTGGAAAGGAGAATGTATGGTTAATCGGTAGTGGCTTGGAAGCGAATTGCAAGCTTGGGCTCGCTTTAACAATGTCGCCACTCCACTGGAGCACAGCCCTACTCCACTCACAATAATGGACCGGTCATTGATCTACAAGAAGCAAGTTGCCAGGAGGGCTGTCAGGGTCTTTTAGGGGTCCTGGGATCTACATCTAAACTGCTGATTCAGTCCGAGAGCGTTGCTTTATTTCTCCAGGTATGTGCTCCTCGCTTCCCTCAGTAGCTTGGTATGGTATCCATGCGCGATCGAGGGGATCGGATTAGCAGACGATCGAGATGGCATGGCTTCTCACGGCAAGTAAGGTACCCTAATTTTGAACTTTATTTTCTTGCTGCCTTGCATCTTATTGTTGAAGAGTATCTAGATTTTGGGATCTGCATTGTTTGCAGTCTAGCATTTGCACATTTTCTGTGATGGTTGATCTGGATCCTGAATCTAGACTTCTGCGATGGACTGTTGGCGGAGTTGAATATTTACGGATTTACCGAGTCCAGATCTGGCATCTCCCGCCTGCAGGATGTCCTCGCGTGGAACATCCCGCTCACCAACTGCATGGAACCAGAACAGATGTCGACGTTCCACCTGACCACCACGATGGATAAAGTATAAACAATTCCATTTTCTTATGGATTTCTATCATTTCTCGATCTTTAATAGAAGGGCTAGATGCGCATGGAGTGTCCTACCTTACCGAGCTTACCCCTAGCGGTGGTGCACGCAATTGACGTGGAAGCGAGGGCTTCTCAATTCGGCAATTCCCTTCCCCAATTGGAGCTTCGTTTTGTTTGTTTACCTTTTGATTTCTTTTTTCCCAGTCGACTTTGACTTCGACTTTAACTTTAGCGCGGTAACTTACAAGGTGCGGGAGCTTATGTTCCGTGCTTGAGTTTCGGACAAGCTCCGCGCAGCCTGCCATAAGGTGAGTGATAGAGTTCAAAAGAGATAAGTAGCGGGGTACAGTAGTAAGACGAATGTTTCTTGAAGGATGAGCATATGCTTTCGGGAGAAGAACATGACTGTTTTGAGTGTCGGACGGTAGATGTGAGCGGAAGACGGGTTTTGCGGGTTTTTGGTGGCGAAAGGGGGCGAAGGACGAGGGGAGCGGGAGTTGGGTACCATTCTGCGGTCTTTGATTTTGCTTAAGGGTCCTCCTGGTGTCTGTGGGTTTAGGTTTGGGCGTGGCTGCGGCTGGTTGGAGTTTGGGAAGGGGAAATACAAATAAGGGAGAAGAGATAAGGATGTTTTTTTTAACAGGGTTGCAGTGCTGCGACTGGAGGGATATGAAATCTCGGGCGAGTTTTGTGTTGGAGCTCGAAGGTTCATGATCCTTGTTTTCGGTACGTCTTGCCGGGTGAATTTTATTGATTTGCGTTTCTTTTGTGGCCTGTGGCTTGCTTTCCCCTCGTTTTCTTTCTGTTTCTTTTTGGTTTGGGGAGGCTAGGACGAATGGTTTGGATGAAGATCTACTGTACGGCCACCGGTCGCCGGAGATGGGAGAGTCTCATAAAGCATCAAGTATTGCTCAAACCTACCATGTTCATTTCACTCGATATCCTTCATTCTTGGCTGGTTTCGTTCGAGAAGATATATTGACATCCATGTCAATATCGGTTACAGTTTGGACGAGCGCTGGAACAGTCTGGTGGGGAACATTTGCATTATTTACTACCGGTAGTGCAAGGAGCTGGATTTAGATAGCTCAATGCGTCGCTTTTTGAACAAGGGTGTTTGGTTGTTTTCGGATTTCTTTCTGTCAGGTAAGACTTCCTCTTACTCAGATGGCGAGTCGAGTAGGCTGAGCTTAACAGAGTTCAGTCTGTGACTTGGAGCTTGGTCTCGAAAGATGGGGGTGAAGAGGGGTAGATAGGAGGTACTAGCTGGCGTCTGTGGGTGCAGATTGCTGGAACGACGTATCGCATTTCTGTATTCGCTGGATGTATGCTGATTGGCATGTTGCAGTATAATTAAGTACCTTTCCCATTTATACATTTCTCTGGTCACGGACGATGGTTCGGGATTTGTCAATGTGGCGTGTGTGGGGGGAAGGTTGAAAGTTTGAGTGAACGTGGCGACTTTTGGAATTGATGTTGCAAGGAAGGAAAGTAAGTGGTCATTGAATATTTTGGTTGTTTGACTGTTTAATCTCAGTGCTGGTAAGCTCAGCAACTCTCGAGATGAGATAACATGAGACGATGCGGTGGGGTTTGGCTCAGGTCTAGTGCCGTGTGGCTCAGTGCAAGGTGGCGTCGGTTGGTGTGATTTTGGTTCAAGACGATGCATTGTTGCCTGTCTGTTTTGCTACCACCTTCCATTTGGGTCTGACTTCGAAGTGTTTTTCCTTTCTGTAAATTGTCAGACAGGGAAGAATATTATTGATTTGACGGGGCAGTAAATGCGGTAACAAAGCCGAAAGTTCCGCTCACTTCCTGCTTGTATGTGTACTTGTCCTTATTTGTTTTGGTTGGAGTTTTGTAGCGAGATACGTTCTTGTTGAGGCTGATGCTGTCAGCCTGGCACCGAATTCGGCACCAATGTGTCATAATTAGCCTCGGCCTTTCTTATTTCCCCACTCGTAAGGCTTAACCACGCATATTTCCGAATTTGAATGGTTAAGCAACAGGGGTTTTATGGGGAGAATGAAAGGGACACGGCAATGGCTTCGGTATAATCGGAGAAGTCCATATCAGAGAGTACCAATGGGATGTCAGATCTTATTATCAAGCTGTGTAATCTCGAGACGGCGGTGGGAACTGTGGAACGGGGAGATTTACTTTTTCTGGTTGTTGGCTGGCTTGGAGCTTGGAGCTTGGAGTCAGCGAGCTATGAATCATGGTTTGGGAGTGTAGGACAATGATATATATGCAGCCCAGCCGGGGAGCCGGGTGTGATATCCGCGTGGCTTTTTTGATATTTGGATGTGGATTGTTGTGAAGGACAGGGAACAATATAATGTTTTGTACGGTCTTTTGCGAGGGTTTCTCGATTCATTGAGAAGTGTTGTCTAAGTTCGAGGGAGGGGAAGATAGATAGAGGCTTCGTTGATATGAACTTGTAAGTTGCTGTGTCGGTTAGTCTTAGGTCTGGATTCAGTGTAGTGTGGTTGTGGAACGAAACTTTCTCCCAGAGTTCTTGGAATGGGAAGTGGAGGCTATGAGATGGATTGAAAGTATGTTAAAGATATCTCCACCCGTCATTGGAATGCTATTGGCGGTAAGTAGAAACTTGATGGAACCTCGCGTGCTGAAGACGAATGTGGCTAGACACAGTATAATGGGGGAAGAGATCATGATATAGAGCCAGACACATAGACGAAGTTGGTTAGTCGATCTGACAAGTTGGCGGTATCCGCCGAGAATTGACTTTCCCAGATCTGGTTATATCTAGCGACGTTCAACAGTTCTTATTCTCAAATGAGGTCGAATTTGGCTGTTAGATCCTAGTTGTGAAAGGTTTGAATAAGTGTGCTAGGATTCGTGATAATTATTCAGAATGAAATTACCTCCTTGGCTGAAGTGTCTTTTGGAGAATCTGGTGATAGATGATTCTGTCCATGAGAGCTTGAGGACCAGCTAACATTCCAGCCTTTTGCATCGGAAGGATAAGAGAAGTTATTTCCTTTGTGCACTGCTTCCTGGATCAAAAGCAATTCACGTGAGAGATAGAATGCAACCGGCTGCTGAAATTTGTGTAACACCATGACGGTCTATGTAGCGTTTTGACATCTTCCTTCTTACAATCCACAAGCATCCTATATCATACAATATACAATTGGTCGCTTCTCACATCTACCATCCTTGATGTTTCAATTGCTTCACCCTCGAAATCGTAGCCTTGAAGCCTTCCATAAACCTCGTCCTCCATCTCTCTCTCCGTAGCCTCTTCCTCTTCAAACCTCCTCTCTCGTGAAACCTCTGTTTCATGGATTCCCTCTTGACTTTATTCCTCGCACAGCTATTCTCCATCAATCGAAACCCCTTGGCAACATCAATCCCCGAATGACCAATCGTGACACTCCTCCCTGTACTCGCGTTCAGAAGCAGCGGCTTGCGAGGCGGTTTGTAAACTCCGAGGCTGTCGCTGATAGATTGAGAGGTTCCCAAGCCAGACCTTCGGAGTGGGTTGATGTCTTGCATGCGGTTGATATCCATCGTTGAAGGAGACCGGCTCTTCACAAGTGTTGCTAGAAGATCACTTGCGCTGCTTCCATTGTTCATGACACGCTCTCTCTCTGGCGTGAGAGTGGGGACTGGACTGGCAGCTCGGGAGCGTGCAGTCCATCCTAGATTTCTAGCTTGTTCTTCCATTGCTGGTTGAGACTCAGCTGAATTGGACTTTGGGGTCGAAGCTTCGGGAGAGGGCGAAGAAGCTGGTGTCGTAGTCGCCGTTGGTCGAATAGCCTCTCTCTGAACGCTATTTGTGAACGATCGTTGAATCTGCCTGTTCGAACATCCCCTGTATCCCAATTGCACGCTGTTCGTCCATCGAACGTTCGCCGCTGGAGAGAGAAATGCAGCTAGAGGAGATGATTGCGAGCGCAGCAGCGCGTCAGCGGCCCTTCGAAGCTCCATTGACCTTTCAATACGTTAGAATATGAGGATATATATCTGCGAGCATGATGCGACCTACATTGATTGTGTTGTTGATGCTGCTGGGGAGTTGTCGTCCATGTCTCGATATTTCTCGGCCCTAAATGGCGCTAGCAGGGGGTTGTAGATTTCGATTGTCGAGCGACCGAGCTTCACTCTGGACGCGATCATCTTTTGCGCCAACTACTACAACACCACGATCTGTGATTATTCAACGCACTCACTCATTCGCAGATCCTCAATTTTCTATCTGAACCTGCCAAAATCCATCAAGTGTAGACAGGATGTCGTACAATCCATATGGAGGTAGGGCTTCCATTCTCAAAGCTTGTGCTGATCCTCACCTTACTGATTTTGCGAATAGCTGCACCTTTTGGTCGGCCACCAGGATTTGGAGGCTTCCCAGGCCAGAGCGGCACTCCTCCTGGCATGGGACCTCCGCCAGGAATGGGTAAGCATATCTAATTCTATTTGCTCTACGACATACTGACGCTTTTTTCAGGTCCTCCACCAGGCATGTCTGCCCCAGGAACGGCGCCCCCTCCAGGCGTACAGCAAGCCAACGCTACACAATCAAGTCGACCAAGTGGTCTCCCTGCGAGCTTTCAGGGCCCTCCAAATATGCCCAATATCAACTTCTCTGCGCCTGTCATCCGCCTAGGTACCGGTCCCTCCAAGCCTGTAGCTCCCTTACCTGGTGCAGCAGGCAGAAGAGAAAATCAGGATCCAGGCTCAGCAGGTGGACGACCGGGACTAGGCGCAGAGAGAGGAATGGAGGCACAGCGACAGGCATTGAGGGATAGTATGATGTCCTTGGTTCCACCTACGAAGGAAGAGATCGTGCGGACTATCTTCGTGGGAGGAATTACAGAAGGTGCAGGAGGAGATGATGGCGTCGAGCGGATTCTCAGCACAGCGGGGCGATTACGCAGATGGGATCGAGCTACGGATGCAGATGGGAAACAATGCACTTTTGGATTTGCGCAGTACGACGATGCAGAGAGTTTAGCTACAGCTGTGGAGGTTCTCAAGGATATTGAGATTCCGACGAAGAAACAGCCGCCTAGCGATGGAGTCAAAAAGGAAGGGGAAGACGAGGACGAGATCGAGAAGAGCAAGCTGTTAGTCTTCGTGGATGACAACTCTCTGAATTATTTGGACAATTCGTCTCAGAACCGAGGTGATGACTCGGCTGCTGAACGGGCACGACTCGACGCTGCAAGAGCAGGCCTGAAAGCAGCCATCTACGAATTATTCCATCCACCTATGTATGTCAAGTTGGATGAGAGCGAGGACGCTGCCATGCAGGATGGGAAGGGAGAAAACGTCGAAGTTGTCAACATACCACTGGCAGTGGACGATGAACTTGCAGATATCCCAGCTGAAATGCGGGAGACTGTTGCTTTGGAAATCGCGGCATTCAGAGATCGGAGCACGAGGAGAGATATGGAGCGATTGAAGCGAGAGGAGGAGATGGAGGCTGCTGAGAGGTTAAGAAATGGAGCACCTCGACCCTCGAGACTTGCTTCGCCGCCTCCAAATACTCCCAGTGGACCTGCTGCTGGCACAAACAACATTCCTCTTGGACCCCGCGGAGTTCCCAATGCGCCATCTGGACCCAAGCTTGGCTCCCAAATTCCTCGTGACTATCAGAAGGGCGTCGCATTCGTGAATGGAAGCGGTATCAACGGTGCCGCGAGTGGAGATGTCTGGATCAATCGTGAGGAAGACGACGATTCTGCCAGCGACGAAGAACTGGAACGCCGGAGAACTGCCAAAAAGGAAGCCGACTTGGAGAAGACATATCTGGATCAAGAACGAAGATGGCTAAATCGGGAGCGCTCGAGGACTGCTGCAGTACAGCGTGAAAAGGAGCGAGAGGACGAAGATGCAGCAAAAGAGAATGCAGAGAAAGAAAAGATGGCCCAAAGACTTCGTGACTGGGACGACGATGTGGAAGCGTCTCGGAAAGTCGATGACTACTACGCTGATCGGAGCATGTGGATTCGAAACCGCGCATTATTTCGTGCTCGGGAATCTGCTGCTGATGAACGCGATCGTATCGCAGAGGCGAGGGAACGCCAACGTGATGTTGCAGATAAGGAGCAAGCTCGTGGCCTAGCAGACTCATTCCTGGATCGCCAAGCGGAGGAGTTGGAGTCCAGAAGTGCACCTGGCCGCGCTCAGCAGCCATTCAAACTGTCCCTTGGTGCAGCTGCTCAGAAAGTTCAGAAAGAGAAAGCTCAACCTCCAAGAAGAACAGTCGCAGAAGTCGAAGGCCTGCTGGAAGACGAAGAAGATGGTGGCAACTCATCCAAGCGTACTCTCATTCCTATCAAGTTCGATCCATCGGCTCCTGTTGCTCAGATGTCAGATGAGGAGCGTGATCAAGCTGTTCGTCAGTTAGCAGCTGAAATTCCAACTGAAAAGGATGGATTGTGGGCTTGGGATGTCAAGTGGGAGTTTGTGGATGACGCAGTCATTGTGGAGAAGCTGCGACCATTCGTCGAAAAGAAAATCGTGGAGTATCTCGGTGTTCAGGAACAGTTACTGATTGAGGTTGTGGAAGAGCATCTCCGTCAAAGAGGCAAACCACAGGCGTTGGTTGAAGAGTTGGAAGGGGTAGGTTTTTCATTTCTTGTTACCTACTGGTCTTGAATTCTGAGAGCACTTACTAACATCATCTAGGCCTTGGACGAGGAAGCCGAAGTACTAGTGAAGAAGCTCTGGCGAATGGTCATCTTCTTCTCCGAGAGTGAGAAGCGAGGTCTGTCTGCCTAGGCGCCGCAGTCAGCTATCGTTTCCGGCGTTGTCCTACAAGGAGAAATGGTAACGAGACACCTTCCCGGGCGCTTGTCCCAGGAGGTTGTGCTCCCAAGTTCCCGTTATATGAAGCCCCGAGGCGTGTTCTAATAGAAAATAAGCGTGCATATCTCGATGGAATTTCCGGCTATGAATGCGATGTATGATAAGTTGGCAACAGATACAAAAAGGGATGCTGCCTCGAATGATACTGCTACGGGGTCATGAATTTAATTTGATAGATACACTTTTGACTGGCAACAAGTGATCTTGAATACGGGTTTCTGATTTGTCGCTATTTCAGTCTGCGCAATGCTGCTACTGAACCGCATTATGTGTTCTCTACATTTCTCGTCGTGCATCTTCAGACTGGTGACAAGTATCGAAGCCTCGGCTGACATGAGGAGGCATTCCTGAGGCCCTTATACCGTAGCCGAACTTCTTGGTTTCCATTTATGGTTAATCATTCTCACTACGCTTTCCTTAAATAGTTGCCACACAATTGAGATGATTACTGAACATCCTCACATCTGCAGAAGTGTTACCCCACAAAGCGCCACAAGATGTTGATGTGTATATTTTATGTATAGATTACTAAACTTGGAATATATGAAAATGTTGATTAATCTCACCCCTCTCATATACGTATATCACACAGAGCACACCTCAGTTCTTAAATATCTCATCTTCATGCGATACACTCTCCCCACATCTCATTTCGCATCAACCCCACGGCTTCTCACCACAGGTCACTCACATACTCACACAATCAATTCATCAACAAGCACAATGTCATCTCAACATACCTCAAAGATCTTCATCATCGGCGGCACCGGCGCCCAAGGCATTCCTGTAATCACCAGCCTCGTCGCCGACAAAAAATACTCCGTCCGCGTCCTGACCCGGGACTCTAAATCTCAGCGAGCGAAAGCCCTCCTTGCACTCGGCAACGTCGAACTCGTCGAAGGTACATTTGCCGATGAGACGGATCTTAGAAACGGATACCGTGAATGTGATGGTGCGTTTGTGAATATCGATGGATTTAATTGTGGAGAGAAGAATGAGACGTATTGGGCTATCAGGGCGTATGAGCTGGCGGTTGAGGAGGGGATCAAGTTCTTTGTTTATGGAAATCTGGATTATTCGCTTAAGAAGGGTGGTTATGATCCGAAGTATAGGACGGGACAGTAAGTTTTCTCTCCGCTTTCTTATTCTTGGGCTCGCTACCGTGACGCGGAAAGTGGTGGGGGTGCTCTTACTTTTCAAACTAATACGTCCATGATACATGATGCTGATCACTCGCACACAGCTACGATGGCAAGGGCCGAATCGGAGAATGGATCTTCTTTCAAAACACACACAACAAAGCACGTATGGGCGCCGCACTGTTCACCACAGGCCCGTACATCGAAATGACTATCTCATCCCGCACAATCATGACCCCCACCGTCGAGAATGACATTGTAACCTGGCGGGTCCCTCTCGGCACCGGCTCCGTCAACCACGTCGCCCTCGACGATTGTGGGCCTTACGTCCGCTGGCTCTTCGACCACCCGGAACGAGCATCAGGCATGGACCTCGAAGTCGCTATCGCGCCTATTCCCTACGCCGATCTTGCTGCAGCGTTCACAAAAGTCACGGGTCATCCGGCGCAGTATATCGATACTTCTCTTGAAGACTACTGGAATCAACCTGGCAATAAATTCCTTGCTGATTCTCCGGCAGGGTATAATGCTGATCCGAATGATAAAAGTACGATGAGTTTCCGGGATAATTTCACGGGGTTCTGGAATACGTGGAAACATGATTTGTTGAAGAGGGATTATAAGTTGTTGGATGAAATTCATCCTACGAGAATTAGGAGTGCGGAGGAGTGGTTTAGGAGGGAGGATGAGAAGGGGAGGGAGAAGGGTTTGGGTGGGTTATGGGATAGGGTGCAGAAGGATAATTTGGTGCCGGTTTTGAAGGTTGGTGAGGATTTGAGGAGGGGAAAGCTGTGAGTTTGTGTCTACTAGTTTGAGTAACGTTTGTCCGTTTGTTCCGAGTGCACCCTGTCACAAGACGAATCTATAAATTTGAGTTCCACACAAAGTTCTCCTTGCTAAGTCTATAAAGTCGGTGTTGATGGATTTCCAAGGGAAAAAAGAAATTGATATTGATATGTTAGTCTCTTTAACTGTTTCTCTCTAAGGAGATCACTTGACAAGAACAAGAAAAATACATTTGATATGCTGTCTATAGCAGCTTTCATTGTTCTCCCTCGCTTCATCCGGACTATCAAAAGTTGTTCAAAATTCGGAACCCTTGAGGAAAGGTCTTATCATGAGATAATGTGGGACCAAATTTACAGACATTCAGAGAGGGATAGAAATGCAGTCCGGGAGTTGAGCCGGTGGCAACAGGAGGTCGTGATGTGTGTGCCTTAGCGGGCTCAACCTCAGGTCGGTCTCCTCCCCTCTGGAGTCTCGTTCTCTTCTCTACTCAATACTGTAGCGTAGCTACTAGTCCAACTACGACCATATCAAGTGTCCTCTTTCCTCTCGCTGCTAGTGAGTCTTCAACCGTGTCAGCCTGTAGAAGCCGTGACGCTCATCTCCTTCTACTGTACGAAGTATCTTACATCACTGTCGTGACCTCGCCCCGCAACTTGCGTTCCTCCCCTCGAGATAGGTAACTTCAGAACACAAATCGAGGGTATTACCACAGAAACCACCATGGACGAAGTAAGAGATGACAAGTCAAGCACCGTTGTCGATATCGCTGCAAATGGCGACGTTATCTTGGTTGTTGGGCCGGAAATGGTGAAGCTTCGTGTTCTATCACTCATTCTGAAGGCGGCCTCTAAACCGTTCTCCGCTATGTTTGGACCCGACTGGAATGAAGGTCATGATATCCTCGGTCGGGATGAACCAGTAGAGGTGCTGCTGCCCGAAGACAATGCTGATGCGCTCAACGTTATCTGTGCCGTCCTTCACCATCAGAATAACGAGGTGCCTGAAACCCTTGCTGCAGGCGACGTTCTAAGGGTTGCTGTCGCAGCGGACAAGTATGATTGTGTTAATGCCCTGAAATTCGCAAGCGGAATCTGGCTTTAGCCTTGTCAAAATGAAGCTGGGAGTCTAATGATTCTTACTGCCGCTGCATATTTGTTCCAGAACGCACAATCGTTTAAGAAGCTCACGAGAGAATTGATATTCAACCACAATGGTTCCTACCTTGCTCTCTCATGCGAAGAAGTTGAATCTGCTATGGACTGGAGAGTATTCTGTAAGTAGTTTCCTGACTGATATGGGCTTGTCACTGACAAGGCAATCCAAAGGTCTGCTAGAAGGACAAAGGAGCTCTGCAAGGCTAGAACTAGCTGAAATACTCATAGCTGGAATAAATGACGGGATTGGGATGTGTGTTCACAATTGCGGATGGACAAGTAAATATGCATATGCATATTTAAAGTTGCTCCAAGAAAGGGACCTCTGGCCCGCGCGCTTGCTGAAGATCTCGATATCTAATGCAATAGACTTAGCAGGAAAGATACCTGATCCGATCCCTGAGGAGCGAAGTGCTGCATGCACGTATGAGTACAAGCATGCAGCGCCAGAGTATAGGAGAAACCGTATTTGGGGCTTGGAAATGCTGAATAACAGTACTGGGCTTTGTCTGCACTGCGTTCGAGCATGTTGCACAGATGATAATTGTAAACACAGCTACTCCAGCATGTAGGATCGACGATCTGTTTAAAATCTTGACCTATCTTTAAATACAGATGAATTTAGATATGTGGTGTAAATAGACCTCTTGATAAAACCAAGGGGCTGGCGACAATATGATACTAGTTTTCTGAGATGACAGGTTAGGAGTGTTCGATGGAGGTATACAATGCAACTGAAATGAGACAAATACTTGAGATCGTGTAAAGATTTTAAGATGCTGAAACTCTAAATACCTACCAATTGTCTTATTGTGGGTGCGTCTCGAGACGCAGGGAGAGACGTTAAAACCGAGGATGCTTTGTAGAGTTGAATGCCATTATCTGGATTCTTTCAATTCCTTTCATCATGCTTGGTCGTAAAGGGTTGGTACACTGGCACGTCATTTACTTTACAATGGAAAAGAAATCCTATTGTAGAGCGCGATTTCATTATTTGGACTGAAGGTTGACTTTGGGAAATTGGGTGTTGTATTTATTCTCTGTGATTAATCTCCAAAAGTTCAGACAAGACGAATGTTGAGACGAAGGAAATTTAATTACTCGCCGTATTAGAAGAGCAATTCTCAAGATCGTTATGCAGACGCAGAATATCCAGACGTACTAAGACACATTAGACGGACTTGGTACAGGTGAAGCCGGAAGAGCCATTACATACCTGGTCAACAGCATTGACAAGTCGTACATAATCAATAGACTGTCCTCGTGCAAGCTCTCGGTCTCGAACTGGACCTGGATCTTGTTTCGGCTTCGGCAAAATCCATCTTAATACCGAGTGCGATACCACAGACGATCTCTTCCTGATTCCAGAGCACGATTTCGAGCTCGCCGTCTTCTTTTCCGCCACCACTCCCGTCTTATTTTTACCTCCTGAATGAGAAGAACTGTGCTTTGTCTTCTTGCCTGCCACTTTTGATTCACCCTTACCTGTCTCATCCCGCGAGTGGGATAGGATGTTTGTCTTAGAAGTGCATGGCTTGGAAATGGATCGTGATGAAGAAGATGCTATGGCTTCGGAGATGACTGCCTGAGCAGCCTCTTTTGCTGCGAATGCAGCTAGGACACCGTTTATACACCAGTTCACGCCGAACTCTGTTTCGTCTTCGCCTGGATTGGGAAAGAATCGATCTTGGGTGAAGTCTTCTTCTGTGTCCATTTCCATCTCCGGATCAACATCAAGGTTCATGGCCTCATCATAGTCAGAAGCTTGCATGTTGCCTGTGACCTTGAATTTCTCGTCTACTTCCATGATTCCTCGTGGGTGTGAATGAACTAGATGGTATATAATCTGGGGTAGGTAGGATGAGAGATGTTGAGTATGGTGTTGGAGTCCAAAGTTTTTGAAATCTTGGAGAAGGTCGATGTCGCGTGGGATGGGTTTGGGGTTATTGTAGACTTGTGGCAGTGGTTGTTGAGGGCAGGACACTGGCTGTCTCATCGGAGCTATCCTGTTCTACGAAATTGCTTTGTGCGGCGGTCGAACAATGACTGTACAGGTTGAACAGTCTTAATAGAGGTAGAATATACAGAATACTTCAATTTTTCTAGTTCTATCTTCGTGCTTTGGAAGTGTTCTTGATGAACAACCCCTTAAAAGTAGCCAACCTTGACTTCGGATGTGTCGGCTTTTTCTAGGTCACTGCTTCATATACTGATATGCGTTATTCCATGGGAGGAAATAGATTACCGGCCGAGACGTAACTATGGATTGTCTATTTTGGTACAAAGTCCTGTTTCTTTGTTCTATCTTTTCTTTGTTGACTCGCGATACTGTAAGCGAGATGGCCCATCCAAGCCCACGGCCCTCGTGGCCGGCCATATCGTGATTGGCAAAGGACTCCACGGCCTTCAGTTCATTTCAAGTCATTATTAAAGTAAGATCTGTTTATGGCACAGCCATGAATTTTTTCTTACTCGCAGGCAGATCCCCTAACGATGAGATTTGGAGTACGACTAGGAAGCAGTTCAATGATCATATCAGAATTAATAAGCATTGGAGAAGCATTCTGATGATATTATTGGTCTTAATACGCTCATTCACGATAATTAAGATATCAGATTGTCTAATTGTAAAAGTAGTAGATAGCTCTTTGTAATTTGCTAATTGTGTGAATCATGGGGTTTGTCACGTCTGGATATGAGAATGGTGAAGTTAAAAATGTATGTCTTTATATTGTACACACTGACCGGCTCCCAGAATAATGTGATTCACAGCGTACAGGTAAACTCGGCGCAAAAACAAGCAGCAGAGGCATTACATGCTAGACCAAGTGAGTTGCAAAAGCATGTGGCAGAGCGAGCGTCAAGAGCCAGAGCAAGTCGAAGTAGTTGCTTTAGCGCTTCAATATCTTTGCCACTCCCATGACTCGCTTATAGGCTACATCTCGCTCTTTACGTTTCTCGTAAACGTTCCGAGGAAGCGAAACTTGATATCTGTTCGCACCTGACTGTGATCGAGTGACTCGGGAAGCTTTCGTATAGAAAGCAGCTTGACCCGCAGCCCTAGTCGATATGTCTCGCTTTCTGTGTCTATTTTCGCCTTGATGTCTGACGCTACCATCGGTGAGAGTTCTAATGGCCAAAGATATGAAGTCGGTTTTTGTCAGAGGAGTTGAGATGTTTGGCCCGTCATCTTCTCGATTACATTCTGCGATTGCGGAATCGAGAGCTGAGAAATTCCAGGTTTGGTTGGGCAGACGATGAGGAGAAGGAATGTTGACCATTTCGAGGCCTGTGTCTGCGTCAGAGTCAGGGTCTGGGTCTCCGTTTGGGTATGTAACTGAATTTGCCTCATTAGAGTTAACCTTACTGTCCTTATTAGAATTTGCCGACACATTAGCGACTAAAGCCACAGCACGAGTAGAGCTTGTCTGTCTAGCAGACTTCATATGGCTACGTTTAGCAGCTTCCACTATTTCAAGGACTTTCGCGCCTTGGAATGTAACCATTGCGATTTCTTGCTCTATCTCGGAAACCCCAATTTGCTGAGTTGCATTAGGGTCGGTACTTTTTGTGCGGGGAGATGTAGACTGGGTGCTATCGTTGGCAGAGGGGTACATACTGCTAAATTTATCAGATAGATGAGCCCTTGATTGCATGCCTGCTCTGCGAAGTTCGCTTTTGTCCATTTACTCTAGAGAAGAAAGAGTATTGTGGTGTGGAAGAACACATAATTATTTTATAGAAGTGAGATCGCTTGTTTTCCCTTTCTGGTTCCTGTTCTGGGTTAAAACAGCATCCTTTTGTTTTCGCAAGGCTACTCGTGTCGATACAGCCGTCAGGCAATCTTGAATTTTGAGAATGGTCTTTTAAACCAATCAAATAATTGATATAAGTTTGGGTTAACACTTTAAAACGCGGGCAATATCGTGCAGGAACAGCACCAAGCTGTTTTGCTGAGCAAGTTCTGGTACCCAGGAAAAGTCTCGAGGAAAACTTTAGCATAAATACCTTGCCGCTTGTAAAATATTTACCTGAACAACAAATTCAATATGATTCTGATTCATTTCCTTAACAGCTATACCCCCTTTCAAAAATACGAGTACAGATAATCAGACATAAGCCGCAGCCCAAAAATCAAACCAACTCCTGAGCAGAAATTCCCCAAACGCCAATCGCTTGTCTACCAAACAGAACCATCACTCGATTGCCAAGCCATCGAAGCCTCTATCTCCAATTTGACCTTCATTGCTTGGTGAACGAATTGGCCTGGTTGGCCTGTGCTGCCCCGCAGGTACATTGCTTCGGCGCAAGTTCCGCCTCAATCGCAGCCTTCTCTGGCCATTGTTGGTGTGGTTGATAAGGGGCTTGAACGTTGCTTGCTGGTGCATAGTTTGGTAGAGCGCTCTGAAGATTTTGCGCTGCTTGAGGGATTTCTGAGGGTGGTGCTTGAGGTCTCTGGCACCAGGAGTTCTCAGCCGAGCTCTCCTTCTTCTCGCCGTATATCTTTTTGCTGTAGAAGAATGAATATGTGGATTTAGAATTTTAGAGAGTGATCACTTACGCTGCAAGGTGGGCTCCGTAGAGAACAATTCCGGTTTTGAGAAGACCCATGGTGATGTTTGTTGTGGTTTGTTTCGACTTGGATGATAATAAGCGAAGATGTGAAGAATTATCACGGGTTGTTGTATTTCGAGGTACTGAAAGTTATTGAAGTTGAATTTACTGACGAGCTGATAACATTCAAACTGCAGCAAGATGCCTTTCTTATAGATAGTCGTAGGAGGTAGGCGATCATGGAGTGATGTTGTCATTTGCGCCGTCTCAATTACAGATGTCCCCTGATTGGGTCGCACGTACGTTTTTGCTGATGTAAGTCATGTGTGATTCACCGCATCGTACCTCGTGCACTACAGCCTCATTTCGTGGAATATTCGTTCCGCGCAACTGGTGGTTTACGTACAGGCTGACGCGGTTTGTGATTCGTGTGAAAGGCACAGCCCCGGCCACCGACTGCCTGCTGTTAGCTCCGTAAGCGAAGCCTACAAGCCAAATACCCGTCGGGGATATTCAACGTAAGCCGACCATTCCTCTCCCAAATAGTGTTGAATTGCCTGGAATATTTTAAGTCCGCTCTCAGCCATGTACCAACAGTCCTTGCCTCTTCTCAATATTAGACAGTAGTGCGCCATGATTATTAGCGCTGGAGGTCGCATCTCCGAAAGAAGTCGAACAAAGGCGTCGGTCACAGTTAATGGCCACAAAGTGAGCAACAATCGATTGGACATCCTCTGTGGTACCGAGTTGGGTGAGGGGATTTTCATGGCAACCGTCAAGGTGGCGTTGAAGCCTTGAACGGTGAATGCGAACGTCTCTCGTAGTTTCTGCACTGCATGTAAGTAAGCAGTCACCTCTTCAATATTTGACTTCGTAAGCAACGGCAGTGATGTGAGAAGTGTCTTGATGCGAGTGAAACTGCTTTCTTCTTCAGGCGACAGGATCGTAGCGTTCTCGGGAGTGCACTGTATTTGTATCATATTTTGGATCCCTGACGGATTGGGGGGGGGTCAGCATTTGCTTCATTGAAAAAGCAACAAAGCGGTTCGTTACAGATGCGGAACAATCATATAATATTAAGAAATCCTCCAATACCCACATTCATTGATAGGGAAGCCACCGATATCCGACTTAGCGACGAGGCATACTGAACGGCACCCTCGAATACAGATCACCCAATCTGCTATGCGACTCGACGGCTCATTGCCTCTTTGTGTTGGGATGATTTCAGACGAGGAAAGACTTCCGACAACAAGAAGGATGCCGTAGGAAAACACGAAGCTCGCATTTTCTTCTGTAATAGATTCCATGGCTTGCTGGAAGGGGCCGAGTGCGAGGTCTTGATGTTGTCGTGAAAGTAAATTGTACTTTGCTCGGTGATCTGGTTTCAAGTACGCAAGATGAGAAGCTGCCGTGGCCAGCATACCATGGAGTAAATAGTCACAAGACAGACCCAATTCTGGTTTTCCGCCACACACGACCGAAGTTGCTTCTGAAGTGTACTTGATGTAGTGCAGCCAGAGCTCCATGTCTTCGATTCCAAAATGGCCGATCGGATTGGGAGCCAGATGGATGGATAGCCACGGAGTTCGAGGACAGAGAAGAAATGCTTGATGCACTGGAGTCCCATCGAGTCCTCTTCATACCTCGAGGCAGCATAGAATCCGGATCTGGATATACACAAGTTGTTTCCCGCTTGACACACCCCGCGCAAGAAGGTTTCTGCTCACTGCACTTGACTAATGTCAGACGTCCGGATTGCACAATATGTGGGGAAGGAAGTTATATTTACTTTCTGCTTCCTTCGTTTGCACTCGCCGCAGCCCCCTCGAGATTTGGTGTGTGTCTTTCTTGTCCTCACTAACACAGACTCAGACGAAGCAGTATCGGGAGGCTCCGGGGCAAGGGATGAAGCCATGACAGCCAACAGGCAAAGTCACGGCGAACCAAGTCCAGTGTGTGTGTGTGTGGTAGTGCTGGAAAGAGAAGGCAACCAATTTTAACTCCCGAGATTCCGGGCCAGTGAGGCCTTTGGTTTCACAACGCTGTTATCGAGTGGACACAAAGCTGTCTTAACCTCGAGCTGCACAGTGTTCCAACATTTGTTGGTTTGTCAACGCCACTCCCGAGGCAAATCACGTGATGCATATCGCTGAACTAGGTCTTTGTTCCAGCGCAACCATATATAGCACAAGAGCGTTATCTTGGACGGGGAAAAGGTAGGCAACACTTGACTCTGGGATACCAGAGCGACTTATTGCCACTTCACTAAAGCGGCTTGCTTTGTTCAAAGATTCTCTCTCGCTTTGACTGGCTGGAACCATGTAGTGAGTGATGTGGCATCGGCCTGGAGACGAGGTACGAAAATAGTGGCAGATACACATTACTGGTAATTGCTATCTCATCCCGAAATAGTCTCAAATTCAAAGACTGTTTCCAGTTTCAAACAGCCTCATGTCACTTCTATAAATCAAGCCAGCTCTCGCAAATGGCTTGTTCATTTCCTCCTCCCCACAAGGAAACAATCCGAAGCGGAATCACATCCGGATACAAAACCACGCTCAAAAACACCAATACGAATCCTCCCAGAGCATGCTTCTTGTAAAAAATGGACCTAAACCATGCATACACCGTGGCGGCACTCCAGGGTATTGCAAACCAAGCCCCTGGATCTATTGGCAATGCCAACCGGGTACTTCAACCTCAGGCTCACCACGCACTCAATGCTGGCGGTGACACTTTGACTATCACTCTAGACTTTGCGTCCGACAACAATTTGCTCCTTCCCACCAGCTGGGATACGGTCAACGGAGCTGCGTTCCGCGCAGGCTTGTGCGCTGCCATCAGCTGCTACAAGTCGACAGCGCGCAAAATTTCCATCGAGATTCTTCAGCCTGCTCACATTGTCGCAATCAACACTGGGCTGGTATACAACCGCCAACAGGCACTGATCCATCGGATTGTGAGAATCCTCAATCAGTTTCGAAATATCGAGAAGCTCGAGATGTACTACCGTAGTCCCGAAACAGACTGGGAGCAAATTCGGTGCTTGGCTCCTCTATATGCACTGACCTTCAAACGATGGAACTTGAGAATCTTTCAGGCTCGTCTTCTAGAACCAGAGATGAGCCGTAATGGTGAGTGGCGTCGTCGAGTGAGAGGACTCTGGGATGTTCTACAAAGGCGTTATAATCCCCAGAAACGCCAAACCCCTCAAAAGCCTCAGAATCATCGAAGCCCTCAGAACTGTCAAATCCTTCAGAACCGTCAGCACCGTCGAATCTTTCAGATCCCTCAGAACCCTCAGAATCCACAGAGATGTCAAAACCTTCCGAACTGCCAACATCAACAGATTGTGTCATTGCCCCCAGAACCATCCAACACCACAAAATAAACCTGTCCCTTCTATCAGAGATACCACCTTGCCAGATAAATGATCAGGACTAGACTTGCAGTGATTACCGGATCTGGCTGGCAGCAGATTGAATACAGTTCCGGTTTCAACACAGTCCTTTTCAAAACACCCCTTCACCCCAAACACTTGGACATCCAAGCCTCAACTCCCCTAAAGCAACAAGCAAAAAAAGGTCTCACCCCCACTATTGCCCAATTAGCAAACAGAAACCTCCATCTTAATAGCCCAGAAGCGTCTCGGCTCAGGAAATTTGGGACATCCAAGTCCAAATACCCCTTGGACGAGGAAAATCGAAAAAGAGAATAAATCGACGGAACGAAACAATAAAAGAAAAGGCACATCTCATTTTCAAGTTCTCTACCCCTAATTGATACTAGCATAATATAAACTGAAGGCAAGAAAAGCCGGATTGCTTTCCAAACCCAGGCCTCCATAATCCATGATTTCATTCTGAGACACTGGTATTGATACTGACACTGCTGCGCTAAGAAAATACCAGCTCATGTACAATTCCTTGCTGTAGATCGTTCCAGTCAAGCTAGCATGAGTCCTGAAGATCCAAACATAGACAAATCAGTTGCAGTAGAACTCATAAGCAGCTCCCTGGAGGCCAAAGGCCCACAGAAAGCCCCACGAAATCCACGAAGAACCGAAAGCCAAATTATAGATATGTAATGACTTCCCCATCATAGTCCAGAGGATTAAAGGTAGCTTTACTGCAACTTCTTCGAGCTTGTGTTAGCCGAAGTGGAGGATGCTTTGTTGACGATGTTGTTCAGGCGGATTGACATATCGACAAACATGAACGCCGCTAGCATAGTTTAGCATACACGATTCGTAGAACGGAAGGGCTTGAGTGGCTGGAGTTCTTACACAACGCGAGGTATGGACCATAGAGAGTAGTCAGGTCAATCTTATGCTGAAGTGGGATGTCCCAGAACGAGTACTCGAACATGCACGTGGCTGTCGTGATAAAGATCACTGAGGCATATGGAAGGAGCACGATTGGGAGTTTGGGCGAGCCTAAGGATGTGTCAGAAATAATGAAGCTCAATATAGAGGAGTCCCCTTTGTAGAGTCTGGGAAGCAAACTTACCGCGTCGGAGAGCACCCAATGACCAAATCATCAGAGGCGCCTGGTAGAATACCTCACTCCAAATGAAAGCTCGGAAAAACGGAGGCGTATGGATGAAGAATTGGTCGTGATGCGTATTTATGAGGTAGAATTTCAGGGCTTTCATGAAGCCAGGGACGATGGAGACTGGGTACAAAGCTTGCATGTCGACGACTATCACGTGATGCGGTCAGCAACAGATGTTCTTCAGGTGGAACGACGCCTTGATTCTGGGTCAACATGGCGATTTTGAGGCCAAGGCGTGTCCCAAATCGAGATAGGACGATGAAGATAGTACTTACGAAACATTAGAGGCAGCGAGATGCTGAAGTGGATGAGATAAGCCAGATCGCGTTTGCGAGAGAAGATTGAGGTGGCCATGGCTGCAAGAATGTCAAGAGAATTTCGAGGACGCTTGCGTATGCGTTTATCGATGCGAGAGTCTTTGACCTTTCGGTGGAACTCGTCTGAAGATTGATGATATTGAATTGATGGTGTTGAGAGACGGCGACTCGAGAGATGAAGTTGATTTTAGTCTGCGTAAGCTGCACGGGCCAATGATTTTGGCTTTTCGCTTCCCCAGCCGAGATTGTTTACCCCGCCCCCTTTTCTGGTAAACATTTCAAGGCAGCTTCGCTCAAACGATTGTAAGGGGCTATCTTTCGGCACAACCAGGAGCTATGTTCAATCCTGCAGGACTTTGGTTTGTAAGAGGCAAGGGTAATATCGTTGTTTTCAAAAATTACTCCAAGGTAATTTGAAGATTATGGCGACAAGTCATTCGTCTGGCTTCAACATGTACGCAGGGTAGGAATATTCGATTCGCCCCTTTAAATCGCCCCGTGCTTTGAAAAAGCGTCATTCACTGTGCCTTGATCACTTTTAGACAAGGCGGTACAGAGATTTAGTCGTAGATACAGACCTTATGAGCAGTTTTCACTCTGCTCAGAAGTCATTTTCCTAGGCTCAGTCTGGCAGTCGATGGTTCTTGAAATTTCAAACCCAGCGACCCGACGGGGGATTTAGCATCTCAAATACGTCCTGTGGTGTTTGTTGCCCCCTGTCTCGGGGGTTAGCATCGTGAGAGATTGCGGGTAGGGCTTCGAAAGGCACATCACTACGGATAACTTTGTAGTCAGCGTGACATATTCAACTCGGAAACAGTGGAGGAAAACGTCTACCGTAAAATCCGACGTGCACAAACTCTGACTTCCAGGGGACTTTTTTATCAAAGAACATAAGACATCTTGATACTCACTACACGAAAAGGGGCGGATATGGCAACTGAGGTGAAGATATCTCAATGCCTCGGAGGGGGACCGCTGGGTGCCCTCTAGGAGGATCAAGGTGTACCGGAAGTCCCCACTCATTTGTTACTAATAATGGACAGCGCCTAAGATCGGATGCCTCTTGTGCAGCATCCCGTGTATTTATCACGTCTCCATCTCTAGGAGAATTCGTGTAGGAAGGTGGAAGGTGGCCTGTAAATCGATATTCTGCAGGATTATCAACACTAAGATGGTGAGAGTGTTAGTAGGTATTGTCTAACGCGACAAGAAATTCCATGTAACAACGAAAATAGAGTGGTCTCCAGCTCAGTTGTGTGGAGCATTGTTACTTACAAAGGAACTACGGATCGATATTCTCCATCCTCTTCCAGATAGAGATAAACCTGTCGATGTTTGGGGCTACCTCTTGGGACAATGGTCTTATGCGCTGGTCTCCTGCCTCTCGGAACATGGGCTATAATGACCATCAACTCGATTTGAAATGCATCAGCGACTATCTGCCACAGCTATGGGGTGACTGGTTCAACTTCATATGGTCCTTGGAGGTCACTTATGACTTGCTGCAAAAGGTTTCCATATGGAAATCGAGTATTAAAAGCAAAGTTTAAAAGCGACCAGTAGTATTCAAACCGTGGCTCGGCCGGACTTGCTATCACAGAATTCAAATATACGCCTACTCTGTATTTTAACTCGGGCCACACCGCTTCGCTGGGATACATTGACATGGACAGGGCGAACCAAAATGAGGATTCTATGCGCCGGAAAAGTAATGTCCTGGATCTTGGCTGTTTGATGAAAGATGTTCCTGGTGAGAAATGTACGCCCTTAAAAAATGGACACAATGGATGATTCATCGGAAACCCAGGATTAGGGGTTCTGCCAGGATATCCCATGTGATCTGGATATCGACGCTCCCATTCTCCGTTAGTAGACGGGAATGCCCCGACTTGAAAAACATATGGCGTTACCAGCGGTGGAACGGCGTCTATAGTGTTATCATAAGCAATTTTCAAAGCGGGTGTGGCTATCCTCGCCCATGCTACATTCACAGCTGGATAGTGTCAATAATCAGCATTACAATTAGAGTATAGCTACTGACCAGTCAGAGACGTAGCTCTATTGGCACAGGTACAAGCTGGAAGTGACAGTTCTGCTACCAGTAGTGCATGATTAGTAGCATGTTCCGCATGGGTTTTATACATCGGAAGGTCCAAGACGTCGTATGCCGTGAAGAGGGGCAGTGTCTGCACAAACTGGATTCTAGCTATCAACAAGCTTCCAGTTCCGTGGTTTCTGCTCTGTTCGCCGCATGAAACTGCAGCTGCCATTTGGAGAAGGTGGATAATCTCCAATTCTGGCGTCGCTAGGAAGACTGGTGAGAGAGGCTAGTGATTTTGCTCAGAAATAATATAAACAACAGTTTAAGCTTCGCCAGGGAGAGGAAACATGGTTGGAAAATTCTGCAAGTATTGGCCTAGAGAATTTTTGAAGGGACAATGACGCTGTGTGGACGAGCGGTCTTTGTTGTCAACAATCCGGATTCGGACATTAAGACAGCTATCAGGACGTCCTATCCCCTCCTTGTTGTGATTCGACATAATGGTTCGCACAATCATCATTCTGAACGTTCTTTGTTCAACTTTGACGATCAGGTTCGCAGCATAGATGATAGACTTGTGTGCGCGACGCCCTTACTAGCTTGGTAAGAAACTTACTCGTACAAGAAAAGAAATTCTTTAAGAAAAGAAGGGAGAGAACGTTGCATCTTGATTGATCGAGACGTTAATTGGGTGTTAGTAGTCCATGAAAAGGCAGCTGCTGCTCCAAGTGGGTATCACGTTTGATGGATATAAGCTCACCTCGCTGCGAGATATTTTGGGAAGAAATCGCAATATGCAACCATCTTGCGGATTGTACCGTAAGCATAGTGATCTTACTATGAAAATGTTATAAACAAAAGGTTCTTAAGTCCCTCTCATGCCATATTATCTAACGGCGAGAATGACATGATGATCTAAGCTCTACTCCGTCTCATAGCAAAATCAAATCCCCGTCTTTCCCAGCGTCTTCTCGATTCCCAACCTTCGGCGCATCCTCCCATCTCCTGTGGATCTCACCAGCATCCAGCTTCCCTGCGCCCACAGCAAAAACTGCCGTAACAAGCTTAATCAAGAACTCAGTACCCGCTTCCTCTGGCATGATCGAGGCTTTAAGTGTAGGAATCAATGTCCGCGACACCATTAGATTTGTGTTTGCATCCGGCTTCAGCACCTCGCCGTTGATTTCGAGTTTACCGGCAGTTGACGAGTATGCGAGATTTCGAATTCCACTTGCTCCGGCGGACGATACGACCAGTGCTGAAGATACAGAGTCGTTAATACCTTCTGACGAGATTTCGTTGGGTGGAATGTTGTCTGTTTGCCAATTAAGCGGTAGCAGCGCAAGTCCATCTTTTCTCTTCCTTCCATAAATCGCAAACCCTCCTTCAACAGTCAATACTCCAACCTCCGAGCTTTTCTTAACCACAATCTCATGCACACGAATGTGCCAGTCCGGCCACCTCCTTGTCGGAGGAATCAAAGTCGTCTTAACCTGTAACCCCGATGCACGGCTTGATTTCCACCGACTGAGTAAGACAGGGATTTTCTCATTCTGACCCTTGCTTAGGCCTAGAAAGTCTACAGACTCAATCCTCGTCTGCTCACTCTTCCACCTTACCCTCCACGATTCTCCACCATCTTCACTCAGCGCAAGCGTACTGTCCAGCGAAATCTGCTGGATCAACGGACCAGTTGGAACGCTGAAACCGAAAGAGGAGGAGTATGCGAATTTAGCGTATTTCGCTTCTGTTGCTTTGAGTGGCCAGGCACAGTACTGACCCGACGAGAGCAGAAAGTGATGATTCCCCGAATCAACAAGAATCTGCTGTGGCTGTTCCAAAAGCGCAACTTCAATTCCACCCTTCGCAGTTGAACTTGGCAGTGGCTCTTCCTTTATCTTCCAGAACTCATGAGAAGCAGGTAAAGCCAGCATGCAAAATGTTTTCATGCACCAGTAGGGACTTTGAGGGGAATTGTAATCTTCACTCATGTACATGTTGGGATAGCAGAATCCGATGTTGAGAGTTCCATCTGCGTAGAAGATGTCGGGCTTGGAGGCCCAGTAGCGAAGATGACGGAGGAGAAGACCTTTGACGACGCCGGGTGTTAGGGGCGCGGGTAGGGAAACTTCGGCCATGGTGACGGCGGCCCAGAATCCGCCCATGGCGAAGCGGTAGGTGAGACTTCTGCCGAAAGGTATTGAAGCTCCTGTGAAAATGTATGTGAGCAATGTTCAGCGCGAGATCAACAGGGACAAACGAGTTAGTACTCACCCTCAGCATCAAAATACCTCCAAAATGCCACCGCGAAATCCCTCGCCCTCTTCTCAAAAATCTCTACTCTCTCAGGATCCAGATCTCTCGCATATTTCACATAACACAACTGACTAAACTGAATCGCAAAACTCCCACTATAATAATCCATCTGCCTCCCACCCTCCTCCTTCCCCTCCCCCACCCAAACCCCATCACTAGCCCACCCCTCCCCAACATAAAACCCATCCAAAACCTTCAAATCCGCATCCATACTCCCCTTCACCTCCTCATACGGCACCCCACAACTCTTCACCAGCGCCAAATTCGCCATCACACGAAACCACAGCCAGTTCGTTTGCGGGAATCTCTTACCATTAACAGACTGCAAATACCGCGTGATATCCGCCCGACGCTTAACATCAAACGGATCCTTTGACCCTTCAGGCCCCAGAAATGCAACTGGAGCAGCGAGCAGTGCGTAAGCGAGAATCTCAACCTCCACCATCCGCTGGTCCATGTCCTGGACATCGCCCCAATACTCCTCATTCCCATCCGACGGATCACATCCCACTGCAAATCCTTTGATCCATCCTTCTAATCTTGGATCAATCTTCTCGCCTGGAGACTGGTAAGCGAGTAAGGCGCCGATGGCCCAGAGAGGGCGGGCGAAGCCTTCGAGTTGGGCGGCGGTTTCGTCGAAATGGGTGGCTGTGCTGATGGGGAGGCGGATGCGTGCCCCGTTTGGGGATTGGTGTTTTGTTAGGGGGTTGAGGAGGGAGTAGACTGCTGTGGTGAGGTCGCTGTGGGTGAGGAGGGGGTTGTCTGAGAAGCCGGGGAGGGGAGGCATGGTGGCACGTGATTTTAGCTATTGATATTAGGGAGTGGTGTAGGATGTTTGTAAGGCTTGGCTATATGTACTTTAAAGCATCTGGACCCTGGAGGGGTTACATAATGAATATCTTTGAATAAGCCAGAGGGAAACTCAAGGTTGTCTCCATCTTCAATGGTGGTCTTGGTCCGGGGCCGTTGCAACCCCACCACTGGAAACCCCACTAACCCATGGCGGGGATATCGGGGAAAGTCTCGGGTCAACTCCATCCGCCTAAAACCAACAATCACAATAATATCCAGAGGAGCAACGTTAGTGGAGTATATCACAAGACAAATATTGGGCTTTCGAGATATTTGAGATTTAGAGACTGTGGAACTACTGCTGATGACAGACAGTGAACAATAAATGGGCCTATATTCCATGAATTATACGTGAACTTCATTATTCGGTATGAAATCCTGTCTATTCAAGACTTCTCGATATGGGTAGAGTCATCACCAAGCTTCTCCTCATCTACAACCATAACCGCAGCACCATTTTTCTTCTCATCACGTCTCTGGAGATACTGTCCCAGAATAAACAGAATGTACACCATAGACACGAAGACTACTTCCACCGCGTAACCCTTCTTCCATCTTGGTGCTAAGAACTTCGTCAGTAAAGAGCGGCAATCGGAGGATTTGAGGAACACACCTTCGAGAACAGGGAAAACTGCAATGGGATAGAAAGAATAGATTCCCCATCCAAATGTCAACTATTTGAGTGTTAGAAACAGTGCAGAAAGAGGAGCTCAGATAACTCACCATTGCTCCCGTTGTGAATGCTCGCGCTTCAGCGTCATCTTTCATGATGATGTTGACCCATGGGATCAGGATAGGCGTTACGGCAGCGGTAAATCCCAGTAGGAAATACGCGAAAACTTGACTAGTCAGCTTCCGGAGATCTTGAACACTGCATCAGAACTTACAGTGAATACCAATTGGTACATTCCAGACAAGTAGAACCACGATCGAAAAGAGTGTACATCCTTGGACGACAGTCATGACGGTCCAAAGTGGGTAGACCATGCACAGGGAAGTCGCCAGAATTGTCACTACGACAGAGACAGCGGAAACTGCCGTTGGGATAGTGTTGATCTGCGGAATCGTCCAGGGATGACCGCCATGTGCAGCTTCGTACTTTAGCCACAGCGCCATCTGTCCAGTTGGGTACGATGATGACAGGAAGCTAAGAGTAAGTTAGCGAAAGCTCGGTTCAATCCTAGAGACGCAACTTACAAGGTATAGCAGAGAACAGCAAGGTAGAAATGCCAGGTCGAAAAAACCCTCTTGACAAGCTTCCAACTTAAATTCTTACTCTCCTGCACACCCGCATCGCGCATTCGGCGTCTGGCTAGAAGATGTTGCTCCTCAGTTAACCACCATGGTTTGCGACTTGCAGGAAGTCCAGGGAACATGAAGTAACCAGCGATGGAGAGCGGCAGACTGATGCACCCATCAATAATAAACAACCATCTCCAACCTGCCATACCCCCGACTCCATCTAAGTTGTTGTAGGCAGCAGCTTGCAGATAGCCACCAAACATAACAGCAAGGTTGTTGGAGATATACCAGACGCCTGCGCGCTTGAAGAGCTCCTCAGGTCGGTACCACGAAGACATGATGTAGAGGGATCCAGATGCAACTGGTGTTTCGAGAACACCGAGAAGAAATCTTGTCCCGTAAATTGTTTGCGCGCTGTCGAGTCTGGCCTGGGCGAAGGTTAAGACAGACCACAAAACTTCCATGGTGGGGATGTAGAATGGTGCAAGCTTTGGCCGGGAGAGAATCATCATCGAGGGAACTTGACAGATCAAATATCCAACATTGTAGAAAGTGCCGAAGAGGGAGTATCTAGAGCACTCAGCATTAGACATATAATTTGATGCGTGTAGACTTACTGGTTGCCATTCAACTTCAAGTCCTCTTTCATACCAGACACATAGGCATTGTTGATGTTGGACGAGTCAAGCCACTTCAAGAAAACTACGCGAGATTAGTATAACGTTGAGCACACAAATACATGGAGCGGGAGACATACAGGCAATAGAGCAAAAAGTGAGCAGAAACGCATCTAACTTTCTCAACATCTTCTTCTCTTCCTTGCTGTAATGACTTGGATACCAATCAAAAAGATACAACCATGCCGTCTTGTAAGAACGGACAGGGGCTTCATTGGCCGAAGACCCTGGAACCGGATCATTGAGATTCTCCGTGCTACTTGTGACGGTCGTCGTAGTCGTCGTCTGTGGAGGCGCTGCCATTGTCGTTGCCATTCTGTTTGTATCACCTTGAAACGATGAAAAAGGAACATGAATGGTTTGGCAAACGATGGTCCTTGGATATCAGATCATGGGCAACGATGAAGTATCTATACTTGCTCATTTGATAGCCTGTGTCGACGCCGTATGCTCTCCAAGACCTGCACGGTGCTTGCACCTGGACTTGGCGCATCACAAGTGGAGGAGGAGTGGGTACCATCTGGGGTATTTGTGGAGGTGGAGGGCCAGGGAAATCAATTCAACCGAGCTTGGGGAGCACTACTAGCCGTTAGAAATTTGGGGGTGTCGCTGTCGGGTTCCGGTAAAAGTCATGGCCGATACATATTCCGAGGTCTATTGAGGGCTAGCTCATAGCCAGGAATAGAGCCCATCCCATCTCCGCAAGCAGACTTGTAGTAAGGAGTATCTTCTCCGTATGCAGACATGGGACTTCCCCGTCTTTACCAACAATGCTACAGTTTGACATTGGGACAAGAAAATTGGATGATCTTGGCAATGTGGCGAGGAATGAAGTTGTCAAACGGCCTCGACGGCTAAAAGGCAATGCTCGGTAGCATATTTATGCCTTGCATTTCAGGCTTAAACATGAATCCTCGCTTATCCCTTTTCCCCTCACTCAATTCGCCAGACGTCAATGTTCTTTCAGGACAAGCATCACAAATGCATCAACTTTCACAAAAAAACGGATTGAGAAATCTTAGTGCATAGGTGTGTGTGGAACATGAGTACAGCTCACTCTCCAGAATGGGTGATCGGGTCCAAACGAGTTCCTTGGCAGGCGCCGAAGAGGATACCAATCCAGCATGTCAGTCGTGTCGTAGACGGAAGTTGAAATGTCCAAGGGAGAGTCCAAGCTGCTCCCAATGCATCAGACTAGGTAGGCTCGATCCAATTGAAATATCTCAGTAGTTATATCGTGCTTATACGTATCTGTAGAAGTCGAGTGCGTTTACTTGTCAACCAAGAAGCCGGGGATGAAAAGTGGGGCGATTGAAGCTCTGAATAGGAGGCTGCGTAAGTAAACACGGAACACTCCATACCACACTTCATATTGTTCAAATAGCTTACTGTAACAGAAATCTTGGAAGATATCGTCCTTCACGATGATGGAAATCAAAATCAGACATATTCAGGTGCCGGACTTGAGTCCCGGCAAGACTCTCGGAATTCGCTCCTGCAAGTCTCCCAGGTATTGATCAAGGAACTTCAAAGGATATCTTCTTCTTCTTCGAAAGATGAGCATACCAACCCATCAGGCGAGGATGACACCCAAAGGAAACGGAGACGTATCAATTCAGACAATGGCTTCAACGGCACGAACAACTTGGACTTCAACGATGGAACCGACCTTCTCAGTTCTCTTCCAAGCTCGACGATCTTGGACCTCATAGTGAACAAGTATTTCCGGATACTTCAACACTGGATACCATTTCTACACCAGAAGCGCTTCCAAAGTCAGCTGAATAATCCACTGAAAAGAGAACAAAAAGCTGTTGTCCTGCATGCTATCACATGTGCTACGCTGAGATTTATGAAGGGCGACAGTCTTGGCATGAATGATCAGGAGGTTTTGAATCAAGTCCGCCAATCGAGGCAAGTTGTCATATTGACGGCTTTGAGTCGGCCGTCCATGGAGAATCTGCAAGCTCTCATCATCATAGCATTCGACCACATCGGCCGCGGAGATGTGGATAAGGCTTGGTCTCTCATTGGATCTCTCACGAGAACAGTGGAGTATCTACGCCTGACTGTGGAACCAGAAGCACTTCAACGTCGACCATTACGTCGACCTCTCACACTTCTTGAGCCAACGAGTGACTGGACAGAAATTGAAGAAAGGCGACGCCTGTTCTGGAACATCTTTCTTCTCGATCGCTACTGCTCCATTACGACGGGATGGAACACCAGTCTGACATCAGATGATGTCCATCGGAAATTGCCCTGCGATGGCGGGCTTTGGCATCGAGAAGAGCCATCCGACACTCCCTACTTTGGAATCTGGAACAAATCGGCCGCTAAGATTGGGAACTCAATTGCATTCATTCCAGCTCATTACCCAACTCCGGATCATGAGATAGAACCCGATAACGTGCGCAGCCCAGGAGTCGCTTCAAATTCCGCTGTTGTTGATACGTCAAAATTGGGTGCATTTGCGTATTGTATTGAGGCGACTGAATCACTCAGTCAGGTGACCACCTTCTTCTTACAACAGAGGATTGATTTCCAGAACAAGCGCGAAGTTGGAAGTTGGCTCACCAGATTCAAAGAGCTTGACCTCAGATTGGTGCAGTAAGTGACCATGGACAATAATCACCCTGCCCCACGGTACCTTTCTCGCTAATGTCTTTTGCAATAGCTGGAAAATGTTTCTTCCCCAACAATGGAAAGACTCCAATGTCTCTCGGGACGTCTCATTCGTTGAGATGGATCCTAATCTCACACTTGCACACATTACACACAACACATCCATGATCCTGCTCCATCAACATATTGCTTATCCTCCACCTCATTGGAACGATTTGGTCAAGTTGCCAAGCTCATGTAGTGCCGAGACGTGTCAACTAGCAGCAATTGAGACTTCTGCTATCTGTCAAAAATATCTCAAATATACCGAGAACGGGATTGTGAACAGCCAGTTTGCGCTGTGTACATTCATCGCCGGACGAATACTCCTTGGTGAGGCTCATCTGCTGAAAGATCCATGTGCACACTAACTTGCTCGTCCTAGTAAACTGGAAGTTCTACAACTCAGAATTATCTCCTGAATTCTTCAGCTTAGTTGATTGTCTCTACGAAATGTCACGACGGTGGCAAGGGTATGAACAGCCTGACTCATCAGATCCGTCGAATGAGAAGGGGTCAAACATCGCTGCACAATACGCAACGCAGCTTGAAAGCTTCCATGCCTCATTTTTGAACAACCCACATTTCTGTATGAACGTCCTGGGATATTCTCAAGACTCAGCTGGCAGAATCGTGGACAGCTTACTACCATCTACTTTCTCCGCACACGTCACATCACCAAATACCTTCCCGTCGCCTTCTCAGCTGCAACGAACAGCAAGTTTCTACAACCCCAGCCCAAGATCACAAACAACAGGATCTGCAGTCCAGCCAAACATTTCACAACATCCGCCAGGAGTAGCTGATCCTAGATATCCGGCCGAGAAATCATCTCCTCAGAACACTGTCAGAACTCCACGTGGAAGCATCCCGAACCTGGGAAGTCGCGAATGGCAGAATTTCCATAATCCGCAGCACATGGGCATGGCCAGCAATATCCACATGCCTCAGAATAATATGCAGCCGAATATAGACTACGATTCTGTCTCTGTCGATGACGAATTGACAGCAATGTCGAATGCTCTGCTCGGTCAACAGTTCTTGGAAATGGACAGAGTAATCACTTATGACGGGACGAACTTTGCCATCGATTTGGATGGCTGGTCGGGCATGAACTGAGCGCAATCACAAGCAGCATGATTTTGACTGAAGGCGAGTTTTGTACAACAGAAATTCAAGCATTCTATTGTTCTATAATTACACCAACCCCATCCGAATCAACTTGTTCCCGAACTCCAAAAAGTAATAGTCAGCATACACCAAACCATGATCCCAATACGGCCTCAATGAATCCGCATTTCGACACGCCGTTGCATTCCTCAGAATCGCATCGAATGATCCTTGCGGCACTGATAGACCACTCTTCCCCTCGGAAACCGGTGCAAACGAAGCTTTGTCCTCAGACAGCGAAAGGTCGATCGTCTCGCTCGCGATCCTCACCGATGCAGCCAAGTACCTTGCGCCCTCTCCCTGTCCTCGAAGAGCCCGGTGCAGAAGCAGCAAGCCATTTGCCGCAATCATACCAGCTGATGTATCTCTTAACGGGAGCTCGCCGGCGTTAAGAGGGACAGGAGCGTCGAAGTCCCACAGTGGTACATATGGGTGATCGTAGGTCGAAGAGTCCAGTTGTGCGAGGAAGTAGTTCGCCAGTTCGATTGCGGCGTGCAGGAAGATTGGGTCTCGAGTCCACATGTACGTCTGGCTGTATCCGAGGATACCCCATGTTTGGCCTCTGTTCAAATATCGTCAGAACACATATTATACTTCATGGGTGAGGATATCTTACCTGCTCCATGTCGACAAGTCTCTGTATCCTTGATTCGTCAACTTATTCTTCACAGCACCAGTCTGAGCATCGAAATTAACAAGGTGGTACGTCGAGAAATTCTCTCGGACCACAGTCTTCAGCACTGTATGCGCGTGCGTCGTCGCGATATCAATCAGCTTCTTGTTCGAAGTGTGGTGCCCAGCATAATACAACAAATCGAGATCTACCTCATCATCAGCTTTCCGCATCTCACCACAAAAGCAAATGGATCCAAATACTCACTGCACATGCTATCAATGATGACCAAGAAATCCACATCCTTATCAACATAATTATACCTCTTGTTAATCGCCTCATCCCAACTCCGAATCGCCTTAACCTTCTCATCATACCTCGACGCTAAACTCTCCGCAGCAGTGAGAACTGCCTGCAAACTCCTTTTGTTACCGGTCAATTCCCAGTCCATTTGCAAGGCCGGCTGGATGATGAATCCCATATCGTGAGTATCCGTTCGACTCGCCATGGCGTACAGCGGCTCCGCCCAAGTCCGTCCCAGTTGCAGGACCTGGCTTTGAAATTCTGACCGATGCGTGTCTGGGATGTGGAGATGCTGGGGATATTTCATGGAGCGTTCCAAGAGAGCGTACAAGCTACCGGGAAAGAATCCACAGGTCCAGAATTCGGCATCGCGAGTTGCGTACTTTCCAGCTTTTTCGCCAGTTTGAGGTACTGTTTCTGGATATTGATCCAAAATACCGTTCTTTAGCCAGTTTGTCAGTCTTTTATTCTCACCATTATTGAGGAGAATTAATTACCTGGTCCTTCAACAACTGTTCTGCCACTCTCCAAATCTTCGCAGCCGCATTCTCCGCAAACAACTCTTTCAACTCCAGGTCCAACCGTGGAGGGATAAACTCTTTCAAGGTCTTCTCCCTTGCACCATTCGACGAGATTGTCGTCCGACTAGACGCCTCATCGTACTCTTCATCAGAAGGCGAGTGTGGAGGGTCTCTGCTTGGTGACATTTTGGCGTTGACTTCGGGTCCTCAGAAAATCGCTGTACTTCCATGTACTCGGAATTCCACAAGACAAGAAAATGCCCAGCATATCTACCCGTACCAACCGGCGGAGTCTTCCGCCTTTTCGACATATTGTCCGATGCTTTACAAACGATCATCAGCCTCCATGCAGTATCAAGCATGCAGCCATATATTTCCCCCGAGACTTCTCCCGGGTCCCGATGTGGTGATCGCGGGGTACAATGTGGGGTGAACTCCCCACGATCAAGTGACTCCCCGCTGGCCGTATTGCGGGCTTGGAATAACGCAAAATGTCATTGTTTACCCCGCGAATAGTGGCGCACCAATCGGATGATCTGGGGAAAGCTAGAACTATTTGGTACCTGACGATCGAAGTTTATCCTTCACATGCGAGTCAAGCTGTCAATCCCAAGTCGGGTTATGAGTGACATCTCGAGTTCAGATGTTCAGATGTGGAGATAGGATCAGATGAAAAGTTATTCCGTGGAAGAAGTATATATCCCGTCTGGTGATTCCAACCATGCTTTTTTTCTCCCCCACGAATAAGTCCCCGATTGGAACTCAGACAGGATGTTGTTCTCTTTACCAATCTTTCTGCTTACGGGCTTCTCGACAGCTGCAACTCTTACACACAATGCACTTCCCTGGAAACTCCCGTTCCACGTCGATGGCCCCCATATATACTCCGCCAACAATCGTGAAGTCCAATTTGTTGGCACCAATTGGGCAGCTCACCAAGAAGCCATGATCCCAGAAGGTCTACAGTACTCTTCCATCAAAGATATCGTCTCCAAGATCCGTGGCTTCAATCTCAATGTCGTACGTCTGACTTTCGCTATCGAGATGGTAGACGATATTCTCGATAATGGAGGAGATGTTACATTAGAAGATACCCTGACCAAAGCTCTTGGTCCCACGAATGGGAGTATCATACTCAAGAAAGTCTTGAAGAACAATCCGCAGTTCAGTAAGAGAACTACAAGATTGCAAGTTTTTGATGCGGCGGCGAATGAACTTGCTAGACAGGGTGTCTACGTGCATCTTGACAATCACATGTCCAAAGCTCTCTGGTGCTGTGGAGGTGGTGATGGAAACACCTGGTTTGGAGACACCGATTTCAACGTTGCGAAGTGGATTCGCGGATGGAAATTCATTGCCAAACATGTAAGACCTAATCAAACCCCAATCTCCAAAGGCAAATAACCACAACATAAATCAACTAACCCTCATCTCAGGCCTCCAAAAACTGGCCCTCCTTCTCCTCCGTTGGCCTCCGCAACGAACTCCGCAAACCCGACGCCGGCTCCCCCGCCGAGCCCTACGACTGGTACACCTGGCACACGCACATGACCGCCGCCGCCACCGCGGTACACGCCTCCGCCCCCCACGCCCTCATCACCTTCTCCGGCCTCAACTACGACATAACCCTCACCCCCGTCATCCAAGGCCAGCTCCTAAACGGCACAGCTGGGACCTCCACGGCGGGAAAATCCGCGCTCTTCAACCCCTCCGCCTACCCCTACGCAAACAAAATCGTCTTCGAGCTGCACAAATACGATTTCGAGAACACGCAGGCATCGTGCTCTGATTTCGGCGCCTCGCTGTACAACAATGGGTATAAAACCCTGAATACATCTGACCCGAGCGCGAAGCTGCATTACCCGATGTTGTTGTCTGAGTGGGGGTTTATCCAAAATGGGACGTATTGGAACCAGACGACGTATAATAAGTGTCTGATTGAGTTTATGGGGAAGTGGAGGCCGAGTGGGTGGATGCAGTGGGAGTTGGCGGGGAGCTTTTATAGGAAGACGAGTTATGCGACGGGGGTGCAGGTCCAGGATTTGGATGAGGCGTGGGGATTGTTGGATCATGAGTGGAAGCGGACGAGGAGTCCTGTGACGGTGGATAATAGTTTGGAGAAAATGATTGGGGCGACCTTGAAGGGTGGGAAGGGGTATTGAGTGTGAATGTGGATGTGGAGATAAATATGGTGGGATCGAGAATGGTCGTATCCCTTAGGAGTGGGTTCGTTCTATGTACATATTTACAATTTCCAATTCAAAGTGTATAGTCACGATACACCATAAGTACCCAAAATACTTTAAATCCATCATATATTCATAAATCATCCCCTCCCAGCATCTACAAACCTCCAGCCCACCCCCGTCTCCCTCAACAGCACCTCCCTCCCCCTCGCCACTCCATCCATCTCCTCAACCGTTATCAACGACCCTCTCCCCCACTCCCTTCCCACATCCTCCAACCCATGAAACAAATACGCCAACGGACTACTCTTCCACACATTCGCCTCCGCCCTCCCCACCGTCTTCCAGATCGTAGCCAGCAGCAACACCCCCGTCCCCAGCACCAACGCAGCAGGCAGCGCCAACCACCCCCACACAACCCTCACGCAGGTCTGCACGCCATTCACCTCGCCAATAACTACGCTCGCGTTGCGGTCTGATGTCCGCATATGGTTCGTCATCGCTGCAGCGAGTTTATCGAATAGGGCTTGTGTGGAAGCGTGTGTAGCGAGGCCGTCGCTGTACATTGGATTGAGAAATTCTGTTGTGTATTGCGTTGCCATTGTAGCCCAGTCTTTGCCGGGGTTCTCACGCCCGTCTGTGCCGCCGCGTTTCATGAATGTGCCGGTTACGTTGCCGTTGAGTAGTTTCTGAAGGAAGGAGGAGAGATTGATGGAGGCGAGGAAATGCGAGTCGATAACACAGGCGTCGAAGACGGCTTTTTTTGGGGGATCGTTTGCCACGTGAGCGGACATGTAATCGTAATTCAAGGGGCCCTTTCCTTTCGCCAACTCTGCATTAATGCTGTCTGGACTCAACAAGACGTTGTTCCAGAGCGCGGCAGTCATGTTGAATCCGAGATACTCGTAGACGTTTTCATATTCCGTGTTGTTGTACCAGCATGGCGAGAGCATGTAACTCGGATACGTCTCGTTGGACGGTAACTTATTGCTACGCCAAGGAGTGAATGGTGTTGCGATCTCGGTGGCGTTGCTCTCGCTGATGAGCGTTTCGTTGAATGTGCCTTCGTGGACTACTCCCTCGTATGTACGGCCGCAGAAGGAGAGGCCGCATGCTGAGGCGGTGAGAGAGTCGAAGTCTTCTAATGTAACGCATTTGTCATCGTCCATGGGTGAGGTTTGGCAGGTTGTTACTTTCTCCTTCGCACCTGGGAGGTGGGCGGGAACAACGCAGTCTGTTTCGGGTTTTCGTTCGCCGCCAGTCATCCAGTCGGACGTGCAGCTTGGATTTCGAGTGTATGAGAGGGATGTGAAACCGGCGAGGAAGAAGCCTTTATCTTGATATTGTGTAGACGATGGGAACTGAGTAAAGTTCGGAAGATGGGATGTATGGCCTAGGATCATGGCTGGAGGCATCTGTATGCTTATATTGAATGGTGGTTGCAGCATCGATATCTCATCCCATACATTCAGTCCATTTTCGTCGTCGGACCCTGGGAGTGTCGAGTTCAGAATGATGCGAGGAGCAGGGAAGGTTTCGTATTCTGAAGTGTTGAAGTTCCATACGTCTTTCTCGTAGACAACGTCTAGGAACTCGTTCTTGACATCGTAGGCGAAGTTGGTACAGGAGTTACATATTCCAAATGTTGTGTACTTGATCGGAAAGGTACAGTTTCCGGTAGGACGTTTTGAAGCTACAAAAGTTCCATTGAATGCGGGATTTAGGAGTCCGTCGTAAATGGCACCGACCATTGCCACTTCGAGGGGTGAAAGCAGGTCTTGTTGAGGGTTGTAGGATTGTGCGATCGGGATCGAAGCGAGGGAGCTCGTTTCAATGTATTTGCAGGAGTAGAATCGAATGGCTTGCTGGACGAATGGATCGACCGCTATTGTGACGATGGTGACAAGGCAACCAAGTACTGCTAAATGGCTGTTTTGTCAGTAAGATCCTTAAATTCCTGATCCTCAAGAAACATACTGGAACTTCAGCGTGAAAAGCAGTTGAGCAGATCCCCATGGTCCACGACTCGCATTCTCAAATGTAGTGAGATCTGTGAGCGATCTCGGATCTTTGAACCAAATCCACTTCAACTGGCTGATACCTGTACAGCATCAGCTCTGACCTCCAAACTCCAGAATCAGCACCACTACTCACACTCCGCAACAGCCATCATCATCAACGCCTTCAAAAGCGTCGAAAAGACGGAAACAAGCGTATTCAGGGTAATCTCATACGGCCACTTCGGACTTGGCTTCCCATTATAATGATTTAACACAATCACAATAGCCACCAATGCCATGATCGTCCCGACCAGACTGAGGAGTTCCCATTTCCATTTCCAAACGAAGTCGAATCCGCTCGGTCGGGTTTCAGGGACGTTATGGTATGGTTCATTCTTGGCGAAAACTGGAGAAGCGGCTCCTCCGTGAAGCATGGGATTGATTTCATGTTCCTGTGATGAGGCGTCGACTTCGGTTGTCGTTGACGTTAGAGGTCCTTCTCTGAAGGAGGCGGGTGGTTTTGATGCGCCTCGAAAATCCATTTTCGAATACCGAAATCTACTTATCCTCCAATCAAGGGAAATAAAATCGAAATACCAACAGAGGAAAAGTCGCAGAGTATCAAGGGAAAAGAAAATATAAACGAATAATTGAATAAAATAGCAATCAAAAGATCATCCTGACCTAGTGTTGAGGCTGACTTGCTGTGCCTCCCCCTCCTGCAACTACAGGGTTTGATATGTTCGTGATAGGACAGATCTGGGATCTGGTCCCCTCCCTGTCGCACAAGATTCAGGCTTGGCAAGCTTATCCGACCCTGAAAAGACTGGAGTCACTGGACAGTGGACACTCGGGAACGAAAGCGATTTGTGTGGATGATTGCGTATCTTTTGCCCAATCAAATGAACAGCTTCGTAAGAAATAAAGCTTAATGAAGTCGATGCCTTTCTAATTTCAGGTTCGGCCCGCTTCAGGTGTTTCCACCAGCCATGTCATGCCAGGCTGAGAGTGGCTGAACATAAATGATTATCGAGTATGAAGAGGATCGTTTCTTCAATTCTCTCGCTCTCGTACTGAAGTAGAAAAAGTCCGTGGGGCTCAATTTTATATAGGTCGGTATCTGCGACCTCCATGGCGCGCGAGACTCAGCGAAATGCATTCCCCGTGCTCGCAGCAGGCTCAGTCTTGACGACGCGAGCCCTTAGACGTGTACTGTACAGTAATTTGGATTCGATTCGAGCAGTAACTTATGCCACATTATGAGTTTGCGCTTTCGCTTGTAGATGCTTCGGAGACCGCGCCATTTCTCCAAGGACTCATGACGCACTTTGTATGGTCTATATTTCGAGCGTTCGTCATGGACACCTCCCTGGTGCTTTTATTGAAGACTGGCTCTTGTGGAAGGAGAGGGTCGAGCATATGAAGACTGATGGATAATAGATCTGGTTGAGGGTTGAAAAATACAGATGAGAACAAGGGAAGGAGAAGGTGGTTGACAGAACTTGATTGAACACGCCAAATGCGGGAAATCACATGAGATCGTGTTCACTTCGGCATCCTCAACACCCCTCCTTTCTTGAGTCTTCGAACCTGAAGCCATCTGTTGTGCAACATCTCTGAAGGTTTCTGCTGAAGTGTTTTCCTCAATCTCTTGATAATCGCTGAATGCGCTCAGGTGCCCTCGCAAGCCATCCGTAAGATTAATCTGAGCCGAGTGTAGTTGAAGCCTGATGGGTGCGCAAATCCTCCCTGAAACTGCAAAAATATATGCAGCATATGTTTAGAGACACGACTTAAGGATTAAACCATAAATGAAGGAGACTGAATCCTGTGGATAGTGGCGAGATATAAAACGCGCCTTGGTTCACGGACGGGCGCTTGATGGGCGCTGGTCGTGCCCGGCCAAATGATGACTACCTAAGCGCTCGGAAATCCGACAGCTCCTCATGGAGAGAAACTGCACACCAGTCGACTCCGAGGCCTTGTACTTCACCGCTAATTAGGTTCTCTGCTAAGCTACAATCTTGTAGACCTGCATCATTCAATCTGGCGAAACCTTGCCCCAGAAACAATTTTGATCTCACAATTCTTTAGCTCGCAATGGAGGATTCTCGACCTGACGCAGCAGCCGGCTCTGGTGGTCACGGAACATTGGAGATACTGGGCGTCATCGACTTATTTAAAGACAACGGTATAGACTGCTGTGTCGTCGGAACATCAGCCTTGAAGTATTTTGGTGCATGGAGGATAAGACATGTGAGTTCCTTGCTTTCTGCTTTGTACTCTTCCTCAATACTAAGCTCGGGATAATCATTCTAATTTCTTCAGGACTGGGAACTCTGTGTACCAACTGAACTGCTAGAGAAAGCATCGAGTCTGCTGAGAAGCGCCCCTCACGACAAAATCTTTGAGCCCGCCAAGCATGAACGACCTCAGATTCAGTCACTGATTCACACTTTTCCTCGGTTCAAGTTCAAGGGAGTTCGTCTATTCTTTGATCTTGTTTCTGCGCACGATGCTCACATCATCTGCCACCCATCGAACTTTGAATGGAGCCTTATGGGACTGCCCTATCCCAGACTCGAGTTGTATGCTCAGAGTCTTCTGGACACACTCAGCTGGGCCAATATCTCTGACTTGATCGACGCAATGGATCTGACTGAAGAATGGGGAGCGTCTCACATGGAGCTCGATAAGAGCAATGATGTCGCTTGGGCATTGAATAAGAATGAGAAGATCCGAGCATCTGTACCTCTGACGCTGGGATCATGCTTTCTAGAAGTGGACGAAGGACCCATGAACCTCAAGGAAGTCTGGAATAATGAAGTCCGTACGAAAGGAAAACGTCTTGGGGAGGAAACTCTGAAAGAGGTTTATCTTACCCGATTCCGCCCCAAAGGATCTGGAGATCCTCGGTTGGTGAAGAATACGTACTGCTGATTGGCCTCTGGAATGGTATAACCAGCAGGCACCAACACCAACAAACTGGGCGCTTCCAGGTCGGCGCCTACAGCACGACTCGGTGTAGTCGGCTTCACATCAGACCCATGAGATGCTTTCCAGATAACCTCCTGAAGGAATCGGCGACTCAATGAAGAGCCGTGTTTGCATAAGCCTCGATCATTACCAACATCCCGTCAAGAGCAAGCTGAATACTTCACGAGAACACATACCAGTTCCCCATCTCCAAATCCATCTACATATCTAAAATAACTACTCTACCCGACTCCCTAATCGAAACTCCGACAAAGATGGCATCGAGCTCGCGCGCACCTCCACCCAGCCAGCCTGAAGGAACATACAACGTCTACCAAAGCCACCCTTTAGCCGCAGCAGCTTATGAGGCTTCTGAACTCCACCTTCACGCAGCAGCACTCTACGTTACTACTCTGCTTGATACTCACGGTATCCCCAACGCTTTGATGGGAGGCTTCTCCATGTACTTGCGCGGAAGTACTCGAGTAACTCACGATATCGATGTTGCTGTAGGATGTGACATGCAAACTCTTTTGCAAGCTTTGAGCACAGACAAACGGTATGTCCTACGAGGTGGAACAATGTTCTGCGGAACTGATGAACTTTGAAGTGTCGTGCGTCCACTTGGACCGGTCTCGGGTGTGATGAGGGTTTTTGTCGGGGTTGGAGGGGAACATGAGCCCTCTATATCCTCGCTTCATGTCAGCGTTGACCTCATCCTGCAAGGTAAGCAGCCACATTTCTACCCTCCTCTGTTCCGTTCTGATCCATCACAGGCTCACTCGGTGCACCACTTGACCCCAGTGCCTCGTCCGACCTCATTTCTCACGTATCACCAATCACCAACACTGCAACTCAGTATCGTATCATCAATGTTCCCGCCATAATGAGCGCCAAACTCAACGCTTTCTTCGGCCGGGCATCTCAGAACGATTACCAAGATATCATATTCCTGCTCACGAAATATCCACAAGAGATATACGACTGTAGAGCACAGTTGAATCAGGAGCATAGACAAGCTTTCGTAGAGCAGTATCTTGCGAGAGGAGCAGGACAAGGGAAGTTGAAAGCTGCAAAACATATACTGGGTATCGTATAGCTGGTCATAGCCAAAAGCTGCAATATATACCATAATTTCGTGACATGTAACAACCTTCCAACTCACAATTTACTCGGCACCCACCTCGGTTTCCTCTTCTCTACAAAGCTCTTCACCCCTTCCCTCATATTCTCCCCACCATCAATCCTACTATACCAATTCTCGGCTATCAACCTCGTCCCATCCTCCGCACCAACTCCCTCCCACCCCATCTTCACCCCCTCCCTACTAACAATCACACTATCCGGACTATTCGCACAAATCAACTCCGCCATCTTGATCGCCTCATCCACCACACCCCCCTCCACAACCTTATTAACCAGCCCCCACTCCCTCGCCTCACTCGCAGGCAGCGACCTCCCCGTCAACACCATCTCCATCGCCCTCTGCCTCCCCACCGTCCTCACCACCCTCGTCAACGCCCCCGCCAGCGCTACAACCCCAATCTTCACCTCCGGCAGCCCAAACACCGCCCCCGCATCCGCAACCACTATATCAGCATTAACTATCATCTCGCACCCCCCGCCAAAACATATCCCGTTCACCGCACAGATCACCGGTTTCTTCCCGCTGCGTCGGCTCAGCCCGCCGAATCCTGATGACGGCGATTGCGAGGCGCGGCTGGGAGGTTTCTCTTTTTGTCCCCTCTGCTTCTCGTGCGAGGCGTTCCATTCTTTGAGATCGGCGCCTGCACAGAAGGCTCGCCCGGTGCCGGTCATGACGCTGCAGAGGAGTGAGGGCTCGGCGTCGAACCAGGCGAAGAGGTTGTGTAGGTATTGGTGCATGGGCGCGTTGATGCAATTGAGGTCTTTAGGGCGATTTAGCGTTACGAGAAGGATGGAGGGTTTGGGGAAGGATATTAGAATATGTTCGTTTGGAGGTGGGGGAGGGGTGGTAAAGTTCGAGGTAGACATCTTGCTTGAGCTGTTGGATGTTCGCGAGGAGGATTGGAAGACGAGGACGGGGCAGGCGGTGCGGGAGAGTTTGTAGTTTTTGAATACTGGAGAGGATAGGGACATGAGGGTGGTATTATACAAATTCCATTGAGTGCGGAGGGTTGAGTAATCGTGAAGGAGTGAGATGGTGAGAGTGAGGTTGTCAAAATCGCGGGGAAATACCGAGGTCGAGCTTCAGCCGACGTCAGCCCAGGCCGAAAGTCTGGGGTAAAAAAGGGGTTTCGGTTCGCATTGTTTTGTTTTCTTCCAACAGCTGGCCGCATTTCCTGGAGAATATTTCCGGCACACAAGTTCAATCCTTTCAACTTCGCAGCGAGATCAATGTCTATCGTACCAATCCTTCTCGTCCGATTGGCTACACCAGAAATCAGATGTTGTGGAACCCCGGTAAATGACCACTGACCAGATGCTTTGACTGATCCAACAAAATGGCTTGACAAAACCAGACATTTGGTACTTCAATATCTTTGTGTTGAGTATCACAAAGATGAGGTAGGATTCAATCTACACCGTAGACAAGAAAATGGCTGTTTCAAAACTGGCTTGTGGCATGTTCACCAAGTTGTACAGAACGATAATCTCAATATATTCTCATCGCACAATGGCGATCGTATTGAGCGGACAGTATTCTAAGAGTTCTTTTACGTCGTTCAAGCTAATAGGATCATTTCCATTTCTGTCGGAGTCTGTAGCAACAAGCCTTTTCAGAGTTGTTCCTGTTCGACATATCGTGGCAATGGGGATGACTTCATGGAACTTGGAGAAATTGAATTCGAGCATTTCGAGACTTTTCATCTGCTTGAATATATCAAGAAGGTACCCGCTGACCTGACTTCGTTCTTCTTCAGTGCTGGGGTATATGTGGCCTATGTTCCAGCCTATCATGTTGGTAATCCGCTCAGGGGAGAATGGGCATCTTACTTCCATTAGATGGTCGAATGTGATCGTTGTTGGTTCTGGGGCGATATCTCCTGTACTACTTTGGCTGGGAGGGTATATTGGTGGAGGTTCGATGACTTCGCCATCTGGTATAGACTGCTGGGACTGGAGGGGCTGAAGGGGCTGAAGGGGATGAAGAGGCTGAGTAGCTGTGGAAGTAGAAGTGTGAGCAGTACTCGTATCAGCATCTCCTTGGGAAATAATATCCACAACCGGTGCCGTCGAGGACTCCTCCTTATTCTGGGCCGTTTCTACGGTTGAATTTAATTCTGCACCATACCGTGGTTCGCTGGCAATATGCACCGTGCGCTGAGTCTCTGTTTGGGGGGTTTCGATGGTTTGGCCTTCTGTCTGTGTCCTATCTGGTGTGTTATTTAATTGTGAGACAGGAGTCGTGTCAGTTTGCTCGGACATGATGAGGTTATTGTTTTGATAGTGTCTCTGGTAGAATGTGGTTGTACAAGGTTACTTTCGTAAGGAATCTTAGGTGGAAGTACAGATTCAATATTCTTGCTTGTAGGTTTGCTTATGATATAGAAGAGGAAGAAAATTCCATATCAACATCTCTCAGAGGTTTTATAGACATGCAAGGAAGGTATGTGAATACTTGAAGCAGGCTTTAAAGAGGGCAGTATTACTAACTGCTGTATTCTGAAATAGAAACGAATAAGAAACCCCAATTCCATTTCTGGCAGCACTTATTCACATGATAGGTAATCTCCTTGATTCATACATGAATTCAGTATATTTTCACCTCTATAGGTAATAAATACAATTTCCAAGCACGTTGTTCAATCTCTCTCGGAACATCGAAAAAGCACGTATTCGTCAGTTGCATAAAAAGTAAACGATTGCTTACTTGGAACCTTTCCACACTATTACACGCCGTTGAACTTTCTCCTTTATACTGCCTAGTTAATTCTTCATCCGAATTTATGCCAGCCTTCACTCCCAGCTTAAGAAGCCAACTCATCTTTTAGGTAGGAATCACTCCGGCGAGAGAGTCACGTTGCCTCATTCCATTGGTCAACAGAATTTTAAGCGAAGAATATGACCTTCACCACCAATTCTCATCAACTCATCTTGCTAGGCATCAAAACAACACAGCAACCACAGCACAATGGCCGACTCACAATCAAACCCACCAGCTTCAAACGGCGAATCCAGCTCTAGCGGCGACTCCTTTCAAGCAAACAATACCACATCTTCCCAAGCCGGTGCGTCTAACATCCACCCTTATCACCTGACCTCCTCCTCACTCTTCCCACTCATCGCCACCCTCACAATCACTTACTAACATCCCCAGAATCCTCCACCAGCTCCTCCTCATCCATCCCTCAAACCTGTACCTCCTGCCTTAAGCCCTCCCCCTCCCCAGAAACCAAACCCCTCAAACCCTGCCTCAAATGTCAAAGCGTGCAATACTGCAGCAAAGAATGCCAGAAAGCCGATTTCAAGAACCACAAGAAGGATTGTGCGAAGAAAGCACAGATATACGCCCAGACGGCGGATATCAAGTTGGCTGCTCCGAATAGGGCGCCTAAAGATGGGTTTAGGGGCGGTTTGCAGAAGTGGCAGTTTGACACGTGAGTTGGAGGATGGATGCAGGTGTGTGATGATGGTTGGAGAGAGGGTCTCAGAGGGTTGTTTGGTGGATGGCGCTGGCTGGAGTGTAGTGGGGGTGTGTGAGGAGAGCTAGTATGCGTGAGAAGAAGGGACTTTGTGATTTGGAGTTCAGGGTGGGATGGGATGGGATGTCTGATGTCGCCTGGGAAGGAAGGAAATTTTGTATTGCATTGCCCGCACTGAATCTATTCCACGTTGCATTTATATCATCAAATTTTTGCCCTTTGTTGTTTCGTCAGGATACAGTTGAGTTGGTCCACCCGGCTGTACAAACTCGAATCATTACTCCTATGTAGGCAAGTGCTGGTTGAGTTTCTACACGCCGCCCATCTAGACATAGCAAGCCGAGATGAGAGTTCTAGACCAATCGATCTAGAGCCGTGAGCTCTCACTACATCCCAAATTTTTGAACTTTTCGGTCTCAAGAGACTTGTGTTGGTCTCTGTTCCCCTATCTCCCTGAATTTCGCTTCCTCCTCGCCCTTGCTCATTCATAGATATGTTATGCAGTTGCACAATTCCATCCATCCTCTTTTCCTGTATTCACACTCTTCTCCCCACCATATAGCACCGAAGATACAGATTTGGAAACAGATATCTACAGCAGCAGCAGCCGCAGTAGTTCGAGGCGCACAAGCAAGAGACAACCAAAAAAAAAGGCGGCGTATATCGTCAAATTGGTATCAATCACCATCCATCAATCCACCCACCCCTTTAGGATTCTAATATACATATGTGCAAGAATCTCTCTCTTCTCACTACTTTTGTATCTCTCTCACACAGATCTCTCTCCTTCCCATCCAACCACCTCTCTTCACCCGTCTCCTCCATCACATACCCTATCAAAATCCACACCTCTCCGGGATTGGGGCGAGTAGATTCTCCAATCTCCAATCTCCAACCCCACCCAGTCAGTCAAAATAGAGCAATAAACAGAATACCAGCTCCAACCCTACCCCTCCAAGAAAACAGAGCACAAAAAAACGCCACCCGATGCAAATATATCTATCCCATTTCTTCGCTATGCTCTCCACTTTTTTCTTTGCCGGTCATGCAAGCAAGCAAGCGAGTGTACTAATCAACGAAAAGACCTCGAAATCTTCCTCATCAGCTCCGACGCCATCTGCAAATCCTGTCTATCCGGACCAGTAGCTCCAGCGCGCTGAATTTCGTTGAGAAGATCCTTGATGGCATCGGCATTGGAGGCGCTGCCGTACAGCGGACTGTTCGTGCGTATGCACTCCTGGTACCAGTACTCCATTACGTACACCATGTGGCCGGCGAGGATGGCCTTCCGTGGTCCGGTGAATGGAGGGGTCGTGTTGGACCACATCTCGTTGAGGACCTGTAGAATGGCTTCTGGAGGGAACCCGACGTCAATGAAGAGGTCTGGGAGCCAGGTGCGGGGACCGACTTGGAATTGCTTGTTGACGCCATAGATTTCCAGAAGGGGGATGATCATGTAGGGTGAGAAGGTTGTTTCGGAGGTTTGGAGACGTTGTGCCATGTCGCGGACCTTGGTGACAACTGCTTCGTAAGGGGTTTGTTCGGAGCTTGGTTCGGAGGCGACCTCATGCACTTGGTCAATAAGGGATTGCCAGGTTGCACGGATGTCAGCATCGTTGCGGTGGTTCGCGACTTGGTAGATCTCAAGACAGATGTCGTAGTAGTTTGCGGCATCGGCATATCCATTGTACAACTTTCAACGGTCAGCAATGTCAAGGAAGAGACAGAGTTAACTTACCTTGGTGATATCTAGAATCGGGCCATCGAGTTCTTCTACAAGCTTGGCCTTGGTCTCAGCATCGCCACGAGTTTCGGCCTTAACGCAATGCAGAAGCTCTTGTTGGATGTTGGCCACGTCGAGCAGCTCGGTGACTTCGTACAATGTGACTGTTCGTGCCGCACGCCCGATGCCCACAGTATGTGCAGAAGCATTTGCTTTTGCTCTGCTGAGGTATTCGATTCTCTTCGCCAGAGGAATTTCGTGTGTGCTTTGCGCCAGTTCAAACTGCACCTTCGCAGCGTCGTAGAAGTTCTCGTGATGGACGTAGAATCTCCAAAGCAAATCAGCATGTGGAACGTCCATCTGAGAACATTTCTGCAGGTACTGAACAACATATGGCGAGTCGACAGCGAGGAGCATGTTCTCCCACCCTTGAGCCAGATACCAGTCGTAGAGATCAAATTGAAATAGCTCGTCCTCAGAGTCATTGACAACGCTATGTGCCTCGTTGCGCTTGGTGGCGGCGAGGGTAAGCCGCCCATCAATCATATCTGGCTGAGAGTTGGTATCAGCATCCACAACCTGAAGGATATTATGGACAAGGTCGTAGCACTCCTTTCGGTGGTTGTAGATAGGTTGTCGTGCGTCATTCTCAGGCTTATTCTCATTGACCCATGCCAAAGCTCTATTTCCTCGATCTGACTCCTTGGCAACCAACAGAGCAAGACTGATTGCCCCAGCGTAGAATTGAAGGTTGGTGAACTGTTCCGCCGCGTCCGTCAAATTCTTGATTGATAATTCACCAGCCACTTGCTGGAAGAGCTTGAGACTCTCGTTCAAGAGCTTTCGACCCATGTCACTATTGGCACCTACGCCCGCAGCCTTCTTCAGGTTCTCTTGTGCCTTGAAGATGATCACATCATCAGCACTGCAGAAGCTACCACATCGACGCCTTAACGCTTCGGCAACGGTATCAACATTCGATCCATTGGCGATGTTTCGGGTAACAATTGCCTTGACCAAGATTCTAGCAAGGTTTTTGCCTCCTGCAGATGCGAAGAGGCTCTCGTACGTCAAATCGCGAAGCTGCTGCTGGACGAGAGGATCCAGCTGAGACCAAATTTCGTCAACTCGCTCGTCGAACAGCATCTCAACAAAAGAAATTCCTTCGATAATACTCTCGTTAAGCTTCTGAAGGGAGTGCAGAGCTTGGTGCTCGCCTTGGAGCGCAATTTCTTCTGCCTGGCTTGTCGCTCGCCGTAACCCCTCTGGACCAGCCAGTCCTTCAATAAATGACTTATTCTTTTCCAGAAACTCTGCGAGCTTCGTCAAATCTTCTTGGATGCTGACGAGCTTGGACGAATGAACCGTGCGCTTGATCACAGCAGCTCCGCCCTTCACAGTTGGCAACTGCTGTGCGATGACAGGTGCCTTCCACACGGACCGAACGAGTCTAGCCATGTACAGTGCCAGACCCTCGTGTCGTGAAGAAGGTCGAACATTATCGACTGCCTGTGATGATCCTTCTGAAACCATGTTCTCGTTCAGGGAAGGCCGGCCACCAAACTCAACGAAGCACTTCCGAGCCTGTTCCAATGTTTCAGGGTTGCTGAGTCGGGCGATTCTCGTGTCGCCGGGGGTGATATCGTTTCCTTGTCCACACGCAACTGCTAGAGCCGTTGCAGTTGTTTCGGCTCGTCCATAATTCCGGATGAACTTCTTGATCTCCAACTCTAGACCTTCATCGCTACCTTGACTTCTAATTGCGGCTGCGAAGATGTCAACAAGTCGTCGGCGGCGGATGATGTGAATGCCGGTATTGGTCAGAATGGCAATTTCTTGGGGAACTTGATCAAACTGGACCGCAAGCTCGTTCCCAAAGCCTATTGGCGAGTCGCCTGCAGCGAATGCTGGGGTGACAAGGCCGACATCCTCCATGTGACTTTGCAGATTGAGCCAGCATGCTGTCTCATAATACTTTCCAGCCTCGTTCGACATTCGAGCCTGCAAACTTATGCGGCCAGTGTCTGGAGCAGAAAGGAAGAGAGATTCAACATCATTGACGTCATGCTTGCTAACGAAGCAGAAAAACAGGCCAGGTGGAAAGCGAAGACCTCGTGTTGTATATGAGAGCGCGGGAGAAGAGGTTTCCGGGGCAAGATCAGATCCACCAGCATATGACTGCGAACTTGTAGGACCGGAGATTCGAGGGGGAAACTTGATGTACGCGACTAGCAAGCTTTGAGGTGCAGCTTGTGTCGTTGCGTATCCATAACCACGGGTTGCGCTGATAAAGAGTCGGCAGCCAGTTTGTGTTGTAGCCATGAGATGAAGCTTCGAGCCCTCCCTTGCAGATATGGGGCTGATCGAAACAATCTTCATGGAGTTCGTGATAAGTCCAGATTGTGATACCATATGACTGATATCTCGTAAGCATTCTTGCCGTCTCTTCTCGATCGCCTGTGTGAGTGTGACTGCACTATCCATGTGGAAAATGCGGATCGTAGATTCGGAAGACAGTGTGTAGAGGAGAGCTCTCGAGTCGTCCACAACCATCTGAACCACATATTCCTGAGATTTCGTGCCCCAGGGAAGCATAGCCATGTATCCAGGATTCGTGTGATTGAGCTTCCCTGTGTTTCCTGCAAACCATTGCTCCTGTGACTGGTATGTGAACTCATATACCTCATTCTGCTTACCAGAGAAGAAGATACGTCCAGTCGCATTTGATCCCTCAATGACCTGAACGTTGATGCCCCTCGTCGATATCGACATCTTTGTCTGGTACAAGGATACCGTCCTTACGCCAGTATTTTCCAACTTCGAGGTCAAGGACGTTGCTTCCAGCTTCGAAGCAACACCAAGAAGAATCATCTCCGCAGTTGTAGCCACGACCAGTAGATGTGTGATATCCTCAAGGAAAACGCCGGCCTTTGGCTTCACCAACTTGACAGCTGTGATTCCATACGCTTGCTCCTCATACCCAATGACCTCAGGATTGGGATCGGTGTAGTCCCATAAGTATAGCGCATTGTCAATCGTTACCCAGGCGTGGTTCAACTCTGCGAAGAGACCCATCATCGTCTGGACCTCAGCGCGGTTGTATTGGTCGAGGATTCGGTCGGGTATGTCGTACATCTTTGTTCTCTGGAACGGCGCCCAAGCTGCCTCTGCTGTATGATGGGGAATGTCATAGTCGGAAGAAATACCCTCTGTTCGTGCCCATGGTTAGCTTTCTCCTTGAAGTCAGAACTTCGGCGCACTCACGTCTAATGTAGCTGTCTATCTCAGGAAAATGGGCTTCTCTCCGCAGCACGTCGGATATGGTTCCAGCAGCTCTCGAGACTGGAGAGATGGCGGTTGGAGCGGGTTCTTCGCGCGATTGAGGATTGGGTTTGCCATCGTTCGGGCTGGGACCTGCAGGTGGTGGGCGCCCGCTCTGGGAGAAGAGCGGTTGGCGAATCTGGGGGCCCGGAGGAAATCTCGAAGCTGCAGGAGTAGCAAAGTATGCGCCTGGCAGAGGCCTTTGGGGAGTAGCTGGAGGATATGCCATGTTTTCGGAGTTTGTTGATGGGGATGAAGATGGACCTGGACCTGAGCCTGGCTATTGTCGCGGTCGCAGACTCTGCGTGGGGAGGGATTCGATATTAGAGAGAATGCATATGGAGCTATCTGAGGTATAGATTGATCGGCAGAAGATGTGCGACGGTGAGAAATGTAGTGGGTGCAGATTGCGAAGCTGGACAGAGGTCGAAAGGTCAAGATGCGCCTCGAAGATATTTGGCGACGCGTTGAAGCTGGCCGCCCAAAAAAATGGAACACCCAGCCACCTGTCACGTGCCATTATCGACAATAGCAACGGACAGCCGCATATTGTCGAGTCGGTCATACCATTGTTTTGACCCAAGGTAAGCATATATGCAGTGCTACAGAACATTGCTTGGAGTATGATTGAGGTAAATCGATTATGTGCCCTAGGTGGGACTGATATTCGCTACTCGATCGGACTTGAAGGAGGAGAAAATCATTAAGGACCTCAGCCGCGCGAGCAATCTTTCTGATCGTGGCGCAATTCACTAACCTCCTGACATTAATTCGAGTCAGCCTTTCCATGGCACTGTTGTGTACCTATAGCTAGACATATTTCGAGGTTTTCTAGCAATCGTTACTTAGGGCCTCCAGTGTAGCCTCGCGCACTCATTATCCCGTTTCAAAAGGACAAACGATTTATTAGGTTTGCGCTTATCTTCTCCATGATCATGACCATCCAGATTCGTTTCCGTAATGCTTGATCTGTAGATATTTGTAACTGTGTGGAGATTTGGAGAAACACGGTTCAGCCAAAACAGTGCAACGATCCCACCTCGCTAAACTTCTTGGATTGATTGTTGACTTCAGGGTTGGCTTGGCATCGCATTAAGAGCATGAATTATACCACTTCCAGATCTACCACTCCCCACAGATTGCAGGAGGTATTCTAAGCTCTCTAGTATCAATAGAGACTTTCCTCGCGAGCGGGGATTTACAGTATTCGTCCATCAGATTCTACAATTCCCTCCATCATCACACCACCCCTGGGTCCAGAAAGTAACATTGATTGGCATCGAAGTCGTCTCTTGCGCGCCAACAGATTGCAATATTTTGTCTGTAACCTCGCATCTGGAATAACATTGTTGCTGCGATGTGCATTCATGGATTCGGAGCGAAGTGCCCCTGATGAAGCTTTGGGTAGTTAGGACTGACAGTTGGGGGAAGTCAGGACTTGGGGCACTGTGGGTTGAACAGGGCAGGAGAGAGCGCACCCTTGGTAGCAAAACATCCTTCACTCTCAACTTAATATCACAATAAAATCTTAGTACTGGACACGTGTATGTACACCTCCCTGACGTAACACACCCAGTCAGCAACCAACCATTCACCACCGTCTAAAGTCCAGAAGCTACTTCACACCAGACGTCACTCCAACCACATAAGACCAAAAGCTACCTAGAGGCTAAAAGCTCACCAACTATGACACATATTGACCGAATTAACGAATTCTACATCCAGAGGAGATTCGGGGACTCGTGGCTCGATGGATTAAACACCCAAACAGACGACCCACAGATCTCGATATATTCGAGGACTTTGTGAGGTTCGAAGAGTAGGCGCACAAACAGTGGGGATCTGGGGAATTCAAACAAGAAAATTATTAGAGTGATTACAACGCGCTGCTCCAACGAAACGGCCGCTTCAATGTTGACGCTGATGTTTTTTTTTTCCGCGGTCCTGGGGATTAAAGAAAGTGAATCCTGTAAGGATTACAAAGGAAAATTCTGATCTTTTAGAAGAGATACTGTAACAGATATCTATATTATCTCTCTTCTCTCTGACCAAGTGCCAACTCCCTACTCTAGATCTTCTCTTTTTTACTATTCTTGAATACATATCAAAAGCTAGTATTAGTGAAGTAACTAGTAAACCCATTTGAAAACTAGAAGCTTCTTTCAGTATAGACGTCACCACACTTGACTAAGATACCTAGCTAGATACACCCTAACCATGAACTTTACATAAACTAAATTAACATAATTCTTACCTAGAGGCATCCGAGGGCTCGCTGGCTTGAGAGATCTCAAAGGTCTCCCTCTCTGCGTGGGTGCAAATGATAAAAAGCAGGTATATTCACAGCGGGGATCCGAGGGCTTATTCCTTGAACTTGATTATATAAAGGCGCATAACAGACCCAGACGTATCTTGGAAGTATTTTTTGGTGCTCTCATTCTAGCAAGTGTGGTTTGTTCGGTTCCCTTTTTTTCTTCTTTTTCCTATTTTTCCTCTTTTTTCCTTCCAGATATTCTACTAGCTCTAACCCGGATGGGTACCTACCTACCAAACTCAGAAGTCCCAGTGTTCTCGCTTAATATCAATGGTGGGATACCATGGACAATGCAAAGTGTCTCTCGGAATTATGTTTGATATGTCTTGGATTGGGTGCGGCTCCAGCTTGAAATCCGGGCTGCTTGATGTAGAAATAATAGGTATGCTCTTGGTTGTGTGATAGGAACGTATTAGGTCATAAAAGACGACTTAGTGGTGATAGCAGGTACCGACCGATAGTAAACTCTTCCCCCCTACCCAATGAACTTCTCTCCTGATTTCTATGTTCCATACGCAGATAGTCCATATCATTGATGAGTTTTAAGGTCTCCGATTCTGCTTTACCCGTGCCACACCAAAGTGCCTCAATCTGCATAAGGTAGCATACAGTGAGCCAACTCGAGCAGTCCCAAGCTAGCTTGCTAAAGGCAATGCCGCTGCCGTACCTATCTGTCATGTTGGAGCAGACCTGGACATTCGGCCTACTTAGGTAAGTAAAATATCTCTCGCGTCTGGTGAGTGAGCTGTGTGGAATGGCGCGCTGCCCTGCCCGAGATCGCGCTTCCTCCCACGCGTCACACGTGGTCGAGAGACTTGTTCCTTCCTTTCTCGGAAGCCACAACACCGCCCAGGGCACCCACCGCAACCGTCGTCTTGCGGTTCCTTCCCGTTCTGCAAACCTCAACACCGCAGCCCATGGTCTCGGCCCGAAGGTTCCCATCCATGGCTGTTTGATGTACCTGAATAAGGAAATTTCTGGCACAAACCGAGCCAACTGCTGCACAGTTAAGAAAGTGAGTTGATCCGTTCTTATTCATGCTTTCTTTCGCCTTTGTATCATTTGCTATCATGATGGACACAATTTGTTTGCGCGACCTACTTTAGAAGCATCTTCTAGCAATAGAAGAAGCAGTGTTGAACCCACTTCCAAGATACGTCTGAGGGGGCAGTCATGGAAGTATTGTTATAGCATCGTTACTTGATGCCCTGATTCGAGCTTAACAGAGTCTCACACCATACGCAGTTATCCTCTCTATGAAAAGACAAAACTTGCCAACTTTCTCCTCTGCCTGATGATTAGAATGAAACATTAGAATTTCTTTCTTGTTCTTCTCTCGTGACTCTTTTGGTTCAAAGCTTCCCTCGGGTATAGAGTCGATGTGTGAGGGTTCCCAGTTCGGGATGGCGCTAGTAAACGAAACCACTGCACTGCCTAGGGGATACCTACGCGTCCATTTTCTGAATGCGCGATGTAAACTTGAAATACTAGCGGGAAGGATGTAGAGCAGCACATAGGAGAAAACAAGTTCTCTTTAACGACGTGGAGAAGCATCCCAACATGATGCGTGAAATTGAATAATAAGCATAGCAGGAATATCAAGAAAGGGGACATGCCAGATCCCTGCTGCCATGAAAGAGAGTGAATCATTTATTCGGCGTAGCCATGGCGAAGCAATTCCACAGATAAAGTTGAGATTAGGAAAGGACAGCAAGAGATAGTATTGACCGCTGTGTGCCCCTCCTTGAGACAAAGAAAGTACGACTAACCAGTCTTAAGTGGCAAGATATAATCGCCGCTGTGCAAGGCGGGATGAATCTCACACTTGTGATGATCAAATTGATGCGATTGAGAAGTCGAACACAAGAAATGAGTATCCATTTTTAAGAATCATCTCCACGATTCTATCAGCACTGCTCAACTCAATCCAAGTCGCTCCACTCCCTAAACCCTCACCCTTAAACCTCACACCTCAACATCCTCATCCTCCTCCCAAATCCTGCTCGGACTCACCGCCGGACTCGTAGCAATCTTCGGCCGACTCTTAAACACACTCTCATAATCCGGATCCCCCTCCAACAACTCCACCGCGCTCGCACGCTCAGCCGTATCCTGACCCACTTCCGTCAGTCCATCCTTCTCCTCCTCCACAACTTTCGGGAAGTAACTCGACTCCCTCTGCTTCTTCCTCGCATCCTTCACGCTCCTCCTCCGCTCCACCTGCGCCTTCTTCTGCGCCGCCTCAAACCCAGCCATGCTCTTCCGCGTCCGCTCGATCAAATCAGCGTGAGGATCAGACTCTACGCTCGGAGCGTGCGGCGCCATCGACGGACGCGATTTGATAGCTAGACGCGGTAGGTCCGCGATCTCGAACTCGTCGTGCAAGTCTGAGTACTGAGAGTGTGAGGTACGGGACATGGAGAGCCGGGTTCGTTCCGCGAGGGAGAGGGTGTGGCGAGATTTCTTGGGGGATGGGGAGGACGCAGAGATAGAGCTTAAGATCTGGGACGCGAGGTCGGGAGATGGGGGTGCAGGTGCTGTGATCGGAGCTGAGGCGGCGACTGGGGTTTGTTTGATTGGGGATGGAGGCGTCATAGGTCGGACATTTGGAGGTGAGGCGCCTCTTGGGAATGGCATTGGTGCTGGTTTCGGTGTTGCATTTACTTTGACGGTTTCTGAAAAGTTGGGAACTGGTGATCTGGCTGCCTTGGATGACAATGGGAGCTCCACGGGCTGGGGTTCCAGAGTAACTTCGGATGGTGGCGTGTGAGATGTAGATATGGTAGCGTAATGTGGAGATTCTGGGGAGTCCTCCAAGTCACTGGCGGAAGACCAATCATCATCCTTACTGTCTGGTACATCATCCTGAGCTTGAATTGGAGATTGAACCTCTGGAGAACTTCTTTTCTCCTGAAGCAGACTCTGGCGTGGAGCTCTCTTGGCCTGTACTTGTGGTTTGCTAACGTCGGCCAGCTCAGTCCTCATGTTCTCGATCAATCGGGTATACTCTTCCAATGATACACCATTGGTTTTCACCGCTTTCTCCTTGTTACTTCGGCCTATCTGTATATTTTGGTGAAGATTGAATCCTAGATCGATCTTGTTTGAATCAGTAGAAGCTTTCCTTGCAGCTTTCACCGGAGGAGGACCAGCTGATTTCGAAAGGGTCTTTTCAAAATCCTTCCACCTTGCTAACCGCTTCTCCTGATCTTTGACACGAGCGTCGAGCTGTTCCAGTAATCCAACTCGATTCGTGCCCTCCACATCGCCGATGCTTCCACTCTCAACATGCTTCCAGATTTTGTCAAACCGTGTGGACAGAAACCCGTCTGTGTTCGTCCTACTGTCTCCGTGCAGTATGGTTTCCAACCACTCCGTGTTCCCCGACCAGTTCTTCTCCACCGTATCTTGTAGAGCATACACATCTATCCTTGACATGCTACCATTTGCCTGGTTCTCCTCAATCGCCTGCTTCAACTGTTCATGTCGACGTACAATTCGACGGTCATTCAGACTGAGGAGCTCTGAAAAGTCGCGGTACCTGGCCCTCGCGTCCTCCTTGCCTCGTAGATACTTGCTCAAAGAAGCCTTGTGTGCCAAAATCAATGCCGAAAGGATCGTCCGCTCTCCGCTGTACGAGAAGTTTTCCAATGCCAACTGCTGCGCCAGCGCTAAGTGGCTGGAACCTCCGGTTTGAAGGACTTTTTTCAAGACTGCATTTGAAAATACCGCCAGTACTTCATCCAGTCTATCACCCTTGCATTCGTCTAGCATTGTCTTTCTCAATACCGTGTCCCGTCCCAAAACGCCATTCTTCTTCGCCTGGTCGAGACATCTGAAGAGAGCGGCCCGTAGATTAAGTGATTGCAGAGGTTCGAGAGGAGGGAAGTACGGCTGTAGTTTCTATACAGATTTTCGATTAGTCCCTGCAGATTTCAGTGGTGTCTGTGGGGACGAGGTACATTTCTTGTCTCCTCCGGTTCCCACAGAGCAAACAGCTGGAAGAGCGCCCATTCCACACACTGTATTCGTTTCTTCTGGTTCTGCTGGGCATCTTTCGTAGAGAATGTCAATGCCGAGATATCGGGCCAGTCAGGGCGTAGATCAAGATCGAGGAGCCGTAAATTCGTGAGGAAGAGAGTGATATTCGAGGGGCCTGCAGGCGGTGCTGTTGTTGTCGTCGTCGCGGCTTTCACCAGATTGGGAGGGGGTATTCGCAGACTCCTCGACCTGGCCAGAGATATGTTGCTTGTTGAAGACGACATGCTTTACACTGGCGTGTGCTCGAACACAGGCGTCGCATTGTAATTGCTGACTCCTGAGGTGTTGAATTGAGGCGGTCTAGGACGTGGGGTTGTTCGTTCAAGGTTGTTTCGCGTAAACAAATCGAATCGGGCTGTCACATGATCTCGATATTTAGCTGCGTTCCATCCCACGAAACGGTCAATCCATCTTCATCCCCAGAATCGATCAGCTTCAGAGATGGCCGTCTCTTTGACGCCTTCTTGTCGTTGAAAATGCATATCTGCACGGATATCTCAAATTCCCCTGCCTACCTCTGGTCGACCAGTGTCAAACGACCACTCCCTCATGAAAACGCCAAAACGTTTCCAATCTCCAGCCCATCCTACGCGCGACTTCCGAGATAAATTTCAGTTACCCAATAGCTCGCAGGGCAAGTGCACGATATTTTGTGAAAATAGGACTGCTGTTCTCGGCATAAAGCATTCTGGAGTATTCCACAACAGCGCTCAAAGGGTCTTTCCCCCATAAGAAGGGACAGTAAACTGCAGGACGATTTCTTTGCATTGTGAAAGTCAACGGAAGATTCCAACGTATCTTGATGTCTCTTTTCCGCTATGCACACTTTACGCTGTGTATTGACGCCACGAGACCAGTTCCTTCTGCTCAATCAGGACTGTGACGATAGCTAAGTCTTTCGGTCCACAGACCTCGCCTTTCCAACCTGTTGGCCTCGGTCAGTTCACATATATCATTTCTGAGGTTAGAATCACCGCCTGAGATGCCCTTATGAACTTCATGACAGCCAGGAGACAGGCGAGGGGGGAAGCTAGACACGTGAGCGTATGGAAAGCCATGATCCTCTGAGTGACTTCACTCTTTTGGCAACGCACCACGCCCGACGGGCATTGCCGCGCTCTCTAACAGGACTTGTCAGCAAAAGATGCCTTCACTTCGTTATTCTTGTTCTTGTGGATGTTTCACGCAAAGTTGCGCTCGGGTTTTGTCACATGATGTCCGTTATGAATAAAGTTGGACTTTCATGACGAAGCTGTCTGTCTCGATATCATACGTACCTCGGTATCAGTTCGTCACTTCGACTCCTCTCTTGCTCTGGTCCTGAAAGCATTGTATCGATGCGAGAATCTACCATGCGAAGATCCAAGACGTATTGCGTTTCCGAATTTCGCGTAGCATTTTAGCTCCGCCACCTGAGTTGTTTACTTCACAGCCAGGCCCCACACGGTCGGCATGCCATGGTTTTGCGTTGCGATGCTCAAAGCTTCTTCGTGGACGCCGCAAGGACTCGATCAGGTGTTTGGTGCGGGATCTGGGTCGAAGTTACGAGTAGTAGCACTCTCTCTGTGACAAGAAATCGCAACGTTTGGTTGAGAATTGTCTTATTCTTGCGTGCCGATGCGGGCTCCGTCACAGCTTAACGGAGAGCCCCAATTGCGTCAAGCTGCCTTTGTGTATGTCGCAGTTGAATACCTTACCGGCGTCCCATTTGACGAAAGCTGCTGGCAGGGATCTTCAGGGAATCGTGGTGAGCATGTATAAGAACTTAGGTTGTCTAGCTTTCTACTAAGCTTATCAACCCAACATCCATCTGTCTGCACATTTTTCGTTCTTCTTCTCTAAGCTTTGAAAGCCAGATTTACTCAATACAACAACTCAGGCCTAGCAAACCATCAGAGCCAATATCAATATGCAAATCTCATTCCAAGTCATCGCGCTGGCGCTCCTCGCATCTTCCCAAGCACTCTCGACTGTCGTCATCACTGAGCGGGATGAAGGGTCCGTTGTTCTACAGTGCCTCAACCCAAAGCACCACAGTTTGCTAACCCTTCTCCAGAACTCTCATCGAGCGCAACCCAGACCCAAAAGGTGGTCTCTTGAAAGGCGCACTTGGCCTCCTCGCCGGCGTAGCTGCTGCCGCCGGCGCGGCTAAAGCAGGAGGTGCTGGTGCTGCCGCTCCAGCTACACCTGCTACTCCAGCAACTCCTTCTACAGCTCCTGGAGCTTCAGCTGTGGCTAGCACCCGACCACAGTCTTCTGATGCTGTTGCTCGCAGGAGAGCTCGCAGGCAGCGGGCTGCTGCTAGACAGAACAAACACTAGTTGTTTGGTGCACGAGAAGAGGGTCAATACCTGCGAGCTAGCTCCAATGTTTGCTTCCTTGTATGTATGGTTGGGTGATGCTGGGATGTTTGGGCTGTTTTCATTTCTTGTATCTACACCGTCAGCTGTGGGTTGGAGCCTTGTTTCAACAGCATCTCGAAGAGCTTGATGGACTTTTGCAGGTCTTCCAAAATGCAACGGATTTCAACACCGCGTTATTGTTACAGTGCAATTTATTCGGGCTGGCAGGCTTATTTCTCCACTACTTTACACGTTCCCACTTCTCTGCAATCCACAAGCATGCAATCAAAATTGTATTGACTGTTGCAGCCAGTGCAAGCCCATCTTTGATGCCAGTGTCTATTCCTGTACTCTGACCTTGTTCTTCTATCTCTTCCACTTGCTCCGTATCCCCCAAACATGGCAGTTTCAGTTTTTCCTTGCTGGTCTTCTCACGGATGTGACGTTCAGATGATCGTTCGCTGGAAGTATCTGAATATGTCATCCAAGACTCTCCATCAGACCCAGTGTCCGAGAATATATCCAAGTCCTTAAAATCCGGATCTGTGTGTGGACTCTCACTTGAGCTCTCTCCATTTGCAGTCTTCAAGTCTGGAGCATCTTCCGAGAGTCCACCGTGATCCCAGCTTTCTTGTGTGGGTGCAGCAGCCAAAGTCACCACAGGCACGTTCTGTAGTGACGCGAGATGCTCCAGAAACCTATCGAGAGAATACTCATATTCGTACTGTTGGATGATATCACCTGTCTTCTTATCGATGCTTATTACAACACAGTCTTCGTGGTTTTCCAGGTAATCGATCTTGTCGATTAGAACTGATTTCCACATCTGGAGCTGGGCTTCTGTCATTTCTAGCATGATCTGGTAGCTGAACAGTGCTGTGGAGTCTGAAGATGTTGAAATTGTGGTTTTTTGCGGATCAAGAAGGAGTAACTTAGAGTGAAAAAGTTCTTATCTGGTCTCGCAAGTTGGGAAAGACAATCGTAAGGCAATTAACAGTGGTATTGAGCTTTGTGATTCACCTCTTAACCTCCTGGCTTGTCTGATACATTTAACTGACTGTTCTTCAAATGCTCGAATCAACACCTGGACGAATATCACAGTCATGGAGCGTCTCTACACTATGTCATTTTTTCTCTGGTTCACGCTTTCAGTTGCTTCCGGGACAGTTACTGGCCAAACATTCCACAGCTTTCTCATTTTTTCAAAATTTGAAATCCAGCTGCACAGGGACAGCCGTGACTTTGGGAGGACCCCTAAGGAATGGATTCATATGTATCCAAATTCTCTCGCATAGCTGTCATGTCTAACTTCCTCCGAATCTACATTCACGTCTATACTTTTGCAGAAGCAGCACGTGCATTTTCAAATGCCTTAACAACATCATGCTCATGCAACCAAGTCGTGTTCGATCCCCTCTTAGCCCTCGCTCTCAGCTCCTCATCCGTCTCCTGCGTTGCCGTTATGATCTTCCTCGTCTTCATTTCATTGTTCGCATGCACGACCTTCAGTAACTTGACGGCATGTGGTCGTCGAGTATCTTCGTAGAGTTTTAGTGCTCTGTAAATGCTTTCAGGTGAGGGTTTCTCTGTATTTGATACTGGTATTGCATCCATGAGAGCCAATGAAAGGGCGTAGGCGTCGTCTATGGCGAGTGAGCCCCCAGTGGCAAATGCACCTCCGTGTGCATGGGCAGCATCCCCAATCTATCAGTCGTGCTAGTCAGTAAAGGTCTTACGCTCGCTTTCCCACTAGGGATTGTTAATTTCATAAAGCTCCTACTGGGAACTAGATCAAATCCCGTTTTTGGACCGCTGAACTTACCAGCGTGACACGGCCGCCGAAAATCCAGGTCGGTAACGAAGATCCACAGAAGAAGTTCGGATAATAGCGGACATTTGGTGTAACTTCAGAAAGTGCTTTCACGACGGGATTCCAGTCCTGGATGTATGTCAGCTACACCGCGAGAAAAACATTCCTTGCGTAATAAGGCATACAACATATTTCTCTCTCAACAGCTGAATATCAGCTTGTTTGTCCCATTGGCCACCGTCTCGAAACTTGGCAATCGCGACTGGATCCTGTGGATCCGCATAGATGCCCCCTTGCACGGTGAACAGATTCTGTGCTAGACGAGTTGCGAAGAAATTCGTGTCAGGTCCCCACCAGTGAGTTGAATCAAGTGGAACTCCTTCGATGGGCTCGATGAGAGCGGCGTCAAAAATACCACGGAAAGCTGTATGTCCACTCCATTCCAACTCGAAATCCGGAGCGAACGACTTTCTCACGCCCTGATTACTGTTAGGTAGGGAGCATAATCATTATATGTAGTCAAAAGGCCAAGAGATACATACCGAACCAATTCCATCTGCTCCAATGAGCATATCTGCTGTTGCAATAGTGCCATCTTGAAATTCCATCTTTACATAATCTCCAGAGTCGACAGTGGCAGAAACCAACTTCTTCTTCAAGTGTATGATGTCCTTTGGGACATGTTTGAGTAAAGCTTGCTGCAAATGCCCTCGATGAAACCTAGCAGTATAATGCAAAGGTTCCGAGACATTCTCATAGAAGTCTTCGCCAATGATCTCATTGGTCTTCCAGTGACGATAAAATCTGGAAATAGGATTCGGTCCTCGATATCCCACTTTCTCACTGATACAATCTTCTAAGCCCAGTCTCTCGAGTGTCCTTAACCCACTTTGCATCACAGAGTCAGCAAGGTGTTCTGGATAGAATTGTACATTCTGACTTACTTGGGGCCTAGTGTAATACTGGCACCTATCTCCCTAAGCTCAGTTGCCTTCTCATACAGCTCGACATGTATGCCCGGATGTTTCCGGAGTGCAATGGCTGCCGTAAGTCCTGCAATGCCAGTGCCAACAATGGCAACTTGGAGCACATTTGGCTCGGTACCTAGACTTCCCATGGCTGAGAATGTGTATCACCGTAGGAACAGCAGTGACAAGAGTATTTTGTCAGCTGAAGAATATGAAGCCGATACCCAAAGTCAATCGGTGGCACGTCTTCAGTCGGCTAAGTGGTTCTTCCCTAGTTCATATTATTGCTCCACTTATATTATCCCTAGAAAGCGCCTCTCACTTGGATAAATAATATGTGTATTGATCATTCATTGAGCTGGGCCACGAATATACGTCAAGGGATGTTTCAGCGAGCCGTTCTAGGCTGAAAGTCAGAGGCTGAACTTAACTTGGCTGCAGAAATGGCCCCAGCTAATGGCACCCCACCTTCCTCTTATGGTCGAAATGTAACTTGCCATGCACTTGGTGATATCTGGTCCACATTAATGTGGAGAATATTGATGTCTTCGGCGTCTGATTAGAGTGCTGTATATGTCTCGCTTACGTGACACCCAGTCGAAACCCCTGACGAACCGGTAGTGCTTTTTATTTATCTATCACAAAACCTACTCGTATCCCAGCTACCCCTCACGACACGTGTCTTACGATCTGAGGGGTATTTCAGAAATGGCTGTTTACCTTATCTTTGGCTAATAAGCTTTGGGTAGCTCTTGAGAAGTACATAATAGAAGTACCTCCAAGCACCCCCCTCCGTCTTCGAGCTCCCCATTTCAAACCGACCCCGCTCTACAAACTTAAATTCAACTATTCACAACCGGCAACATGGGAATCACTTCAGAAGTTCCAAAGACAGTGCAATGGAATGGCAGTGAGGTTCCTGTTTATTCCATGCAAACAATTGACTTCTCTCGACTGCTTTCCCAGGAGCCAGAAGAGCTTGAGAAGCTGTTGAAGTGCTGCCAGGATGAGGGATTCTTCTACATTGACCTGCAAGGCATTGATGGGCGTCGATTTCTTGATGATCAGCAAGAGACTCTCAAGCTCATGAACAAGTTCTTCGACTCGCCATTGGAAGTTAAGAATGAATTTGGTAGATGTCCTTGAGCTCCTGTACATGCCGATCACATGCTGATTACGTGTCGTTTCAAGGACTTGTCGCACCACATCTTGGATATGAGCCTGTAGGATCTAGAACTGGTGTCCTTGAGAACACCAAAGATGGATACGAAATGGTCAAGGGAAGTCAAAGATGGTTGAGAAGAATCTCGCAAAGTCTTGCTAACCTTCCGTAGGTTTCCCGAGACGAAATCCAGAGCGAATCTCCACACATCCCCCGCAACATCAAGAACACTGGAGATATGAAGGTCCTTGAGAACGCCATTGCAGGCTCTAACATCATCACAAAGGCCATTCTGTCAGGTCTCTCCACCCAGATGGGCCTTGCCGGCAAGGACCGTTTCGAGAACTCCCACCGCAACCACCGTGCATCTTCGAGCACATTGGCCATGATGCACTACATTCCATCCGACCCAGTGACGGACAAGAATATTGGCCACCAGAAGCACACAGATATCAGCTCCTTGACTTTGTTGTTCAGCGAGCAATGGGGTCTTCAAATTAGACCACCTGGTAAGCCAGTCACGCATCCAAACTACTCTTCAACAATAGCTGACATGTATCCAGGAGCCAAGGAATTCGGCTTCGTCGCCCCCAAAGTCGGCACAGCAATCGTCAACGTCGGTGACTCCCTCCGTTTCGCAAGCGGCCACACCATGGCATCCTGCATCCACCGTGTCGTCCCATTGAACCCAGATGAGCACCGCTACTCCATCGCCTACTTCCTTCGCGCCGAGAACGAGACCCAGTTCACTGATTCCAGCGGAAGAGCCGTCACTGCTGGACAGTGGCACGACGAGAAGTTCTACACTTTCACTGCGCCACCCGAGATGCAGGCTGCGGCTCCCAGCTACTTGTTGTTGGGTGGCATGGAAGAGGAGGCTGATTTGAGTAAGGCTCAGTTGGTTGAGAAGGAGAACTTGGCTGGGAACCAGACTGCGGTTGCAGCTCACTGAATGATTGAAATGATTATAGGAATGAGAAGATAGGATCTTGTAACAAGTTTGGAAATATTGAATCATACATACATCTTCATGACCCGTGTTAGACTCTGGCCATTTCTTGTTGACGGTCTTCCCTTGACAATCATCGAAGCGATGTATCGATCTCGGCCACGCTATCAAATAATAGACAGTCTATTTAGAATTACATGAGCCTAAGAGCCAAGAAGAATAGCATCAAATTTCTATATCTCTCAGGATGTCTATAAATCACTGCAGAGCTACAGCCTCCTTGATTCTCCTTCCCAGGTCCTTGTCAACACGAGCAAAACTTCTGCAAAACTGTCAGCTTTCTCCTCGAAATCCCCAAGCAGAAAATTAAAAACATACCAATCGCCTTCTCCTGCACCTCCGGAACAGCCAACCCCAGATGTACCGCTACATTATGCACAAAATTCTGCTGCTGCCCCGGATACTTCGCAAAAACATCCCACATCCCCTTCGGCTGCACAAAATCTTCATCTGTAACCTCAGACGAGAACTCAGAGATCTTCCCAATCCACTCGTCATGACTGGCTTTCGCAGGCCCATAATTCAAAGGACGAAGACTGGAGCGCACGTAGTTGGGATCGGGGCCGTAGTTTCCACGGAAGTTAGCGAAGCCGTCGCGTTGCATGGGAGAGTAGACGGGGCTGAGAGGCAGGTTGGTGGGCAGTTGTTGGTAGTTCACGCCGAGGCGGTAGCGGGCTGCGTCGGGGTAGGAGAACATTCTTGCTTGGAGCACTGAGATGGACAGTTAGCTTGCGATACATGGGATCAGTTGAAGTGGAATGTACTTGGGTCTGCCGACGCCTCGATGCCAGGAACCATTGTTGAAGGAGAGAAAGCTGCCTGCTCAACGTCTGCAAAGTAGTTTTGAGGCTGAATGCTGTCAGTAAACGCTCTGATACAGATGAGGATCTGAAGGCTACATTTCTGTCCAGAGTAAGCTTGCCAAATGGTCGTAAGGGGTAATCCTTGTGAGGCCACACTTTCGTCATATCGAAAATGTTCCATCTGTAAGTCTCCGCCTCCTCAGGCTTCATAACTTGCAAATAAGTAGTCCAGGTGGGGTAGTCTTTGCGCCCAATAGCATCAAAAAGATCTCGGACATTGTGGTCGGGATCTTCGCCTGCGATTTTGATCGCTTCCTCGTTTGTGAAGTTCTTGATGCCCTGATCGGACTTCAAATGGATTTTCACGTACACGAAAGACCCGTCCTATCTGATGTCAGTAGGGTCACATCATTCATTCACCAGAAACTTACAGGCTTTGTAAATTTATAAGTGTGTCCACTGAAGGCATCAGTGTGTCGAAGCGATGCTGGTGTACCTCTGTCGCTGAAGAGATGCATGAGCTCGTGAATGCCCTCTTGGTTATTGTTGTGAAAACTAATGACGGTTAATTGAAGTCATGTAAACAACATCGATAGCTTACTCCCAGAACTGTGCAGTAGGTCAATATGGCTTGCTCAAAGGTAGGGTTACGAAGGCTTACCATGGTTGAATCAGGGATATTCGTCCGAGGGTGTCTCTTGTGAGTTCGATTGAGCGAAGGAAACTTAATTGGATCTCGGATAAAGAAGACAGGCTAGGATAATCAGTAACCGTCCTCGAGCTTTCCTAACAGTGAGGCTCACTGTGTTGTTAAAAACCCAATCCTGATTCCCCTCAGTCGTGTAAATCTTAATCCCCCATCCTCGAGGATCTCTAGCTGTGTCCGCAGACCCTCTCTCAGGTCCAACAGTTGATATTCTTGCTAGAACTGGGCTTTTTGTACCAACAGCACCAAGAAAGGCAGCCGACGTGATATCGCTCACATCATGGGTAACCTCGAAGTGGCCATACGCCCCAGCAGCTTTTGCGTGCACGACTCTGTGGCTGATCAGTAACTGCACCTCTACAGTTATCGCAACGGAACGTTGTAGTGACCGGAAATGCACCCCAAATTTACTTACCGCTCAGGAATACGCTCTCTAGCGAAATGTGCAAGTGTCTCGATGAGTTGAGTGTCTTGGAGGAGGAGCAAACCACCTCGCCCACCTGGCCGGCTGATGCTATACGATGAAGCAGGGTCTTTGGTTGGTGCACCTTCGTGATATTAGCGTGTGCTCAGAGGGGATCCAAGTGGAGATTTTACCTTCAGCCAAAGTGTAAGTCGGGGTTGATGTGCTGTGAAGCTAGGTCATATTAGGTATTGCGTTTATGAAACTCAGTTGCCGGAAACTTACTTGGGAAGCCATGGCGAGGCTGATTCAGAAGATAAGGTATATTCTCGGGCTTCGTACTCCCTTTGGTGCTACAAATAACTCTACTCGTGGGAAAGTCCGAGATATTTATTCTCCACGAATTGTCTCAAGAAAGCGAAGTTCGCCATCGGTAATGGTAGCAGAATGATCGAAGCGGCAGTCATCTACCGCAGTAATCCAGTCGCTCACTCACTCAGCGTTTATCCACCAAATGACGCAAATGAGGCCATAGTTCAAAAGAGGAAGTATCAGGTGCTGACATGCAAGTGCCAGACCGACGGAACGCGGAGTCAGCCATTTAAGACTTGACTAATCGGCAAAACGATGAGGGGAATCCACCATGTTCGAATCCACCATATTCGAATCGCCACGTCCATGCATGTAAAATAATTCCGATTAAATCAGTCTATTCGAACAGAATCGCCGGGTTACTGGTGGAATAATGAGAAACTTTTCAGCAGATATTCCTGCTACTCACGACGCCTCTAGTCAACTCCAGCTACCCCATAGAAGTGCCAGACTACAAAGCAATAACGAAGGAGCACTTGCGGATCTTTTCTTCCACTCTTCGCAGGAATTATTGATGATACGTACTTCTCGTCTTACAGCAAGTACATCATCAAAGTCGCGTGAAAAAAGTTGTGTCTCGAGTCTGAATTTATCGGTAACAGTCAGCCCACGGCCCGGGCAAACTCCGGACTTCGCCCGCTTCTCGGCATCTCCTCGCCTGTTTTCAGCACAGTAAACAAAAAGTACCCGAGGGATCCAAATCAAGTCAAAGTAGTTGACAGCTGCAGCATAAGCCATGGCATGTCAGCCAGGCTCGTACCTGCATTCTCCCCTGTCCACTTGGACTCTGGTGAAAACCGCCTCAATGTCTATCATGAGTCTGCTTACCTTTGTGAGATAATCAGATCTGATGTCTAAATACCCCACTGTGAGCGACAGCGTCGTCCATGAATAGTTTCAAATTGTTGAGGGACTGGCAATGTGACATCCAGTCTTGCGGTGAATCAGCGGAACCCACCTTCTTTGTACCCTCGTCTCTAGTTGGAAAGCTGTTGTGATGTAATTACCGTGAGCTTCACGTCCTCAGTGGGAGTGGCTGCGTCGACATTGCGAAGGTATAAGATCTGGACCAAAGTTCTCGATACTGAGTCCCAATATCTCCAGCAATCATCAAACTCGACCTCCATCCTCCTCCACCATTATTCAGACAACCCCTACCATTTCTCAAATCCTCAACTCAGTATAGCAAGCCTCAAAATGGTAGCACTCAAATCAACATACGACTTCATCGTCGTAGGAGGTACATTTCTCCACCTCACATCCATTCTCCCACAGACCCATCCCAACTAACAACCCACTTCAGGAGGAACAGCAGGTAACGTTGTCGCTGGCCGCCTCGCCTCCAACCCAAATGTATCCATCCTCATCATTGAAGCCGGCGCCGCCAACCCCCGCTCCATTCCAGACATCACCACCCCCGCCAAAGCCTTCTCCCTCCGCGGCTCCCAGTACGACTGGGCCTACAAAACCACGCTCGTCGACCGCCCAGACTACACACGCGTCGAGAAGCCCAACACGCGCGGCAAAGTCCTCGGCGGCTCTTCCTGTCTCAACTACTTCACCTGGGTGCCTGGCTCGGCGGCCACGTTCGATGATTGGATGGCGTTCGGGGGCGAGACGTGGGGCTGGAAGGGAGTAGAGAAGCATTTGAAGAAGCCGGCGAGGTATTTCGATGAGGAAGGGCTGTATCCGGAGAGTCTGAAAACGACTCTTGCGAGTGAGGAGGGCGTGTTGCCGATTTCGCACGCGGAACTACTTCCTGAGATGGAGCCGTTTCGAGATGCGCTCACGAAGGCTTGGGTTAGTAAGGGTGGGAAATTGAGTGAAGATATCTATTCCGGGGAGATGCATGGCTTGGTGAAGTGTATTAATACCATACACAAGGGCTTGAGATCTTCGTCGTATGTCTTTGTCGAGAATAAGCCGAACATCACGATCCTGTCGAGTACTCATTCCAAGAACCTGGTCTTTGACGGATTGACCTGTACGGGTGTCACTGTCATCGGGCCAGACGGCGAGGAGTTGACATTTACGGCTAGCAAGGAAGTCATCGTCTCGTCGGGTGTATACGAGTCTCCCAAGCTTCTCATGCTCTCCGGTCTTGGACCAGATGAGGTTCTGAAGCCTCTGGGCATTCAAACCGTTCTGTCACATCCGCATGTCGGCAAGAATCTTCTCGATCATCCTATCCTGGCACACGTATTCAAGCTCAAAGATGGCTTGGGATTGGAAGATCACCTCCTCCGCGCAGGCCCAGCAATGACCGGTGCCGTGGAGGCTTATCGAAAGGATAGGACTGGACCTCTCGGCAGCGGTCTTTTGGAACTCGTCGGCTTTCCGCGTATTGACGAACGTTTGAACAAGAGTAGGGCATATCGTGAAGCCAAAGCTGCAAATGGCGGGCTTGATCCGTTCGGACCAGGTGGACAGCCACACTTTGAAATCGATTTCGTCGTATGTACTCATTTCCCCTTTACCTTCCAACCCCAGACCAAGCTCATCCTCGCTAACTTGTCCTCCTCCCAGCCCATGTTCTCCGACGCCTTCCAATGGCACATCCCAACCCCCGCCACCGGCAACTGGCTCACCATCATCGTCGACCTCCTCCGACCAGTCTCCAAGCCCGGCCAGGTAAAGCTCAACTCCACCAACCCTCTCGAGCAGCCGAACATCAACCTGAACTTCCTTGCCGACGACCTCGACATCATGGCTCTGCGTGAGGGCGTCCGTTTCGTGGATGATATCCTGATGAATGGTGAGGGCATGAAGGATGTTATTGGTGAGGATTATCCGTGGCCCATGCCGAGACATTCGGATGCGGCGATGGATAAGATGATCTTGGAGAGACATCAGACTGGGTTCCGTGAGTCTCTTCTGAGAGTTCAACTCCTTTTGAACGAAGACAGGATGTGCTAATTATAACAGATCCATGCGGGACAGCTCGTCTTTCAAAAAACATAGACGAAGGCGTCGTAGACACAAACCTCAAGGTCCACCGTATCGGAAACTTGAGAGTAATCGATGCTTCGGTCTTCCCTGTCATCCCAGATTGCAGAATCCAGAATGCTGTGTATATGGTTGCTGAGAAGGTAGGCTCGAACCCAAATGGAGATTACGAAAGATTTTGAACTAACTGACTGGTTGTAGGGTGCCGACATGATCAAGGCCGACTATCCAGGGCTGTACTGAGAAATGGGTTTATGGCAGTGGGCAAAATAATCGTCTGAAACAAGGGTATTAGATAGCGAAGAACGTAACATAGAGTTGTAGGATGTGAAACAATTTTTTGGGTATTCGAAAATTCATAGAACAGCGTTTTTCCGCTTTTTCAACCAGCCATTCTTTTTGAACTTCCTTGGTCAACTTGCAAGGGCAACAGTGAGGATGAACTACATCCGAAAAGCTCAACGAAACAAATCATGGTCTAAACAGAACATTTCCATTCATTCAATAAGTTAGCTATTTAAGCTATTTTGCCCTACCCACCTGCCCAAACCCCAGAGAATCAAGTCTATTACTACGCCTCAACCTCTTCTTCTTCTTCTTCCTCCTCCGCTTCTTCTGCATCCGGATCTGAAGCCTCGCCATTGACTCCCTCGGTGTCAACATCGATAAGACTGACACCCTCAGTCTCCAATCGCAGGTACTCGTCCCATTCTGGGAACAGCTCGTCATCCTCTCCAGGTACTCCGACGGTTTTAGCGACCCTGCCCTTCTTCGCTTTTTCCAGAGACTCCTTCCACAGACCGACTGTCTTGGGAGCAAGACTGGGCTTGTATGTCTGAGCAAAGAGAACAGCCTCGGCTTCCCGACCAGTCTTGGTGAGCAGATCGATGCACCCCTCTACATCAGCAAGTTGCCATAAACACGTGAAAGCAACGTTGTGGGCACCAGCCTCTTGAGCCTGCTCGCTAAGTGCCTTGAGTCCTTCACGGTCGCCGGTTGATGAGTGGAGAAGAAGCAGAGAACCGAGATCCTTGGCATTCTTGAAGCATTCGGCAGCAAGGGCGACATCCCAGCCACTCAATGCTGCATCACCCACGGTCTTCCACTTGTGCTCAACGTCAGCCTCTTTGGCGAGATCCAGAGCGATTTGCAGATGACCAAGAGCGAGGGCTAAGTCGAACTTGTGCTCGGAATCAGTTGCAACCTCAAGTGCAAGTTCCTTGTGGCCTTGGCCTTCCAAGAAGCGAGCAATTTTGTTCAGCTGATCCTGGGGAATAGTCGGTAACAGCTCCTCGGCTGTCTCCATGTCATCTCGCAAAACAAGTGTCTGATACTCGACAACTGCAAGAGAGAGGGAGAAGGAAGTAACGTTGACATCCTTGTCCGCAAGGTAGATTCGAGAATCTCGTTGGATATATCCGAGAAGGTACATGGGTTGATCGAAGTGGGAAATGGTGTATGTTTGGTCACCGACCAGGTAATTCAACCTGTTGGTGCTATTTGTGTAGATGAAGCAATCTCCAACCCATTCACCGGTTCGGACACTAGTTGTGTTAGTGAAGATCATGCAGCAGTCATGATTTTCTTACCTCTCGTTGATATCTGTGACGACCTCGAAAGCTGCTTCGACTCCGTCATCATCGACCTCTCCCGACTGAACGGCGGCTAGGTAGTTCTCTCTTGAAAATCGAAGCACGTAGAAGGTATCTTCGCAGGCAATCGAAACCAATTCGCCGTTCTCGGACCAGTAGACTTCCTTAGGATCGACCTCGATTCTTCGGACCAAGCCACCCGTCTGCCAATCAAAAAAGCCAATTCCACCTTGTCCCTTGACACCAAGAAGAACACCTCCAGTTAAGCCCTCAGCCTGGAATCCAACATCGAGTCCTCCAGACTTCTCAACAAAGTTCTTGAAGATCTTGACGCTTGTAGCAGATTCCCGAATCGCATAGTCGTTGCTGTTTTCCTTGGAGCCCCAAACGAAATCCAACGCCGAACCGAACGCCTTATTTCTCCATGCAAGAGCTGTGTAGATGATGAACTCTCCATCACCACAAACGGAGACGAAGCGGCCATTAGGAGAGTGGAGTAGTGTTTGTGGGTAAACTTCGCAGGTACCGAGGTCTTTCGTAGGGAGGGAGATGGGGTCGTTGTCTTTCAAGGACGTATCTGACAAGGTTAGCTGGGCCCACAGTTAGCTGGAGGTAACTTACCTCCTCCCTTGATTATCGAGGAAACAACCTCGCTGTGTCTTGCCCAAATCAACTTGCCAGACCCGTCCATAGATACCGCAGGCTCCTCTCTGCCCATCTTCACCACAACCGCACCTTCATCAAAACCGACTGCCACACCTTGCTTACCCCGCTGGTAGCTGACACACCAAGCTCTCTCCAAGCCATAATTCAGGGATTGCTCCAAACGGTAGGTGTTCGCGTGCCAGATCTTGACAGTTCCATCCTCGGATCCAGAAATGATGACTGGCAATTCTGGGTGGTAGCATGCAAATGAGACATTGCTAGTATGGCCTTCCAATGTGGCTATCAGCGATTTGGTTGTATAATCCCAAATTTTCACCGTTCGATCATCTGAGGTTGTGAGGAGGTATGGCTTGTCGGATTGTGGGTAGTAGTCGACATGGTTAACACCTTTCGTCTCGTGTGCCTCAAGGGTGAAATTGGCAGTCGAAGAGCCCAAACTCCAGATCTTCACCGTCCTATCCAAACATGCGGATGCAAATGTGTTTGTGTCCTTTGGGTTGATGGCAAGACCCATGACATAATGGCTGTGTCCCTCGAATATTTGGACGCATTTCCATCCTTTGTCCCAATCCCACAGCTTGATTGTCATATCATCGGAGGCGGTAAGGACGAATGGCTGTGAAGGGTGTACGACGATTGCTCGAATGTAGTCGGGGTGAGCCTCAAAAGACGTGATCTTCTCGGAAGTATTGTAATTGTAGACACGGAGTTGGAAATCGTCTGAACCGCATACAATCCAGTTCTTACGCGCAACAAATCGACCAGCTCGTACGGGGACATCTGTCAGCTCAAAGCTCTTGACGACCAGCTAGAAAATATCAGTATACTCCGCAGATACAGAATTCGGCGAGGGGCATACTCCTGTCTCGTACGACCAAATATATGCATGACCTGGATATCATCAGTCCAGCACCGTCCAATGCGCCGGAGAACATACCGCTGTATAATGTTGTCAAAATCCATGGCTCCACTGGATGGAAATCAATTCCCTTCACTCTCTCGCTGCGGGCAAACAGCTGTCTCTGTATTTTGTAAACCGCATTAGTATTGTTCGTCGGCATCATACCCACCACAATGGACTCGCGCAACTCCAAGCTCTTGTTCCTCTGGTGGGGTTGTGCCATCTCGACCTTCCAGCTCCATATGCTCGTTCCCTCTTCGTTTGGAGATGGCCACGTACCTTTACGTCTAACCGCATATCTGCAAATGGCTGGTGATGCTATGCCGAATGTAGTTGGAGTAAGGGGGAGGACCGAGGAAATGATGTGGCTTTTGAGGCGCGCAGAGACCGCTCTGCTGGGGGAGAGATGTTGTGATCAGTCGCGGAGGGGTGGGGGACGTCAGAGAAGAGTTGCAACACCGGTAATCGCCAAAGGAGTGGTGAAGTGAGAGAAGTGATGTGGTGGCCGCGGCAGAGAGAAGGGGGAGGTCGTGACGTTGAGGCTCAATCTGGCCGATTTGGAGATTCGTGGTCTTTGGCTGCAGCTGGGGGTTCAAAGTGGAGTCGCCTAAGTTGTCCCTTTAGGCTTAGTGCGGGAGCATAGCTTGGGATCTTCAATTTTGCACGCAACAGCACGGAACCACAGACAACACGTATAAACAGCTCGGACAACCCAAGTCAGCTATTCTGCTCGATTTCCTCACGACATCGATATGTGCCAAATATATCTCAATTGGCAGTGCTGATCTTTTAAATGGTCTACTTTCTGCGCCGAAAGCTGTGAGTTCATCCGTGGCCACGGCCAGGAAATACTGGTGTAATTCTCTTTGATCGATGCTCTTTTTGGGGCGAGGACTACTTACTCGTCTTGTATATGGCATGCTACATAGCATTTCGAGTTTCTAAATTGCTGTCTTTTTACTCTCCATGTTCTACTCTTCGCACAGCTGGCGGCTAGTGGTAGCCATAGCAAGTCAACGCTAGTGCGCTTCAGGGCAATCGTTCTAGCTACCAGACTTTCCAGTTCAGTCTCGCAACGTGCGATCCTTGTCAGAAGTATGATATGGGACAGAGTCTTGCCTTTAAATAATACATATACAATGTATTTAGCTCTCAAGACTTTCACGACGTTATATATATCTTGGTGGGTTGGTTGAGCCTCGACCTACCCCAGATCTCTGGCAGGATCTCATACCTAGCCTCAACCATACGTTGAGCAGCTTCAGGGCAGATAACTCCAAGCATGACGAAGTTTGCACTAGTTGTTCAACGCAATCACCCGTCACTAGACATTACTACAATGGTAAGATCGAAATTGCCATACCTGCCAACGGGTAAATATCCATCTATACCAGCCATTTGTTTCATGGCCGAGGCACGTCTGCTCCTCAGGCTTATTTGCCGAAACCCTCTTGTCTACATGTTTGATGAAAAGTTCTACAAAGTCTCCGCTTGAAATAGTGTGTGAGCGGCTTTCCAATCCATCACCTTATGGTTTCTAGAAGTTTTGAGGATTCTAGCTTCCAACCGATCTCGCTAGTCACATATTTCCAACTTTGGTACACGATTATTTCTTAGACCCGGCACTGTACTTCAATCTCTCGAATATTTCTCTGATTCTAATCTCGACTGACAAATCAGCTATAATACCACATTTTGTCTCTTTGTCTTCAGATCTGCAGCTCCATTATCCTTTCAAATATCTCAAGCATCCAAGTGTCTGCAAGGCATCAAGACACATCCCACACCGCAACACCATCTCAATTCAACCAGGCCTCTATCTACCCACGGAGAGCCGAAATGCCTTTCCTGAACCGGCTCGGTCTCCGCCGCCAAAAGTCCACCAATGGCACCCCACCAGCAGACTCCTCCGACGGGAAAGTCGACCTCGATACTTTCAATCCATTCGAGCCCGGCATGAGAATCACAGCAGACCTCAAACCAATCTTATCCTTCTCAAATGGATCCGCCTCCACGGTTGTCGACTCCCCTCGCTTGACGAGCGATTTCCCCTCCAGAGCTCCACTTGCGTTGAAAACTGATAGAAGACTCGAAGGTCATCATTCTCCCTCGATAGATCCATCGGAAGAAATGTCACGTCAGAATCGGGTCTCGTTTAGCTCGGAGCCAGAACCTCGTCGTGCTGCTACTGCCAATGCTCCTCAACATCGGTACAGAGCCCAACATGTCTCTCAGCTAGATTTGAATCGCGGCAAAGAAGAACTCATTAAAGACGCTGATGTCTCTCAACCAATTCAAGCCTTTCAGACTGAACGAACTTCTCGCGGGGGAAGTTCCAATGGCCGTCCAGATTTCTTGCCCAAGGATGACACCCCCGAAACATCAAGGTTCTCGTTCGAGTATGGAAGTCCCAATATCTCACAGCGCAGTCTGACTATGATATCCCCCATCTCAAGCACTGGATCAGAAGCCTTGACAACCAAGGAGCCACAATCCCAAGAGACTTCGAAACTAGCAAGCGATCAAGATGAAGACAGCGATGCTCCCTCGTCCTCAAGCTCAAGAAATCACACCAGCGACACCGCCCCCATACCATCCTTCCGCAGAGTCGCCGGCTATAAATTTGAGCTCCCTGAAGAGCGTTCCTTGCCATCAACCACCCGTAAAGACAAGCTTCTTAGCATCCCCTCACAACCATCATCTACCATCGTGCGCCATCCCGATTCCCCAATGACGATTAAAAGGAACAAGATCAAGCCGATGATGAACCACGTCCCAGAATCCACAATCAGGAGAAGCATGCAAGTTGCATACATGCGGCGAACTAGCAGTCCTGCTGATGCCCAAATCAAACAAGAAGATATAAAGTTCAAACAAGAACGAATGCTGAACGCTGCTATCAACCGATGGTCGTTCTGGGGCTCGCTAAACAGGGTCGGGACTGTCGGTCCAAGTCGCTTGAATCTAGATACCAGTAACGAAGGATCTGATGACGAGTCCGTAGATTCTTACGACGACTATCGGACAGCGGCTTTCCGATCCATTGAAAGAGCCGATGAGGAGATGCAAATGAAAATTCTAGAAAATCATGTCGCACGAATCATAGAAGCCGCCACATTCAAGATCAAAGATAAGAATGCGAGGAGAACTGTTCAGGTTGTTGATGGACGAATGAGGAGGGTACGTTCAAAGAGGGGTTTGATCTGCGATGCGACGGAGAAAGTTGGGGCTTCAGTTGATTGCGCCGAACCTACGAGTGTAAAGCCCGTGAAGGGTGAGCTGGTTGTGGAGATTACAAGAACTGTGGACGACGGGCGCAAGATGAACAGGAGGAAGATGCGAGAGAAATTGCGAGCTTTTGTGGGCCGATTAGTGTGGAGACAGTCAAGGAGAGCGTCTGGAAAGGACAAGGATTGAAGACCCTGGATTGAATATAGATCACCGTCTTGTGGATTTTGGTTTAACTTCTTAGATATCTTAATGAGCGACGTAACTTTAGCATACCAATCTCAGAGTCTGATTGACTTCTTTATAAAAAGATGCACTTGTGCTTACTTATGGAACTGGAATTTGCTATTTATGAAAGTTATGGTCATATGCTCGAGTTGTGTAACGCGACTGAATTATCTGCGATTACTTTAAGAACAGGTGGACTTCCTAGAGTGTAAGCTGCTCTTGGATTGTTGTTAACGCGACTCCTAAGCCGGCAGCGAATGGATATGTTTACTTCAAAGTGACAGCAGTTTTATACCACTCACTCTGGTCCATGTTCGTGAGCGAAATGAGCAATCCCGGATCTAAACACGAGACGAGATGAAAGTCGACAATGATACAGCTATTCTTCAGTTTGGCGTGATTCTTCGGTAAATAACGCCGACTCACCGACTTTTACTGTAGACCCCACTAAAAGATGATGACCTAGAATTGTAACCTCTATAACTCTATTAAATCTCTATCGATTTGCCTCCAAATTAGGTTATTTTGAAGCTCTCAAACTCCCCTCTCTGTTTCTACTTGATATTCTCGAATATACCTCTAAAGAAAGCTTGAAATAGTTAAGGGAAACCTTCTAAAAAGAAAGCTCCACGTACTCCACTTCCCCTACCGCCGGTAATACTTAAAATAACCCTTAAACTTAGTACAAGTTAAGCTAGTAGTTCTTCTATCGGTTCTACTATTAGTACTTCAGCTTCTATACCTAATTTAAGTGTAAGAGTAGTTATACTAGCCGTAGGATTAGTAAAGCCTCTATCGCTACTCTCCCCTTTACCTTCTGAGCTTTTATCGATTCCGTAAGCTCTTCCCCTACTAGAACCTCTTATTATATAGTCTCTTATACCTCCGTAGATTAAAATATAGGCTATAAACTTTAAGATTCAGTAGTACCTTAATAGTAAGCGAATAGGTAGTATAATAAAGAAAGTAATAAACGAGCTAGGCGTTAAAGTTACTGTCACGAACCAGGCTCAGTCTTAGTACAAGTCACGGGTTAGCACCATAATACTAATAGTACTACTAAGTGGATAGCACCAGTCGGTGTTTAGTACTAAAAGGTTAATAGTACTATTAAGAGAATAGCACTAATAAGAGAATAGTACGAATTAGCGAGTAGTACTATACTCCACGCTTATTATTATAATAATAGTTATATTAATCACGGTAGACATAGGTCACGTGATATACTAGCTTACTAGACGGGCTTACAGGCTTACGCGCCCTGTAAGACGTCTTACACGGCTTATATAAGAAGTCGGAAGTTCTATATAATAAGTAGGTAGTTTCCTAGATAGTAGAGCTTTATACTTAAATTAAATAGTAAGTTTACACCTAGTTTACTACTACTTATAACATCTTAATTCCTATTAAGAATCGAGCGTCTTATTACCTTACTTCATAGCTGATACTAACTGACGAATCTGTACTTATAATACCGACTAAGTTAGAAACGTTATACTTTAAGCACCTCACTTAAAGTATTATTAGTAAGATATAATAGCCCCTAAGGAAGGATCTATCGTAAGAGAAAGCTCTTAGACTAGTAAGAAGGAAGATAAGGTTACTCTACCTCGAGTTAACCTACCGGATACTTTCTATAGTTAACGATCTAAGCTAGGATAGTTCATACTCTAGTACTAGATATACCTAGCCTTCAACGGAGATAAGTTCAAGGCTAAATCCCTTAAGGTCTTATAGATCGCCTTATTCCTCCGCGACACTATAGTATACTAAATCGAACTAGCTCTTAGCGACTACTTTCTTAACTGATATATAACCGGAGCTTACCCTACTACTATAACTAAGAAGAGTCGCGTTATCTTCCGCACTATCGCAAGATTTACTACAGCTATTAAGGGAGTCTTCAGAGACCCTAACGAGAAAGAATAGTCCGAGAAACACCTGCTTAATATCTGCTAACGAGGATCTATTTACAAATACACTACTAAGTTCCACCGTTACTCTATACGACTAGACTAGACAGATAGTAATTTAAAAGCCTAGTACTATAAGGGCCTAAAGGACTATATTAAAGATGAACTCTCTAGGGCCGATAAACCCGATAGCCTAGAGGAAATAATTAAAACAGCTATAACTATCGATAAACAGATCCAGGAACAACAGAAGGAAAAAAGAGAGTATTTTACCCCTACTTAATATAGGAAGCCTTAGTTCCCGGAACAATATAGAAAGAGAGAAGGAAACTTCTAACCCTACCCTAATAATAAACAGAGTTATTATAACCTGATAGAAATAGATAGAGCTAAGAGAGGAGGTAAGGGCTAGGCTAAGAAGTAGAAACAACGAGAGAAGAGCTTATACTATACCTGTAGCAAGGCTAGTTACCTCACTAGGGACTACTCTTAGAATAAGAACGGAGGGAAAGCCCCTCCTAAAGACAAACAATAATTCGCTTTAGCTAAACGAAAAACTAAGCGCTATAAAGCAGTAGTACTCGAATAAGTTAGCGAGGACAATAGTTAGGAGGAAGTCCTAACTAAATCCCTTAAAAACTAGCGAATTAGTAATATAGAATCCCTGGATACCTAATAAGAAAGCCAGGTAACTAATAATCACTAGGCAGACTAGCTGCCTATTATTAACGAAAATTAGGCCCTCTGCTCTTATAACAGAGAACAACAAGTCTAGATATACATAAGAGATAAGCTAGACCTAGCGGAAAAGCGAAGGACTTACAATACCCTAGAGCGAGGCCTTAGTTATATCGTTATCTACTAAGACACCGAGATTATCGTATTCCAAGAGAATACTAAGTATATAGACTAACGATCTAAAAGATATACAGCTAGCCTTATAGAAGAACCCGAGCCTCAGGAATATAGCTAGCTAGACAATTATCTAGAAGTTAAAGATACGTAGGTTGTGACCGTAACAACTAGCGGAAAACAGTATTAGAAGCGAAGATAGTAAGTATAAGAACCCCTCCGATTCCAGAGGACAAGAGAGGAACTTATATAGAGCTAAGTTAACCTTAAGGAGGATATCCTGTACACTCTTATTAGTTATAACTAAGGCTTAAGGAAGTAGATAGACGAGATAACAGGAGAAATCGTTAAGGAATAAAGGGATTTACCTATAAAACCGCAGGAGTACCCTAATTACCTCGATTACTCTAAACTCGCTACTACTAGAGAGATAGACTAACTAGTAGTCCAAGTAGAGCTAAATAGGAATACAGCTAAAGCCCTAATCAACTTAGGAGCTATAGGAAGGTTTATTCACTCACAACTAGTAGAACAACTAAATATACCTATTATACGTAACCCACGCCCTTATAGACTCACCCTATTAGATAGGAAAAACGCAGGGGTTAACAAGTAGGTACGAGATAAAACAGCGAGTATCGAAATAAAGATACCTAATAGTTATACGGAGTACTTATCGTTCAACGTTATCCTAGTTAAATAACACGATATCATCCTCAGAACTATATAGATAAATAGCTACAACCCTAGTATCAACTAGAAAGTAAGAACACTTACTTTTAATAGATATAACTATCACCGCAGTTAACTATCCGGCGAAAGGGAGGCTAGCGCCGCCTCCTTAAGGATAACACCGATTAACTCTACACAGAAGAATCTAATTCCTAGCCAGAAAGAATCTAAAAGTTATCCCAGATAAAAGGATAACATACAAGAACAGCTACCTATACTCTATAAGAAGTACATAAAGATATTCGAGGATCTATAAGACATAAGAGTATTACCTGAATATCAACCCTAGGACCACGAGATCAACTTCAAAGAAGGGTTCATACCTATTACAGAGAAGCTTTACTACTATAATTACACTACCACAAGGACGCTTAAGGAATAGCGGGAACAAGAAGTAAAGAAAGGATAGATTCGGAAGTCCAAATCACTATACGCGGTTAACATATTAGTCACTAAGAAAGCAAGGGATCCTAAAGGAAGACCTTGTAGCAACTATCGTATAATTAACAACAGGACGATAAAAGACGTGTATCCTTTACCTAATACTTAGTACCTGCGGGACAGGCTAGCTAAAGCAACAGTATACACTAAATTAAACTAACGTAACGTGTTTAATTTAATCCGAATCAAAAGAGGGCACGAATAGAAGACAGCTTTTATCCTACCCTTAGGCTTATAAGAACACACAGTAATACTATTCGGACTTACGAATACACCGGCCACATACTAAAGGCAGAATAACAAGATTCTAAAGAACTTTATCGGAAAATTCGTAATATACTACCTAGACAATATCCTAGTCTACTCGAGAACTATCGAGAAACACTAAGGACACGTCCTACAAGTTATAGAAGCCCTATATAAGGTAGATTCTAAACTAAAACTATTAAAGTATAAATTCTCAGTTAAGTAAGTTACCTTCCTAGGATATATTATAAACCTAGGACAGATAAGTATTAACCTAGAAAAAGTTAGAGCAGTAAAAGAGTAAGAGTCACCTAAGAACATTAAGGATATATAATCCTAACTAGGATTTACTAATTTTTATCAACAGTTTATCTGAAACTACTCTAAAATCGCCGAACTACTTACTAACCTAACTAGGAAGGGTGTCTCTTTCACCTGGACTAGCTAGTGCGAGGAAGCCTTCTAACGAATCAAGAAGGAATTTACTAAGGAACTAATCCTTTACAGTTTCGACAAGGAAAGGGAAAGTATAATCGAAACCGACGCTTCGGATACCTGTACTAGTATAGCCCACCTACAGCGAGACAAGGAAGGCCGACTATACCCAGTCGCCTACTATTCTGAAAAAATATCCCTAGCTAAACAAAATTACAACATATACAAGAAAGAGCTCATAGCTATCGTTAAAGCATATAAACATTAGAAGATCTATCTATAAGGAGCCAAGTATCTAATCATCATCCATACCAACTATATAAATCTTCGAACCTTCACAACTACTAAGGTCTTAGACAATCGATAATTAGCTAAGTAAGCCAAGGAACTTACCTCTTTTAATCTTATAATTAAGTACATACAAGGAAAAGACAACGCTAGAGCTAACGCCCTAAGCAAGCTACTAAGGTATAAAAGAGATAAGATCTATAATAAAACCGCCTTACTTAAGGAATTAGATAATAAGGACTTAGTCCCCTATATCCGAGAAGCAGCAGCCTTAGAACTCAAGGGACCCT